ATCCTTTTGTCATTTTTTGGAGGAATCAAAAGATGTTTTAATGCTTTGTACATGTAAGTCTTGGACGTAGTAATCCTATTTCCAGTCTATGGCAATCAAATGATGATCAAAGTCAATACATTATTTCAAAAGGAGCTGTTTCAGAAGGGTATTACGAGAATAGTGTTTCAAAACATTATTTTTTGAATCAACATGCAAACTATTTTTTTGTACTTACTTTTGCGAGAGCAATTCTCACTGGGCGGTTTATGAACTTGGTGTCCCTTGTTGGTGAGAGTAATTTCCACATTAATGGACACCTCATATACACTTTTACCCCTTCACCAAATGGTTAACAGCCTATGATTGATAAGTGAACTTTTGAAAAAACTTCTTCTTCAAAGATTTTTTTTAGCCTTTGATTAACCTTAGAATGCCAGAACATTATGCACATCAATTATTGTGTTTAAGAAGAAAATGAGAATTTCTAGTCATTGAATTTGGTAGGAGCGCTAATTATAAAGCAGTTGTAACGTCTTTCCTATGTGGAGATGGAGCTGACAACAGAGGTATCCGTATTAAACCGCTAGAAACCTCACTGATTCTGGTTTAAAATAGGCATGTTTATTAAATGCGATACCAAATTAATTTCGCAACTCCAAGAAAATCATCCATGAAGTCAATTCAGAAAAGGTTAGTAATCTTCTTCAATAGTTCACTTGAATCCAGGGGGAATATGACACCGTCCGCCCTACATGAACTGTCGGGAAAGCAAATAGCGCAAGCATCCTAAGAAGTAGCTCCTCCCTTCTATATCTACCTACCTGCTTTTGAACGTTGTTCTCTTACCTGTGGCATCCTTGCCCTCTATCTGCTGTATGTTTTACATAGTTCTGAAGAAAGACCTCAGAGCTGTTATTGAAGAATCAATGTATTGTTGCCTGCTGGAAACGAGAGGAGGAACGTAACCACTGTGGAAATAAAATCCGTGAGTTATCGAATAACGGAAGAATATATAGTGAGCGATGTATCCGCCACAATGAATTACAGGCCTCCAAACAATCGAGTATCGTCTGTACAAGAAAGAACGTTTCTTGGGCACAAGAAAATGGCGAAGGGCGTCAGTTGTGGTGGTTTTTCACGTAAAAGTGACCTCGTCAGGCACCTGCGCCGCTTCTAACCGAGTCCTTCTGTCCGACAACATCGATGGTCAACAACTTGTGGCCAGGACCGCTTGAGCTCGGCCCTTCGTTCTTTGCTTCACCGAGGAGCCAAAGCGACTTCGCCGCGGCGGCCGGTACAGCAGGCTCCGCAAGCTGGCGAGCAGCCCCAAATCTGGAGAAAGCGCTTCCTCCTAGTGCGAGGAGGAGGAGGACGCCAACAAGGTTAATCTTCCCAGCCATGAATGACGGCGTGCACGGAGGTCGGAAATCTCTGATCAGACAATTGCAGCTTCGGACACGGCGGGGGACTTCTGACGTTCGTTCAGCCTCTTTATAACCTCGATTTGGGGTCTCGTGGAAGGCGATGTGGATTGACTATGTGAAAAGAGTCCAAATACTTCACCTCCCGCCGCGGGAATCAACACAGGATGGTGCAGCCCGCCTCTACCTGATGGCGGCGGCGTGAAGGAGGAAATATCCACGATGGAGGACGACACCACTGAGGGAGGAAATATCCAAATATGAGGGATAAAAGGGATCCACTGATAGATGGACAGAATAACCCGGCGGCAAGAGAGAGAGAGAGAGAGAGAGGGAGACAGAGGACTTCATCTCTGAGATGGAAAGGTGGGAACTTTCATGGAACCTGAGAATGGGTCACGAAAGATTCTCTCCTGCTGCAAGGAAGCAGCGCAAGTAGGAATGAGAACTGATCAGTGGTGACAAGATCGCCAGCTAGCATGTTGACGTTTATCTAACCCAACTACCTTTAGTCAGGGTGACTGGAGGAAGCTTTGTCTCTGATTAAACAAGTGTTTGATCTTTGAGGGGGTGTTAGGCTGGTGTGGGACAGCTACATCAATGGTGATGCGGATCCTACGTCGCCCAGGTCTTCTTCTTCGTGCACAAGCAAGTCTCTCACTGTTTCTCTGTTCCGCCGCTGTTGCTTTTACCTCTTCTGCAGGCTTCAACCAAGGCTCCCAGAGAGCAGCTTCTCTCCAGCACACAAGCTTTTACTAAATCCTACTTGGACGGCGGTGGAGATGGTACGAGTGATGACTCGGGAAACCAGGAGATGTCCGGCAATGACTGCCCGGTACCCAATTCCCGGTATATTCTCTTCTTTCTGCTGTCTTGTTACGTGACTTGTTCATCCCCTAGAAGATATGTATGACGGCATCCATTCAAGAAGATAAAAGGGTCAGGTAAGCAGATCATGAAATCGATGGTCTAGAAGAACAAGTGAAGGTGATCCTGTTGGTTTAAATATTTTAACGTTGGCAAATAAAAACTATTCATTAATATCTTATTGTTGCAATAATCTTCGAAGAAATATCAAAGTTATGAGATCTAAGACTATTCATTATTAACATTATACTTTTCAAGCATGATACAATTGAAAGAAAAATCCTGAAAAATATTTATAAGAAATTTGGTTTCAAGTGACCAAAGACATAATATAATAGTGTGAAATGACCTTATCACCCTTTAATATAGAAAGTGGGGTGCCAAATGTCAACCAAAATAGCAATCCAAGATTCTTGGACGTCAATAACCTGAGATTGAAACACTTTAAACTCACTACTTTAATCTCTTAATCATTGTGTTATCATCTACGTAATTTTATTCTTTATCTATCTATTTGCATTTTCTTTAGGATATAACCCATAACCAATCAATGGATTGAAAAGTCAATAAAAACAGTCCCATCTCTTCAGTGTTTATAGATATTTTGCAAGAAACATACTGCTATCAGTTGCTAGTAAACAACAGCAACCAAAATTGACTGAACTCGCATTTTTCATTTAAAAATTTGTACAACAGGGGTAAGTCAACTACATTGTGACATAGAAAAAAATAATTCTTCAAGTGCTTGACCATATTATTATGATGGCCACATTCGTAGGTTGGCCAAATACCCACATTTAGAATATCAAAAATTTAGGTAACAACTTAGCTAGAACTTGAAATTATAATCATTAAAAAGCAAAGATGTCAACCTTCCAAGCTTCACTTTATAAACTTTTTTATTACACCCGACGTTGCTTACATGTTCCAATTGTATCAACCATGAACCATTTACAACAAAAAATGAAACAAAAGTTTGCAATATTAAAATAGTTGCTTCAAGAGTGTTGTTCTTGAAGACATACAAAGTTGCTCACGAAAAAATGAGTGAAAATTCACCTAAAATATGAAAAATGAATGCATGTACTGATTACTCTATTCTCTTCGATTTATAATTTCCAGCCCTTGGGATAACCATAGAATACTGACCCACAACATTTCGTTCCAGTGGAATAAATTGCAGATAAATTATTGCTTCTACCCTTTTTCTCATTTTTTGCAGTATATCCCTACATGATTGAACATTCCTAAGGGTTTGTACTAATTTAATGTTTTTGATATTTATGCCCATATAAATAGTGATTTAATTTTTTTATTACTAAGGTTTTGTAGGATCAAACAATTGATGTTATACATTTTTCCCTTGTCCTTGCCTTTTTTTCTTATTTTTTTTAATATATTTGTAGAAAATTAAATGTGTTATTTTCCTGCAGGGCATTGATCCCTTCGAGATAATCCAGCGAGAACAATCTGTTTCCTTTCGTGGTTTTCATGATCTGAATATTTCCACTATCTTACAACTATTTATTTATTTTTAGTAAATATATTGCCCATGAAAAATAGGGGCGATGACAGAAATTAATTATTATTAGAAAATATATTTTCGTTGAATGAATTAATGCTTCATGCTACCCATTGAAAACGGTTTCCATTGGATAGATTTAATGCGCCACCTGTTGGGCTTGGTTGCATATTTTTATGGAAAAACTGATCTTGAGTCCCAGTGCAATGCAGCTTGTGAGAATATTTTATGTGTCGAAATAATAATAATAAATATGGTGTCGTGCAGGGCAAATATGCTTTTAATTATTGATAAATTAGGACGGTTAAATACCTGCAAATCGCTTGTCTGCCATTCCACAGGGCTCAAAGAACGACGTAGGAATCGGTTCCAACAGTGTTAGACCGTTGACCGAGGACTTTCATTTTACGGTGGTGAAAATTACCAAATATGAGGTGTCGATTTATATGCCCGGTGTTTGGTTTGGCTTTTACGAAATCTTCTGCGCCAATGCAGGAATGCACCCAGCCGCAAGCCCAATCGGTCACCGTGGTGGAGTTGATAAGCCCGTCGCTGCCGCCGGCGGTAGACAAATTCCCCCCAACTCCCCTCCGGCGATAATTGACCGGCCGCTAGGAATCCACGTGGCGGCAGCGGCGGCAGCGGCGGCGGCGGCGGCGGCGACGGCGGCTGATCATCTCGGTGGGGAAAGGGGCTCCCCAGTCTGGACCTGAAAGGCGAGGGAAGACGCAGACCCGCCGGCAGGCACACCACACCTTCTCCGTCTCATCTCATCTCCCCCACCACGCCAACTTTCCCAAACCTGCAGGTTCGATCAAGAAACAGTGGGATCTCGATCTCGATCCCGATCTCGATCCCGATCCCGATCCCTTGGAGTCGCAATCCATAGATGGATCTCCAGAATTGAAGAGAAATCATGGCAAAATCGATGGCATTAAACATCAATCGGAAGTAGTACATGATAGACGACAGACGCCATTGGATCATCTCTGAACAAGCGACGCGACGGGCGGTAGAGCGAACCCTAGATGGAGAAGGGAAGAAGAAGAAGAAGAAGAGATTGGAGAATGGGAGAAGCGGCGGGGATTGATAGATGTATCAGAGAGTGATCCAATAGCCTCGAGATTTGAAGGCGCCATCGACGGGGAAGAAGGTGAGGTCGAAATTAACCTAGATTGCCGTCGCGATCGTCACGACGACGACGCGACTCACCTTCGGGTGGGGCTAATCTTGTCGTTGAAGTAGCGGATGGAGTAGAGGCACAGCGAGAGGTGAACCTCGTCCTTCCCCCAGCGCGCCGCCGGCGCAGGCGGCTTCCTCGCAGATGGAGAAGGGGAAGAAGAAGAAGAAGATGATGATGATGATGATGATGATGATGATGATGATGACGATGATGAGATTGGGGGCAGAGGAAGAGGGGGGAAAGAGGAGGAGGAGGATGAAGACGACGGCTGCCGGAGGAGGGGGCGAAGGTAGAGCGCGTGGAGGCGACGGAAGCCGCCGAGGGCCAGCACGACGGCGCGGAGCTGCTGCGGGCCGCAGCCGAGGTTTGCCCAATGCCGCGTGCAGACGCCCTCCCACAGCCGCTCGTCCTCTGCCGTCCTCCGCCAGTGCCGGCTCACGCACGCCGACCGCGCCAGCGTCCCTGCATCTGCGTGCCTCAGCACCTCGAACAGCAGGTCCTCCCCCATCTGCATCCCCCCTCTCTTCTCCTCCTCCTCCTCCACCTCCTCCATCTCCTCCATCTCCTCCTCCCCTGCTACCACTCGCCCCCTCTTCCCCCCACTACCACCATCCCCGTCCCTCCTCCAATCCTCTCCCACAGATCCCCGCTTCATCATCCCCCTCCTTCCCTCCTTCCCTCCCTCCCTCTCTCTCTCTCTCTGGTTCTGGTTTTGGTTCGTGCCACACTTCTTCAAGCGGTATGGGGGGAGAGAGAGGAGGGATTTAAGTAAATTACCCCCGATTCAACGATTAATTACGGCGAGGGCCACGGGGGAAGAGACAAAAGGGCCTTGCGGGGGGGACCTGTCACTATGCGACGTTGGATTCTTCTCCGCGAGAAAGAAAGCATCAAAGACGCTCGCTCCCCCTCGCCCGTGTCGCTTCTCCGCTCCTGTCCTTTCTGCCGTCCGATTCGTCGGTCCAATCCTCACCGTTGACCACCACAGTCACACCTTCCTCCACCTCAACCCCACAGAGGAGAGACACTGACTGCGAACGACCCTGGCTCTCTCTCTCTCTCTCTCTGATCGTTATTTAATTGGCGCATATATAATAAGCAAGCAGGCTACACCCAAGGGTGAGGCCGATTCTTGCGGAGAACAATGGCATTCACTCTATAACATAATCATTTAGATCTTTTTTCCTAAGATTTTATTTTTTTTCTAGCTTATAGATGTATTCCTTTAAGTATTTTATTTTATTTTATTTTTAAAATTAATATTATATTTTAAATTTTGAACAGTTTTTTTTTGTGACATAAAACTACAGAAAAAGATAGCTAATCTTTTTTAATTATTATCTTTTTATAGAGGATAAAAATGTATTTATAACACTTTTAATCATTATCTTTTTCTAGATTATAGACATCTTCCATTCATAAATGTATATTTTAAGTTATATTATTTGTTAAATTAATATTATACTTTTAATTTGAATAGTAAATATTACCTTTATCCGACGTAAAACTACATAAAACAGATAGCTAATATTAGAAAAATGAAACACGGTGTGGTAGTTATCAGTCCGCTTAGTCCTCATCTATGGTTCCAGAAAAATAAATCCATAATCATTTTAAATAACCGCTTAACATTATAGGAGAAACAAATGTATATATATTATAAGTTCACCAGTTGTAGAGAGGTTCTTATATCTTGTACTTATTTCAGAGTTCATGGCACTCATGTGAGATTCCAATAGAAAGATACTTTGGACTAGTTCAGATGAAGAAGATATACTCTTTTATAGACAATATCAATATTTTCTACCCTAAACCCTAAATAGTGGGCCATCTAATATATATAATGCTCATGGCCCATGTTTATTTCAACATAATATTTAAATGGTAAATACTAATTAGCACTTAAAGACAAACGTGTGAGTTGCTCCCAGTTTGGCATCCATTGTTCTTTACTAGAAAAAAAGGTGACAAAAATAGGGTGGATCTATTTATTTTTTGATTAAAATTACATTAAGCTAGATTGGAAAATTAACATTGTATGTTGATTGCAAGTATTTCCAAGAAATTAATCTATTTGGAAGACATTGGATGCATTCTCAGTGGTATATCAATAATTTAGTAAGTCAGAGAAAAGAACGCATTAATCACCATCCTAATTTGTACAAAGTGCCTTAAACCATGTCACTCCATGCCAATAATGGTTAAAATCAACGTCATTTATACAGATTAAATGAGATTAATATCCTGGGTGAGTGGGGCCAGTGGGTTCTTAACCTTGATTTATTGATAAAATGTGTGTGCTCATCTACTCCCCACTCAAGGCAAAACATAGGTATCCCTCATTACCAACTTGTTACATAAAAAAGTGAAGCCAAGTGCACCTTCAAAGTTTAATAAATGTACACCATCTAATCTAGTGTAAGGACCAGAGACTATGACATCCATCATAGTTTCTCAACCAGGGTGATAGTCAACTTGAGCATATTTGGTAGTTCCATGAAAGTCAAGATTACTTGCAATGAAGAAAGTTGTTTCCCAGTCACTATTAATGATCATTAGTTCATCAAACATTATCCCAAAATGATATGCTATGGACTTTGACCACATTAATTCATACATTATACGATCTCTAGCCTTATATTTAACCTCAACAATAGATCGAAGTCAAAAGGGTTCTTTCTTGTTCTACTAGAGTACCTGATGGTTGATTCGTTTTATTGAACGAGATAACTTTAGTGAGGGATTCAGTACTTCCTTCCCCTACTTGTCAACCAGGAGTCATCATCTGGAAGCACTCAACCATGAGAAATATGCAAGGTACATTCATCGATTTCCCTTCCACTCATCCTTTCGCTCCCAAGCCCAAGCTAAAGAGGTCTGAGATGTGTGAGATGCCCAAATCCTCCTCCCATGCTCGACTTCCTACCCAGTGGTGGCAGCTGCACTGGACACCACCTGTTTTCACTCTATTGACCTCCATGCAACTTTAACGAGCCCTCCAATCCTTCCAACCTTCATATGCCCACCACTGAAATCTCTCTCTCATCCCCTCCTCCGCCCAATCTCCTGGCCCACTGCACTCAAAGGGCTGCTACCAGCCCACCTCGACCCAGTGACAAACAACCCATTTCTTAAGCCCTCCAAACGCTCAAAAATGTACTCATCCAGATATTTCACTTCACTTCAATTAGAAGGTTCTTCATCTATATATTGATATAAATATATATAGATGTATTTTGTTTTTTTATTTTATTTTGCAAGCCCAAGAACCAGATTGAACAAGATAAACGAACAAGAAAAAGCATGCACAGTCTTCGCTCTGGTTTGGCTGATTTGCGTGCAAAACCGCTTGGTGGGTTGTCTTGAAGAGCTCATTTACGACTAGAATTTCGTAGCTTTGCACGCCTGAGCTTAAGACGCGCGCATTGAGATTTGGAAATCTCCAAGAAAATCGGGATCTTTCTCGGTACAAGAAAGTCAATAAATTCTAGATTATAATTCACAGAAATCACGTTTTCTCGCTGAAAATGAGGCAAGGCAATGAATTACCAATGATACACTTTTCTGATTCTTCCATGCGTAGCTTTTGCTGCACCCTCTCCTTGTGCTATAAATACACGACGAATCAAAGCATGGGAAGCACAAGCTTTCCACGCTATCTGGTGCCGAATTCCACAGGCAGCCAGACACTTCGACTCCTAAGAGTGGGTTGGAGAAGGTGTTTGTCGTGGCCATGGCCTCTACTAGCCTCCGGCGGCGCCGCCTCTGCGTGTGGGCCCTGGCACTGCTCGTCCTCGACGCCATGGCTTCCGGCGGTGAGGCCCGTGCGCTCTCTCCGACGGAGGAGAAGTCGATGATGGACCTCCACGAGCAGTGGATGGTGCAACACGGGCGCACCTACAGAGACGAGAGTGAGAGACGGCGTCGCCTCACCATATTCGAGAGCAACGTAAAGTACGTGGAGTCTTTCAACAGGGAAGGTGGCCGGAAGTACGAGCTCGAAGTCAACGCGTTTGCAGATCTCACGGAGGAGGAGTTTCAGGCTGGTTATCTCGGCTTCAGGCCGGCCACACGGTCGACGACGACAACGACGAGCGGCAACCGGTGGCCGTTCACCTACGGCAACCTCTCCTACGAAAGCTTACCGTCGGCGGTGGACTGGAGAGAGGCAGGCGCAGTGACTGCTGTCAAGAACCAAGGCCACTGCGGTAATGGCAGATTGATCTTTGTGATCTCTCTCTCTCTCTCTCTCTACTTTCTCTCTACTCTACTCTCTCTCGTTTTCACCATCTGATGGGGATGTGTGATGCAGGCGCCTGCTGGGCCTTCTCGGCTACGGCGGCAGTGGAGGGGGCGTGGAAGATCGCAAGGGGGGAACTGGTCTCCCTGTCGGAGCAGGAGCTCATCGACTGCGACACGGGCAACGGCAACGAGGGCTGCGTAGGCGGCTACCCAACGCATGCCTTCGAGTTCATCGCCGACCACGGCGGCATCGCCGGCGAGGCCGCCTACCCGTACTCCGGCAACCCCACCGGTGCCTGCCGCGTCGGCGGCGCCTCCTCGTCCTCAGCTCCTCGCCCCGCGGCGACCATCACCTCCTACGCCGCCGTGCCGTCGGAGGACGAGCGCTCCCTGCTGAAGGCCGTCTCACGGCAGCCAGTCTCGGTGGCCATCGACTCCCACACCTTGCGATTCTACGCCGGCGGCGTCTTCACGGGGCCCTGCGGCACCAACCTGAACCACGCCGTCACCATCGTCGGCTACGGGACGACCCCCGACGGGACCAACTACTGGCTGGCCAAGAACTCTTGGGGGAGCGCATGGGGAGAAGCCGGCTACGTGAGGTTGCAGAGGGACGTGCCGGACAAGAAGGGCCTGTGTGGGCTCACAGTGGACGCATCCTACCCCATACCCTGAGACCAACCTCGCTCCATTTTCGACCTCAGATTGATTACTAGTCATGGGCAACGCATAATTTTCCGAATAAACTTACTGGGTTAAGAAGGAAACTTTATTGCTGTTTCTTTTTATTCCCAGAGTTTGTGAGGAAGAAGTCTGCTGGTTGGTTGTGGGAGAAATATACTAAGGACGGGAAAAAATCTGAATTTGATCATTAGATGATGATTATGATGATGCTGATGCTTTTACCCAGAAAGCAAACCGGCCGGCTACACTGGTAGCACAGAATCAGGCAGTTGTTGCTCTCAGATGCCATGACTACCTTCCATAAGAACTTGCTAGGTCTATGAGAAATTCTTCCAGCTACTCCTCCCAATTGATGGGGCTTCAATAGCACGTTCTAATCCGGGATGTCATCAGCGCCAGCATCGGCCCCAAACTTTGACAAATCTTCCAAGGAAAAGGTGACGAGTGTCGAGATTTTCACAGGATTAAGGATGGAAAAAGTCTATTAATGATGGACCTCTCTCTCTCTCTCTCTCTCTCTCTCTCTCTCTCTCTCTCTCTCTCTCTCTCTCTCTCTCTCTCTCTCTCTCTCTCTCTCTCTCTCGCTATCTCTCTCTCTCTCTCTCTCTCTTTGTCTGTCTCTCCAATTCCATGGCATGAGAAACTGAATCGCGCATCATTTGCTCCTAGGAAACTCCATCACGGCGCAGAAGAGAATCCAAGCCTCTGCGTGAAACAAACCCTTGTGGGATTAGTAGTCTCCCAAATATTCTTCATGGCACGTTACCTAAATTTCTTCGAATTTGCCAAAAATAAGCTCTTCATATCCATAACATATACGAATCGTAAGCTAGAAGCCATCAATCGTGACAAAAATAGATATCACAATCTTCTTGAGTAAACTCTTATGAGCTCAGCATCCACTAGCCAAGCAGCATGAAGACCAGCGTCAATAATGTAAGATGAATACACGATCATACCGTTTTGATCCTTGAACGTGCTCAAATTCACCAAACTATACCTGTAACAAGGATGCTGGCGCGCGCGCTCTGCCGTCGCACGCGGGCGCCGTGCCATCGTGCACTCCTACCATGCCGTGCCTGCCTGCCGTACGCGATGTGCTGCCGCCGGGGCCGGTCCCTGCAGGAAGACCCTGGTATCAATACCCGTGATGTTTCTTCAGCATTGGATTTAGTGAGAAGAGAACCACAAGACTTCAACTGCAGAAATGTGAATGGGAGAAGCTCTTTACTCAAGGATTACTCCCTATATTTAATAATTCAAGAGATATCTGCCATTTATTCGGGATAGGATTTACTGAGAAGAATCTCACAAAAAGTCAACTCTTGCAATGAGAATGGGAGAAGCTCCTGCTTAGAGTCTCCTCTCACCATTTGGAACTATCTAAAATGCGAAGGGCGATCTCTGAGCAGGAGCCTCTCCCATTCCAATTCCAGGAGTTTACTTTCTGTGAGATTCTTCAATACAGGGAGTAATCCTTGAGCAAGAGCTTCTCTCATTCCCATTCATGGAGTCAACGTCTTGTGGTTCTCTTCCCCCTAAATCCCTTGCTGAATAAATGGGCATCCTGAGAAGGATGGGTTCTCATACAGGGAAAAGATATCTCCTGAGAAGGAATACTGTTTGGAAGTCAACTCAGGATGAGGGATGATCATCATATGGTTAATAGAAATCTTTGCCGCTTATAGCTTCAATGATTGAGCATACTTCAACCGTCAACTTGACGAGAAACTCACCACAGGTCTTGAGCAGCTGATGCAGAGAGCCATCCATGCCTCTGATCCTCTCTCAGAACTGTAAGATTGCACCCGAATTAGACGAGTAGGCATAAACAGGGCCTACAGCAGTGGCAAATCTCCAATGAATGAATTCCACAAATATATGAGAAAGCGAACTGATGTAAGACCACAAGGTCCTCTCCTAACCTCTCACAGCCATCACAGTTTCAGGACATCCCATCACAGGGACATTCACCCTTTCCTCATCAACTCACGATCATACGGCAGTATCTAAAAGATGTCCGCTTCTCGAGGACTATGGCAAGTGGAGACTTGGGTGATCGAACCACCTCACGGTCAGTGATCGAACCAGGAGCTGGGTCGGGTAACCATTTCGCAAACTAGGACTGAACATTATCCAAATTAGTACTAGCTCTACTAAGACATCTATCTCTCTCTCTCTCTCTCTCTGTTAGTACTGAATATTATCCAAACTAGTACTAGCTCTAGTAAGACATCTCTCTCTCTCTCTCTCTATTAGTACTGAACATTATCCAAATTAGTACTAGATCATACGGTTGAGGATTTGTTTTGGCAAGGGATCAAAAAAGTGTTTTCTTGTGGCCTCAACCATACGATTAATGCTTTAGCTATTTATCTTACAACCCGTACATGGTTGTGACCAAGGTTTGCATTGTCCCCAACAACTCAAGTGCCGTGAGCAGTGCGCATCTATCCGACAAACTTCAAGGTGCAGATAAGAAATGGCTGGTGTATAAGAAATGGCAGAAAAGGTACCCATTGATCTCTCTCTCTCTCTCTCTCCCTCTCCGATCCCTTCCTTCCTCACTCCGTAGAGATTATCGGCATGAATCCCTTCCTCGCTTGTCTGGGATTCTTCTGGGATCCGTTATCGCAGGGTGTGCATAATTTCCTGCAGAGCAGCACGGGGGGAGTCGTCTCCTGTGTGTGGAATCTGGCCGCCGGTGGAATCGTCACTCTCATTCTGCTGGACTCCAGGGCAGAGGAGCTGGGTAGGGAGATGAAAGAGCTGACGGACATTAGAGCAGATCTATTGACGGAGATCAGAAACGGCAAGCTTGATAACAAGGGGCCGACCCAACAGGCCAAGACTTGGCTCGATGAGCAAAACAAGATCGAGGACAGGGTGGACAAATTCCGGGTTTCCTTCCAGCAGAGGGGGGACTCCTCTGAGGGCTGTTCTTTGCTATCCTCCTATCGGCTCTGTTGTGAAGCTGCCGAATGCCTGAAAGAAGTCCAGAGGCTGAAGACCCAAAAGAACAATCTCCCCCTCCTAATCCAGGCGCCGCCGCCCGCGGTGGTTCCGCTTCCGAGCTCTTCAGTCTCGATGGTGGGCGAGGAAGAGACGTTGTCGGAGATCCGTCGTCTCGTGGAGGACGATGAAGTAGGAATCATCGGGATCTACGGCTTGGGGGGAGTAGGGAAGACGACCCTCTTGAAGGCGATCAACCACGAGCTCCACCAAAGGGGTCCCCCCCGTTTCGATCTGGTCATTTGGGCCACCGTGTCCAAGGAAGGTGATATCCTGGAGGTTCGTTCAAGAGGAAATCGCCGCCGATTGGGCTCTCTGGCCCCGGGGAGGGCCAGGGCCCGACCCTTCCAGTGGAACTACCAAACAGGGCCAGCACCATGCTGAGGACCCTCTCCCAGAGGAAGTTCTGCTGCTAGACGACCTGTGGGACAAACTAGACCTTGGCGCTGTAGGCGTCCCCTTCTCCACCTCTTTCATCAGGAACGGAAGCAAAATAGTCTTCACCACACGGTCAGAGAAAGTGTGCAACGAGATGGACGCTCAACGGAAAGTGAAGGTACCCCTCTTGAATCAAGCAAGCTCTTGGACGCTCTTCTGCCAAAAGCTGGGAAAGGGAGAAGACCAGTGGGATCCCTTTGTGAGATCTCTCGCAGAAGCCGTTGCTAAGAAATGCGGAGGCCTGCCCATCACTCTCATCACCGTAGGCCGGGCCATGGCGGAGGTCACCAGCCGTGGCGAGTGGGAAGAGGCTCTCATGGCGCTGAAGGGCATACCCGCGGCACCCGGAGACATGGAAGAGAAGGTTCTAAAGCTTCTCAAGTTCAGTTTCGACCGATTGAAAGATACATCCACCAGGGAGTGCCTTCTCTACTGCGCCCTCTTTCCCAGAGGATGGGAACATCTTTAAAACTGAGCTCATTCATTGATTACTGGGTGGGCGAAGGGCTCTTAGTTAGGGGACCCTATCCCGACTCCATTGACAGAGCTCGTAACCGCGGCCGCAGTGTCATCACCAGTCTCGAGGCTGCCTGCCTGCTAGAAGACGGGTTCCAGAAAGAAATACACGTGAAGCTCTATGATACGGTCCGGGAGATGGCGTTGTGGATAACCAGCGGCGAAGGCGACGAGAGAGGGAATGTTCTTCTTGGTGAACTCGGGGGAGAGGTTGAGGCACGTGCCGACGCCGGGAAGATGGACGGAAGCGAGAAGGATATCTCTTATGTATAATGAGATAAGCGTGTTCCCCAATGAGCCTCGTTGCCCCAATCTTCTCTATTTTTTTCAATTACCCTCAAGAAAAAAGCATGTATATTATCTTCTGCACCACATTTTTCCATTTTCTGAATTTCCATTGTGGTTGGATAATTCTCTTTTTACAGATCAATTTGCTGATTGCCCATTTAAGTTAATATTCCTGGGAAAATAAATTTGACTTATGGGTTCCCATTTGGATTTTCTTTTATTACGTGAGCTGGCTAATTTGCCATCTTTGGATACCTTTCCATTCCTCAGGTTATGTTGCGGAAGCATATCCACACAAAAATAGGCAAAAACATTTCAAATTATCCAGCTGTTGGTTTCGTTTTTTTCTTGCAGATTAGTTTGGTTTTTATGAAGTCCATGTGCTCATTAGCTCTATGATTCCTCTGTGGCGTATCTAAAAGCCCCCTTAAATGACTCTTTGCGAAGATTTAATTCAGTGACTATGTGAATTTTTTGTTGAGCATTTCTGACATATGAACATGAAAGCTCAGAAGGGGGTACATTTTTTCTATGTCTGTGTGTTTCCGTATCTCTTGTGCTCATCTTTTTTCTATTTACCAACAGTAAATCAAAAGTTGCAGATGTACTCCAAATGAATTACAGCATCAAAGTTGCAGATGAACATGGGAAATCAAGCGAAATGAATACAGAGGAAAGCCTAACGGAGTAGTAAGACAATAATAATTGCACTGCATGAGTTTATCTTTTTTCCGCCCATTAAAAATCAAAAGTTGGATATATTAGAAATACCTGTGGAGCAAAACAACCAATAAGTTGAGAATAAGTTCCCTAAAAGTATTAGGTCATTACTAAAATGGCCAGGAGCAATTGACACTTATTTGACAAACACTGATCATGTCATAAAAAATTCATATATTTCTATGGCTAATAAACTACCATATATTCCTGGTTCCTAGACATTGTGCTTATTCCTCGAAGGAGAGACTACCATAATGTTAGGTTCCGGCGGGCGTCAAGACTAGCCATTTTTTTATTTTTTATTTTTTTATTCTTATTATTTTTTATTTTTTATTTTTTATTTTTTTTCTCCTGGAAGCTCCAAGTATCTGATTTACTTCTGCTCCCTTCCTGCCTTGCAGGTCCAGGGATCTCTTGACCATGATGAAGAGGTAAGGGCATATTTCTATATTGTAATGCTTTTGTTATGAATTGTTTTTCATAGCAATCGTACAATATGCATGTAAAACTTGTGGTGAGAAGAAGTACCTGAACTGAAACCTGTGACTGGATGTAATTACCAATATCCTTAGTCGAAATGGACTCCGGATGACGTGCAACCCCTGATAGTTATCACACCGTAACTTCCTCCATCGATGCCTCCCTCGCCCGCAGGATCCCCAACGATGCCAGGTATCAACGTTGGTCGATATGGAAAAATCATCGAAAGCAGCGGCAAGAGCGGAGGCTGCTGCTGCATTCACTGGCAGGGAAGGAGTCAGAACATGAATAACATAACAGGGTTTTGCTCTATGTGCGCATCTCATGGAGGTGAGTTCCACCAGACTCACACTGCTGGCATCTTCACTACCTTCACAGAAATGTCAGCTGTTTTCCCTCTATACGTAATTCTTTAGGGGTTTGATTGACAAGCATGTATATCACAGAAATAAATGTATGTGAATAATGTTAATTAAACTGGAACTCCTACAATATATTCTAACCACTTCAATCAAAGAAAGAGGACTTCCAACACAAATCTCATCAAAGATCATGGAAAATCTCATTTGGCCATACCACTTAATCTTCAGGTCTGCTAAGAAAACCTTGAGCCATTGCTCTTCATTCAACATCTGCACTAGATCATTCCAGCACATTATGTTTCTTGCCTCTCCACGTCATGAGACTGCCACCAAGAAAGGTGCATCTGTCTTAACCACTAACCTTACATCATCAGCATCTGTTTATGCCTCAAGTACCAACCCTATTCTTTCGTGTGAACAGAATACCTTTTTCTGGTGTCCTTTTGAGATACTGTAATACTCAGTGAGCTGCCAGCAGATGAACTTCTTTTGGACTGTGGATGAATTGAGTCATAACAATCAATGGGTATGCTATGTCTGGTCGTATATGAGATAGATAAACGAGTCTTCCAATTAGGTGCTGATACATTTCCCTATCAACCACAGCATTCTCCTCTGCCTTTCGAAGTCTAAGAATCGGATCTATTGGAGTACTTGCTGGTTTGGCTTCGGTCTTGCCTGTTTCTCTAAGAATATCGATAACATACTTCTTTTGGGGAAATGAAAATGCCCTGCTTAGAGTGAGCTGCTTCAACCCAAGAAAATATTTCAGTACCCTAATGCTTTGGTCTTCAATTCCTTAGCCAAACACTGACTCAGAATGTCATCATTATGTGATCTACGTATACCAAGAGTGCTGACCCCCCTAAGAATGAGTGTTTAATGAACAGCATGTGATCCCCTTGTCTTTGTCTGTACCCCATAACAATCATAAAGAACAGTATTTCATGAGAAACTTTCACTTGTTATTTTAATGTTAAAATGTTGGAAAGGTAGTCTAAGATATACCCAAAGTTTTATAGGTAGATGCCTGAACTGAACTTCCTTTAACCCTCCAAAGGACTGTCCTTGTGAATGATGCTAACCTAATGCAAGCTTGTTGTAATGAAACAAAAATGACATGATCAACTAGCCTGCTTGCAATGTGAAAATAGTCTAGAGACTCTCAAGAGGAGTACAAATGGAAAATTTAAGAGTAGGTTTGCTTTTAGCTCAAGATTTAATGACATCTAAGATTAAGAAGACATTCAAAGGCCAAAGTGACTGCACCATGTCATCAAGAAGAATGATATGTTAGAGAGAACTGTATATTAATTGGACACAAATGAAATTTAAATGCACAAGTCAGAGTTTCTTAAGCAACCATGCAACTTTGGTAGTGCTTCATTGTCGGTCTGTGTAGGCAAAAAAGGAAGGTATTAAGAAATATCTAAATGTTTAGGAATAGTTCTTTCTTTTAAAGACAGGTGTTATAATGGTTACTGGTAGACTAACGGATAACTTTAACAGGCTGCAGATAAGTCGTTTTACTTGAGAATACTTGTAATGGGTTTTTCTGGTAGACTGGAAAAGTCAACACTTTTTTTTTATTATGGCTATTTGTGTTTTAGTTTTCCTCAGAAATCTGTGTTTGGATCCTCGAGATTTTCAGTTCTCAATTTATTTTTGTGTTGTCTTTGACTGTGATGTCGCTATTTTATCCAGGGATCCAGGGTGATAATTGTTGGGCCCACAGATTCTGTGAAGAGTGGCTTGTATAAGATGCTTCTGAGCTGGGCATGTAAGCCGAGTTGGAAACCTACTTTTGTGGATTTGGATATTAGTCAGGGATCTATCGCTATTCCTGGATGCATAGCTGCTACACCGGTTGAAATGCTTATTGATCCCGTGGAAGGCGTTCATTTGGAAAAGCCTCTTGTATATTTCTCTTGACACACAACTCCAAGGTGACAAATGATTTCATTCATCTTTCAAGTAAAATCAATGCTTTGCTAATTAATGCCATTAAGTTACTTGATATCAAGAATGATGGAATATTTGTGCATATTATTATTATGCACATTGAAATTTTCTTTTCTTGAATGTGACAAGATTGTGTAATTGGCATATTCAGTATTAATGTGGAGCTTTACAAGGTTCTTGTGAAGGAGCTGGCTCAAACCTTACGGAAGCAATTTACTAGGAATGCTGAATCAAGAGCTGCTGGCATGGTGATCAACACAATGGGATGACTAGGTGTGGGCTATGAGGTATCTTTTTCAAACCTGGGATTCATCTTGTCCATTTGATAATTACTTCTGGTTTCCTTCGCCATTTCTTCAGTAATTTATTATTATTATTATTTTTGTAAAGTTGCTTCTTCATGCTATCGAGACGTTCAGGGCTGATGTAGTTCTGGTATTGGGACAGCTAAACCGTATTCATTTTCTACAGCATTCAGTGTTCAGTATATACTACCACAATTGCATATGAATTCTCTGAAAGAGACATCCTTTTCCGTTGTCATAGGTAGATAGCTCTATCAATGTAAGGCATATTTCCATTTTACTCACTTATCTGACAAAGTTGATCTTTTGACTGTATCTGTCATGTATATAAATGCTATGCAGGAAAAACAATGCAGCATGCTGAAAGGAGTCATACAAGGCAAAGACAGTATATGTATCGGGCTGTCTAGAGCTGTAGAAGCTACCCTTTGGGTTCTCTACTGCCAAGAACATCCAAGTGATCTTTGGTGAAGAAGAATGGTGGAATGGATTAGTGTGGGACCATGAAGACGTCCGATCCAAGTTTACCCCTTATTCCCCCCCCCCCCCCCAGAATGATCAATAGGGGCAACTGAGCCATATGGGATCTATGGAGAACATGACGCGAAGACAACGATTGCTTTTTCCCTGAATTATGAAAGTAATTCTTTTTTTCCCTAATTTAATGTGTAGATTCAGTCATATAATCTTCCAAAATCGAGGAGCTCACCGAAATTCAGTCATATAATGAATGTGGGTGCCAGCCAACAAGGGATTGCTCCAGCTGATTCTCCACCAACACCACCTGTGACAACTGCACTGGTTCCTCCACCATTCAGAGATTCACACCGTAGCTTCCTCCATCGATGCCTCTCTCACCTGCAGGATCCCCAACGATGTCAGATAGCAATTTCTACCCCTAGGGAGAAATCATCGAAAGCAGCAGCAAGAGCGAAGGCTGCTGCTGCATCACTGGCAGGGAAGGAGTCAGACCTAGACCTATATAACAGGGTTGCTCTATGTGCCATCCCCCATATTATGTGTAGTAAAATGTCGATGCATCTCATGGAGGTGAGTTCCACCAGACTCCCACTGCTGCCATCTTCTCCACCTTGACAGAAATGTCATCTGCTTTCCCTCTATACGTAATTCTTCAGGGGTTTGTTTGATAACCATGTATATAACAGAAATTAATATCTGTGAATAATGTTAATTAAACTGGAACTGCTACAACATATTCTAAGCACTTCAATCAAAGAAAGACAACTTCCAACACAAATTTCATCAAAGCTCATGGAAAAACTCCAAGAATAATTTTTTTCGTAGCATGAAAAGACTAGTAAAGAACACACCTTACACTTATCCACAATGAAAAGAATGCGTCATAGATGCTGGATTCGATTGAGAAAAGCCTGTCACTATCTCACTCGGCAAAGGAAAGCTGAAACATCCCTCCATAGTTTTTGCAAACAGCACCCTGAAATTTTCGAATTTATGAATAATGCTTCAAATTTTTAGTAGGATATTACCACATGAAGAGGCGTTATATAAAATTCCACAAAAAATAAAATAGCAAGCAGAACTCGTGTTTGAATCGAAATAATACAGAGCAGTTTAACAAGTAGAAAATTTATACTCTATATAATATCAAGAATAATGAAAGATTATGAAAACTTGCACAAAATCAGAAACAACAAACAACCAGCATAAAAGAATAAAGATTATTACCTCAATTTGTATTATTATAACGAGAAAATAAATATTATCACCATATCCTTGAGATCATCTCTACATTTTATGAGATTTCATTCAGCAAAAACAAATCTTACTCATAAAAAAGGAAATACAGATTCTTCTTAATTTTGAGAAATAGAAAATGGACTATAAAAATCAAAAGGTATAGATTTGGGATAATTTTGTAACTCATACAACCGTTCCTCTATAACTGTCATTTGATCTGATTGCAAAAACAACAACAAAAACCCTACGAAATATTCAAAAATGACAGTAACCTAAAATATAGGATTCTTTGGACAAGAAAATAATCTGTCCCTAACAAGAAAAAGAAAGTGGCATCACGGCACCTGAAGGGAAGGAAGAACTTCATTGTATACACATGAAAAAAAAAGGGAGTGCTTTGTCAGCCTGCAATTATAAAAGAAATGTTGAATGAGTTCAATCTGAATTGAAAGAAAACATCATCTCGACACTATCAGGAAAAAAGAAATATAAGGGGATTTACTAAAGTGGAGTAATCAGTCATTCAGAAGTTTATTGAATGAAAGACAACAAATAATAGAGACTGCCGTTTTGGAGAGAGTAGTCCATGAAAAGGAAGACCATAAAAAACAAGCCAAAAGAATAGCAAAAATGACCACCTCTATAAATCCATCACCATATCCTATCAAACTCATCTAAAAAATTTCTTATCCACCAAAATGACACTAATAGACGTTTGACGTTACCAGAGAACATACATGAAGACAATCCTCAAAAGTTAATGTATACATAATCGCACACCTCTTAACACTGCACACAAGACTAGTTTTATGCATGTCATTTCTACTTCAATAAACCAAGAATTATGAGGTGAAATGTGAAATATTTTCACAATCAAAAGAACTTAAAAGCTACAAGTTCCAAGGTCTAAAATAAAATGAATGAACTGACCACTTGAACTAGAAAAACCACCAACTTAACTGAAGAAATAATATTCCTCAATAGTCAGTGGCAATTAACTAACGAATAACTCACTCATTTAGTGGACAGCCAAAAAATGGGCGAAAAAATGTGGAGCGTGTGGATTATGGGCCACCTGATTACAATACAGACAAGTTTCTAATCTTACCATACATCAATATTTTATAAATTTCAAACAACTATAACAACTTTATCTAATACCACATGGATAAGTTCATTACCAGCATATACTATACTCCATATTTACATTACCACGTAATTAGTGATACTTAAGAAAAAAATTGACTAGTATGAAAGCAAACAGACTATTAAAACAATAAAAAGCATCCATTTTTCAACATAAAATACCTAATAATGCAAAAAATTGAAGATAACAGTGCATGTGGATAACCAAAGTACCTTTTCAGAATACGAAAGCAAATGTATAACTCTTCTATGTCTGTATCAACTTTCAGTTCTATATATTGTCTCAGAAATTCACACCCAATCGAAACAGCTTCATCATCCCATTCTTCATTTTCCGAACACAAAGAAGGAATAGATAGAATAAGCGACTGCAATGTGGATGATAAAAGATTTTCCATCCCAGTATCAGCATGTATCTCAGCAATAGAATTCAGAATTAGGCAACTGCTACGCTTGAAATATTTAACCCAGTTGGGAGGTTTTCCCATCCAGAGGTGGAGATCAAAATTCTCTGTGCTCTTAATTCCATGCTGACGTCGAGACTCATTGATTGAACTCCCTGAAGGACCACCAAAGCTATCTGAATTTCTATGTGCAGGGAGAAAGTCTCGTAAATACATTTCAACTTCTTCAGGTAATTGACCCAACACTGATTCATCTACTTGGCTTAAAGATGAAGGCATCAAATCAGTTCTATCAATACCCACAGAAGAAACAGTTTTGAGAACTGAACATCCTGTCTCTTGTTTAGTCTGGTGACAAAAGATGTGAAATCATTACTAAATGAGAAAAAAAGATGGTATACATAACTAAAGATAGGCACGTACCTCATTATCATCCAGGCTAAACTGCAATCGTGAAAACTTTTCTTCTGGAATATCTTGATCCATTAGCCTAGTTGCGTCAGTAACATGCTGCCATATCAAAGAAATGAAGAATACATGAACAGAAATGTAATTTAGGCAGAAAATTAACGCATGTAAGTCAACTATCCCACGAGTTCAAAGCCCACTTGTCCCCATGCTTTCATTTTTTCAACAGCATAACAATCCTTGACTCATCTCATTTCACTATGGCCCACCTTTGTACCAAGGATTTCCTTCAACGAATGCCCAATTAAATGTGTCGAGTGCTAAAAATGATTCATACACACTTCTATCCACAGACAGTCTGTGATCTAGGTTGCAAAAGCAGCACATACCCTTTCAATCTTTTCCTATGTAAGTAACACGAAATAAGACCAACACAATCAACTAGAAACTTCTCGCATGAAATACAATGCTTTACCATAATTTATGAAAGTTCACAGCTCTATGATTCGTAACATCAAAAGGTCCTTCAAGAATGCAAGTTATCAAGAATAATATTTGTGGAATGATAAAAGATGCTTGAAACAGCCTGCGACATTTGAGTCTGGTTCCCTCTAGAGATCAGGAACATAACATTTTTGACAAAAGGTTGGTTGAGGTCAATTCAGACATCTGGTAAGAACAGAGATATGCCTAAATCACAAGATCCTTGGTTTTCAATCACAAGACTTCAGGTTTTCAATCTTAAGGTTAAGCAACGCATGTAAGGTTAGCCAACGTTATTTTCTGATATCATAGATCCTTGGTTTTCAATCTTCAGGCTTCATACATAACAGGTTTCACAGATTTTGACCATGTTGAAAAATTAATTCACTTGACTCTGAATAGACACATGCAACATAAGTCATCAAGGTTAGCCATTAAGGTTACATTTCAGGAAAATGAAAAATATAGTTAATAAAGACGTTAATGCACTTTGATTTGATTTATTCTCTCCAATAAAATCCAATTAAAAGAAGAATCAGAGTAAGCTGGAAGTATACCATCCGTACTTACAGTGGAAGTTTTGTAGGAAGGTAAATCAGAGGAATAAATAGCCCGTTTACCCTTGTCCACTGCAGTTGAATATTAACGAGCAAAATCAGTATCTTCTCAAGATTCGCCCATGGAGTTTGATCCACGAAAATACCTGACAATTGTGCTCTTTTGTTTTCTAAATTAGGCATGGTTGAGAACTCGTCATTTCCCTGATCAATTCTGTCTTCATGTTTCCTGATGAACTCAGATAACCGCCCATGATATATCTCATTCATTTCAGCAATTATTTCCGGTGGAAGACTTTTTATAACATTTATATCAAGGTGACCAATTGGTGGCAACAAAGAGAACTGGTTCGCCCAAGATGTATCCCCAGCTTGATTAACGCATGGAGGAGGATCATTATTGGACAGATGACTTGCATAACCAGCAATTTCAGAGTTGCATTGTGCCGTCATGTGCACCATATTAGGCTCTGGAACAAAAACAAATGTAGCAATAAAGTTCTCAACACAACCTTATAGTTTCTTCTGAAAAATCATGGAAAAAATAAACCAGCCAGGTTATCAAAAAGTAGATGTAGTTGAACCAAAAGATCATTAATAATGAAAAAATATCATGTAATCGGGAAAATAAGCACGCATTAGTTTTTGTATGAGCTTTACCTGCTTTTTTCTCTTCATTAAATTCTGCATCCTTCCTAAGTTGTCCTAAAGTTTTTTCTGAGGACGATGCAATCCATGTTTCGAGCGTATTTGCTTCGTGCCCTTTAATGCAGACAGTAACTCGAGAATTAGGTATTCACATTTATAGAACATAAAAACTAAAAGTGCTTCAACAAATTTACGAAAAAATAAGGCTAAAAGACGACTTCCCAGAAGAAACATAAAAAAAATAGTTCAGTTTTCGGCATATAATGAACAACATAGATAATCAACTTATATTGAAAATAATGTCCCGGAATGAAATAATCAAACCTCTCTTTGTGCCTTTCATCTTTCAAAACAACTCTCAGATGGAGGTTTCCTGACTCCTTACTCATATCAAAAGAAGATTTCAGAGACTTACCTCCGTCGGGAGACTACTAAGTGAGAAACTGCAGAACATTTGAAAAGGAATGCCAACCAATGAAATTTATGCAACTGATTTAATCTATCTAAATAATCCACACAGCTATTTCAAAAATCAGGCTTGACATGGATAAGGTAATGGTGATGATTTGACAACAATGACGACAATGATAATGATGCCAATGATGATTGCATGGCTGTCAAATGCTAGAAATAATAGACAAATGGCATTCTGACTCAGGAGTCAAGAAGGATAGACAATGGCAAGCCATATCTTGAGTGTAGCTAATGGGACCAACTCTAAGATGAGTTATTGAATACATAGCTCGAATAAACTGTCTAGTTCATTGGACAGACCGATCTGGTTTATTGGCCGGACCCCCCTCTTATTGTGAACTGGATTCCTATTTCTTCCTTTCTATCAAACTCGTCCAAATATTTCTCGTGTAAAAGAGGTATGAATAAGTTTTTTCCTTGTAACACTGATTCAGTCGTAGAAAACCCCAGGAGGGGGGGCAACTCGAAGGCTCTAGTTCGTAACCCACCTCCCATACTTTATTGGTTCTTCCTCTTCTGCCATTCTTTATTGGTTCTTTAGAATTAATTTCAACCCTAAATGTTTAGATCATCAAGTTTAAAGAAAAAATGTCTGGAAAAATAGGATGTTTCATCACCAATCAACATTATATCAGTAAGGAACAACGAGATTTCTGACAGCACTTTACTTATTTCTGCAGACTCAAGCTTTGATAACTGCAAGCCAATACCACGAACATCCTTGGCCTCTGACATGAAAGGTTGTCCAAGATCAGAAGAGATAATAAAATGATAGGAATCAACTAAATTCCCCTGATTCGAATCTATTTATTGATAAACAAGATAGAAGCCATCTTTGAGTCTAAGAAGTTACACTACAGTCATTTTCTGCAGCTATCTTTTTATAAAAATGGGTTTCAAGCATAGATCTCCTTTACTTCTCTGACTTAAAGCTGATAACTTTGAAGAAGAGTTAATGCTTTTTTTGGTACAAAAAAGATATCTTCACGGAATGAGTTTTATGGTCTGATCTTTGAAATAGTAAACTGAGAGGTTAACCATAGAGAAATATTACGTTGAATCGTAAGGCATAAACAAGGTGAATATCATAATTATTCCTGTAAATAATGGATTCATATGATCCTCCTACGAGCAAAATCCTAAATCCAATAAAAACGCGAGATTTGAATCAAAAAAGTAAAGTCGGAATTTATGGTTGCCACCCATTCTAAATTTTAAATTTTATTTATACTCCACCATATGCCATATTAATTATCAATCACCAATCATTTATCCGAGCACATGGTGATAACAAGCAATAAAAAAAAACCAGTTTCTGAGCGTTAGCCCCGGAATCGAAATTAGCATAGCCATTATAGCAGCTTAGTACCAAGTACGAATCTAATCAGCACGAGAAAAAACCTTGTCAACAGAAAAAAACGTTCTAAACACTATTAAGATAAAAAATTGATAAATGAAGAAACAACATGTGCATCACTCTCAAGTTCAAAATCTAAAACTTAAATAAATAACCGTAATTCTATTCTACTCTTGAAAAGACAAGGTGATGTTTATCATGTGTTTTCAGTTCTCTCCCTTTCTAGTTTTCAGAAAATTAACACTAATTGACAATGTCAATTCAAATCCAACTTCAGGAGATTGCCCCAAATCAGCAGTTGAGTATTTTTTTAAAAAACAACTCATCAAAATTAGTCAATATAAATCCCAGTAAAAGTCTTGATTCTAGGATGAGCTCTTTTGGATTTCTTTCTGACTTAGTCAGTCTTTACCAGTATCAGTCATCCTCCCATCCATGATTTCTGTTGACAGTCTCAAAATAGTTTTTAATGACTCAGATTACATTCATGAACATAGTCAAATTAAAACACTCCCCCTTTCTCTGCTATGTCTGCAACTATAAAAACAACAGTTTCCACAGTAAGCGAACTTTCCTGGTATAGCAATTTCTAGAAATCCAGAAAAAAAAATTATATCCAACGCATAGTCAGTTAAGAAATAATTCCTGCATCAAATAAAAAACAAATAGAATTGGTAAATAATTAAATCACTCACCAACATGAAAGGAACCAAAGAGCTCTTTGCTCATTTTTGTGAGCATCTCCTCATTATCAGTGGCACTAGGAACCTAAATAGGAGCCAATCAGAGAAGCAAAACCGATGCACAGAGACAAGGAATGCACAGAGCGTAGAAATCAGCAATACCGTCATGGAGCGGCTCATACTTTCACATTCTCCACATCCCATATATTTGATAGGTTCACTAGCCCCTTTTTTTCGTTTCCTTACCTACAAGTCAGATTAGTATGAACAGAAATTAATGCTCCATTTATCACACAGAAACCTTCAGAACTAAAACACAGAACGGTTTTAAAACTGTTATAATCATCTTTAAAGAAGCATGGAAGTGTAACACTAAATTCCTGCAACTTCAGAAAATTTTAACAATATCAAAATGGAAAAGATACCTTAAGCGTTATAGTTCGCCCTCGCACTCCAGCTCCCTTTAGTCTCAAGGAGACCTCCTTGCAAAGACTAGTAAGAAAATAGTGACACTGAGATAGGAAAACGATTAGGCCATATTGAACACTTCGCAACTGATGGGGAAGAAAAGGGGAAAACAAAACCAAGCATAGGAGCTTACTTCTTCCACATTTCTAAACCTAACACCCCAATTCACTTCAGCACCAACAGACTTCATTTCCTGTTCAATCCATTTATGACTTGGTGAGAACAAGCATCCAACAATAGCTCAAAGAATTCACTACACTTTAGGATAAAAGAAGAAATATAAGTTAGTTGTACCGCTGAAAGTTAATACGTTAAACAGATCATTTCAGAGTACTTTAAATTCTGTACTTTTATTCCAGAATGTATTTTTCTTTCTCTATCAGGATCCCTGTTCAGTTCACAACTGAGGGGTCATCTTTTTATCATTAGTACTAAAATATATTAATTAGATTAAGAAGCAGCTAACAGAGCCTCCCAGCCCAAAACTACCCACTTCTTTTATGACTCAAATCTAGTGCACAAACTTTCATGTCACCATCCTCCTTACAGGTTCTTACACAGTATGAAGGCATTTCAAAGGTCAAGTCAGCATACCAGAAAGAGAAAAAAGAATTTATTTTATTCTTCAAGCACCCATAACTTCCAAGGTCCCTGAGATATATTTCAAGGTTTGATGCGTGAAAAGGTATAAATCATGCCTCCTTGATAAGGAAAGGCCAAGATATCAGGGTTTGGAAGGAACTCTCACTGACTATTTTCATCTCAGTCAGTAACTCCTGTTCCTAGAGTCTGGCCAAACAACTCAAAAGCGGTTCCCAATGAGAACCCATATATTCATAAAAAAGTATGACTTATCTCATTGAAAGAGAGACTGTTCTACCAAAAAATATAGACATCAACCCAGCAGGTCATCAACATAGCAAATACAAAGACATGACCAAGGAATGTCTGCACTGGCATCTTCAAGAAACTCAGATATAATGGTAGCAATAAAGAGTGATGTAGTGGTAGAACACCATTGGCATTGTACTACCATTGTTGATATAATGGTTGGTACCCTGGTGAACACTCATCAATATCACTAACGAGGCCTAAGGAATATTTGGAACATATGGCAATTTTACAATCATCCATCACGTATTTAGGATCAAGAAAAATTAATGTGCATAAATAGTCTATATGCTTTTTGATTGAGGATTATGCGACCTATACTTATTTGAAAAAGGTCCTAGGTAGCTAATGCAGTCTAGCTAATTACTACCGTTAAGCCATCTAATGACAAAAAATGAATCATGATGTCATGACAAACCTGAACTACATGAACTGTTCGATGATCAATTCCCCGGCAATAATTCCACAGCATATCACCAACCTTCTTGCCAAAGTCCTTCTGAAGTATTTCCTGGAGCAAAACACAGAATATAAGCTTGAATTTAACATTGCTTTCTCAGCCAGAAAGAAAAAGGAAGGCTGAACGAATGTTCAGGGAACCAAACAAGTTCGTACTAAGCTTATTATCAAGGTATGAAATCAAATCCACGATGATATGATCAATCAAAATAATTTATTGAAATCCATGATAATCTAATCAATCAAATAACATAAACTATGTTTTATGAAATAATTAACTTCTACATTATACTGCTGAATCATAAGTTGGATCTTCCATTGCTCTGTATGCAGGTAACATCTGTTGTCGGCAGTGCACCACTTCCTGTCAGAATGTCATCAATAAAGAGAAAATGCAGTCCATGATGACTTCCCTCGTGTTATTTCACTTCATGTGGTCTACCTTTTTGGCTATGTTCTACAAGGTTGATTTTAATCACAATATTATCCCAGATAAGCTAGTGCTAATCCAACCTAGCATTTATATCAGATCAGCCAGACTGGCAAAACCATGAGAGGAGAAAAAAAAGTATCAAAATATAAAAAGGATGTATTGACAATTCAAGATGCATAACACAGATAATTTATTATAAACGATGGAATAAGATTTCCTAAGATACAACCCCTAAAAAGAATCGTGCCTGTAACAGGTGGTAGCAATGTGCCACAAAGCAGCATAGCAAACAGCAGCTAACTTTGCGGAAAGTGAAGAATGAAAAAATATGTTTACATAGACACTTGAGGGCATGGCATCGTCAACATCAAGGATTAAAATTTTCATGAAACTTGGGAACAGAGCATAGAGCTCTCAGGCGGGCAATGACTGAACAAGGTTGCAAACTACAAATGAAATACAAAATGGGATACAATGTGCAATAACACCAGCAGTACATTTAGAGCACGGAGGGATAACTCTTTATTCATAGTGTTCACACCATACAAAGCTTACATAGCAAGGATTGTGAATTATTGGTATGGATTCCTAAGATGTTCTCTCTTAAGAGAACCAGTAGCTGATTTATCACATTTTAGCTACGATAGCGTAATCTAGATCAGATTGATGACCTGTATCTAAAGTTCAAATGGCACCGGACAGAGAAAATACACTCTAAGATTTGATGGTTTGTTCTCTGCCATTCAGGATATTTAGATTAGGAACCATGATTTTTTTTAAAAAAATCAGAAAATTGGTTATTCAGTTGTGTGTCTAACCGGGTTAAAAGTGGGTAAGACTTAACAAACAAGAACATAAATCTTAGGTTCGGCATATTAGTTTACTAGCAGGGCCAAAAACACAATGGTGTGGCAAATACCTGATGTAAAAAGGCCTTTTTGAATGTTTATCAAATACATACAAGTACATTCTTCTCCCCTCTTGTCGTTGGTGATTAGTCGGTAATACTCACCATGGAAAAGGCTTCCGGGAAATGCGTTTTTTCGTTCTCTACTCCATTTTTATCCCTTTATTGCTCTTGCTAGGAAACCACCATCCCTTCTTCTTTTTCTTCCTTTGCAAACTATGAGCTAATAGTCACATAGCATACTTCAAATGATGATAACTAACAAAGATATAGTACACGAGATAACGAAGAGCATACATGTAGACCTTGGTAATTATGTCAAAGGATTTAGACCATTGTTGAGCAGTAAGGGTTGTACTTCATATCTAAGTGTAAACCAACGACAAAATTCATCATATGATTCTAGAAAAACTCCAAGGTAAACAACGAGAAGGAAAACCCAAGCCTCAAACATGCTTTCATTATATGACTCTGGAATAGTATTAAGGCGAACCGATAAAACAACATAAGCGAATAACCTTCGGTATCAGGCGTAGTTGAGCACACGTTTTTATATGATGACTTTTCAACTTCTCTTTTAAAGCATAGCCAATGCCTGGAAGTGCCTCAACTGGAAGTTCCTTAGAATATTCATCAACCTAAAGCAAGCAGGACAAGCACATTTGAGTGAGGTAATGAAACAGATGGACTAAACGTTTTAAGCGACAGTAGTCCTTGCAAACCTACGAAAAATGTGAATGACAAACCTAAAAAGGAATGAGAATGGCACTAAGCAGGCAAAATGTTTCTATTTAATGGCCCAAAAGAGTATAACAGGACAACATCCAAGGAAACGAACATCACTAAGCTAATACCATGCACAAAGGAACTAGAAAAGTGCATCAGAATAATATGATATACTAGTTCGTGAGCAACATAAGTGAACAGCACAAATAAAAGAAGATACTATCCATAACGGGCGAGCATAATCAAACTATGAGCTTTGCATCATGCGTTAAAAAAAATCGTTTCTTCTTTCTCTTTGATTTTAAATGGTATTGTTTTTCCTCTGTTAAATGGATCATGAAAAGGCAATAACATTGACATTCGTAAAAGGTAATGACGAAAAACCACCGTCTCTTATTAAACCGCAGATATAATTTCATAAGGGTATTAGTTCTTTTAAGTTTTAATTTTATAATTTATTGGAAATGAACAATGGAGAAATGAGTGCGCCATCAGACATTTGAACGTCTGCTACATCTGTGACAATAAGCATACTTTTCAGATCTTAAGCAGAAAAGAGGAGCAACAATAGCTCAAATCTGAAACCAGAAAGGTTAATATATTTCCAGTTTTGCAAGACGAACATAATGTCTAAGCGAGTGTACAATTATTTTTAATTTCTAACGTTTATATTAGAAAAAAACCAAATAGTGTAGCCTTAAGTTAATGCTCTTAAGATATTTATCATATTAGATATAACTATCAAATTGATATCTCATCGCAACTAGAGTAAAAAGCTCCCACTTCCCCCAAGATACAGACAGCATGAGTTTATTTTGGAAAGGTTTCAGATTCCCCCAAGACATATCCTCCCGCCCCCACCCCCACCCCCACCAACTTCTGCTGTACCTACTCCATACTCCCCATAAACTCTTCAAAACAGGATGAAGACAGCCATTGATCTCCTGATGGCACTTTTTCTTGGCTGGAAAACACTAGTTCACTAATCCACTGCACACATAACCTACCAGACCTCAACTTCTATCGTCAGTCAATAAACAATAGGATTCCCGTTGCCAAAAAATTTAAAACGATATTCTATTTTTCAGCAGTGTCTATACAAATCTACCTGAGAAGCTGCTTAGGATTAATGTTTAGGAATTGTTAACATGGTAACCATAGGTAAAAATACAGCCTTTCTCGCACCTTACCTGATTCCATTCTTTCATTTGTTCGCCATGTCTATATGCCAGACATAAATGAAAGAAAGGGACACTAGAGCGAGATATAGACAGAGAAAGGAGGATTAAGCAACGGCAGCGGCATATGTACCCCTCCACATTAAATAAATGACAGCAACAACAGTGCTAAAGAAGCTTTATTCGTTTTTTTCCTTATTCTTCCCCATTCGTCTATTCTTCTCCTTCCCTCCAGCCATCTGCAGCAGTGTCCTTTCTAAGATCCAACATGAATCAACGAACTGAAGGTTATTGATTCCAGAGAATATGCCAAGTTGGAAAAGGGAATCAACTTTCATAGTAATCTCCTTTAAAAAAAATTGATGATAGATTGTGTGAAGTGTGGTGGAAGAATTCAGGTTGACTTTCCTGAAAAAAAATTTAAAAAATCATAGAGAATTGCACAAAGGCTGTTCATATTATTAAATTAGGCAACTTGTCTAAACGTGATGTGCAACCTCTATCCTATGGCATTCTCAAATAGGAATCATTTTCTCAGAGAATGTAACGTTATAAGTATAACAAAGAAGACCTTATGGGGAAGAACTTCAAAGACATTTTTCACAGTTTCGAATGTTAGACTAGACATATCCTATCCAATCATATTAGGAAAACAATGGACTTCTGCCAGGTACATAGGGCAATCAAGTAGGAAAGATGTGAGAAGAGATGTAAAGCCTTTCTGAGATAAGTTATTGAATCAATGAAATACTGGCCCATAGCAAGTGAATCTGACAGAACAGTGAAGTTCTGTAGTATTCATTAAAGGAGACGGGAAGACTGAATTCAGTGACTATGTGAATCCTTTTTTGAGCATTTCTGATATATCAACATGAAAGCTCAGAAGAGGGTACATTTTTTTGTGTCTATGTGTTTCCATATCTCTTGTGCTCATCTTTTTCTATATACCAACAGTATGTGACCATTTCAAAGCCCAAATGTACTCCAAATGATTTACAGCATCAAAGCTGTCGATGAACATGGGACATCAAGCGAAATGAATACAGAGAAAAGCCTAAAGGAGTGGTAAGACAATAATAATTGCACTGCATGAGTCTATCTTTTTTCCGCCCATTAAAAATCAAAAGTTGGATATATTAGAAATATCTGTGGAACAAAACAACCAATAAGTTGACATTTCTTTGAAGGTTTCAGGAAACAATTCCCTAAAAGTATTAGGTCAATACTAAAATGACCAAGGGCAATTGTACATTTATTTGACAAACACTGATCACATCATAAAATTCATATATTTATACAGCTAATAAACCACCATATATTGCTGATCGACTCTTTGGTATACACATCCAGCACATTCAATATTATGAATCACACTGGTGAAGGTTACTGGCTCAAATGTTCAATTAAATCCCACGTTATCCAGCAGAACAAACTAGTTAACGCAAACTAACAAGGAGATTTAAATCGCAGGCAACTAAAAGGGACTAATAAGCTGCTTGCATCATGAAGCCTGTGACCACAAAATGAACATAAATTGAATAAAATAAGGATACCACCCAAACAGTTCACAATTAGTGCCTTCAACATTGAAAAGTGCAAGGGCATCAAAACTATTCACAACCATCTCAGATGCAGAATCATACCTTCTCAGGTGGGATAAAAAACTGACCATTTGGTTTCGCAACTCGAGTAGCCAGGCGAGCCATCAGCATGTTTACAGAAATTCCAGCACTTGCCGTGCATCCCGTGGTGTCTGCTATCTGCTGTCTAATAACTGAAGCTAATTTCTCAGGATCGTCACTTATTTCTGTAGCATCCAAGAAGGCTTCATCACAGCTGATTGCCTGTAACCATCAAGAAATATTAGTACTTGGGAAAAAGAGAGATGCGCAATTAAGAAAAACTGCGAAATTGAAAAAAAACCTGCACTTTTGGACAGTGCTCATGCAATATAGTGTAGAACTGATCGGCAACCTGAAGTATCTCAAAAATAAAGGGTTGAAAGTGAAAAAAAGAAATGATCGCATACTTATAGTATCAACTGGTAGGAAGCTCAACGTATCACTATTTTACCTCCTGATAGGCATCAAAGTCATAAGGAAAAATAGTGAGATGAGGACAAAGAACTTTTGCGTCTCTAACAAACATCCCAGCTTGTAGTCCTAAGCTCAAATGAAATCAAAGGTTTAGTGTGAAATTAAAGGATGAATACAGAGTGATGATAGGATTTTAAACCAACCATACTCCCGAGCAGGATAATTTGCAGAGGATATTTCTGCTGTCCCTTTGGCATTGTCTGAGTGGCTTATTGCTACAGGTTTATCAGATAATTCCGGATATTTTCTGATAACGACTGACACAAAGAAACAATCCTGAAAAAGCAGACTGTTTCATAAGTACCATGGATACTTTCGCTACTATGACTGTGAGAAGAGAAATTAGTTCAGCAGACATTTATTGTTCAACCATAATAAAATAATTAAATTTTAAAAAGAAAGAACCAGCATAGAACTGAAAGGGTGATAACCACAAAGTAAATATTAAAAACTATTACCATATCAACATGAATGATGGCAGCTTTTTGAGAGCCAGACTGGCTAACACAAAGTTTTCTTTGTCTGGCATCAGGTGTATTGTTGAGAAAAAGCCTCCGGTACCGTTTTCTCCATGTTCCAATGAAGTGCAATCTCGAATTCTGCAGAACAATTTAATAAGTAAAAAATCTGAAAAGGCCTCAAGGATAATGGTGCTTTTATAGAACTAAACGTGCCCAGAAAGATAGAAATCCCAAACACTTCCCTGTAGCAAAAGCCGGAACATAAACATATGAATAGATCAAATTGCATTAGTTACTTTTGCGTAAGTTCATTGTGAAAAAACATTGCCTACTGCAAAAGAGAAATAAATCACTGAGAAAGTACAGATTCATTAGCACAGCTGCATGAAATCAAAGAATTGGAATAACACAACACATCGGATCCAAAAAATACTTGTAAATATACCTTAACATTGTCCTCACAATCTTTTCAAATCTAAGTTAAATGCCAAGAAATCTTAACTATGTCTTCCAAATCAGAAAAAGATTCGTAGCATCATTCACAGTAAAAGAATTACTAGGTAAATAAAAAAATGGAAAAACAGAGATCAATTTGTGGAGGGAAAAAAAGTAGAAATAAAGGGGTCAAAGAAGCAGAAAATCTGCTACATGAGAATATGCTTCATGAAAATATAACTAGAAAAGTTTCTGTCATATGAGAGGAAAAAAATATCTATTTTAAAAAAGGAAGGTCGACAATGAAGAATTTAGAAACCGTATGGGGGGCATGTCAGTGGTCCCAGACAATAATTGGAGCCAAGATCAAGAAAATACGCATGACGTTTACCTTGAAATAGTTCTCCACAAAATTTGGATCCCCAAGAGTCGAATGTTGTGCGATGGAAGATGAAGGCCTTTGCAGTGACTCTTGGCGTGTTTCCGTGATACTGCCCTCATCTCCCATTTCTACCGATTTTTTCTCTGTATCTCTCATTTTACAATAACTTTGACAACCAAGATCGTTAGTTTCTGCGCAGCCTTCACTTTCACATTTCGACAGATTCGCCATTTTGTCAGTCTCGCATCCGATTGAGTCCATTAATTTGTTTTTTTTTTCTACGTTCATACTGGTACCATTAGTAGCATCATTGGAACGTACTTCACCTTTGATGGTAAAGAATGCAAACAACTTCTGTTGCTTATGACTTGCGGTAAGTAGTTGCTCTAGCTGATATGGAACCCCTGGGAGAAGAATCATAACTTGTTACCCACAACAGGAAACCACATCGGAAAGAAATTTTTCGCATGTATTCCACGAAGAGTTTATGAGGCAAACAATGGAAACTTTATATTCAGGAAGTACTAACCGGCCAAAAAAGGGCAGGCAAAATTGGAATCGTCCAAGAAGTTTATTTGACCTGCAGACCGCTGAGGTTCTGCAATTAACTCTTACGAACAGATGTATGTTTTCTAGATTATGTGCTCAAGATCAATGAGAGGAGTCCATCTTTGCTCATCAGTGTCAAAGGATGACTTCAATGTTAAGCAGAAGAAAGGAAAATGAGTGAAAAGGAGAAAATGAAGGGTAAAGCGACTTCAGATCACGGTCAGGATGGTGGGATAGTGATGCGACATTCATGCACACTGTTTCAGAAATTACTCTGTTTAAACCTTTTTTATAATGTAGCAGTTATTTAAATAAAAAACTTGAAATAAAAAATAAATACTTTTATAATTTAAGAGTTATTCTGAATCCTTCCAATTCAAGTGGTCAACCAGTGAGCAATGCAAGCTGGTCAGATGTGTGGGATAGAGGGTGCGTTGTACCTGCTAGCACAGCTATTCAGAGAAAGGGAAGGAACCTAAATCGACAGTAACGATATCTTTGGAATCCAACGTCAAGCTTCAGGAAAGAAAACGATTGATACGAATGATTTCTCTTTAGCATGAACAATAGTTGAACTTATTGTTCCAATGAAAATGATGATAGAATCTTCTCCTAAACAAGCTTGTAACATTTCTGAAAAAGATTAAGAATAAACGAAACTTCGAAATGAGTCGAGATCAACAAATGACAGGAAATGCATCAACTGATTTAGATTTTCATGGCCATTTCATATACAAAAAGAACATAATTCAGAAAAAAAAAAAAGTCTTCTGGACAGATTAGGATGTAAGATGGCAATGAAATCATGTGAAGATGAAGCATATGAGTAAAGAAGCTACAATTTAAGAGTCTGTTAGCAGTCACAGAGTCCATGATCCATGAAGGCTTCACAACTGGGAGGCCTCTGCTGAATGACCTAACAATAAATAAACGATGAAATATGCGTGAAATTATAATAAAGTGAAAATCCGAAAAGTGACATCAATGGACAGCGCAAAATAGTTCAAACATAAAGTTTTAAAAGGGTAGAGGGTCGACCTAAGATTCTTCATCTTAGATTCAGGAAGGTGGCTGCACACTATATGCGTGACAGTCTGCCTCGAGAAGTAATTTTCAAACCGCCCACCGTGTTTCAGCATACACGCTCTCAGCTCCTGCCAATTGACACAATCAAATAAACCAGCCAAGATGCCAAACATCCGAATTGGGTAAGGGAGTAAGTCGCACCTGACTCGAAGGAACAGTATAGCCATCCACGAAGATAGAAACCCCATGAAATATCCCTTTATCGTCATCATTGTCTGAATGGCGACTCTCCCCATCACCACTCCCCAGGGAGGAAGTGGAGGCGTCCGCATCAAATTGGTCTCGCAGCTTCCGGTTCTTTGCCATCATATAGCTGCCACAACCAGAGACACGCCATTTGAAGGGAATATAACCTTAACAACACAGTGCACATAAATATGCATACGCAAGAGCCGGAAGAAGGAGAGAGAGAGAATGGCGAATTACCTCTGAAAGTCAGAAAAGGGTGCCCTCCGAGTAGAAAAACTGGGAGAAGCGTGGTCACTGACACCCGAGGAAGCCCCGGGAGTCCTTGCAGACTCTGCCCTAGGCTTCCTTCCCCTGCCGCTCCAAGGGCTGGCGGAGAGGCGCCCGCGCTTCCTCGAGGCGCCGGACGACGCGGCACTGTTCTTCGAGCGAGAGGATTCGAAGCTCATGGTGATGCTCCTGCAAACCACCGAGCGATAATCCCCAGCCGATGGCGAGAGCGGAGACGAGGATCCCACCGGCAGCAAAACCCCACGCGAAGCTTACAGAAGAAGAAACGGGAGGGCGCGAAAAAGGACTCTAACGAGGAGAGATCGCAACGGTCCTAAATCGTCGAAGACAATGTGGGGCCCACTTGATTAAATAAACCAGCCAAGACGTGAGACCACCAGCGGTGACAGCAGACGACGGCAATCTTCCCTCTCCCGTCGATCCCCAGAGCAGTCGACCTCTCGGCCGCCGCCGCTCTCCTCCTCCTCCTCTTCTTCTTCTTCTCCGCCCCGTTCCAGGTCCAATCGCCGGTCTCCTTCTTCTCCCGGCGGGTCTCGGACGCTCCGAAAATGGCCGCCAGGAGCTTTGTGCTGTGGCTGCACGGCCTGGGCGACTCCGGCCCGGCCAACGAGCCGATAAAGACCTATTTCGCTTCCCCCGAGTTTAAGAGTACCCGCTGGTCCTTCCCCTCGGCTCCCAACATGCCCGTCAGCTGCAACTGTGAGCCTCTCCCGAGCTTATTATCTTGGTTTTGGTCATGGTGTATCGGATCTTTGGTATTCTTTGATTAGCCTTCCTTCCAAGTTCGAATTGGTCGATCCATTGACCGGAGATCGACTTGGATTCCGTCAACTGGTAAAGCCTATATAAATATCTAGCGGAATGGAGTACAGATTGATCAAGGCAATGAATGACACAAACTCCTGGAGAGGCATTATCCAGAGACGACCGGGGCCTAATCTGACGCTCACCAGTGACATACTGAATCCATGTCTTTCGCATAGAATCTCTGTCGTTCATCAAGTCAATCAAATGATATGAGTCCAACTGAAAAGAATTCGCCTATATATTTACGACATAACACAAATGAAGTGCATCATATATGGAATTATATGGAATGTCAGAAAATATCAGCATTAAGGTTGATTTATCTCCCGGCCTTGCTTGTGTTAGGTCAAAACCGTGGTATTCTATAAATGGTAACAAAATTTCTATTTCTATGCAGCTAAAATGAAAATAATTCTTATGAGAAAAGAAAATTATTTTATGTTAGTTGATATTGTTTTCTGCGTCATCCTTGACATCACTATAGACTTCAAGGATAAACATATTTCCAATGATATCACTGGCTGTACAGATTGCAGAAATAGTGGTCATCGACAGGAACGAGTACAATGACTATTTGATTGTGGATGATATTCTTTTTCTACGTTTCATGTTTTACATAACTTATCGGATCTAAGTCACTGTTTGACAGTAATTTTGCATGTCGTACTGAATTTTTGAGATTCATTGTAGATGGCAGTGTCATGCCCTCGTGGTTCGACATTCAGGAGATACCCGTGGGTGCTGTAAGTAGTATTCAACCCTTTACAGCATACTTTTCCTTTCCCCGGATGTTTTGCTTTTATAATTTACGCTGAAAAAATAAAACATGTTTTTTCCTTGCTTTCTCAATATAAATGATGCGACTGTTATTCTTCTTTATAAGCTCTTTATCTCTGTGATCACGTACTTTTTGCATTAGTCGAGCCTGAAATGTACTGTATGGCTATCTTATTTGGTCAACTCATGTTGGCCACAGAATAACTTGTCTTCATGATTTCAGTTCATTAGAACTGTTTTTGAATGGTTGGAGAAATTCATGCAAGATGATGATGATGTTGAGATGCTCTGTGGATTATCAGGAATCTCCGAAAGATGAAGCTGGAGTCATGAAAGCTGTTAAAAGTATTCATGCAATGATAGATAAGGAAATATCTGCCGGCACAAACCCTGAAAATATATTTATTTGTGGTTTCAGCCAAGGAGGTACTTATAATTATCACGCATAATTTTCACTGCGCTATTTTTCTTCAGTTTGGGGTCAATAATGAACAATGTTCAAAAAAATTGAGAAAATGTGCCTTACCCAGAATAAAATCATATTCGGGTTAATAACCCCATTTTAAATGCTATGGAAAAGGCAGGATAGGCACTATGCTGCGAAGAAACCACGGACAATAAAAGAGTTATTAAAGAGTTTGCATTCCTTCTTTGGCAGGGGCTTTGGCATTAGCTAGTGTTCTGCTTTTCCCCAGGACTTTAGGAGGCGGTGCAGTCTTCAGCGGATGGGTGCCATTTAATTCATCAATTATGGGCAACATATCATCTGAAGCAAAGAAGGTGACTCCTCTGCAGATGCTTTTAGTGAAATGCCCAATTTTATCGTATTTTGATGTCTTCTAATTACATGAATAGCCCATTTTTTTTCCTGAATAACCTTTATATACTTCAGCTGGGAATGGCATGCTAATAAAATTAAAAAGGGAGGAAATATAAGAGTGAATGCAATCAAACGTGTTTTTATTTCCCTGTCCAACATGAGGGCGAGAAAATCCAACACTGAGAAACAAGCATAGGTATATTAGATTAGACTACGTTTATCCCATGGCCATCCGTTGTGTAGGTTTCCTTAAACTCGCTTTGAGAGTCGACTTGGAAGGAGTGGAGCTTCTGACTAAAGATGGAGTGGTTTTGCAAATAATTTTCTGCTCTGCTGGAGACAAACTGTCGGGACTAAATAATGTTCTCATTGTTTTCATACCATTTGCCTGTTTAACACAGCAATACAGAGCTACAAGATGACAGAGCTAGTGAGAGAAAATCATCCCATTGTTCTTCGCCTGAACTGTCCTCTTCTGAAACCTTCTCCCACAAGTCCCCATCCAGACTTCCTTCTGTCAACAATATAAGACAATCTCCAGCCACCCATCCGCCCAATTTCCCATTTTATAATCAGGGTTCATCTCGCTATCCTCTCTTCTCTGAACTGTTTTTTCTATGTTTTTTTCATCTGAAACATTGCAGACCCCTCTCCTCTGGCTGCACGGCATGGCCGACAGGACGGTCCTGTTCTCGGCCGGGCAAGCCGGCCCTCCATTTCTCGAACAGGCGGGGATGAAGTGTGAATTCAAGGTCTGTTCAACTCTCTACCCATCATCATGCCCATCTGTAAGCAAATAATCCCAGGCCCATAATGACCAGGAGTTTCCCTAAGCCAAGGCCTCTTCGTCTCTCATGGATGTTGCAGGCCTACCCTAATCTTGCGCACAGCATAAACGATGAAGAACTGCTCTCCCTGGAGTCATGGATCAAGACGAGGCTCCAGAGCTCCTCCTGAGTCCATCCCATTTCACACGGCCCTTCATTTTTTATCCATGCCATTGAAGCACAAGGGTGACAGGGAACAATCACAGGTGCTCTCCGAAAACTAATTATTGCTGAATCAGCTGCGTTGACCCCCCTTTGGGATGATATTTGAACCAAGTTGACTGTGCATCATGGGGGGTCCAGAATTGACGATGTCCTATAATTGGGGTGGTTTTCCGTTTGTGGTTATTGCTCTCTGAAAACTAATTATTGCTGATCAGCTGCGTTGACATTTTTGGGATGATACTTGAACCAATTTGACTCTGCATTTATGGGGTTGACCTCGGTCCAGAATTCATGCATGTTACTATAATCGGGGTGGATTTCAGTTTGTGATTATTGCTCTTTGAAAACTAACTATTGCTGAATCAGCTGCGTTGACCCCCCCTTTTAGGATGATACTTGAACCGATTTGACTGTGCGTTATGGGGTTGACCTCGGTCCAGAATTGACGCATGTTCCTATATAATTGGGGTGGCTTTCCGTTTGTGATTATTGCTCTCTGAAACTAATTCTTGCCGAATCAGCTGCGTTGACCTCCCTTTGGGATGATAATTAAACCAATTTGACTGTACATTATGGGATTGACCTCGGTCCAGAATTGACCCATGTTCCTATAAATTGGAGTGGCTTTCCGTTTGCGATTCGGCTGCTGTCTGGTCATATTATTGTGTTATCGTATATCCATAAGCATCTTTATTTTCTTAAATTAGCATTTATTCCTCAATTTTTAAAAAAAAAAAGGTCTAGTTTCGTGGTGCCCATCTCATCCTTTCCCTTGGGGAGACTCCTTTTCCCCCTAGATGCCTCATGGACCGGGCCCACTTCTTGATGAAGAACAATTGGGCCTTTACGTGGACTACTCTGTTATATGCTTTTTGATATGCCGGGCGGATGACTGTGAACTCATATTTTTTGAAAAAGGATTTTCTTGAAAATTAAAACAGCTTGCTATAACTAAATAAATGGGTTTTATTCAAATTTTCCAATCTCACAAGGCCATTCTCTCCGTCTGGTGGATTAATTGGGTAAATATATACGTTTTTACCTGTCATTTGGAAAATGGTGAAAAATTATATATTTCTCGACTTAAAACTTGGCTGGTCCATTAACTGTAGCATAAAACTAATATCTTATTAGATTCCATCGAAAAATAAAACAGCCTACTAATAAAAAAAAGGGTTTTATTCAAATTTTCCAATCTCACAAGGCCATTCTCTTCGTCTAGTGGATTAATTGGGTAAATATATACGTTTTTACTTGTCATTTGGAAAATGATGAAAAAGTATATATTTCTCAACTTAAAACTTGGCTGGTCCATTAACTGTAACATAAAACTAATATCTTATTAGATTCCATCGAAAAATAAAACAGCCTACTATTAAAAAAAGGGTTTGAATCTAATTTTGCAATCTCAAAAGGCCATTCTCTTAATCTGGTGGTCTAATTTGGTGAATATATATGTTTTTACATGTCATTCCGTAAATTATGAAAAAAATATTTCTAGATTATAACTTATCTATTACATTAAATGTAACATAAAGCTAATATCTTATTACATTCCATTGAAAATTAAAACAGCTTGCTATTAAAAAACGGTTTGATTCTAATTTCCAATCTCACAAGGCCATTCTCTTGATCTGGTGGATTAATTTGGTAAATTTATATGTTTCTACATGTATTTGGTAAGTTATGAAAAAATAGGTATTTCTAGTTTTATAACATTAAATGAAACATAAAACTGAGTCTTACTAGATTTTTTTGAAGATTAAAAAATCTCTCTATAAAAAAGGGTTTAAATCAAATTTTCCAATCTCACAAGACCATTCTCTTGATCTGGTTGATTAATTTGGTAAATATATATGTTATTACAAGTCATTTGGTAAATGTTGAAAAAAAATATTTAATGACTTATAACTATACTATTACATTAAATGTAACATAAAACTGATATATGATTAGATTTTATTGAAAAATAATATAGCTTGCTAAAAAAAAGGGGTTTAGTCTAATTTTCCAACCTCAATGGCCATTCTCTTCATCTAGTGGACTAATTTGGTATGCTTTTACATGTCATTTGTAAATGATGAAAAACTCTATCTCTCTAGATTTATAACTGGAATATTACGTTAAATATAACATAAACCTAATATATTATTAGAATGGTCATATCTCACTATAGATCTTTGGTTAATAAAAAACCATTAAATTTTAGTAAAAATAGGAAGAAATAACTATTGTAACTATTAGGAGTTAAGTAGAATAAATAATGCGAATTAAGGCATAGCTCTATTTTAACTACTATGATTCCATACCAATAAAAAAATTATATTAGTTATGAGAATATATAGGAGGTGAGATTCATATGAAAGGAAGTAGATTAAATTAGAGGAATATAATTTATAATAATATTTTTTTTATACGGAAAATATGCTTTAACTTGTTGCGTGTATTATTTTTTTATATATTTACATTGAATATTTATTGATAATTAAATGATAAAATATTTTTAAAAAAAAACCGAAATTGTGTTGTCTTGAAAAAAATTGATGATATTATAGACATTTAAAAAGTCAGAAAGCGGGAAACCATAAACGCGGACGTAGCGGTCCGCTTCACGTCTGGAAAGAAAAGCGGATTTCTCGCTGTTTCGTCGACGGCCGGCGGTTGGGCGGGAGGTTGAGGACGCGGGCTTTGCGGAGATTCGAGAACGCACTATGTTAAACTCTGGTTCCGGCTCGGGAAGGAAGGGAGACGCGGGCGGCGAGGGTTTTTTGCTCTTCTTCTGCTAGCTCGCTGCTCATCCCATCGATCGATCACCACGTCTCTTCGTCACGTGCATTTCCAGGTTCGTACTGTTCCTCCGTCTGCAATCATCCTTTCGGCGGTTGAGTCGACTGTGCTGATCTGGGTCCTCTGTTTATGTTCAGCGATTTTTTCGCCTTTCATTTGTGGATAATTCGTTTCAGAGTGTTCTGGTTGGATCCGGTTCTCTCTGATTTTCACGGCCAACTTTCCTGTTCTTTGCGTGTTTGACGTTCCATTTGTTTGGTGACTATTTACCCAGTTTTTCTTTTGAAGCAGTGCGAGTGAGTCGGCCGCCCTGCAGAATCCGGGATCCTAACCTCGAGAGGGAGAGATTTTGTAGAGAGCGAGGGAGATGAAAGAGTTCTCGAAGGAGGAGAATGTGTACTTGTCAAAAATGGCCGAGCAGGCAGAGAGGTACGATGAGATGGTGGAGTTAATGGACAAGGTTGTTGAGATGGTGGAGGGGGGAGAGCTCGACGTCGAGGAGCGCACCCTCCTATCCGTGGCATATAAAAATGCTGTCGGCTCCCGCCGCGCCTCATGGCGCATCATCTCTTCCATCGAGCACAAGGAGGTGAAAGGCGGCAATGAGGACCAGATTGGCGTCGCCAAACAATACAAGGAAAATATCGAGGTGGAAATCACTAAGATCTGTGACAGCATCCTAAAGCTGCTGGAGTCGAACCTCATTCCCTCTGCGACGACGGTCGAGTCTAAGGTCTTCTACCTCAAGATGAAGGCCGACTACCTCAGGTTTGAGCGACCACAGATTTCTTGTAAGACTCTGTTTGGAAGAGACAAACAGGTCTGATTATTGTCGTTCCAAACTCTCAGATACCTGGCAGAAATCAAGAAGGGAACCGAAAGGAAGGAGGCAGCTGAGATTACTCTGTCGGCTTACAAGTCTGCTGAGGTGTATTATTTGCATCAGTTATCGATATTTGGCTTCCTTCGTAACCCTCGTTTTGGTGTCAAATAATTGAGAAAGCTTAACATCCCCACCCCCTCACGCGTCACTTCTATCTTTGTCTTAATTGGTATGTAGGGCACAGCTATAGCCGGATTGGCACCAACTCATCCTATCAGGCTGGGTCTTGCACTGAACATATCTGTGTTCTATTATGAGATCCTCAATTTACCCGAGGATGCATGCGATATTGGAAAGGAGGTACATATAATTAATTTGTTTTTATAACTTTGTGAGAAGTTAATTTGGAATTTTCTCAGAACACACGTGTTCTTATGCGACATTAAGTGCGTTATCGGATTGTTATTTGATTATTCATTTATCGAGAATGTGTTCTCCTGTTTCTATGAGCCTTATCTCTGCATTGGCCATGTAAACATGCTACAGAACAAGATTGGTCCGCAATGCTTGGCCTTCAAATTTCTGGTAACCAGGTCCTGATGCCCAGCGTACTTTTCTGACCTATTCGACCTTAGAGTGACCATATCCTTCGCCCTTATTCACACTTTAGATTCTGCTTTGCGTTGAAAATCATCGAAAATCGGATGATTTGTAAAATTCCGTGACCACCTATTCGGACCAGGTCTTGATTTCTCTTCATCACGTTCGACATGGCCGGAATTTATGAAGAGCCCAACTGTAGAGTATCCATCTACTCGTAGATGCTGATGACAGTGAAGTGGGTGAAGGGAGATTGTCTATTTCATTAAACAGTTGCTTACATGTCAGAAAAATCTCTAGGCTTTTGGAGGATGTCAATCCCTCACATCACTGTCTTGCCGCTGCTCATTCATTCTCTAGTCTGTTTTCGGCTATTTCAAATCCTTCTTGTTGCAGTTAATGCCAAATGGGAGAACGGTTTCTCGCTAGTCAACCCTCTTTTCTTCTTTTTTTGGCAATAGATGGGCAATTTTCAGTTAAGCGAGGTGAGTAGAAATACACTGTTTGGCCGGCGCAGCCTTCCATGCATGTAACTGCTGTCCTCTGTGTCGTGGACGCTTTCAATCCTCTCTCGGCAGGCACTAGTGTGCATTAGATAATTGTAAAAAAAGACGAGCGATAGCCACTCCTCTCATCTAGTAAGCATTAGATCCTCTGTTTCCCCTGCTCTCAGCTCTTCATGAGATTTCAAAATTAACCTCGTCTATCTTTTGCCTAGGCCTTCGAGGCGGCTGTCCCTGCGATGGACACCCTCGGGGAGGAGTCGTACAAGGACAGCACCTTGATCATGCAGCTCCTCAAGGATAATCTGACCCTCTGGGCGTCTGATATCATGGTAGGTAACCCTCCCGCTATTAACGTAATATAATGTATTCCCTTGTAGTTACCAACAGTTGTTCTTTGACGCTGTTTCAGGTTGACGCACGGGCTCAGGGCAGGGGCTGGTAAATTGCGGCGCCGGCGAGTGGTAACCAGGCCTCCTCATGCCCTTGCGATTTGACTTACATTCTCTCTCTCTCTGCGTCCATGCGTCACCCCATCAGAACTGCCCTTGCAAGCTCTCAAATGCTTTACTAGATGAGGACCAATAAGCGCTCCTTATGACTTTGACTACGATGGGCGTGTTCTCCCTTCGTAGTCCGTCTCCACTGTCGGACAATTATCATCGGAGTAATTACTCTGCACAGAGTTCAGGATTTCATCTATGACATGTTTGACTTGCTTGCGAATAGACCTGAGGTGGGCTTCTCTTAGGGTCAACTCTCTTGCTCATGTCCAGCCGAGTTGAGAGCCCATTTACGGCCTCCCGATTCGCCTCTCCACTATTGTGGCGCGCGTGCCAACACGCTGCTGCGCGTGCCCACGTGCAGCCAGGTTGTGCCGCCGGGCAGCTGGCGCGTGCTGGTCTACCGCCCAAACGTGGCATTCCGTGCCGGCCGCGCGTCGCCGCATATCTCCTCATCACCGTCCTAAATCCCCCTCTGCCTGGAACCTCCGCCGCAGAAACTCGGGGCGTCGCGGAGAAAGCGACCGCGTCGATCGACATAAATCCCGCAAGTCCTTATCTCGACAGCTTCTCACAATTTCATTGTCCGGCTTGTCGTATGGTTCGAGGGCACGGGAGTAGCTCCATCCATGGAAGATTCTGAGGAGCAAGAGAAACCACGCAACCCCAGAGTCTCCTCTCTGCTTCCCAGCTCACACGACAAGAACCACCACATCATGAGAACAGCGATTGACGTCGAGTCAAACATTAACCCTTCGAGTAAAACCGCGTTTACCAATGCCCTCTCCAACAACTCTCGGAGTTGACTTTTCCTCAGATTCATCCCAGAGCAACCTATCCCAGTTCCATGTCTAGATAGAGAGAGACAGAGAGAGGCGAAAATGTACGAGGTGTTTCCAGGGTCCGATGGCATGAAGAGATAGAGACGGCCACGGGCCAGGATAGCCCCGCTGGTGGTCGATATGGCATCCAAGCCATTACACCGAGAGAAACATGGAAACTTCTCCAGAATTGGTAATGGATGCAGCACAAACCCTAACCCAACCGGCTCCACAGCGAGAGGGAGAACACAGCAAAGGAAGTAGCTCAGAGGGTGTACGTGCTCAGACAGCCAAGGGATTTGTCTTCAAATCTAGAAAGATCAGAAACTCTAGTCCACAAGGTCATCATCACAGCACGGCCCCGGAGAAGACCCACCCCCGCCGCAACAGCGAATTAAAACCTAAATCAGACGGCAAGCACGACGACGGACGTAAAAGCACAGGTGCCCAGAGAGCCAGCCAACCAAGTAGAACCAGGAACCCTACGAGGAAGTAGTGTGGAGAAGGCAGACGGCCAATAGAGGAAGGAGGGGTTTAGGGTTTTGGGTTACTGAGAATGGGGCCGGTATAAATAGGGGGCCTGTGGATTACATTTAGGCCCCTGAATGTGTGGCATATTGTAGTCAGGTCCTCGTTGATGAGTCGAGAGCAAAGAGCACGTCTATCTTATTGTTCTAGGGTTTGGAATCCATAGAAAATGATCGAGACAAAGCGTTATGTTCTTCATTAGATTCAAGCAGCCCAGAAACCAGTAACCAGCGTCCGACCTCCCCCTCCGCCGCTGCCGGCGACTCCTTGCCCAAAATAGGTTGCGGTGTAAGACTATTCACAAATCCCGCTTTCATCCATACATTCAGTCTTTATTAGGGTTTATGTCATCTTATTAATCAAAGGCGTCACGATTCGTCAAGAGTATCCGAGTGAGTTAATGATTCAAACATTTTGGGAAGCAAATAAAATAATCCATTCCTCCTTAATATATGAGATGGGATCGCACACTGAGATGGGTCTCAAACTGCGTGCTTGGAGTGCTTGATCTAAGAGAAGAGAAAAAGGAGGCGCTAGAGCACAGCTTAAAATGGCTACAAGATCATAAAACCTAAAGCAAAAGGAGGCTCTTCTTGGTCTGACTTCACCACCCCTCGGAGGCAGCAACAAAGCCTTGTGCGCACGCAATCCCTCTGCAAATCAGACGAGGAAAACAAACCTTAAATCAAGAGGAAGAGAGAGACGAGTAAGAGAGAGAGAGAGAGAGAGTAGGAGAGTCCCAAGGGGAAGAAAATTGATTGGGGTTTAAATAAAACTAAAATACGAAAAAGATTTCATCAAATCCGAGTAAGAAAGTGATGGATAATTATGGCACAAGAGAATATCAGATTATGATACATGTTAGATAATCAAAGGTCGAAGATTATGATATATTGATTATAAGCAGTTTGATGGATAATTTTTTTTTTGATTTGTTCTAAGATTCACAGTACAACGACGCAATGAATGTATGAGGTGTTTCCAGGGCATGATGGCATGGATGTTAGAACATGAGCCATAGGCCAGGATAGCCACATTTGTAGTTACTATAGCATCCAAGCCATTATACCAAGAGAAACATCGAATTCTCCAGAATTGGTAACGGATGCATGCAAGGAACTGACCCTACTCTTCTTACAAGATAATTACAACACCCAACTGGTGGATGATTGATTCCATATAAGGAAACGTTATTGAAGAGAGAGTTATGGTCTACTTCCTCTGGGTAGTCATTAAAATTACGCAATACACAAAAGGTGAACGAAGAATGACTGACGAGAGATTGCAAAACGTTCACGACTGTGACTTATGGTATGTTACTGTGCTCAGACAGCCAAGGGATTGTCTTCCACCAAAAGATCAGAAACTCTAGTCCATAATTGCTTCATCACAGCACAGCTCGATGTAGATGTAGATGTAGAATGGAAAAAGTAGATTTATCGTCGTTCTTAATCCAATATCTACGGCATTACTATATTAAATATGTGCTTTTACAATTAGAGAGATAACATAGTTAGCATTTGAATGTTTCATGGCAAAAATGCTTCAAGATGGGTGGCCGTCTCTATTTCATACCAAATGATTAGCAGATTCATTTCCACTTTCTATGCGTTCAGACAGCCAAGGGATTGTCTTCAACTAGAAGATCAGAAACTCTAGTCCATAACTGCTTCATCACAGCACAGTAGCCGTAGAATGAAAAAAGGAAGTAGATTTATCATCGTTCTTAATCCAACACATGCCATTACTATATTAACCGTGTGCTTCTACAATTAGAAAGATACAATAGTTCACATTTGAATGTTTCACAGTAAAATGCTTCAAACTGGTAAGTAATTACCAGTTTGCTTTCCACCTTCTATGCGCTCAGACAGCCAAGGGATTGTCTTCAACCAGAAGATCAGAAACTCTAGTCCACAAAAGCCTCATCACAGCACGTAGAAAGGGATGGTACACAGCACTTGCAGCTATTGATCAACATGTTCATATAACAGGTTCTCTCGTTATCCCGAATGGCCAGCACTCATCAGGGATTCAACGAAGTTAACGAAAGTTTGAAGAACTTTGTAAGAAAACAAGCATTGAGGGAGATAATTTTCGATGTGCCAACATTGATTGATATAAATTTCTCTGTTCTAGGGATTTATTATAATTGAACAAACGAGTTAAAAAACGATTTACACTCTCAATGAAACGCGCCTGGAAGCGATGAAAGAAATCGAGTCATGGAGAACACAGAGAAAAAAAGAAAGATATTGAACCAATGAAGTCAAAATACCTTAGATATTGCTCGGGTACATGAAAACTCGAACCTTAGCGCCCTGCAACAAACCAGAAGAAAATGAGTGTGCATATGAAAACGGAAGATGGTGAATTCCTGAGATTCCAAATACTAGGCCGTCTTGTTACCATGGATCTGGGAGGAAGGTTGGACTTGAACTTGGCGCGCACGACGCCGCTGTTCCCGTGGGGGCGCGTCACCTTTCCCCAGATGCATCGGTAGTGAGATCCGTTCTTCTTCACCTTAGCCTTGTAGATGTACGCCATGCGCTTGCCCGCGTACCACGCCACTTCTTCCTTTGTGTTCACCCCTTCGATCTGAATCAGCGACGTGTTCTCCTGCTGGTTTGACTTCGACCTATCCTCCATCATCACACACAATCAGTTACGCTCGAAGACAAGCCCGATATCGCCAACATCAACGAAAGAAACAAGTAGGCCTTATGCAATAGCAAATACAGGAGAATTAGTCTCAGAATCCTTGCCTCTTGTATCCGAGGATCGTCCCCCGGACGTACAACCTACAGGGAGAAAAAGGAAGACGCACAGAGAAACGATGAGAATGTATCGTGGAGTACGACCTACGGCGTTTCTGCTTTGAAGAAGAGGGTAAAAAACACGGACCTGACGCGCTCGCCTTGCCGACCCTTCACCATTTCCGCAGCCGAGCCGAAGGTCACCCGCCTCCTGCTGAGCAGCCGCTTCTGCCCTACAAAAAAAGACGGCGCGCAGGAACGAGGAAACGAAATCCCTAACACCGCGATTATAAATAGGCGACCCTAGAAAGCAGGCGACGGCACATTTACACTATACCCCCAGAAAGAGTATTGAAGTGCATTTAAGTCCTCAATTGTGTCCCTCCGGATATAAATACTCGACTTGTCGTCAAATATACACATAAATATTTAATGATATATAATTTTGTGGATTAAAACATAATTAATTGTTTAACTCTCCACAAACCATGTAAAATGTGAATATGATATTTCTTCCATTTCCTTTCAAGTCCCCTCTTAACGATATTAGTTCCATTTTTAGTAAAGGAATATTGCATTTTTTATTTCAATAATTTATTTAGTTTCACAAAATATAATAAGAAAATGTCCAATCTATATATATGAGAAATCAAAGCCAAAGAAATATATTAAACCTGTTGGGGTACATTATTTTTGAGCATTAGTAGATGACTCCTCAAAAGGTGTGAATCTATTAATTAGTTTGTGGCATTGTTCGTGTTTGGGCAGTTGATCTGAACAAAATCATAAATCTCTCTAATTTATAAAACTAATTAATTCTGGTATTTTCAAAGCAACTATGTCATCCCTTGGCTGAAATACTTGGTAGAAGTGAAGGCACAAGGAGCTAAAGAGAAAAATCAATGTTAGGTGGACTTATATTTCCTCTTTGTGATACTTAAAATCCTAACTATAGTAGATTCATACATAATTTCTTTTTATTTATGTTTCATTGTTGATTAATTTAGCATAGTGGTACCATCTCTACCACTCCTTCATTGGTAGATTAGTTGATTATTGACCTCTACTATTTGCTTGTTATTTCAAAATTATCGATAATATTATTGTGTATCAATATTTTCACCACTATATTCCTTTTTCTTTTGTTGTACAACATATAATATGCAGCAAGTTGTTGTTGTCCTTGGAGTTACCCTTTTTAGATTATTTCTTAAGCATTACACATTCACATATCTTCCCCAATAAACTCATGTGCCATATTAGTTACTACTAAGCATAGAACATCTTTACTACAATCTTAATTTTTGAATAGTGAAGTTTCTTAAAATGCCTATTTACCCCTCTATAAACCCATTTTCTGGTCCTGATATGTTCTAGACACCTCTATGAGTTATTCAAAGAAGGCTTTTATTGATTATTAATTACTAAATTTATTATTAGTATGCAAAACTTGTTATGTCACTCACAATTTTGCTTATGATTCTAACTTTAAACAATTGGCGAATAAGTAATTATGCTTGAGTAACTTAGAGGAAGTTTCTAGAGAAAAATGTGTCTACATTTTATTCTAATAACTATAAAATGATAAGCAATTGATGTGTTTATTTAGCTTAGTTTCTTTATACTAATTATTTCTCAACACTGATACTTAAAATATTAGAATATCACTCTTCACCCCCCCCACCACCATCCCTCATGTTACCTTTACCCTTCTATTAATCAACCATGACTAGCGTAAATTAAATGAATTTATCTTGGTTCCCACTCAACTGTAATATGTCTATACTTTTTTCCCATAAATAACCCACTTGTCTACTTGGTAATATATATAATTGTTCATTCCTTGCCATAAGTATACGCCTGGCATGTTGAACTCTCTGTGCGAGTCAAAGGAAGACTCTGATTGACCGGTCCACTAAACGTTGCGGCTCCCGATCTCCAGAGTGTTTGTGGTCTCTCCCCAAGATCGAGACCTGTCAAGCCGTCAGTCGTAAGTAAGAGAATCGTTAGGAAAACAGAAGACCATTCGGAGTGCAGTTTGAGTGCTGTCACCAGCATCCATTCTCCCTCATTCTTCCTTGAAAGAGATGGTTGGCAGGGAACGTCGCTACGTCGGCAGCGTGCCCACTTACTATAAAACCAAACTCGGCCGATGGGATTACACAGGACTTCCTCAAAAAGGCTATCACTGTCGTCGTGATACCAGTATCAATATGTTCTAGTCTCTCTCTCTCTCTCTCTCTCTCTCTCTCTATATATATATATATATATATATATATATCAATATATATATCTCTATATCTCTCTGTATCTTCTCTCGCTCTCTCTTTCTATCTCTTTTTCTCTCTCTCTCTCTCTCTCTCTCGCTCTCTCTCTCGCTCTCTCTCTCGCTCTCTCTCTCTCTCTCTCTTTCTCTCTCTCTCTCGTTCTCTCTCGCTCTTTCTCTCTCTTTCTCTCTCTTTCTCTCTCTTTCTCTCTCTTTCTCTCTCTTTCTCTCTCTTTCTCTCTCTTTCTCTCTCTCTCTCTCTTTCTCTCTTTTTCTCTCTCTTTCTCTCTCTCTCTCTCCCTCTCTCTCTCTAGGGAACCTTGTAGCAGGGCCCTGGCCAGCTCACTCTCAGGCTGCATGGCGACAGCCCCCGTCCTCGTCGTGAAATGCAACCGAATAAAATCATCGTCGTCGTCATCGTAGTTCGGCTACTTCTGAGAGAGGAAACGTCCTCCTCTCCCTCGCTCGGGTAGCCGCGAACCATACCATGTCGCGAGGATCCACCACCCCACACCTTCTATCCTCCCCTAAAGCCGCCCCCACCACTCCGTCCCCCATCTGCTCTCTCTATATCTCTTTCTCTCTCAATCTCCGTCACTTTCCATCTCTCTCTCTCTCTCTCTCTCTCTCTGGAGCCGTCTTCATCCCTCCGCTAGTTTCTCCGTTGCCATTCTTTATTCCCTCCGGCGAAGAACATGCGGTTTCAGGGTGGTGCAGTCCCCCCCGTCGGGGAATTTGCCGGCTCCACTAGGACGGCCAGATATCTCTGGTGCATAGATTTCTAGAAGCCGGATAGCTGATTGGTACGGAGACATCGATCGATCGAGTGGACATCAATGGGGTCTGACTGGGCCGAGCACCAAGGGCCAGATAGAAGAAGATGGTGCACTATGTGGAAACCATGTCGACAAATGCAGTAGGCCCTGATCCCCATCTGCCCTGGTTTTAGAAGAGGACGAGCTAAGAGCCTTGCTAACTAAGCTTTCTTTCGTTACTCTCTTCGTCGCCATGGCCGCGGAGGGGAGGAAGAAGCATGCGGTGAGGCTCAACAGGTCCTGCATCCTCATCATCGGTGGGTCTCTCTCTCTCTCTCTCTCTCTCTCTCTCCCGCAACATGGGGCTGAGCAAGGGATCTTATTTCGCTGTGGTGGTGGCTGCAGTTGTGGCGAGCGTGGAGAGGTTCGCGTACAAGGGAGTGGCCTCCAACATGGTGACCTACCTGACGGACGTCGTCCACTTGGGCACGTCGGAGGCGGCCAAGACCGTCAACAACTGGTGCGGCGTCACCTCCATGCTGCCGCTGCTCGGTGCCTTCCTCGCCGACTCCTACTGGGACCGCCACTCCACCATTCTCGGCTCCTCCTTCCTCTACGTCACCGTGAGAGCTCCCCCTTCCTTCCTTCCTCCCCTCGCTCCTGCGCATTACAGCGGTCTCAAGGAAGCTCTGCTAGCCAATGCAGGGGCTCGCAGCGCTGACGGCGTGGGCTGTGCTCCACTCCCACATGCCGAGCTCCTCGCTGTTCTTCCCGCTGTACCTCATATCCATTGGGCAGGGCGGGTACAACCCGTCGCTGCAGGCGTTCGGCGCGGACCAGCTGGAGAAGGAGAAGAGCCCGCCGGAGGAGGAGGAGAAGAGCCTCTTCTTCCAGTGGTGGTACTTCGGCATATGCAGCGGCAGCCTGCTGGGCAACTCGCTCATGTCCTACGTGCAGGACACCTACGGGTGGGAGCTCGGATTCGCGATCCCCGCGGCGGTGATGTTGCTCTCCGTGGCGGTCTTCGCCGCCGGCGCGCGGTTCTGCGTGCGCAGAGACGTTGCCGATGGCAGCAGCCGCCCTATCGACGACATCTTCAGGGGCCTGAAACAAGCGCTGACGAAGAAGCTGGCCACCAGAGAGGTCAAGCTGCCGGCCAGAGAGGACGACGACGTTGAGCTCGAGTGGGTGGTCAACCTCGTACTCTGCCGTTGTTTTCTTCGTCTTCACAGCTTCTGACCTCTCTCTCTCTCTGGTTTCGTCAGGATGCAGAGAAGGCCCCTCAAGGAATTCGAGAGCGCCAAGCTGCCGGCCGGAGAGTCCGACGCCGCAGACGTCGAGTAAGATGATTTTTTCTACCCCTTCTTCCTTCCTACCGTTTGATCGTATTCATTGTAAACTTTTCTAGCTAAAAATAAACAGGGTGGGCATCTATAAACATGGTGGTGGCAGGGCGGCGCAGAGGAAAGGGCAGAAGGGGGAGCCGGAGCAGGCGGCGAGCTCGCCGACGCCGGAGAAGAAGGCCGGCGCCGGCGAGCATCCGACGCCGTGGGCGGGGGAGGTGATCCTGAGGTTGCTGCCGATATGGGCGATGTTGCTCATGTTCGCCGTCATCTTCCAGCTGCCGTCGACCTTCTTCACGCGGCAGGGGTCCGCGATGGAGCGAAACATCGGCCCCCGCTTCCTCATCCCGCCGGCGACGTTGCAGAGCTCCATCACCGTCTCCATCATCCTCCTCATGCCGCTATACGACAAGCTGATCATCCCCTGCTTCAGGTTCCTCACCCGCCGGGAGGAGGGCATCAACGTGATGGAGAGGATCGGCGTGGGCATGCTCCTCTCGATCCTGGCCATGACGGTGGCGGCGCTGGTGGAGGGCCGCCGCATCCGCGCCGCCGCCGCCAGCGACCGGCTGTGCATCTTCTGGCTGCTGCCGCAGTACGTCTTGCTCGGAATATCCGACGTCTTCACGGTGGTGGGGATGCAGGAGTTCTTCTACGCCAGCGTGCCGAGCGGCATGAGGACCATCGGCATTGGCCTCTATCTCAGCGTCTTCGGCGTGGGCAGTTTCCTCAGCTCCGCCCTCATCTGGGCCATCGAGGAGGTCACCTCCGCCGGAGGCACAACCCCCGGCTGGTTCTCCGACGACATCAAGGACGCCCACCTGGACCGCTTCTACTGGTTCCTCTCCCTCCTCAGCACCGCCAGCTTCCTTCTCTTCGTCATCCTCTGTAAAACTCGCCGTGACACCACCACCTGAAAGAAACACAGCTCTCTCTCTCTCTATCTCTCTCTACATCATAGCTAGCTAGCTAGCTCGCTAGCTAGCAGCCCTCAAACAACTCATCCTCCTCGCAAACCGAGGTTGAGATTTGTTCAGTAAACATGCAATGGCACCATATTCATGTACATCTCCTTCAGAAACCAAGACCAAAGCTTTTATTCATGGCAGATGATGGGTTTCTTTCTGGGCACAATCAGAGGTGCTGTACATGCGTCACCAGAGCAATGAGGGAAGGCTGATGATCCTGAAGAAGAAGCAGGCAGCCCCAACTCATCTCTAGACGGAGATAGATGAGCCAGAGGGGTTCAGGTACTGGTCCAAGCTGAGAGGTTTGGGGCCGCCGAACCAGTCGATCAGAAATATGTTTTCTATGTCGAGCCTGAAGATCTGGAAGTTGTGATTCTTGGGCCAGTCTGGGAGCCATAGAAATATAAAGGTGAAATCAGATCAGGGTGTATCCTAGCTCTGGTCAGGGACGTCAATGGGTCTGATGGGCCGGGTCCTTGTGAAACCCAGTCCGGCCCGACCATGATAGCCAAGGGTCAAGGCTGAATCCACTGCCAGATCCCCAAAACCGGGCCGGGTTTTGATGTGTGTTCGAATGCACATTCAATCTGAAGTAAATTGAGATGAAAAAATGGTGAGAAAGGTGCCTACTGAGGAGAGATTCTTACACTTTATTTAAGCATGCTTTGCAAACAGTGCTGACTTGGCGAATTGCCCCTCAGCGGAATCACCATCGACAGACTTCAGCTGCATTGTTGTAGACAGATTGAATTGAGAGTAATAACATGGCATCTGACAAGGTTCCAAATAGCAAGAAATGAAAATGCAACTATGGTGTGTTCGTGACCTAAAATTCATAGCTTTTCGCAATAATTTCAGTGAAATGAAAATGGTTCTGATTTTTTTTGTGAAAATAACAGGTTCGTCCAGAATATTTGACCACATTAAGGAGATTGACATCCACTGCAGTTCGGTCGCATAAAAGGTTTTATTTCGGATCAAACTGACATGCTGTCAAATTGGGTTATTCATATGCTAGAACAAATTAATTAAGGAATTATCATGTAGTATGCATAGCTCATGCTACTGTCGATCAAATGGCATTTCGATCTATGAAGGCATGAAATCCCCGTAACATCTGTGCATGTATTTTCTTGTCCATATTAAGAAACGATCGACACTCTAGGGAAATTCAAGTATATGCAGGACTTCAGAGTTCCAATGAAAGTTGTAAAACTATAAGAGAAAAAGATGTAATTTTCTTTCACGTCTTCAAAGCTTCATTCCATGTGAAATGATGTGAGATAGGCTCCCATGTGCACCCAAAAACCAAAAAGAGATAAAGCAAATTTTCCTGTTCTCATCAATTCTACTGTAAAGTGTGGTGGTGCAACAATCTGTCTTTGATATCACATTTACCGTGGGCGATCTAAATATTTACAGGTTGGCTCCCCATAGAGAAAGACTGACGAAGGCATTGTTTGAAAGATCTATAAATGAAAGCTGTAATTGCAGTGCTAGATCTGGATGAGACAGAATGAGGAAGACATTTGAGAGATATAGAAATGCAAGCGATCCCCAGATTCAATGCAACCACAAAGGCACTGGTATCCAGAGATAAAAGGCCAAGTCAAGTTCACCAAGGGAATCTTCAATACAAGGATTTATATGGTTTAAATATATCTGGGTTTGAAATCAGTACAGAATCTCACCTTTTCCGTAAGGGTAAGCTTTGCGCATGTGGGATTCTCTGGATCTGTCCCACCACAAGATCCAACAGGGTATTCACTGACTGTGAATGAAGCCCTCTCATCCTTCAGTGCATCCCTAGCCGTGGGATCAAGGGTTGTCAAATAAAACTACGGAATACCACACCCTTTGCCTGGTAATCCATCGCTAAACGAAACCACATTTCTGAAATTTCATTATGAGTAACACATTAGAAAGCACTGTTCTTCAGTAAATTCTACTCTGCTATTCTTGAGTATGTCAAGATTACCCGAATGGGGCTCCTTGTAAATCAGCTGATATTGTGCTGCAAAAGGAAAAAAGAAGGAAGGTGTAAGATTTCAATGGATGCACTACAGGACCTAACTATTAACACATAGACGAGACTGGGAATATATTACCACGATAATTCAAGGGTACCCATATTATTCCCTAATCACTGCTGCCCCCAAGGATGCAGGATTCACATTGAAAGCCAGTTTCCAGATTTTTTTCAAAAGAACGCATGGAAGGAAAAATCACTAACAGTTCTACGAGGTTCACAATTTTTTCAAAAACTTCCGGCAACAATGGGGCATCTTCATCTGGATCATCGGATGTTCATCACCAAGAAGGAAATGGGATGGGAGAAATGGTAAAATGAGGGGGGAACACACTTTCAGATATCTACATGGTAGTGGAATGTAAACGAAAGTTAATAGACACGTAGCATGAGAAGGGAAGATAGAGAAAAAAGAGAAAATGATCTAATGCTTCTGTTAAATTTGTTGTACAGTCATGCAAAGACCTTAGGACGATAATTCGAAAAAAACTTCAGAAAAATCACAAAGAACCGCATGAATCCACATAATCATCCCCCAATCCTGATGTCTTAAAGTAAAAGAGTAAAAGACAACGGATTGTGTTTATTAAATTTTATCACTTAAAAGTAAATATAATTTCATTAATTTAGACCAAAGTCACCAATGCCCCACGTCAACACCCCTGTGCGTAGACAACGATCACAGAAGACGTGGTGAGGAGGGTAACAGGAAACCTAAAAGGTACATGCTTAAGTGCTGAACGGAAGATCCTAACTGAGAATGAAATTGAAAACCTAAGGCAATCGCCAAATGAAAAATGGAGAAGACCATAGAAAAGGTTTCTACAGCCCTTCCAGTCAAAACACGATCAAACACATTAGTGAGGAGAAACAGAAGGTCACCTGAGGACACCTCAGGAGTTCTGGGCGGCCAGCCAGCGGGCAGTGGCGGCAGCATCGGACGGATCAGGCTTGGGAGAAGCCACGCGGGGCCCAGGCCGACCTTCTACAACGAGGGGAGCAACGAAGAAGAGTAGCAGAAAGAGGGGAGGGATCAAGCGAGGGATTCTCGTTTCTTCAGGGTCCCATCTCATAGCCATTTGCCGTCTCCTCCCCGTCTCCGGGCAGCCGGAGAAGCTTTTCCTCCGCCGACGATCGCGCTCAGACGTGGAAAGTGGTCGACGGCGGGCCCACTTACGATCAGTTTGTTTATACTGACCATAACCGACCGACCCGATACATGACTCGAAATAACCGAATAGATCCGAGCCGAGATAAGCCCGAACTAAAATAAATCCGAACGGAATGTACCGGAACCGAACCACCCGAGAAAGGGAACGGGACCCGAACCGAAAACCTCGACCTGTTTTTATTCGGGCTTGGTCCCAAAGCCCGGAGAAGATAACGGCCGGGCTAGGCCCGAAGAATCATGTTCAGACGGTGTAGTGTCGGAGAGTCGGTGGGCCAGGAGGCCTCATGGGCCCGGTCTGATTGAGCCCGGTTCGAACCCGAATAAGGTCTACAAATATTGTGTAAAGAACAACGGAGAATCCGATTTTCCTCGTGGCAAGATGTGAATGTGCCACGTCAAGGTAGCCCCCCCTCACTTTCCTGGTTTTTACCACTACCCCATTGAACTTGTAGAAAACGTTTTTATGCAAGTATTCGTTAAATGGGGCTACGATGCGGGTTGGAGGGAGAGGCAAAGGCCTTATCTTTCCCTCCACTTTCTTCCTCCCCCGCCCTCCATCCTCCTCCGTCTCCCTCCAATGCTGCTGGCTCGCCCACCTCCCCGCCCTCCCCCTTCCTCCAAGCCCCTGCAACTCTCCCCTTCTCTCCCTCCGGTCCTCCCCCGCCATATCCTCCCCTCGGGGTGTAGAACTCCCCTCCGTGCTTCTCTCTCTGAGTCGCCCGCCGCCACCGGTGGCGCCCTCCCCAAGTCCGCCATCCAGAGGATCGCTGAGAAGCTCCGCGGTCTCGGGTACCTCGAGGAAGGGACAGAAGAGGATGGCAGGCCCCGGTCAGCCGCGCTGGCTGGCCCTGGCTCGGCGGGGGAGATCTTCATCCCCACCCCACGGGAGCTGCCCAAACGTCGCGTGGGGTACACCATCGACTCGAGCTGGAGCTCGCCTGAGAGCCCCGTGCCTGTGCCGGGGACTGGGTCGGCCATTGTGAGGTTCCACGAATTGAGGAGGGAGCTGGGGAGGGACACGGGGAGGGTGGCCCCGACGCCGACGCCGCCAATGGTGGCGGAGCTGATGATCCCTGCGCAAGAACTGAGGCAGCTGCGGAGCTTGGGGATCAAGCTGGAGAAGAAGCTGCGGCTGAAGGTGGGGAAGGCCGGGATCACTGAGGGGATCGTGAATTCCATCCACGAGCGATGGCGGCGCTCGGAGCTTGTGAAGATTAAGTGCGAGGACTTGTGTCGGATGAACATGAAGAGAACCCATGAAATTTTGGAGGTTCGTTTCTCACCTCAACTTGGGGATCGAAGAGTTTGCTCAGCTACCAATGCTTCTCGCATGTATATGAATATAACAAACAGGGATCCATAGCAATTTCTGAAGAGTGCTGCAGTAAGATTCGACAGTTGGTAGCAATGAAACACTGCAACCATTTCTGATTTTCTAATGTGGTTCTCTCCAAAGGATTTTAATCGGCTGTCCTAAAGAGCAAAAACAGTCATATATTGATATTAATTTTCTTTTACGCGAGCCACATGCAGTGTAAACGTGGGTCACATTTCTTTGTATTAAATAGGCGTAGATAAAATAGAGGTAGCCGTATGGAAAAGAGAGATGTGAGTGGGCACATTAGAGTGATGTGAGCCGTATGGAAAAGGAAATAATTTTTGATCTATGTAGTAATTATCTTAGTTAACTCATGGATGACTGTTGGAAGAATATCTGATAATGCGATTCTCTTGGAGTCGTCACGGAAGTTTGGGCACAATCCAATTCTGAGCCTGTAATGCTGATGACAATTTGTAAGGTATGACATTTTTGGGAAAAATATCAACGAGTATATAGCGAAAAACCTGTTCATGAATAGAACTAGGTTGAACATCATCATCTAAAGATTTCTACTTTCCGTTGCATTAGTCTCATTTTTCTTCAACTCCCATCCAATTTGATATAGATACTGCATAATGACACAATGTTCAAGTGTGCATTAATCGAGCAAAATTTAATCCTGGTTTGCAATGAACATCCCTCCATTTTTTTTTTCATTTGAAGAACTTTATCCTAATTGAGTGTAATTCAGTAAATTCCGATCCTAATCATATCACTAGATTATGAGCTACAGGGATGGAAGAGATTCGCATCTGAGAAAGATTTCTAAACTATTTTTTTATTTCATATCATGTTAACGAAGAAGATATTCAGTTCTAAACATTATAGAATTTAGCCTTGTCCTCCATTTTTTCTTCTAAGTGTTTTATTTTTTCATGATGGATGTAAGCTTTATGCGATCATTCAACCATTTATTGATAATAATTCTTCATGGATCATCGCTTGCTTGGTTTATATGTTTCAAATACTTGTTTTCTTTTCTCTTCAGAGAAAAACTGGAGGTTTAGTTATTTGGAGGGCAGGAAGTATCATCATTTTGTACAGAGGTGCCAACTACAAGTACCCATACTTCACGGACAGCAGTGCAATGGAGAACACTGAGAACAGCTCAGGGTCAGAGTCCACCTCATATGCTAAAACCGAAACTGAGCAAGAAGTCAGCTCAACTTCCCTGGATGGATTGGCCCCTGTAGATAGACCATCCACTGCGCCGGCCTATTCACCGTTAGTTTCTGGTGTTGGTGCACCAAATAAGGTAAGATTTCAACTGCCTGGTGAAGTGGAGCTTGGGGAAGAGGTTGATCTCCTATTGGATGGATTGGGCCCCCGATTCACTGATTGGTGGGGCTCTGGACCTCCACCTGTTGATGCTGATCTCTTACCAGCTGTAGTTCATGGGTATCGGAGACCTTTTCGCCTTCTTCCATTTGGTCTGCAACCAAAACTAACAGACCGTGAAATGACTATTTTAAGGAGACTCAGCCGTCCGCTACCTTGCCATTTTGCTTTAGGTTCGTATATGTATAGCATTAATATTCATGTCCTTTCCCTTTAAGTAGTAGACTGCAGGCTAATATCACCAGCTGTTTCTGAATTTTCTTTCTAGGGAGGAATAGGAACCTCCAAGGACTAGCGCAGTCAATGCTTAAGCTCTGGGAAAAGTGCGAGATTGTGAAGATTGCTGTCAAGAGAGATGCTCGGAATACTAATACAGAATTAATGGTAGAGGAACTGAAGGTATATTTTCTTACTCTATCCTGTAGGAAGAAACCTTTATTGGTTCCTTCACTTGTTTTCTTCATAACAAAAACTTTGATTTTTATCTAAATGACTAACTCTATTTGCCTATATGATGCATTTTATAAACTGATTTATCTGAACGATTACATATCCTGTAAATACCCCAAACTTTCTATTTGAAGAGATGAACGTACAAGGACCAGGGGTGGAAGTTTGGCCTGAAGATGAGAAAAATATAGGACTAGACGTTTGCCCTTTTTTGGGGTTTAAACTTTGTTGACCCTGTGGCAACTGGTCTCATGCACAGTCTCATACTTGAAAATATCATCAACCCTTTTTGGAAAAGACAGGCTACCTAGTCTAGCTGCACAACGCTGACTAAGCTGGCTCTGACTAAATATCATCTCTTTATACTGTCAGTCAGCAAGGATCTAGTTTTTGTTGTTGATGAGAATCTTCAAAGGGGAATATCTCTTACAAATGCGGATAGATTAAAATCAGGATGTATGTTTGGTCAATTGTGCTTACAAGTATCCTAGAACTCGAACTAGCTAAGAGTCATTGAGATCTTCGTCCAAATAATTCCAATCTAACTTCACAATTTAGTCAACGTATTTTAAAGGCAGTATGTGTCAAATTCTCAATTGTTGGAGCTTCAAGATAGACAGTTTGGGCACGATCCTCTCACGTAGTGGATATAGAACTGCTAGGCTCTGTGGCAACAGTGATCACCGGTGTTAGCTTATGCTTGCCTCATCAAAGAATTCAAAATTAAATGAGGTGTCTAAGTCAGCTCAGCCAGATTGGGCAGTTAGAGTGGAAAAAACTCTGTTCAAGTAAATGATAAAGGACGCACAATTCTGGCAGTAGATGTGCATATAACGTAAATTAATAGTTTCAATTGGAGAGAAAGCTTAATACTTGTTTTGGTAGCGTGTGTGGTTGTGTTGCAGGACTGGTAGTGGTGGTGATGTAAATCAAGTTTTCCGACTCATATCAGTTGAGACGTGGTGAAGAGAAAATTGGGAATCAGTTTGGCTAAATTGATTGTCAAAAAATATAATGGTTTTTCGAGTAATTATGGATACCTTCTTTAATTAAACAAGGTACAAATGAGGATAAATGCTTGGTATGAAAGAGTTTTTTTGGCAAAATCAAAGCTTTATATAACCCCACATGTCCTCCTGAGCAGCTGGTGGTTCTCAGTGGCAGTCTGTGAGTGCACACCAGGTCTCTTGAAATTAAAAATAATCACCATGGTGGTAGCTGACTGTGGCAAACAGTGGCCAGTGGCGAAGCCAAAACATCCTCGTTTTTCTTCTTACCTACCTCCCCCTTCTTCTTCTTCTTCCTCTACTGTAGGAGGTGTGGCAGCTGCTCTTCTTTCTTCTTCCTAGATGGTCTAATCTAACTTGGACTGGTTAACTTTTTGAGAAGTATTTTTTTTCTTAAAATTTTATCAATATCTCAACGTTCTGCATTGCCCTTGAAATTATGTTGGGTCAGGACATACCATATTTCTTTCCATGTGCTCTAGAGGAGGCGTGTCAGCTGTCTTTGGACCACATTCTTCTAGGGAGCCCTGGCACTTATGCATGCCTACTATTTTTTCATCGTCATGGATATGATCTTCATTCCTCTCAAAACCGTAATACCAGATAGCTATGTGATATGGATGGCGAGTCAGTAGTATTGGCACAGTAAGTTCAGGGTTCCTCGATGTTGGCCCAGGAGCTGTGGAGAATTGATGATCTTCCATCTAGAAAACAAGTTGATATATTCTTTTTTTTGAAAGGTAACGATGGAAATGATCAATTTCATTCATTAAAAGTAAAAAGATATTTTTTAATCAAAAAACTATAACTATTCCACTGCCAACTGGGAGAGAGTAATTACTTTAATAATAAATTAAAACCACGAACCTCAATTTGTTGGTATTGATAATGCTTAAAGAAATTTCAGCAGTAGTACCTTCAAAAATCCATAAAGGCATTCCAGATGTACATACACAAAGTGGGGCATCTGGAAGTTACCTAGGATACTGAAAATCTTGGTGCATCTGGAGACTTATTTTTAAAAATATTAGCTATATTTTTCATTATATTACTTATTTATGGCTGATTATTACATTGTTCTTGCAGCGACTGACTGGAGGAACGGTTCTTTCACGGGATAAGGAATTTATTGCTTTCTACCGAGGAAAGGATTTCCTGCCACTTGCAGTTTCCAGTGCCATTGAGAAAAAAAGAAAACTTGAAATGGTCGCTCAGAAGCATAAGCTAGAAGAAATCCCTTCAGCTGGATTGGCAGTCAACTCTGGAGCGAAATCTTACGTTGCCTCAACGACTGATGACAGATGTGGAGATGCTGGCCCTTCATCTGCGAATGTGCTTCAAGATGAAATTGAACCTGAAATAGCCCTCCCAAAACTTAAGGAACCAAAGGCAACGGAGATAGCTGTGGAGAAAATAGAGGCCAAACTAGCCAGTGTATGCCATAATAGTTTGTCATATCCTTCTGTGTTCCTAAAGAATCTGTCTTATGTGATAAATTATTCAGTAACTTGTAGGATACTATACTATGGATAGTAACATTTGTTGTCCATCTTCCTAAAGGTATTGAAGAAAAAGGAGAAGGCTAAGAAAGTCCTACAAGAGTTTGAGGAATCTATTGGACCTTCAAAAGCAGAACTTGATAAGGAAGGTATCAGTGAGGAAGAAAGGTTTATGCTGAGGAAAGTCGGCTTAAGAATGAAGGCGTTTTTATTACTCGGTAAGTGAGCTCCTGTCCTTAACCCCTTTAATTTTTCTGATAATTTTTTGTTACATTTCTCTGTCAAAATGGTTGATGGTTTAGATAGTATTAATATTTTCTAAAAAATTATATAAAGTCCAACAGAAATGGGTTTAATTTATTATCAATGCTCTGTGATATTTTATTTAAAAAGTATCAACAGTATACGAACACTGTTTGAATTTGATTAATAATGCGTTTATCCATTCTGTTATTTTTATCCAATAAACTGTTTGTACGAGATCAGGTTATTATCAGCACATATATTAACGTAAATACAATAATTTCATGAGTGATGCGAGTCATTGAATTATAATCTAAAGGCTGAAAACTACATTTTTCAACTGCTAAATATACTCAGTTCCTCTCTGTCACCCCAGTATTTGGGGATTTGTCAGGCTTGTTGATTTAACGCTCTCAGATTTCTCAAGTTTCTTTGCTCATTCAGTTTTTTCTAGGATCTTCCATTTATCCTTCATATTTTCACGGGGATTTCCCATCTCTTTCCCTTATATTGATATTCAGGTAGGCGTGGAGTTTTTGATGGGACAGTTGAAAATATGCATCTCCACTGGAAATACAGGGAACTTGTAAAAATAATTTCCAAGGACAGATGCATTGAGAGCGTCCACAAGGATGCTCTAGAATTGGAGTCTGCCAGCGGAGGAATACTGGTTTCTGTTGACAGAGTGAACAAGGGCTATGCAATCATAATGTACCGAGGGAAGAACTATCGGCGTCCATCTGTTCTTAGGCCAAGGACATTGTTGAACAAAAAGGAAGCTTTGAGACGTTCTTTAGAGGCCCAACGTCATGAGGTGAACTTCCATTCGCATTTGAGGTCTCCTCACCCGGACGTATGTTTCCGTTCTGGAGTGCATCTAACCTGTTAAAGCTTGTTTTCTGATTGTTTCAGTCTTTGAAGCTCCATGTTCTGAAGCTTTCCAGAGATGTTGACAAAATGAAACGCCAATTGGTAGGTTCTTTCGTATTAAATTTCTTCTTTATGGTTCTATTTTATTGCCCTTCTTTCAACAAGTTTTCCCATCTTTCGAATATCTTCTCAGTTTCCCTATCATGCTCTGAATCACAGGAGAATAATGATGTAAAGCTCGGGTCAAGACCATCATTGACTGTGCCAGAGAACTCGGATGCTGTTTTGGAAACCAGCGAGCTCAGTGAATATGAAAACGTGGTTCTTGTAAGAAATCAACCATTTAAAGAAATTTACCTTTAAACCTGAGAATTCTATTGATAATTGAAAGATTATGTGATGTTCTTCTAGTAGATGTACTGTCTAGAATTGCTCGGAGCTCTGGGTAGCCTCGGATTTCTATATTTTTTTTCTCCAATGGATCAAATGCTGATTCCTCATTCATTTTATGTTTGTTATCCTTCCCATGTGTAGTTTACATGATTATTGTGTCACAACACAGGTATGAGCTATTTTAAAGTATAAAATGGACAATATTCAGCTCCAAGCCAAGGGATCTCTGTGACACTGTCTATGTTCGTTTGAAATGGCCAAAGCCATTCTGGTCATTTTTCCAGTGATCCGGAATCTCTGTGACAATTGTGCAGTCATGGAGAAGTCATTTGTTCCAAGACAACTCGATTTCTGGCACCGAGTAAAAATTCAGTCAGATTTCAGATCACTATTCCTATGGAATGCCAATGTTGTTTGGAATGTGCCCACTTATTCAAAATCCCTAAAATGAGTTTCAGTTTGTCTAGAAATTTGAAATGCCGAAACAATTTATATAAAATTCAATTTTTTTTTATATAGACTGGATTTTTTTATAGAATCATTAGTTTTAAGGTAATAAGTTTATTTAACAGTTTTTTGACATTTTATTTAGTAGGAAATTTTGTTTCCGAAATATCCAATCATCTTAGAACTGAGGACCTGTTGCCTTATTTTGAAAATTTTATTCTCGTTTCATTAACATTTATTCTTATTTTTTCACTCTCGTCAAGCTATTCTCCCATTCTTGGTCTTTTTGATGGTTGTTGACTTCTGTCAAGTCTTTCTCCATAGTTGGTATTTACGCCTGTCTTAAGGAAATCTCCTTGTTCTCTTAGTGTGGTTAAATTCCTACATTTGCACCATTAATTTGTGCTGAGACTTATGCTTGCTTCATTTCGACGTGACGGGCTTACAAAGGACGATGATGACTATGAAACTGATGCAAGATCACCGGTTTCTACTGAATATGATGAAGATTCAAGCGAGGTGGAAGAAGCTGCTGCCACCTCTTGTGTCAATCGATGGGAATCTAACTTTGCTTCTAATTACAACCAGGTATGCTCATATTCACTGCAATATTTCTGATTCAGTAAAGTCCTATGGAGATCCTTGACGCATTCACTGGGAGAGGGTGAATGCGTCAATCTTGACGCATTCACTGCAATACATTTTCCAGGACGAAGACGAGTTTTCCGAGGGTGAAACCGTTTCATCCTCTGGACTTTCCCTAGAAAGGAATCCAGTTCACAATGATATAAAAACAAGTTTAAGCTGGCCTTCTTTCCCTGGTAATCACTCTCAGGTATGTTGTGCACCCACAACCCACCTGATTCATATCATTTTATTTGAACAATCTTGCTAATAATTATATCCCAACTTGCTGTGTTGCAGCAACAAGAGTTGAGTGGCTCATCTCTCGTCTCTGTTGGTGATTCCCTCTCTGTAACGGAAGAGTCATCACTCAGTACCCATGAGGGTGAAACACGGAGGGCAGCATCTGGCGTTAATTTTTCTCAAAGTGTGGATGTTTTATCGAACAGAGAGAGGCTAATCCTGAGGAAGCAGGCCCTCAAAATGAGGAAACGACCCGTGTTTGCCATTGGTAATTGAAAGGACCAATCTAACACTCAAGTTCGTTCATTCATGGTTAGTGTAAGCATGGTTACATAACTCAGGGCTGTTCTAACTCGCTATGCATCTCCCAGCAGCCTCTTCCAATGATTATTGCTGAAAGCATCCATATAATTTTTCTTTCTAATTCTCAAGTATTGCAGTTATGAATGTGAAAGCGTCCATTGAGAACCAACTGATCTACTTAACAACCATTTCTTCTGTTCCTCAGGGAGGAGCAATGCCATTGCCGGCGTTGCCAAAGCAATAATGGCTCACTTCAAGAAGCACCCACTTGCCATTGTGAATGTGAAAGGGAGAGCCAAAGGCACCTCCGTCCAGGAGCTGGTCTTTGAGTTGGAGGTACAGCGCCGCCCCCTATTACACTTGGTTGGTAGAGTTAATGAGCCATTAAACTCGAAAGAAGTGGTGATCTAACCGATTCTTTGGGCTTTCTCACGTGAATGGGGTGGGGCGGATGCTCTGCCCAGAAGCAACCATCAGATCTGATATCTCATCAGAGGCATCCCGGCATTAAATACAGGAGGCCCATGTTAATATTCACACGCCTCTCTCTCTAATAACAAAATGGGCTATTCTCACTCATCATTGACTATTTATTTCTAACAAGTTCCTATCAAAAGTCAGAGGTTAATCTGCTGTTGACTTTTGTACAGCAAGCCACCGGGGCGGTGATGGTATCGAGGGAGCCCAGCAAGATTATACTCTACAGAGGCCGGCAAGGGCAGGCAGACCCCATCAACATGAAGGAAGGGGATGAGGGAAGGAGATCGGATGGAGCTATGGTCTCCCCTCAGCTAATGGCTGCCATCAGCCTGGAATGTGGAGTGTGTGCAAGCCAGGATGCTGATCTTCTGCCATAGACTTGAAGAAAACGTGCAGATCTTTAAGGTGTTTCTCATCATGAGCAAGTGAGGTGAGAAATTGTAGAGGAACAATAAAGTTACAGGTTGGGCTGATTTTTCTGAAGCTGTGACAATATTGAGGCTTCTTCTAGGAAGTAGAAACAAAAAGCAAAAAAGCTTTCCAACTTCTTACTATTTTTGTTCTCTAGTCGAAAAATGATTCAAATTTATTATGATTCTTGTGCCAGAGACCCTCAAAAGCCTTTGAATCTCTGAATAATCTTTTGCTCTTAGGCAATTACTTTTAAAAAATTCTTATTTTTTTTGTTCTTAAGTCAACTCATGTCTTTGAAAGGCTTAAAATTTCCTAATATTTTTGCTCAAAGGACGAGATACGCTTCAAAATATCATATTATTCTGTCTTTAATCTAATATCAAAGATTAAACCTTCAGAATTTCTTGCACATTGTAAGATTTCACAGGTAGGTCAGTCTGTAACCCTGCGCTCAATCATGCAGCGGGGACAGCAAAGAATGAGCGTTGACAACGTGCGAAATCTCTGTTAAGAATTACCCCAAGCTCCATTGGTTTCTGCTCCAAAGTCTTCCAGTATCAGCATCAGATGAGGTAGAACAGTCAGAAATCTTCTTCACCTATTACCCATCAGTTCAACAGTAGACCATATAATTTTCTAACAATGTCTCAGCGGCCATGGCTATAATCCTTGTCTGCATATAATGTAATTATCTGCCTAAGGACTCATTTATGGACGAATTAAGATATCTAGTTAGATTTCCCCAATTTAAATGATATTTTTTTTTATGGGTTATGATGCTACTTGTGGCTTGGAGGTGGGTGCTTAGGATGAGATCCAGTGGGTAGTTGATAGACGTAGGCCCAGCCCAATATGGCCAACCCTCGCATAAGAGACCGGAGGGGATGAATTGACAAAGGTACATTGGAGTCAACTCTTCCCCTTCTCCTCTCCCTGGTTTCCCCGTCCTCCTTCCGAGCTTGATCCCTCCTCCCTCCAGGTATTCGGCGAGCCGGGTGTTCTCTTCTTTGCGTCAGCTGCTGAGCCAGTTCCCATCTCCCCCTTTCTTTCCCTCCTTTGTACGTCGGATTCTTCTCCCTTCCCTTCCGACGCCCCTGTAGGGCAGGAACCCTATCAGTAGTCTAGCTGCTAATCCATGGAAAACCTGAACTGGGTTTAAAGCATAGAATACAGAGTTGAAGCAATGTAACTCGTTATTCAGTATACATATTGATTGATAAAGAAAGACTTTGTGGAGCGCTCACTAACCCTCTCCTTGGTTTCACTTCCACACCACTGGCTATGGCCAGGAGTTGGGAAGATCCCCACATATGCATGATAATGGTGGGGGAAGAGAGAGAGAGAGAGAGAGGGAGAGGGGCCCCGTGTCTGAGTTACCATCTCAACGCGAAGACTCATCATCGTCCTCTACTCGTTCCCCGACAAGGAGTCTCCCTCACCGAAATGGTGGCTCTGGTAGGCGAGTCTACTATCAGTACAGAGCTTCGATCTAGAGTCCCGGATTCCACTGAAACAACCAAAAGTCACCTGGAAACTAATGGCAGGTACCCGTCCAGTTGGGGTGGCGAGGTGCAACTGCAACGAGATACACCTGATCCGTTTCTCCTAACCAATCGTGGACTCTCTAGATTGCCTCGAGGCGGCGGTCATGTCGGATATCCCCTGCAGTTTTCCCGCTACGAAATCCTTCAATCAGGAGCATTCCCTCCTGATTGGTGGATAGGTGGGTAGTTTGGATGGACTTCGTGAAAAGCGGCGGAGGTTTTGCGGCGAACAGGAACCCACCCCACCCCACCCACCGTCATTCTGTTGGTGGGTTATGAATCTGTTCGTAAAATATGGGCCTAGATTTGCGGTAACAGTTGCCTCCGACATATCCGTAAATGATGAAAACCGTATAATTCCGCATTATATATAGATGAACACCAGGTGATCCCTTGGGTCGTCTCCACTGCAGATCATCCCATGGCTCTTCTCATCCGCATCTCTTTCTTTCTCGTTCTCTTCTCCCTCATCGTTTCTGATCGTGTAGGGCCATGGGCAGCGGCGGATGCTAGTAGTGTTAGGAATCTGGGGAACTACGAGAGAATCCCCTTAACATCAGTGAGCGGGCCGGAGAGCCTCGCTTTCGACGCTGGCGGCGCCGGGCCTTACACCGGCGTCTCCGACGGGCGGGTGCTCAGGTGGGAGGAGTGCTCTCGTCGGTGGGTGGAGTATGCCGTTCCGACTCGAGACAGGTGGGGATTCTTCCGTGAACTCGCTCTTTAATCCGTAATCGTTTCTCTTTATCTTCATTTATCGTTTCCTCATCCTCCTCATCTCTTTTGATGTGGGATGTTTTTGTTGTGAACGGGAGCCTTGCACGTGGCTTCCCCATTCCCCTATTGTGAGGTAATGCGGAATTTGGTAATGCAGAATTTGGTAATGCGGGATTTCCTGCATAACGCACGGTACTGGCCAATTTTGGCCAGCTAGTTATTTCTTACGGTTATTCCTTTCCCCCCTTTGTTTTCTTATTTAAAGAGGGCTGTAAGAGTTTTTCAATAGCGAGAAAGTTTTCCTTGTTCCTCCTGCTGTTTTTCCTGTGACTCGTGAGGTGATCTCGCCGGCGACGTCTTAACTGCCGTCGTCTCTCCGGCGAGTTTCTAACAAGTGGTATCAGAGCTCCCAGGTTGCGGGCCGGGACTCGATCGCGGCAAGGTACAGCCGTTGGAATCGAGAACGCGCAATCGAGACGCGCTATGGCAGGAGGAAAGGACGGAGTGGTCCAGAGGGTGATTCGTGAGGTGAGCGCCGGGACAGGGTTCCCAATGCTCACCAAGACCAACTACTCCGACTGGGCACTGCTCATGAAGGTCAAGCTCAGAGCCCGGTTGCTCTGGACCGCCATTGAGAAAGGGGGCGTCGAACCCCACGAAGACATGCAGGCGCTCGACGCGCTCTGCAGCGCCGTGCCGCCGGAAATGTGGCCGGTGATCGCGAACAAGGAGACGGCCAAGGAGGCCTGGGAGGCTATCGCCACCATGCGGATCGGCGATGACCGCGTAAAGAAGACGTCGGCTCAGAACTTGCGGCGGCAGTTCGACTCGGCGACGTTCAAGGAGGGAGAGTCTGTTGAGGACTACGCGCTGCGTCTCAACAGCATGGCGTCGACTCTCAACACCCTCGGCGACAAGGTCGAAGAGACGCAGGTAGTGGAGAAGATAATCCGTAGTGTTCCCCAGCGTTTCAGGCAGATCGTGGTCGCGATCACGATGCTGCTCGACGTGTCGACGCTCACTGTCGCGGATTTGACGGGTCGGCTCAAGGCGGCGGAGGATGCCTTCGAGGAACTGCCGTCGGCTATGCACCACGACGGCAAGCTGCACCTGACTGAGGAAGAGTGGGATGCACGGCGGAGGAAGCGCGATAATGAGAAAACTGGTGGTGGAGGTAGCAGCAGCGTGACGCACCGTGTCAAACATGGGCGCGGGCACGGGCGCGGCCGTGGCAGCGAAAAGGGCTCGTCATCAGGCGGCCTGACGGGCAACTCAGGCCGGCCCAAAGGTGATGAGTGCAGGAGATGCGGGAAGCTGGGCCACTGGGCCCGCGAGTGCCGCTCCAAGCCCAAGAAAGAACAGGCCCACATCGTCCAGAATGAGGAGGAGGCCTCGCTCCTTCTCGTGAAGTCAACAACGGCCAGATCGACGGCGCCGCCACCAACCTCCACTCCACCACGTTTTGCTGCGACTCTGCAGGCAGAGGATCGGCTCCGGCGTGCAAGCCCACCGCCGCCGGGAGCAAAAGGGGTCCCCGTCAATGGAGGGGCCGCCAAAGAAGAGCGGAAGCCAGGCGCCCAGACCCAGATCCACCTGCGGGAAGAGAAGGTGTTCGCCCACCTTGAAGAGGAGGAGCTGCGTGATGAGGAGGCGTGGGTCGTGGACACGGGCGCCACGAACCACATGTCGGGTTCCCGTACAGCTTTCACCGAGCTGGACACGAAGGTACTTGGGACGGTGCGGTTCGGCGACGACTCGGTGGCGCGAATCGAAGGCCGGGGGGCAATCGTGTTCCTGTGCAAGAACAGCGAGCACCGGTCCTTCGCGGGGGTGTATTACATTCCCCGACTGACGACGAACATCGTCAGCGTCGGCCAACTCGATGAGGCCGGGTACCATATCGACATCGAGAAGGGGGCGATGAAGATCCATGAGCCAGGCGGACGGCTCCTAGCAAAGGTCATGCGCGGAGAGAACAGGCTGTACATTCTCCACGCCAAGCTGGTTCGGCAGGTGTGCCCGGAGGCGCGGGCAGTCGAAGAAGGTTGGAAATGGCACGCGCGCCTCGGCCATGTCAACATGACCGCGCTGCGGAAGATGGCTCGGGAGGAGCTGGTGCGCGGGTTGCCGGCGGTTGGTCCGGTGGACCAGCTGTGTGAGGCGTGTCTCGCTGGCAAGCAAAAGCGGTCGCCGTTCCCCCAGCAAGGAGAGTACCGGGCGCGGCGTGTTCTGGAGCTGGTGCACAGCGACCTCTGTGGTCCGATTGCGCCGGAAACGCCAAATGGCAGCAAGTATTTCCTGCTGCTCGTGGATGATCGAAGCCGGTACATGTGGGTGGCCATGCTGCCTTCAAAGGACCGTGCTGCGGTGGCCATCAAGGAGATCAAGGCTCGCGCAGAAGGCGAGTCAGGACTGAAGCTGGGAGCGCTCCGTACTGATCGGGGCGGCGAATTCACCTCACATGAGTTCGCGGAGTACTGCGCGGGAGAAGGTATTCATCGTGAACACACGGCGCCATACAGCCCGCAGCAGAATGGCATCGTCGAGCGCAGGAACGGCACGGTGGTAGCAACCGCGAGGAGCATGCTCAAGGCAAAGGGGCTGCCGGGCTGGTTTTGGGGTGAGGCAGTGGGAACTGCTGTATACATCCTGAACCGGTGTCCCACGAAGAGCGTGGACGGCATGACGCCTTTCGAGGTATGGCACGGGAAGAAGCCGGCGGTGCACCATCTGAAGGTGTTCGGATGCATCGCCTACGTCCTGAACACGACACCGCATCTCAAGAAGCTGGAGGACCGCGGCCGCAAGATGATCTTCATCGGCTACGAGTACGGATCAAAGGCCTACCGAGCCTACGATCCCACTGCGAGGCGTGTCCATGTGACACGGGACGTGGTGTTCGACGAGAATGCCCAGTGGGACTGGGGCAGCGGCGCGAAGCAAGGGGATGCGGGCAGCCACGACGATATGTTCACATTGGAGTATGCCGTCGGGAACCAGGTACCTCCAGAGCTCGATGGCGCCATCGAGGTACTTGATGATGATGCGCCGGGACCGGAGCTGATGTCGCCACCGTCTGTGCACTACAGTGGGGGAGCAGCGCCGATTGAAGATGGAGGAGAGGAGGTGGAGTTCGCCTCTCCACCGAGTGTCCACATTGACCACCTGGACGCTAATCACGATGATGCGCCACTCCGGTTCCGCAAGATCGACAACATCGTTGGGCTGGCCTCGCCACGTGGTCTCGCGTCGCGGGCGTTAATTGCAAAGGAGCTGCACGCTGTAAGTTCTGATGAGCCGGTCTCTTTTGTTGAAGCAGAAGGCCACCCGAGCTGGAGGAAGGCTATGGAGGAGGAGATGGCGTCGATCGAGGAAAACCGCACCTGGTCCCTGGTAGACCTCCCACATGGTTGCCGGGCGATCGGGTTAAAGTGGGTGTACAAGGTGAAGCGGGATGAAAACGGAGCCGTGGCGAAGTACAAGGCGCGCCTGGTGGTGAAGGGCTATGCGCAACGCCAAGGGATCGACTACGATGAGGTGTTCGCACCTGTGGCGCGGCTGGACACGGTGCGCCTTCTCATTGCTCTCGCGGCGCACGAGGGGTGGGAGGTGCACCACATGGATGTCAAGTCGGCGTTCTTGAATGGCGATCTCAAGGAAGAGGTGTACGTGGAGCAGCCGGCCGGTTTCATCAGCACGGGCAACGAGCACAAGGTATTTAAGCTGAAGAAGGCACTCTACGGCTTACATCAGGCGCCTAGGGCCTGGAACGCGAAGTTGGACGAAACGTTGCTGTCGTTCAGATTCAGGAGGAGTCCCTCGGAACATGCCATCTACACCAGGTGGAATGGAGAGGCGCAGCTAGTGGTCGGGGTGTACGTCGATGACCTGGTGATCATCGGCGCCAGCTGCGACGACATCAAGCATTTCAAAAAAGAGATGGCTGACGCATTCAAGATGAGCGACCTCGGCCTGCTTCGCTACTATCTTGGCATTGAAGTCAGGCAGAGTGCGAGGGGCACCTTGATCAGCCAAGGAGCCTATGCCGCCAAGATTCTGGAGAGGAGCGGGATGGCAGGGTGCAATCCTTGTCAAGTACCAATGGCAACACGTCTGAAACTGAGCAAGATGAGCACGGAGCCGCTGGTGGATGCGACAGCATACAGAAGCATCGTGGGGAGTCTCAGGTACTTAGTCAATACTCGTCCAGATTTGGCATTTGCGGTTGGCTATGTGAGTCGTTTTCTAGAGGAGCCACGAAAGGATCACTTGGCTGCTGTGAAGCAAATTCTCCGCTATGTGGCGGGAACCAAGAGTTGGGGTCTCAGGTATGAAAGGAAAAAGGAGAAGCAAGTCCAGCTGACAGGGTTCAGCGATAGTGACTTCGCTGGTGATGTTGATGCTCGGAAGAGCACGACTGGAGTTATTTTCTTCTTGGCCAACAGCCCAATTACTTGGCAGTCAATGAAACAGAAGGTGGTGGCTCAGTCTAGCTGCGAGGCAGAGTATATTGCAGCCGCCAATGCTGCCTGCCAGGGTGTGTGGCTCGCTCGGGTGTTAGCAGAGGTGCATGGCTCAGCACCAAGCGTGCCGATGCTGAAGGTGGACAACAAGTCTGCCATAGCGTTGATCAAGAACTCAGTTCTCCATGGACATAGCAAACACATTGAAGTGAAGTATCATCTTGTCCGAGAATCCACAGAAAAGGGTCAGATCAACGTGGAGTTCATCAGGAGTGAAGAACAGTTAGGAGACGTTCTGACGAAGCCACTCGGAAAAGTCAAGTTCCATGAGTTTCGCGCCAAGATTGGGCTCGTTGATGTTCGTGGTAAGTACAGCAAGGCTCAGGAGGAGATTGTTGTGAACGGGAGCCTTGCACGTGGCTTCCCCATTCCCCTATTGTGAGGTAATGCGGAATTTGGTAATGCAGAATTTGGTAATGCGGGATTTCCTGCATAACGCACGGTACTGGCCAATTTTGGCCAGCTAGTTATTTCTTACGGTTATTCCTTTCCCCCCTTTGTTTTCTTATTTAAAGAGGGCTGTAAGAGTTTTTCAATAGCGAGAAAGTTTTCCTTGTTCCTCCTGCTGTTTTTCCTGTGACTCGTGAGGTGATCTCGCCGGCGACGTCTTAACTGCCGTCGTCTCTCCGGCGAGTTTCTAACAGTTTTCGCAGGAACCGAACCCAGTGCGACGGCTCGGCCGTTCCCGCGGTGGAGGACGTCTGCGGAAGACCTCTGGGGATTCAGTTCCACCGCCGGACGGGGAAGCTCTATGTGGCAGATGCCTACTTCGGGCTCCTTGTCGTGGAGCCCGGCGGCGGGGCGGCGGCGCGGCTCTCCGCCGGCGTGGAGGGTCAAACTTTCAAGCTAACAAACGGAGTCGACGTGGACCAGGAGACGGGCGTCGTGTACTTCACGGACAGCAGCACCCGGTTCCAGAGAAGGTCTGCATGCGGCGGCCTCTCGCAACGCAATTCTGTCTCGCACCTGTTTCTCCGGCAGAGAAAACCTGTTGTTTTTCGATGTTACTACTGCAAAGAATACGTATATAGTGATGTCTTCTGAATCTTCAGGGAATGGATGCTCTCCATCGCGACGCGGGACGCCACGGGAAGGTGGTTCATGAGGTACGACCCGGCAACGAAGAAGACGGCGGTGCTGCTTAGAGGGCTCCAGTTCCCCAACGGCGTCGCGGTCAGCAGCGGTGGCGACTTCGTCCTCGTGGCGGAGACGACGAAGCAGAGGGTCCTGAGATTCTGGGTGAAGGGTTCCAAGGCGGGCAGCTCGGAAGTGTTCGCGCAGCTCCCCTGGTCGCCGGACAACGTGAAGACGAACGGGGAGGGCGAGTTCTGGGTGGCCGTGACGTCGACGGAGAGGAATGTGGTGGGAATGAAGCTCGACGGGCAGGGGAGGACCACGCAGGTGCTGCGCCGCAGAAGCCCCTCGGGAACGGTCAGCGAGGTCCAAGAGATCAACGGCACGCTGTGGCTGGGGTCGGTGGAGAGCTCTTTCGTCGCCGTCTATAGTAGATCGTCGTCATATCCATTTCCGTCTTCCCCCCGCTCGCCATCTTCCTCCTCTCTGTCTCCCACTAGTCTTCGTCGCTCTCTCTAGGTTTCTTCTTTTTTTTCAGGATGTTCTAAACGAGTTAGTGCTGCACTCACCAGCTTTTATGAAACTTCCCTAGTTGACTCCCTTCGTCGTTTGCAACTCTTTTGTAGAGCGTGAGATTTTCAAATATCTGTATGAGACAATTTCAGTCAAATCTCTCTCTCTCACCTATACCTATAATCAGGTGAAGAGAATAATGTGATATAGAAAATTAGAAAAATGTTGAGAGAGAACTGGGCCAGCTTCTCCTACTCAGCCCCTCCTCTCCTCTGCCATGAAATAATTGTCGTAATGGAATCAACAGTTTGACAGCATCAGTGTTTATATGGTGCAACTCTCAATCTGATAGATCCCCAGGACAACGCTGCATCTCCATTTCAATGCTAGTTCAGAAATAATCTATCCACGAAGAGACAAGACTCATGGAAAAAAGATCCCGCGATAAGAATCATTGTGTAGAGTCCATTTCACGACGTACCTCTCTGCCAGCGAGAGGGAGAGAGAGAGAGAGAGAGAGAGAGAGAGAGAGAGAGAGAGAGAGAGAGAGAGAGAGAGAGAGAGAGAGAGAGAGAGAGAGAAGAGAGAGAGAGAGAGAAGAGAGAGAGAGAGAATAGCAGATCCAGGACTGCTCATGAGGATCCCATTGTGCTGGCTTTCGGAAACCCAGGAAGGCCGGCCTGCCCTCCAGATCCCCCGTCTCTTCTTTTCATCCCTCCGGGCCACTGCCGGCTGTCGGCTGCTATCTATCCCAAACTCTGCAACCCACCCGGGCGCTCAACAAGCCAGCGGTGCCGCCCGCAGAAGGAATGATCAAACCCCATCAATCTCTTCTGCATCCGCGACGCAGGAAGGCTGCCTCCGAAGTCGGACAGAATGATCCGAAATACTCCGTTGTGGCAGAAAAGAACAGTTTTTTTTGGTATGAAATATCTTCCTGGGTTTCCATTGAGTGGCCTGTAGATACTCGTCTGATCTTTTGGCTTAGAACATCTACAATTATTATTTTTGCCATATTTTCAGAGACATGACCGGCAACACACGCTAATATGGTTTTCTCAACCAAGAAAAATAATCTCTCTCTCTCTCTCTCTACTTTGGATTCGAGTAACCATCCACTTGTAGATTCCAAGGCCTCGTTTTATAATCTGTGGGGCCCGGAAGGGGAAACAAGCCCCATGGCCCGGAGCCCGGAAGCCCATTCGTTCATTACCCCCCATCTCCATGGCCAGCTGCACCTGATGATGGAGAAACAATCAGAGCTCACCATGTTCCTCCAGGCCCGCCAACAGCCGAGAAATCTTCGAAGCCTAAAGAGAGAAGCCAAGCTTAGATGAGTCCCCCTTCCTGGCTTGGCTTCTCTCTCACTTGATATTCGGTCTCTTGGGACTTTTTTTTACTGCGGGCCCCACTTCGTCCACGCGTCACCTTATCCGTAAAGAGATGCCTGACCTTTAAGAGTAACTATCTGTTAATGTGGCCCTCCCTGTGTGTGGTCTGCGTAGGTTTGTGGTGATGGTTTCTCAATCCCGGGAGATCTCCGTTTTCTCCCTCCTGATGCCGTCGCACTGCCACCACAAAAACCAGCGGGGAACGCGAGGACGACGAGCGAGGGGAACAAAGGGACGGTGGAAGCAGGATAAGGTGACTTCTAGACCCAGCTGGCGGACAGAGTAGGAGGAGAGCTCGTTTGCGCGGAGATGATGAAGACTCTGAACAATCCCCGTGCCGGTGTCCGGAGCTTTGGGGCCCCGTCCTGCTTGTCGGGTCCTTCTCCTGCTGCTGGCGGGGGTTTCACGGCGACGAGCCGCAGCTGCTCCCGCCTTGTCGTCCGAGCCAAAGGCGAGCCCTTTTTTCAAGCCCCTCTCCCCTCTCCCCTCTCCCCCTTCTCGGTTGGACCCTCTCCGGTCTGATGATCTCTGCGTCTATTTGTTGGATTGGTTTTGCTTATCTGCGGCGAGGTTTCGCATATCGGTCGTTCTACGGTCGTAGTTTCTTAATCCATAATGTCGGTAGATCACTTTCTACCGCGTCGAGTTTGGATCATCATCTTGGTCGAGTAGTGTGGCTGGCCTGCATCCTCAAGGAAAATTGCCCTTGTTTCTTAGTCCGTTGGGAATCTCTCTTCACTTTGTTTCTGTCCTTGTCAACGGAACGTTGGGTCTGGTTTTCTGTGGGCTTGTGCAAAGAAGTCCTGATGCTAGTGAGATCCAACCATATAATGGTTCGTTCTTTTGAAGGCAAGAAGATAGTCATCATCAGATGAACTGTATCTTGATTCCTGGTCTTTAGTTCATGCTCTGTTCATTTTTAAAATACAGCTCAAGGACAATTAAACAATAAATGATAGAAGTGATATATCTGTGTTCCTGAATGATAAGAACTAGAAATTAAAAGTTCACACATTTGTATGTTATTTGATGATTCTGTTCTTGGAAGGGATGCTCGGAGGGAAGATGATCTCACCTGCCCTAGTGCTTGTTTTGGCGTGTTGGCAGTAAAGGAAAAACGTGATTATTTTTCAGCAGTTGACCTTCAAGATGTGCTAGAGATAGAAATGAGCTCGTTCATATTAGAACTCGGATTTGGGCTTACGCAGTTAAGTTATAGAGCAATGAATGGAACGCCTATCAAGATTGGACAGAAACTAGTGTCAATATGGGAGAAGAATTGTGCATGCCCATGTTCAAATGGGTAGACGAGGAAGGCTAGGAGGTAAAGAAACGATTAGGGCAGATTCTGAAGCTCTCATAGATTTGGGAAGAAATAAAGAAAAGGATTGACATAGTGGTCTCACATTTTAAAGTTTCGGTGTGAAATATATCTATACATTTAGTTGAATGGAGCACATTTTCATTTTCAAAATGAAAAATTCACTGTTATTTTTCAATTCGGTAAATTATTTTTATTGTATCCTATATATGTGATCTGACTGATCCAATATTTTTATTTTCTTTCTTCTCCTTCGTATATTCTCATGATTTCTATGATCACTTCTATTACATGATCAGTATCCCTAGCAGCTTTGCATAGCATATAGAGAAGAAGAAAGTTCTAACATTATCCAGATTCTACAATCGTTGGAAAATATTTCCCGTGCCTCATAACCTGGTTTTCCACATTTCTAGTGTTTAGACAAACAGAAGGCCTGAGGTTACTTATAAAATCGTCTGTATCTAGGTTTGAGGCACAGGGGCTGGTATCTTCTACTTGAGGGTTTCTGATTGACATGTTTTCCTGTTTGACACATTGCATTGAATCAGAAACAACTGAGTCGGTAAATTTTTGATGTTTTTATCATTTGATGAAATTATTGTACTTCCATGCAAGTGAAGTCCTTTTTTTCATTTTACAGTCGAGCCTTCAGAGAAATCTGTGGAGGTTATGAGGAAGTTCTCTGAGCAGTATGCTCGTCGCTCAGGAACATATTTCTGCGTTGACAAAGGAGTCACGTCTGTCGTTATCAAGGTACTTGAAGCTGCTAATATATTTCACGCCATGTTTTTGGCAATATTCTAAACAACTTGTGTTACCTGCTGCAACATCTTATTTTTCAGATGACTGTGATCCAGATAACTAGTTATATTTCAATATCTTTTTATCTTATGCTGGAAGGTCGTGTCACAGTCCTTCCTTCAGTCATATGTTCCTCAGTTAACTTTACTTGAAATCAAGTCATGGTTGGTTGAAATGATGTGTGACTTAAAAAATCAAGGCTTAGCAGTCATTACGGGGATTTGATGTGTAGTTTCGAGGTCTTGATTGATCAGCCAAGGGCTAAATTAGCTGTCTGTTTTGGAGCCACCAGAAGTTTGCTGATGTGACCAATTTGAGCTCTCCCAAATGGTCTCTAGACAGGTCCGATGAGACATGAAGAAAGTTCTCTGTTCTTTCTGATCGGGTGACTTTGGCCTATTGATCAAAACTTCAATTCCAATCTGACCAATCTAATGTTCTAGTACGATACAGATCATTATGCTTGTTGAATCCAAAAGCGAGAAAAAATCATGTCCTTTAGATAGTCTGCATAAATTCATAGTATTTCTTTAGTTCGTAAATAGAAATATGAGTAAATTTTATTCTCATTCAGCTGGATCATTCACACTCCCAGTATGACAAAGTGGAAAAGGGATTGTGGTTGGTATACTGGAGGCAGTAGGACGTGATGTTGCAGAGGGCAACGAATTGGAGGTAGCAATGGATCGTGTAGCCGGAAGGATATACTGGGCAGGAGAGAAGTAATTTGGTAGAAACAAGGGGATGAAGGGTGAATATGGAAGGAGACAAATAGTAAGAAGCTGCTGGGATGATTGCGAGCTGGTTATCTTCTTTTTAATACGTTCGGTTGGTAAAGGTCAAGTCATGTGAAGAAGACTCAAATGGCGGAGAAACAATAGGTGGGGTTTATTTTATAAAGGAATGTTGTGACATGGTCAAATCTTTATATTCCTGTTTATCTGATCTGAATTCAGTGATATGAGTCCATTTATGATACCTATTCCCTCAAAGAGGTAGATGTCCTACATTACTCGTTATGGATACTTGTGTCCAGAATTCAATGTATCATTTTTCAATAAAATTAAAAATATTAGGCTTGATGCAGACCATCAAAATATTATGAAAGATTAGGTGGGAGGCAGGGGAACTGGTCTCGTTTGGAATATGCTGATTATTGTTCGCAGTTTCCTGTAGTGTTGGAGCAAGTTCTGTTTGACTGCCTTAAATGATTCTTTGCAGTAAAACGGTTGTTGATTGATGAGAGATTTTACCAAGTATAAAACCCAATACTCTTCGTGCTATTACATGATTTTGGTTTTCCTTTTGGTTGTCTTTATTTCTGTGGTTACTTTGGAGGCCTAAAAGAATAAGTTAAACTTTAAATAGGGCTTGGCTGAACATAGAGATTCCCTGGGAGCACCACTATGTCCTTGCAGGTAAATAATTTTTGATTTCACTGTAAATCTCTTGTTTTGTTCTTCCCTTTATTTTTTTTCTTATTTTGTCAGGATTTTTTTAAAAATTCCAGTTTATTTATAAGTTTCACTTCAAATGCCTTGAAATTTCAGGCATTATGATGATAAGGCGGCTGAAGCGTCTCAAGGATTTTGGAACTGCCCCTGTGTTCCCATGCGTGAAAGGTCAGTTAGATCACCACAGAGCCTCCTTAACATGAAACCTTTCCAGTTGAATCTTCATTGAGGAAATAATTTCTCCAATATAGTTGTCTATATGAAAACCCTGAAACTATGTTGATGACTACTAGTGATATATTGCTTCCTCTGAGTGTTTCTTGGTCACTTTCTAAAGAAACCAACCCCGTACTCACTATCACCATCATAAGCGTTTGCTAATCAGGATGGCCCAGAAATAGATGCCATGAGACGAAGATTTGGGAAAGTCTGTAGTTCTGCTCCTTCCAATGCTAATCCTTCCCAGATTCTTGGAAGCACTTCATAGTTTGAAGGTTTCGATTTGTCTACTGTTGTCCACAGTCGAATGGGCACAACAGATGGATAGGATTCCAACTAATAATTACTTTTTTTAATTGCAGGAAGGAGTGCCACTGCATGCTTTTTCTAACTCCAGACAATGATTTCGCGGGGTCAGACCAGGTGATTTGATAACCTGTTAACCCTAGCCATTGCTAACGATCTCTACTTGATCTATTTCAGAGTAAGCTCTATATGACTCACATATAAAAATAATAAGGCTGTCCAGACTAAAATCAGCAAGAAGTGAGTGAAGTACGGCTACATTTTTAACAACATGGTTGACTTCTCCCGTTGAATTTTTGGGAATGTTCTAACATTAGGGAAGGAAGACTTATTGGTACTGGTTTTGGCCATCATTAAAATACATAATGAGCATCTGGAGAAGGAAATGAAGAGAAACCTGTGTTCATTGGGTTTCATGCGTACTTGATCAATATATCTAAAAAATAAACTAGTAAGAACTTTGCCTTCACTCAGCTTTTTAGTCGCATCACAATAGTCAATCTCTCTGGTTTTGTAAATCTAAACCCTCAGGTTTCTTCATCAGATCGAGTCCCCTTTCTAAGTTAATCCAATCGTGCTTACTATTGTCATGCTCATTGATGACACTAGTTTTGGCTGAAATATTTTTTATGAGATTCATTAGTGGTTAGAAATTTGGGACACTAGTGACTAGGTTCTTCTAGGTTTTTGGGAAGATTAACCTTGTCGGTCACAAGTAGGCCATAAAAGGATTCATTAGTGATGAATTGGTATGAATCCTTTTTGCTTTACGTTCATACTTGGTGAGTGAACTCTGTATCAAGTCCTTGTACAGATAGAATAAAGTATAAATTATGGTGTTGGTGTTCCTCTCCTTCGTCCACTCTTCCAGAAGAACTTTTGCTTAGGGTTTACTAACTCAAATACACAATAAAAACATATTAACTTTAGGTCATGAGCTTGCATGTTTCATGACTTGAACTCCTCAATGACTGCTTGTTCCATGCTAATTTGCCATTCTAGACTTATGGCTCCAGAATGCCTCAGTTGGTCACTGATTCTTACGATTAGTCAGTCACTCAAAGAGCCGGAAAATTCTCAGCAAAATCAATCAGAAAATTTACCTCTCACATTTGTATTCCATGATTAGTTAATGCATATTCTTATTCAATATTATGCATGGTTTTGGGCGAGTTCCATCCATTGATCTACTACTGATTACTTGATCTAATTTTGTTGCAGAGAATCTCCACGGAGGAGATTAAGGAGACAACGGCCAACTACTAATGGTCCGTGTAAATTCTCTGCTTATTACGTCATGGTTCTCTAATGGTGTTATCATCTGTTGATGGGCTTATATCCCAGAACTTTGTAACTCGTTGCTTTCCTGTGGCAAGTCTTTTAATGTAAATTCCGGATCAATGGTGTTCAATGTGATGCCGTAATGAAGATAACGCATAGAGTGGTTGACCAAAAGAGAAAGATTGAAGACTTTGAAGAGGATGATACACTTTTAGATGACTAGTCAACTGCCTTCTTATTATGAGGAACTTGCTGAAAAGTAATTAATTTTTTTTTTTTAAAATCAGAAGCTAAAGTAGCTTTTTAGGTATCTGAAGGAAATAAGCCTTCTTCATGAGTCAACTCACTTCTATACTTGGTTATCATTTCTTCTATTGAATGAGTCAATTTACCTGCAACAAAGGTAAGTGAATAAATAAAACGTTCTTAATGCATAAGAAATAAGATTTGTGAGAGTAAAAGCACCATTTTAAAAGACTATTGAGTGTATTCATTAGTATGAGTGTGAAACCCATGTAACTAGACGAGTGTACTCATGAATTGACTCTTTTATTGAGAACACAAACTACTTGAGTTCACATAAAATGAAACAATTTGAATTCATATAATAACTAACAAACTATGATGGAAATATTTTCTCAATTCTGGTCAAAATTATGTTTGTATATATCATTGAGATTTAAGGCTAAACTTAGATAAAAAAGGAGAGAAGATTGAATTTGATCAACTTCTAATATTTATTTTTTAATCAACTTTATTTAAGATCTTCAATCTCTTCCAAATCTTAAGTCTTATAATACTTATAGATCAATCAATATAAGACTAGACTGCTTTTAGATTTATTTATGACTCTAGGAAGCTAACAATTGATCAATAGGTTTAACTCATACAAGTGACTATAGAATATTAATCACCACTTTATTGCACAAATAATAAGGAAAACTTTCACGATGAGATACATTCAACTTGAGAAGCATCCAAAAATTTGGTGAGCAGGAGAATGATGTAGTTTTAAGTTTTTTATTCCTCTTCTCATATAGATGCCAATAAAAGGTGGAAGTTCGTGCAACTTGAATTTGGTTGAGAAAGAACTTTGAAAACATAAAATAATTCTTAAACTTGCCATCTTTGTGAAGGGTGAGTAATAATACAGGTCTCTGAATTATTTTTTAGAAAAAATCAAGAGATGACTTGAATCATAAGGGGGAAAAGACAGTTGTTCCAAACTAATTAAACTCAAAAGTTTTTTTGAATTTATATATGAAAACGAGGTAGAAATTTTAACATACGGAAAACCAATACAATATGTTAGTTAATGATTAGAATATCACCAATAGAAATAAATACATACTTCATAAAAATACGGTGTATATATCAACCATATTAATTTGGCCAAGTTTGGTAAGGATTTGATATTTTTAAGTAGAATTGATAATGCATGAAGATAAAATGAGGATGTCCTAATCAAAATTTATCCAATTTAAAATAAAATAAGACTATCAAGTTAATGCCTTCAGTTATAATCTCAATGTTTATAATGTAGCATTAGTGATTCAAAATATTGAAAATCATTAATTCTGAAAATGAATTCATTAATGTTTGAAAAATCTTATGCAGTAGAATGAAAACTACATTCAATAAATTAATTTCATATAAAAAATATTTGAAATTAATGATGTAGTATCATGGGTACATAATAGAGAGTAAATTTCAGTCCTTTTTTTCTTCATAAGTTCTTCTTGATCTAAATGTTCTAATTGCTTATTTTGTCACAATGATAGTTTATTTAAATATTAATAATGTTTACAAAATATACAAACTAATAAATTCACACAGTAAAATCATCGAAGTAAATGAATTCAATCTTTTACCATGAATGTATTGAATCAATTCTCATTTGGGCACTTAAAGAATTATCTCTTAATAATTCTATCTTTAGTCTCATGTAAAGTATATTCAAAATTAAGCATAATTTGATATTTTCATCTTATAATCATTTATTATCATCAAGGCATCATACATTTAAGATTCCAACATATATTTTCTCTTTTTTTATATAGTTAAAACTAAAAATGCTCCAGAAGACAAGAATACCTCCTTTTATGATATTGACAAAAGTTATACATGTGGAGAATTATAATAGAGAGAAAGGTGTCAATTTTTGGAGTGATGCTTGATAAATCAACCTCGTAAAATTTAAAAACGCATATTTTTGAATACGCTAGAAAACTATTTGTAGAGAAACGATTATATAATAAAAATTCAATCTCAACCATGTGTGAAGAGCTAGATCAGTTTGAAAAGAGCAAAGTCTGGACACTTGTGTCTAGATCATCAGATAAATCTATAGAATCAATTGGGTATTCAAAACTAGCTGGATGAGAAATGATTATTAAAATAATAACAACACCAAAAGCCTAAGGGAATACATCAAAAGAAGAAATAGTTGTGATAAAACATATCTACAAGAGGATAGATTAAATAAAATTATAATATAATTGTTACATATATATAGAAAGGACACAAAACTATAGAGATGTTTTAACAATTAAAATAGATGAGTGTTTTATGCATAATGAGATTAAATAAAAGGTCTATGTCTATCAACCATCTGGTTTCATAAATTAAGGTTTTAAAGGAAACATTGGGTTCAATTTTAATTAGACAACACTCTTCACTTAAACAAAGAAAAGTGATGCACAATGATTTTTATGAAATAATAATACATGAATTAAAAATTCATATGATGGGTAAGTATAGTTTCTTCCTTGGATTATAAATAAAATAGGGAAGAAAAGTGGCATATTCAAATATGTAAATGAGCTTGACATGAAAGAAGAAAAATGAAGAAAACTCCAAGATATTAGAATATGGATGAGAATGGAAAATCATTTCACCAAAAATGTTTTTGAGGATTGATTAGATCATTGCTATGTCTAATGGCTGGCATAATTCGTATTCTTTTTAGTGGGTGTTATAGATTCCAAAGAAATATAAAGTAAACACATTGAGACATATTTAAGTGGATAATTGAGTACTTATTCTACTCATTTTGGACATTATAGAGAACCGAATCACATAAAAGCCACATACTAGAGTGACTGATGTGCTAATGGAGAAAATGCATAGAGTGACTGACCAAGAGAGGAAAATAGAAGACATTGAAGAGGATGATGGACTTGTAGACAATTAGGTTTAGGGCTGTCAATGTGCTCTAATAAAAAGCATGGTAAAAAGGGGTATTTGTGGATTCACTCAAGAAAAATCACATCTTTGGAATCATTTAGATGTGGTTGCCCTTGAAGTTCTACTAGCATCATGTTCTCCTCTTGTAAAGGGCAGAAGTTCACATCTCATGTAGCACATTCACATACAAGATTTCGAAGTTGAGAGTATGAATATTCTTGATCTTGTGGGTGCTTGAATGGTTAGTAAAATTTTGACGAGATTTCACTTGTAACAAAATGTAGGTGATAATGTTTGGTCTGAATATAATAAATTGATGTGTTGCTGAAGCATGTGTTAAGAGCTCTTGTGATGGGTGTTTTACAATGTGTTTTAATTCAAAATCATTGAGATAATTTTTTTTATATGGGTCTACTATTTTATTGATTCAAAGAGTAGTCTACCCAAATAGATTATTAGTTTTTGTCCAACTCAACATCTAGACATATAGATATCATTTTATTTTATTTTATTTTGATCTTTTGATATGTTAGAATACATATAGCCAGTTAGAGATCTTTTGGAATGTTAGGTAGTTTGAAAAGATCGAGCATATTTAATATTTTAATATAATATATACTTCAGTCTCATGATATTTTAATTGCCTATGAATTAGTTGATACGTGGATAGGCAAGTTTTCTCTTCTTTGAGCTTGAGAAGACAAGGTGACGAAGATCTTTCCTCAATGATGGTTCAATGAAAATAAGAAAGGAGATAGTATTGAATGCAATCAGAAAGGTGTTCCTCAAGATGGTTCATTGTTTCATCAAACGGTCAAAAAATTTCAAGAAATTCATGCAGACAACATTACTCGCTGTTTAACGTCTGCTGATACTTTATACACACTCGCATGTCACGTCAATGGGTACTCGTGGATTCGGTCAAGAACTATTCTTGCTTGTTTCGAATCACGAGTTTACGAATCTGACTTCATTCTCACACCAGGAGACCTTCGTTCTTTCCGGCTCATTGGGGCTCCTACGCCGACGTTCCGCTCCACACGTCTCTCATCCACCGCATGATTCTTTTCGTTTCTCCTGCTAGCCAAAAGCGTAAAGCGCATCAAAATCCGAGTGCTGAGGAGGGAACAAATACCGGACAAGACGATGACACAAAGCTCAAGATGCCCAGAGACTCGCCTCGATCGAGCGACGCGTCACCGTCGTCCTCCTTTCTGGCTTCACTTGAATTGCCATCCCATTGGACCTGATCGTGGCGAGGCTCCCTGTCAGTGACGGTGAGCTCCCTGGGAGAAGAGAATAAGACCGGAAGCCTTAGGCGTGCGTACCTTCGCGACGACGACCGTGATGTCGTCGGTCTTGCCGCCGATCCAGGGGGACCCGGCCGCCCGACTGGCCACCCCGAAGGGTGTTTCTTTCCCTTTCCTGTAGGCGTCTTCGGCCGCCGCCGCCAGGGCACGCGCCATCTCCTCCGCCGTCCCGCCGAAGACGTCCGCCCGCTTTCTTGCTACCAGCTCGACGATCTCCTCCTCAAACAGGTTGTCGAACAGCCCGTCGCTCGCCGCCACGATGACGTCGCCGGGGACGAGCTCCGTCGCGAGCTCCACGGCCCTCTTGAGCGGAGTGCCTTCGTCCACCCGGCCGATCTGGAAAGGGAAGTTGAAGGAGTGCTGTTGCGAGGGGGAGCGGTAAGCGACTGCGTCCCCTCGCACCACCATGAATCCGCTGTCGCCGATGTTGACGGCACGCAGGAGCTGCCCGTCCACAGCCCCGATGCACGCCGTTGACGTCCCCCTAGCGGTCGTCTTCCTCAGGGCTTTCTTGAGGATGCGTCGCAGCACGGACCCGGTGGCTCTGCAGCTACCGGCTCGCTCCAGCTCCTCCTTGCAGGAGGACATCAACTGCCGGGCGAACTTGCCGGCGTCCACGCCGCTCTTGGACCAGCAGCCGACGCCGTCGGCAACGCCGAACGCGTTCCTCGCTTCGCTGACGAAGTGGGCGTCCTCGCCGAGCGGTTTCCTTCGTTTCTTGGGCCGGGAGGCGCTGCCCATATCCAGCTTCAACCTCCATCGGGGAGCTGCAGTGCCGGACTCCCCGGCCGTCTCCACCTCCGTGAACGAAGACGAGGAAAAAGATTCATCAGGCTTGCCGTTGATAGCGGAGCCGAACCACTTGGCGTCCCAGAAGTCGAAGGCATCCTCTGGATCCTTATCGGTGCCGCCGATGCGCATCTTCTTGGCTGGAGGAGCGGAAGAAACCCCACCAGCCTCATCCTCCGGGCGACGTCGCTTAAATCCACAGGGGGCTTCAGCGCTACAGCTCACCTCCGTCATCTTCCTATCAAAAGACGAGGTTCTTGGTGCTTTGCTTTCGGTGCTCTACGATGAGGGAGGGAGGGAGAGAGAGAGAGAGAGAGAGAGAGAGAGTCTGAGTGAAGGAATTAGAGTTGTGATGAGCAGGACGATGAGAGCAAGGCAATATACTCTGGACTTGGATTGATGTGGAAACTTAGACGGTAGAAGCGGAGGGGAGGGTATTTAAGGTTGTTATGCCCGTTGTGATTGATATCATTATCTTTAGTAAAAGTCGTTAGAGGTATTTATCTCTCTCTTTCTTCTCTCTCTCTCTTTCTCTCTCTCTCTCTCTCTCTTTGTCTCTCTCGCTCGCTCGCTCGCTCGCTCGTTTGATCGCTGTAGAGAAAAAAGAACCAAGAACCAAGAATCCGCCGAGGGTGTAGATGATGGCCGTACTCTCGGCATTTTCGGCGGCATTTCGAGCCGTCCTCCTAAGAAGACGAGACTGGGACAACTCTCCCAACAGCTCTTTGGACTTCTTGGACGCCAAATCAACGCGCTAGGTTCCCGACGGTGACTTGGATGCGTCTTCCTCCCAAGAGGATCTGCGACGTAGACGGCCGGGCCATCACGGGTCTTGGTGGAAGAAGACGATACCAAAGACGCGTCCAGCTCGCCAACCACCGCGGAGCCGAATTACTTGGCGTCCCAGAAGTTGTTGATATCGGTGCCTCCGACGATCACCTTCTTGGCAGGAGAACCGGTAGAATCGCCGCCGGCCTACATCCTCCAGCCGCCGTCGCTTAACTATGACGGGGGCTCGAGCATCAGAGAGCACGGCCATCATTTTGCTCTGGTTCTTGGTTCTTGATTCTTCATTTTTCTACAGCGAGAGAGAACGAGAGAAGAGGAGGGAAGATTGGATTGTTCTTCAGAATGCCTCGAAATATATACTGGGTTGATGTGAAAACATGACTTGGGAGAAGGCGGGGTTGAGCATCTGATGATGATAAAGACTATTCCTAGCTGCCACTGAAACCTACTCTCCGTCGCGATGTCCCCTCGGACAATCACCGAGAATCGGCCCTCCAGAAACTGAGGAAACAGTTGAGCATGCATATATATCCAACTGAACTACAGGATCTTGATATCGTTATCGACATACAACAGCAAGGAAGGGAGTCGCCAAGGGTAGGCCACAGCTCGAGCCAACCTGCTTCGACTTGTAATTCTGAGGTTGAACGGGTGTTCGCCCGTTTATATGATTAGAATAGACGGGTTTCAGAACGATGACACCGCGGCTCATCTCAGATGAAGAGTGGTTGTGCTTGGTGTTGGAAGTTCTAGGTCATAGGGAAATAGGGTAATTAGTTGAGGGTATTTTGGTAAACTTTCTGTATTGTTACTCCCTATATAATGGGGGTTACAGTTGAATGAATCTTGAGGCGGTTTCCGCCGTTCTCCTCTCTGTCCTTCGTGACGAGGTTTTTTTCTCTATTTCCAACATGGTATCAGAGCGGGTTCGTTCCGCTAAGGTTCGTCGGCTCTGTCCGACTTCTGTCATCTGGGGAAGCGCCATCGCCTCCACCACTGTTGCTGCCGCCTCTGTTTGGCGTCTCCTACCTGAGGGAGCACCACTGCTGCTGCTGCCAGCTCTGTTCCGCGTCGGTTCTGCTCGACGTCGCTTGTCTAGGGAGCGTCGACGCCACCACTAACATCTGGCGACAGACAGGTTACAGGTTACAGGTTAGGGTTTCAAAACCCTCTTTGTTCGGCGAGGCCTTCCACCTCTGCCGAGTATCCTTCCGGCGAGGTTTTCCGCCTCTGCTGAGTATCCTTCCGGCGAGGCCATACGCCTCTGCCGAGTACCTTTCCGGCGAGGCATTCCGTCTCTGCCGAGTATCTTTTCGGCGAGGCACACTGCTTCTGCCGAGTGTCTTTCCGGCGAGGCCTTCCGCCTCTGCCGAGTTTCTTTCTGGCATCATCTTGATGCACTTATTGCGCCATTGGAGGCGTGTTATCTTTCCGCCGTTTAAAGGCGTGATATTCTGCCATTTCGAGCAGGTTTTCCTTCCGCCATTTAGAGCGGTTATACTTTCGTCAGTCCTCTAATCTAGGACGACGAGTTCACTGTCATCTCCTCTTCCGGCGAGGTTCTCTGCCGGCGAGGTAGTTCTACGACAAGAGAGCACTGATCTTCGTCTGTCATTTGACAGTATATTTGAGTTCATCAGTAGCAGGTTCGTCAACGACATCTTCAAATTCATCGTCGTCATTTCTGTCTGCATCAAGCCTTCTGTCTAGAGGCTGAATAAATATCTTGGTCTATTACCGTTGTTTCCACCTTCATCAGCGTTTTATGAGAGGTAAAAATCAACTTCTTGTTCACGCTTGTCTCAATCCAGTGTCGTACTCCGTCTTCCTTAGTTCGTCTCCCTATATTCAGCATCAGTTCTATGTCTTCCCTAGTCTGGTGACCAAAGTTTTCCACAGTTCACATTGCTACAGTCTATGTTGTCTGGTGTTGTCTGCTCACCTCTGCTTTCATCGAAATGGTCTTCACCTTCCAGTTCCTTTGCGAGTTCATTATTCGATCGGTGGAAGGGTTTCTGGCCTGCACCTCTCCTGAGAGTTAAGCCCCATCATCAAATCAACTGTCATAGTTGAGAGCCTTTGCATCAGATCTTGACACTATGCAGATCTCCAAGATGGTTGTCCTCGCGGCTTCCATCATAGGCAAGTCTGGGAAAGCACTTGTCTCAAGGCAGTTTGTGGATATGGCTCGAATAAGGATAGAGGGCCTACTCGCAGCATTTTCGAAGCTTCTTGGTACTGGAAAGCAGCATACCTTTGTTGAGATGGAAAGTGTATGCTATGTCTACCAGCCGATTGAAGCTCTCTATTTGTTACTTGTAACAAACAAGCAGAGCAACATTCTTGAAGATCTGGAGACACAGACTTTATCAAAACTTGTGTTTGAGTATGCGTCGTATCTTGATGAAGAAGGTATTTGCACAAGTGCGTTTGATCTGTTTTTACGCCTTTGATGAAGCTCTCTCTCTTGGAAACAAGGAGAATGTAACTGTTACTCAGGTCAGGCAATACTGTGAAATGGAGAGTCATGATGTGAAATCTTGGAAATCCATCTTGATATCAGTCACCTCTTATGCATTGGGGATTTTTATGATTTCTAAATCTCCATGGTATCTTCTCCCTCTGGCTTGGGCATGGACTGGCACAGCAGTGACAAGGTTTTTTTGTGATAGGCCACGACTGCACTCACAAGTCATTTTCGCGCAATAAATTAGTGGAAGATATTGTTGGAACCCTGACGTTCTTGCCCCTCATCTATCCTTATGAACCATGGCGATTTAAGCATGATCAACACCTTGCCAAGACGAACATGCTACAAGAGGACATTGCTTGGCATCCTGTGAGAAGAGAAAAATTTGATTCTCAGCCTCTTCTGCGGAAAGGAATAATCCTGGAATATGGCCCATTCCGACCTTGGATGTCCATAGCTCACTGGTTAGTTTGGCTTGAGCACTGATACTAAATCTTTATCAAGCAAAGCAAAAGGTCGTCCACCTGCATCTGCCAATGCTCCTCCTAAAGGTCTTGGTATGAAAACTCAGTAAAACGCACAGACAAACCAGTTTTTTGGAATCTCTCAAAGAATCTGGACAGCAAGTGTACAAGGGCAGCAAGTGAGCTGTCTTTGGGGCATGACAACATTAGAGGAGTCACAGGTGTTGGTGAATCCACAACTGCAGTGGTGGTCATCTGCGATTACCATCAAAGGGAGAGTTGTTGTGACAACAGATCTTTGTCATCATCAACAAGTGAATGTTCAGAGGGCAAGATTTTTTGTCATCATCAATTTAGTCAAGATGAATTTTTCAAAGTTCATCTTGAGGGGGAGTGTTGGAAGTTCTAGGTCATAGGGAAATAGTGTAATTAGTTGAGGGTGTTGTGGTAAAAGTTGTGTATTGTTACTCCCTATATAATGGGGTTTACAGTTGAATGAATCTTGAGGCGGCGTATCGATGGGTCGACATCCTGTCTTGCTCTTGGCGCTTGTTGGTGCCTCTCAGTCTCGTCGTCTGAGAGGTGCTGCTCAAAGGACAGGGGGGTTGAGCTCTGGAAAGAACTACTCCCCTCTCCACTCTTGACATTTCTTGCCTCACCATTGCTAACAAGAACTGCCATTTACTCAAAATTTCTGAATTGTCTGAGTTGAGCAAATTATTTTGTCAAAATTTCTTGCCTATTGTGTAAGGCCCAGAATATCTTGGTTTTGGCCAAATTTATGAATTGTTTCATGCAACGCAAAACTCTTTCAAGACATGTATTTCATTCATAAAACTAAAGTTTTATGAGCTAACAACCTAACCAAATTACCTGAATTCCTTACTATTATTACATGAATTTTAGAGTAAATCTCATTTACTTTTAAGTTTTTGGGCTGAATTTTTAGGTTATGGCTTATGAAGCAAGTTTTTCTACTTATGATTCAAGGGAACCCTTGATCTTGTAGACTCATGATTGTCCTATTATGGATTGAACTATCTTTTTAGGTGTGTCATAATAGAAACTCAACTTATTTAAAGACAAAATGTTGTACCCGTAGAGGCATTTATTCAATATTATGAAAATTTCCTATTTTAAAATTATTTATCATTACTGGTGGATTATGGTATTTTGAGGACTTGGTAGACGTAGTTAGATCTCAAGTCTTTCGATTTCATCAAAATTTACATTATTTCTACTGATTTTGATTTTCTGGAAATCTGGTTATTGTTGATATACCACATTTATTCTAAAAAATGTGGTAAGTTTTGCAAGTAGATAGATATTTGAGGGGCTAAAACCAAATAGACGTAGCTGGCTCGCTCTAAGTGGAAACCAGTGATCATGCAGAAGTGTGGAGGCCTTCACATGCTCTCTTTTTGGGCCAATATTAGGAAATAGAGGCCCACCCTTCTGGGTTGACTGGGCCCATTAATCATTTAGACGTGATGAAGTGTCATAGGTTGGGCCTTAACCAAGACCAAGCCCCAAGCCCAAAACGGGTACAAAGCATGAGTGGCGAATCAGTTGGTGCCACGTCATTGACCTAGAAAAAGTCCGCCGCAAAAGGAGATGTCTGAACGCCTGCACGTTCACTAACGTGCGCACGTCCAGCGCATCTCTTATCCCGTGCTTACGTCACCTACCCGGGTGAACAGCTCGTGCAGCGCCCACGTAGGCAGTCTGATCACCGTCCGCTACTTGATCGGATCACCCCTCCGCCGCTCGATCTCCCTAAAGGCGGAGGGCCCACCGGAAAAGATGATTCTTTCTGAGAAGAGCTTGCTTCCCCCTGAAGAAGCCCTCCGCGGTCCCACATTTCTTCTCTCTCTGTCTCTCTCTCTCTCTGGTCAAACCAGGCCGTTGGGTTTATTGGAGGTTTCGGAGAGGTTGTTGGAACGCAAATGAGGTAGCGACATAAAAGTCTAGAGAGAGAGAGAGAGAGAGAGAGAGAGAGAGAGAGAGAGAGAGAGAGAGAGAATTGAAGAGGGCTTAGGGATTGTATCTATTGTGTTATATAGAGAGAGGTATAGACAGAATTGAAGAGGGCTTAGGGAGCGTATCTTTAGCTATATAGAGGGAGATGGGAGAGAGATAGAGATAAAGATAGAGATGGAATTGAAGAGGGCTTAGGGAGTGTATCTTTAGATATATATATATATATATATATATATATAGAGAGAGAGAGAGAGAGAGAGAGAGAGAGTTGAAGAGGGCTTTGGGAGTGTATCTATGGCTATATATAAGGAGAGGGAGAGAGAGAAAAAGAAAGAGAGGGAGTGTTCAGGAAGTTGAAGCTTAGAGAGCAGAGTCTCAGGAAGAGAGATAGAGAGGAAAATAGAGAGAGGTGTCTTCGGAAGTGGACAACGTTGAGGGGAGTGGAGATCCTGTCAGAAAAAATATAATATTTGGTCGGCGACATGGGAAACCGTAAACATGGGGGAGGGGAAGGGGGGACCCCTCCCATCGATCCTTTTTATACTCTTTGATTTAATCCAAATTAATCTTTTCTAAATACTCAATTGCCACGTTGACTTCGGAATTCTCAGAATAATAACCTCAAATTCGTCGCCAAAAATCTAATAACTGATTATTTTCATTTAATATGTTCGTAATTAAAAACTATCTTCCCTTAGTTTCTGGCTCATTAAATTTTTTATTTCATGAAATAACCTTCATAAAATAAAATTGTAGCTATACTTTAATTCACAGTTCCCCTGAGGAGCAATTGCAGCCCTGATTTGTCGTCGACAATTGTAGAGATACCCTTCCTCGGTTGGGCCCATGCCTGTACTTTTTTCCATTGGAGAGATGAGTAGGCTGGAGAGTAAAGTAGGTACTTTTACAATTATATTTGAAACGAAGTAAAAGGTTTATATTTTCTCACCCAGAACTACATCCTTCATGGGCACATGTGCGTGACTTGGGGCCCACTTCAGGTGGGAAGGCAGCTGTACTTCAGAGAGATAGAGAGAGAAGGATTGGATAGAGAGAGAGAGAGAGAGAGATAGTGAGATTGAGAAATATGGAGAGAATGGAAAAACGTAAGAGAAGGGCAGCTGTACTTCAGAGATATAGAGAGAGAAGGATTGGCCAGAGAGAGAGAGAGATAGATGGTGAGGTTGAGAATTATGGAGAGAATGGAAAAACGTAAGAGTAGGGTAGCTATAGTTCAGAGAGATAGAGAGAGGATTGGACAGAGAGAGAGAGAGAGAGAGAGAGAGAGAAATGGTGAGGTTGAGAAATATGGAGAGAATGGAAAAACGTAAGAGAAGGGCAGCTGTACTTCAGAGAGATAGGCAGAGAAGGATTGACCAGAGAGAGAGAAATGGTGAGGGTGAGAAATATGGAGAGAATGGAAAAAAGTAAGAGAATGATAGCTATACTTCAGAGAGATAGAGAGAGAAGGATTGGACAGAGAGAGAGAGAGAGAGAGAGAGAGAGAGAGAGAAATGGTGAGGTTGAGAAATATGGAGAGAATGGAAAAACGTATGAGAAGGGCAGCTGTACTTCAGAGAGATAGAGAGAGAAGGATTAGCCAGAGAGAGAGAGAGAGATGGTGAGGTTGGCCAATATGGACAGAATGGAAACCGTAGAGGAGCAGAGGAAGGTGCACATGATTTTTGGAAAAATTTCTCTGCAGGGGTAGAAGAAGAAAGTTTTTGAAAGTAAGGGGTGGATTTATAATTTTAATATATCCATTTATATAATATATATTCAGAGGCTATTTTTGGAAAATATGATATATATGTATTTATCGATTGATGTACGAGGCTCCATTTTAATAAATAATTCAAAAAATTCTTCCCTGATTTTAATAAACAGCATAGAATGTTCTTTGCACTTTCACCTTTTTCAAAAGGTACAAGAAGTAAAAAATAGAAATCTTGAGGGGTTTTTCACAATTAACAGCTCTCTCTCTCTATCAGTCGCTCTCTAGAGGACTTCTTCCTTCGCCTTCCCACTCCACGCCTTCCGAGGGGGAGTAGCCACCGAGGAGATGGGCGCCGGCGAGATTTCCCTCTGGAAAACCCCCTCCGCTGCTTCTCCGGCAGTCACCACCACCGCCACCTCCTCTCCCTCCTCCTCCTCCTCCTCCTCGGAGATCTCCTCTCCGGCCAAGTCCTGCTCCTCCACCTCCCCATCGCCGCTCGAGGAGGAGATCCTCGCTGGCCTCAAGCAGCCCCTGCTCGCCAGCCAAGAGGCGGCACTCATGCTCCTCCGCACTTCCACCAGGGACGGCGGCGCCGCCGTGCGGGCGTCTCTCTGCTCCCACAATCTCCTCGCCGCCATCCTCCCCTTCCTCCTCTCTCGCCGCCCCTCTCTCCAGTCCAGCGCCGGCGCCTCCCTCGTCAACCTCTCCCTCCACCCACCCAACAGGGCACACATTGTCCGGGCCGGCGCCGTCCCCGCCCTCGTGGAGCTCCTCAGGGTCGGCCGAGGGGAGACCCAGGGCCACGCCGCCGCCGCCCTCTTCAGCCTCGCCGTGGAGGACGGCAACAGCGCCGCCATCGGCGCGTTGGGGGCGCTCCCGCCGCTGCTCCGCCTCCTGGCACAGACCTCACCGGCGGCGGAGCGGCTCCGCAGGGACGCCGCCATGGCTGTCTACCACCTCTCCATGGTGGGCACCAACCAGTCGAAGTTGGTTAAGCTCGGGGCCGTGAAGACTCTGCTGGGGCTGGTGGTCGCAGAGGAGCCCACCTTGTCGGCGGCGGCGCTCATGACGCTCTGCAACCTGGGGGCGCGGGGCGAGGGGCGGGCGGCGATGATGGATGCGGGGGCGGTGGCGGCGCTGGTGGGGATGCTGAGGGTGGCGGAGTTGCCGGAGGTGAAGAGGGAGCTGTGCGTGGCGGCGTTGTACTTGATGAGCAGGGGGAACATGAGGTTCCGGGCTCTGGCGAGGGACGCGGCCGCGGAGGAGGTCCTCCTGGCAGTGGCGGAGGGGGCGAAGGGGAGGAGTCGGCGGATAATAGAGATGGCGAAGAAGGCGTTCAGCGCCGCCGCCGCCACTAAGAGGGAGGAAGAAGACGCCGGCGAGCGTTTGTGCGGGAGCTTGCCGGAGCCGGCGCTACGAGGGCGGCGCCGGTGGAGGGCCGATCAACAAGATTTCAGGGGGTTGTTATAATTATTGCCTTTGATGGGGACTCCTTGGTGATTTTAGCCCCTTCTCTGCATGTTGATCTCTCTCTCTCTCTCTCTCTCTCTCTCTCATTTTCTTCCGTCTTTGGGTGCTCTGTAACTTCCAATGCCAGCTGTCAATTTGGAGAACAGCCCGTCAGGGGTCGGGATTGCTAGGTGGGTCAAAACACACAGACTGAAATCTCTCTCTCTTTCTCTCTCTCTCTCTCTCACAGGCACACACACGTACTCTCTCTCTCTCTCTCTCTCTCTCTCTCTCTCTCTTTCTCTAGGTACGAATATATGTATCTATCTAGCTTAAAGTCCATTTTAGGGGTCAACCCAGTGACACCTTTTAATGAACCGATGGGGAGGAGAAACATCTGAGCACTATCTTGGCTTTGACCGGTTAGGAGTCATGATCTCCAGATTTCTTGGGTCAACTACCACGTCGACCTCCCATGCGGCGACTTTTGCAGTGAAGCAACTCGTCTTCTCCCCCGGTGAGCTCTCACAAGTAAACTACTCCCTCAGCTCTCGACGGACGAGGGTTTTTGGTTCTTGGTTCTTGGTGGGAGGACCAAAAAGAAACACTACCGGAGAAACCGCTAGCGTTTCTTCCGGACCTCCAGCCAAGAAGATGCGCGCTGGAGAGACCGCAGACGATGCAGAAGATCTCGTCGACTCCTGGGACACTCAGTGGTTCGGCTCCACCGAAGCAGCTTCCCGTCGGAGGTTGAAGCTGGACATGGGCAGCTCCTGCCGGCCCAAGAAAGGAGAGCACCCGCTCGGCGAGGACGCCCACTTCGTCAGCGAAGAGAGGAACGCGTTCGGCATCGCCGACGGCGTCGGCGGCTGGTCCAGGAACGGCGTGGACGCCGGCGAGTTCGCCCGGCAGTTGATGTCCTCCTGCAAGGTGGAGCTGGAGCGCACCGGCGGCGGCAGAGCCACCGGCCCCGTGCTGCGGGCCGTCCTCAAGAAAGCCTTGGCGAAGACGACCGCCAGGGGGACGTCCACAGCGTGCGTGGCAGCGGTGGATGGGCGGCTCCTGCGTGCCATCAACGTCGGCGACAGCGGATTCATTGTGCTGCGAGGGGACACAGTCGCCTACCGCTCCCCCTTGCATCAGCACAGCTTCAACATCCCCTACCAGATCGGCGGGGTGGACAAGGCCACTCCGATCGAGAGGGCCGTGGAGCTCGCGACGGAGCTCGCCCCCGGCGACGTCGTCGTGGCGGGGAGCGACGGGCTGTTAGACAACCTGTTTGAGCAGGATATCGTGGAGATTGTAGCGAGAAAGCGGGCAGAGGGGCTCGGCGGGACGGCGGAGGAGATGGCGCGTGCCCTGGCGGCGGCCGCGGAAGACGCCTACATGACGGGGCAAGAAAGCCCCTTCGGGGAAGCCAGCCGCGCGGCGAGGATTTCTTGGAGCGGCAGCAAGCCCGACGACGTCACGGTCGTCGTTGCTAAGGTATGCACGTCGAGGCTTCAATCTAGCCTTCTTCTCTTCTCCAAGGGAGGTCACCGTCACTGACAAGTAGCCTCGCCACAATCAGGTCCAATGCGATGGCAATTCAAGAGAAGCGGAGACGGAGGACGATGGTGGCGCGACGGTCGATCGAGACGAGTCTCTGGGCGTCTTGGGCTTTGTGTCATCATCCTTGTCCGGTATAATGCGGTGGATGAGAGATGCATGGAGCGGACGTCGGTGGGCGGAGGAGCTGCAATGAACCGGAAAGAATGGAGGCTTCCTGCTGTGAGATTATAGTCCGATTTGTAAGAAGCAAGTAATGGTTTTTTGCAACTCGTATCCCACAAAAACCAAGAATAGTTATTGGGTGAATCCACGAATACCCACTGACATGATATGATAGTACATATGAAGCGTAGGTAGAAATTAAGCAGCGACTGATGTTTTGTGTGAGAATGTAGTCAGATTCGTAGGAAGTAATACAGAAGCCAAACGACTTGTGATGCCAGAAAAACAAGAATTGCTAATGGGTGAATCGACATGAGTACCCATTGACATGATATGAGTGTGTATAAAGTATAAGTAGAAAGTAAACGATGATGATGTTTTTGATTGAATTTCTAGAATTTTTTCTGCCTATTTGATGAACTAATGATACTGGATTTTTCTTGCCACATAAGAGGAACACCTTTCTTGTTTCATTTAATCCAAACACCTTTGCTATGCTCAATTTCATTCAAACCCATGTATAGAATAATATTAATTCATAAATCAAGTTTATGGACTATAAACATAATTTTGATCATTTACTTGATCTTATATGTGTGTATCATCATCAAAATATTATGTATGTAACACTCCAATATAAATTTGCTCAGTTAGCTACTAACTGAATGAATGACTGTATTTTGAATATCAAGCCTTTGATTCCAGAAAACATGACGTTATGACAAATAAATTCACATGGACAAATATGCTCTATTCAGAATTTTGTTTTTTTAAAATTCAACCCAAGCTTAGGTCTTTCTTCCCATGATCTTTGACCTTGAAAATCACCAGCATACTATTTTTGAGCTTGCGGGAATCACTTTCATTTGTGATTTTTGCAAACTTCAGTTTGACAATTTTCCTACTAGGGTTTTCTATGTTTTACTTCATCCGTTCCTTTTCCCATATGTTAATAGGGATCCTAAAATGTTTTCTAGAAATAATTTGGTGAGATACTTAGCTTCTTCTATGTTATAACTTCTTAGATTTTTTATAAACTTTATAGTATTAGTAAATATACAGAATAGTTCATAAATATTTCATTATTAATCATGGTAAATAATTCATAATTGTGAACGAAATAGTATATCATAAACTCCTTGACTTGAGTGGTTCTCTTCATAAAGCACATGCAATCTATCTCAATTATATTTTCTTGATTCAAAGGTCAATAATCAATTAAACCCTTCGAGATCTAATCCACTAATCAATACTTTTCTAGTTCTAACATTTGAGGATATATCTCATGATATATCTCAATTATATCTCATTATATTTTCTAGTTCTTAATTTTCCAAGGTCCATCCATGATAATATCTCATAATTTATAAGATAAGACCAAAAATAAATCTCCATCTTAGTTTTCAAAAATAGAATTGATCTATTAAGAATGGTGTTCACTAAGCTCCCTCCTTCATTATTCTTTGAGGTGCTAGCCACTTATTCAATTTTGGGACACACTTAGATCAAGAAGGGGAAGGAAGGTTGACCTAATAGCATTATAAGTACTTGATTGGGTAAACTATTTTTAAGACCTTTGATCTCATTTCTTCGTCCTTAATATTATTTGTTTCTTTGTTATAAGTTTAAAATACTTAATTTTTTTTGAAGTAATTTGACCCTTTACCCATGTCCTCTCTCTAGGAACACTTTCATTCTTGGACTCTACTAGATCAGTTGTTCATCAATTAGAATTGTTGATTGTGAGGTTCAACTCTTACAACATTGTTGAGTTTTAGGTTGCACTAAGATCAAGAAGGGAGTGTCGATTTAATATGTTCCTAATCCTTTTAGAGTGATATCTATTTCTTATGAGCCCATTTTCTCCTTAATATCCAAATATTTATAGTCTTCTTTAGGCCCAATTTTTTTTGTATTAATTCAGCACAGACTTATGTCCACCTTTTCAAGAATAAGTCTTATTCTAGAGTTCCACTTGCTATGATTGTCTAATCACAAATTACTTATTACTAGGTTCAACTCCTTTAAAATTTTGCATAAATTTATTTTTATATTCACAACTTTAAAATGTAATAACTATTCACTAAAATAACTCTCATAAGTGATTAAATGAAGGTTTAATCTCATACTTGATTTAATGATAATCACGCCTTGAAAGTAATTGTTCTCTTCTTGTAAAAATGTTGAATGAGGATAGAAAGTATTTTACCTTATAACATTGATTGGTGAATCCTAAATGCTTGATCCTTGACTTAGAGCCTTTTTGTATTTGAGCATCTATTAATAACCTCTCTCATTCTCACTTGATTTCTATGTGAAAGATTATATTCAAAGTTAGATGTTCTAAGAGAGATGAGAATATTAATTAACTATTTATTAGCAATTGGTAAATCTTATCATTTATGGGTAAATCACACTTGAATGTTATTAATGTGTCATTCTCATATGCTAATTGGAGTTAAATGATAAGAATGATTACATTAACTAAAGTCAATTTTTATGAAATAGAAGAAAAAAAAATGAAAACAGACTTTTCAGAATGAATGTTATGAATTTTGGCATGTATTAACATATTACTCTTGAAAACAATCTATATCTAATCATTTGACCTATAATTTAACATGATTTCTAAGGCACAACCTCAAGAAACCTTTTTTTTCTTCCTTTATGCCCTTCTCCACAATCAACTAATTGTTGAACTTGATGGAGAAGATGCAATGAAGTTTGCTAATGGGCCATATACACTAACCCCAAGTGAAGGCCCCTTTAAAGATGGTTTTAAAAAAATGATGTCACATAGAAACAATGATTTATCAATCAAAACTAATCTAAATTAACTCAAATGAAATTTTATTATTATGTAAACATATTAAAATCTGATATCCATATTTATATCATAGTTTTGGAGATTTAAAGTGTTTAAGAGCATTTTATGAAGTATATTTATTAATATTTAGAAATTTATGTTCTACTAAATAAGCAATATGAGTTCAATCAATTAGAGCTATATCAAAATCATTATAAATTAAATGATATGATATTATGAGCAATAATAGACTGAGTAAATTTTAATGCTCATTTTTTACTTCACATAATCTTACTAATTCAAATATATTAAATATTCCTTTCTCATAGTGACATATTCTATAAATATTGACACTTACCACAAAAATATATAACATGGTAAGTTTATACCATGAAATCGATCGAATATATAGTTTCAACATCAATGGTCATATACATATTTAATGAATTATCGTATGAAAATTTAATAATATTATTTAAAATTATGTATAAACCCTTTCACATTTAATGCCACATCATTTATATTCATAGCTAAATATAATTCGATTCTCTAATTGATCTTATAATTATTTATTATGATCAAAATATTACACATTCAATACTACAACCAAAATTTCATCTTAACATTCTATTTTAAATTCAAAATACTACAAGGTAAACAATCAATTATAGGGATAGCTCCTTTGAGTGATTAAATTTAGATTCAATCACAAAAAAAATTCATAGAGAATATGGAGAACTTCATTATGAAATGTTCCTATATGGAGGTGTTGACTTACAATACATCTGAAAAGTTAATGAAGAGAATCATGATAAATATTTGATTTTTTATGTCATTTTATCATAGGAAAGCTCAATGATTGTTGAAGACATTATCAATTTTATTAAGTTGAAGAGCATCACATAAACTTGATTTTTTTCATCAAGTGAATGTCTTTGTGTAATTTGACCAACTTAGAAGATCACTCATATTCGCATGTAATTTGCTATAGAAATTGTCAAAAAAAAAACATTGAGATGTTAAAGAGGTCAAAGGTGATCTTTCTATCCTAATGAGCTATTGATAAGGTAAAATTTACAGAAAAATCTCACTAAAGAACACATGACATCAAAGATTACCATGTCCTATCCTTCACTAGAGATCATGCATTGATTCACATGTTGTGTCGGTTGATCGAGCCTGCAAATGAGGCAAACCTAAGTACTCATCCACATGCCATACTTTCTTTATATCAAGCTTATATCTTCAACAGCTGAAATTTGTCCAAGTGGCTGACTGCATGTATGAGGGGAAATGAGAAGAATTGCAAATAAAAAAAATGATCTTTAAATATGCTCTAGATTGTCTTAGTGAGAGAAATTTCACAACATCATCCTCTATATATCTCATCAAATTGAAATCTCTCTATGCCCATCACTTCATCATCCTTCTAACAATAGTTTTCAATAGATAAAGACTATCAAATTGATAACAAGTCATTTTTATAGAGTCTACACAAGTTGATGATGTGCCATTTAGTTGATCATAATGACTAAGTTCTCCATTCTGTTTACAATTAATTTGAGAAATAAAATTTCTTCTATCTTGGAATCTAAGAATATTAAAATAGGGAAGATTCTCTTGTAGATCCATGAAACAAGAAGAGAATTTTAAAGTTTTCTCTAATCAACTAGAGCTGTTAATTTAGTAGGTTACTGAGCCAAGAATTTAGGTTGTAAAACACTATGGAAATAGTGGAACCTAAGGATGGAACCCTTAGATAGAATGTAGGTCAGTATGATCAAATGGTTATATTTTTTTGCTGCTATCTAAGTGATGATTGTGACTTGTAATATAATTGCCTAGAGTTTCAATGTTTAAGAAAAAAAATTATGATCAATTGGACACCCCAATTAATGTGTTGCTATTAAGAGGCAAACACTTTATCCAACTTAAGTATTTCCCATTAAAGCCCTTTGAGGCTTAAGGTCAATTATATTCATATTAACATACAACTATTTTTATTAATCCTTTTCATATTAGGTGAGTTGACTCACTTTTTAGCTCATTGAATGACATAAGACTTTCTAATGAATATACTCATTTCTCTATGTGCTTATTATTTGTCACACGAATTGGGTTGGTTTAATGACAATAGAAGAAGTGGACAATTTTTTTTTCAAGCCCTAAGATAAGAGATTTTTTCAGTAAAAATTACCATTTTACAACTAAATTTGGTATTTCTTACTATGATTGTAAGACTCATGTGCCTAGATGACTTTACTCAATAATTAGCTCTTTTCTTGAAAACACAAACTAGATGAATCTACTTTCCATCAAAAAAAGAATTCCATTTCAAATTTATATGGAACTTTTAATAAAAATTACAAACATACTATGCTAATATTTTTTCAATTCTCATGAAATATTGGGTTTTATAAATTAATATCTTTTTCCTTTCCATACCTTTTTTCATAACTAAAACTATAAAGGCTACACTAAACAAGAATATGTTCCTTTCTAATTGTGACAAAACTAACACAACTAGAAGATTAAAACAGAGTTAAAAATATAAAATTTTAAAATATTGTTTGATGAGTTAACATTGCTATTTTTTTGTTTCATTATGTTGAATGTGCTAAAATATTATTTATATTGGATGCATTATGGAAAGAAAATTGTTTATGATCCACACTTGAAGAGCTAGATCAGTTTTACAAGAACGAAGTATTGACCGTTGTGTCTAGAACCTCAAATTAGTGCCTAATTTGAATGAATTGGATGTTGGATGTTGAAAACTAAGTTGGGTGATAAAGAAGACCATTGAATATAATCTAGACAAATAGCTTGAGGGAACACATAAAAGAAAAACTTATGATGAAACATATCTTCTTGTGTATAGATCAAATGCAATCAGAATGCCATTAGAATATATTTGTATCAGGAATGTAAAGCTATATATATTGATCTAATTGGTACGTGATGTAAAACTCATTACCACTTCAAAATTTTCAAAATTTAAGAAAATAGAGAGAAAGTTTAGAATAAATAATCATTCATGATGTAAAAATCATTACCACTTCAAAATTATTCTAACTTTGTATTTTAGACACACATGATGTTGACTCATTATTTTTCTAATTCTTATATTCTAACTTAATTTTTGTTAAATTATAGTATTAAATTAATTGATTGACTTCAAAGTAATTTTTTTTAGGATTTTCAAAATATCAATGAAGATCATTTGAAAATTTATTTTAAATATTTTTTTTCAACAATTTTATGATTTTATATATTGAGATTGTAATTCAATGTTTTTAATTGATCACCCTAATCTGTTTCAAATGATTTGGATAAGTTTCGATTGATAAATTATTTTGAGATGCATCATTAGCTTTGCTTCAACACAATAGATTTTACCAAACTTAATCTAATCAATAAGATTTAGATATATGTGTTATTATTAACGATACACATATTAGTTACTCTTAGGAAATATTTAAATCCTTAAGCATCCTATCATATTAGTTTTCAACCTTTTGAATTTCTAACTAATTTAAAAAGTTTAACATTGAGGGATAACAAAAAATAAGTCCTTGTGGCTTGCCTTCTTCATCTTTATGATTCTAGGGTTTCCACCATAATTGCAAGTATATAAATTCACGTCTTATTGGGCGAGGAAATAGGTTGTATTTGAAATGAATGGACCGGCCGATTTCATTTATGTTTTGGATCCTTGGCAGCACAATCAGATCAAATATGCCATAAAGTGAAGGCTCACTAACATGATCCATTTTACATTTTATGCAAGCCCATCGATTGGATCCAATATGCATTTGATCCGGGCCTAAAACAAGTGCATCTATTTCTCATTTAATTGAAGCCCAATAAGCATATCCAATGTGCCTTAAAGTCATACACAAAGTTCATCATCCTCATAACCTCTCTTAGAAATACTTAGCATCTTCATTGTGATGCAAATATATAAATACTTCTTCATCAAAACTTAAGAACATGATATTTATAGAGTGGAGTAGGTTCAGTAGATCTAACAATTGAGAAAGGATAAATTCATCCACCCTTTTGGTTCTTTAGTGTTGCCTTAATATAGTCACCAATGTCTACCTACAATAAAAGTTGGAAGAAAGGATTTTCATAGAAAGATGAAAATATAAAGGATTTTCACAATAAAAGTTGAAAGATGACCTAAAATGAAATATCCATATTTGGATCATCTATACATTTATTTTGGGTAATTCTGATAATAGCAACATCGATCTTTGTGTTCGTGTCCCAAAACAATTAACTAGGCCAGGAGTTCATGACAGCTTTCCACTTTTCATGTGATATGAATGAGTGATCAGGCTCACTAACATGTTTTATAATCCACTCCTCAAAACAATGCATGAATAAAAGACGATAACCAAGTTATTCAAATCTCTCTCTCTCTCTCTCTCTCTCTCTCTCTCTCACACACACACACACACACACACACACACACACACACACACACACACACACATCTTTCCACACTTCTCATAGCTTCATCTACTCTCTTTCTCAACCCAAGGTGAATGCAAAGGGCCCTCAATACAGAATACAAGTCACAAAGGTTAATAATGTGCATAATTGTGGGAATTTTTGGCCTCGGAGAGAGTGACGGACGCCACAACAAAAGATTCACTTTAACGCGTGACACTCGGCGATTTTATGGCTTCATGAGTTCATCGTGCTCTACAGCTTGTCATGGAAGGAGACATGCCTACATAGAGAGAGAGAGAGAGAGAGAGAGAGAGAGAGAGAGAGAGAGAACGGTAGGCAGACGGCACCTGTGAGCAGAATGAATCTCAACCGAGTGCCTTTTTTCAAGAGGAGAGAGAAGGGGGGGGGGGGGGGTCCTGTCTCTTTGAATATTATGGATTTACATACAAAGAGCGACCTTGTAGTCAAATGACTATGAAGGGGGATAGTTCTCTCCATTAATGGTCTCATAAACTGGATGTGACCCGACCAACCACCAACGGCTATTCATTGCATAAGCAAGATCGTCGGTGCCGCCATTAAATACCTTGGCGCTGGCATCTTTGGGGAGGGGATATTCCCCATTTACCCCGACAGATTTATACCCTACAAAGTAGAAAAGCCGGTGGTCACCGACAATTTCCGGTAATCATCAACATTTCCTCCGTTAAACTCCCACATTTTAGGAACCATAATACAGTTTCCTCCTGGAAGAAGTGTATAGATACGCCTATTTTAGGGTTTCGCTGGCCCCGCTGCCGCTTTGGGCCGGGCTTGCTAAATGAAACTAGAAGAAAAGCCCAAGAAATGAGCTCATGGCCAGAACCTACATCGAGCCCAGGCCCGATTCCTCTCTGTACTCGCCTATTTTGAGACTGAGATCTGGGCCCAGGGCCCTTCGGCTTCCTCTTTAGGGTTCCTGACCAGAAAATGAACTCTCTCTCTCTCTCTCTCTCTCTCTCTCTCTCTCTCTCTCTCTCTCTCTCTCTCTCTCTCTCTCTCTCTCTCTCTCTCTCTCTCTCTCCCACTTTCTCTCTACATTGCTACATGAGATTCAGTGATTCCACGAAATCAGGCTTTTGAAACAGGCACGTGAAGTGTTTTATGTAGAAAGGACGTAGAAAGGTCGCATATTAATGTTATCCTCTGAATGTGTGTAGATTATTTGTAGACCCCATATGACTCGAAGCCAAGAGAAGGATATATACATAAATACCAAACTATAAGAAATGAACTAAAAAGTAGCACCTACTCCTTATGTCACCTCGAGCTAACCTGGGTGATTGATACCTATACTAATTTAAATGGCCCACATATCAAATCTAATGGAGTCGATTTTAGGAATATTGGGGAGATACCCTTATTATCCATGGACGGTAAGATTTTAGAGATAAAGAGAGAGATAGAGAGAGTAGCATGTAGAACTCTTGTGGAAAGGGTTAGGGAGAGAGAGAGAGAGAGAGAAGGAAGTAGTTGGAACCTTGCTAGAGAGACCAACCCACATAAACACATTTCGTCGTCAATTAACACAAGATTTTTGGATGGATGGATGGATATGTAAATGTAGAGAGAGAAAGAGATGTAGAGTGAGAGAGAGAGGATCGTCTACCTTGAACAGCTTAGCGTCGGTGGTCACGAACGGCAGCGCCAGCCGACTGACAGCAGGTTGGATTTCCGTCACATCGACCAATCCGCCCATCAACCTCTCTCTCGATCAAATCATCCAGAAAAAAAACGACAACACCACCAATAATAATACCCAAAAGCCCAATTTCTAATCACTCAGAAGAACGACGCCGATGGCCATGCCAGATCTCTCTCTCTCTCTCTAGAGCTCTCTGGGTCTCAATAATTTCGCGGAAAAACGAAAGATCTGGGCGGCAATTGGGCTCCTTCCATGGCGGTGGCCTATCAAGGGTGGGGAAGAGGGGGAGGGAAAGAATCAATGGTGAGGAATCGGAAGATTACATGGAGGGAGGAGAAAAGGAAGGATCTTTTGCTGCTTCGATGGAAGAAGAAAGCAGTTGAATTTGCTCAGGTGGTGAAGCCATTGAACTGATCGCAGCGCCGCCGGACCTCCCCTTGGCCGCCGGTCTTGACCCCGTACACGCTGAGCTTCTCAATGGCGCGAGCAAAGTCCCTGAAAAAGACGCCCTCATCGGCGGCGTAGAGCTCCACGAACGGCCTCGTCCTGGGGTCCCCCGCCAGCGCCTGGTCCGTCCCCAACAGCCCCATCCCCCTCCTCAAATTCTGGAAGTACACATTGTCGAACTTGTTCGGCGTCATGACGTCGTTGAACACCGCCACCGTGGGCCTGCTGCGGTAGTCCGCGCAGGCCCTCCTCACCGCTTCCGCATACCGCGGCTCCGCCGCCGCATCGGCCGCGCCGCCACCGTCCAGGCCCACCCGTGCTGCGAACTCCTTGCAGTGCGCAAACCCGACGGTGTGCGCGCCGGACAGCGCGACGAGCTCCCGCGCCGAGAAGCCGCGCTGCGCGAATAGCTCGATGAGCTGGGAGACGGTGGCGTTGGCGAGGGGGAGGCGCGCGGCGGCGAGGTCGGCACGGGAGACGAGGCTGTCCCTGCGGCCTAGGCGGACGGGGAAGAAGGGGCCGCCGAGCATGGTGAGGAGGTCGCGGGTGGCGAGGGCGAGGATGTCGGCGCAGGAGACGATGCCGGGGCAGGCGAGCTCGACGGCGGTCTTGGCGCGGACGACGAGGTCGAAGGCGTCGCCGGGGAGGGAGAGATTGATGTCGGCGTCGCGCTCGGCGCGGTGGAAGGCGGTGGAGGAGACGAGCACGGAGCCGTCGCAACCATCGAGGAAGCAGTCGTGGAAGAAGACCCGCAGGGTCCCCGCCGCCGTGGTGGGGCTCGCGATCTGCTTGCTCACCACCGTCTCTGAGACGATCTCTGCCGCCCGCGGGCAGCTCGCCGCGTAGTAGTCCACCGCCAGCTTCCCCTCCGCCATTGCCGCCCCCACCACCACCACAACCACCCCCAGCAGCGCCGCCGCCACTGACCCACCCATCTTAGACCTTTTGAAGCAGAACCCCCGGAGAGATCCGCCACCACCACCACCACCACCTCCTAGACGAAATGGCTCGTAGCGAGAGAGAGAGAGAGAACCCTCGCAGATCTGCTGCCAAACACGGACAATAAGAGGGATGAAGAGCCGTTTTAGGATATAGCCAAAGAGAGAGGTTTACAACGGATATATTTATGTTATGTATTTGCTTGTTTAAGAGAGAGAGATGATGGGTCAAGATGGTCTTAAAGCAGTAAACATATCCATATGTTTAGGCATTTATCTAGGATAATTATGACGAGTAAATATTAATTGAGGTGTATTTATTTATTATTATTATTATTTCTTATTGGGATGATGAAGGGCGCAGATCCTGGGGTGGTGTGCAGACGGGAAGGGGAGCACGTGAGGGTGGGGCACGCAACGACGACAGCAGGAAGGCTCGGCCTTGTCCGGACCGGACCGGACCGGTCCGATGCGATGGTCCCCCTCCGTTCGTCGCCCACATAAGCTGTAGCTTCGGCTTTTTGACATTCGAGTCGAGGGAGCGGGGAGTCCACCACGTGAGTTCTGGGCCCCACCCTCATGAATCCTCCGAACCGGCAGTACACGTACTGTGAACCGGTCCCTTTCAACCGGGCCCACGTCGGACTAACCCAGTGGACCAAAATGGGCCCTGGCTGGCCCAGGTAGGCGGCTTCTGACATGTAGGGCCCAGTGGACCTAACTGGGCCCTGGGCTGGTCCAGGTAGGCCAGGCCTTCCTCTCTCAGGAGCCAGGGCTCGACCTTATTCAGCCCAAACGGGCCCAGCAATCACCAGACCTCGCAATCTGTTGCTGTTAATGGGCCAGGTAAGCCCGAAGTATCATGGCCCGGCCCAGCGATTTTTCTCCAGGTTTTGGTCAAAGTCAACGATCATCGTTAATAACTTTCGAGTTCTCAAGAAATTTGTATTATCATTGGTAGATTTTGTTGATAGTTTGCAAAACCCCTTGACTTCTATACTACCCAGAGTTGACAATAAGAAATGTCAATGATCCCTTTGACCTTACATATGAAAAACATTTTCCTTGCCTAGTTGGGTTTGAATGTGTTAAAAATGAGGTCAACTCGACCCAGTAACAACCATACCTACATGTTGACTTTCTTATTGCCACTTATAGGATCTAAGGTACATAATTGAGGATATGATTTTCTGAATTTTTTTAGAGAATTTTAAATTCTTATAAAATGTTTAACTGTTCTAGTAGAATCTCCACTTTAGATAATCCAAATGGATAATATAGAAACATTAAATTTTTTTCAAAGATTCAATATTTATAATATATATATTTCTTAGGAATATCTTGCCAAATTTAAAAATTAATGAATAATTAATAATGAAATATCTGTCATTTTTAGAGAAAAAGACGCAATCGCAGTGCGCAGTAAAAAGCTCACCTTTATCCTTGTAGTCGCTGGAGTTCAGTCGCCATGGCGCTCTCTCCGGCGGCCGGGTGGCCGGCGGCCGCGGCGGGGCCGGCCCGCTCGTCTTGCTCTCCTCACGAATTCCGCCGCCTGGTGGCTTTGGCGTCATCCAAGGCCGCCTCTGACGCTTCTTCTTCTGTCTTTCGTCTTCCTGGGCTCACCCTTTCGCCGTCGCGGCGTTCCTTGGCCGGCGCGTCACTGAGGAGCTGGCTCATCCGGGCTTATCCTTCAGGAGGATTCTGGGAGGAACCTGACGATGGGTACGGCAGTGAGTTCGAAGAGATGAACGGGGAGGAAGACGAGGACGAAGAGCAAGGAGACAAGGCGGCCGGAGAAGTAGCGAGGGTCAACTCAGAGAAGGCTGCCTATGCTTCCACGGACTATGCTTCTGAATACGAGCGACTTCGCCATGGTCCCTTTATTTTCCTTCTCTTTGGAATCCCGTTTTACCATCCCACTTATGTTAAAACCTTTGCATAGCTCCAGGCTTACATTCGTTTAATTTGTCTCCAAATCATTTGCAATGACTGAAAATGTGACAAGGTTAAATCATCAGAGCTATGAAATCCTGCAGAAGTGAAGGTCATACTGGTGGGTTTAATGACAGAAAAGAAACATCTACTGTGGCCCTTTTACTATAAATGGCTTCTTCTCTAAAAGGTCATCATCTGTACAATTGATGGGAAACGAGGAAGTCAACTGAGTCCATGGTAGACATCCGAAAAAGGTTTATTTGAGAGTTCCGGGCTCATCATTTAAATGGCTAATATTATTTTACTGATATAATAAGAGCCTAGGATTTTAATGATAAGAGTTTATTATAACTCGCCAATGTTGAGTGCATAATGGCATACTTGGGTGAAATCAATGGAAATTATTCTAACTTCAAAGTTTGATCGTTCATCTGGTTGATTTTTCTCATAAAATTTAGGAAAAAATCACCTGTAATGAGTGCATAATGAGCACACTTAGGTGAAATAGAGAATAATTTTTCTCACTTCAAAGTTCGTTTTTGCATCTAGTTTTAGCTTTTTCTTCTTCAGAAAATCGTCAAAGTAATTTGGAGCACCATATTCTTTTCCTTTGTTGAATTTGGATTCCTCCGAATAGACATCATTCTGGTGCAAAATATGTTCCTTAGCCCAGTTGTCTCTACATGAATACCCTGATGATGTTTCTATCAGTTCCTGGTTGTTTGCTACAGTAGTTCATCGTCTTGGAAAATGCTTACTGATTTTGTTTTCTTTCAATTTTTCATGCAATTAAGAAGGGTGATGAAATTATGGTATATTCCGGGAAATAATGATTATTTAACATGATTAATTATTTCAAGATGAGTTTAGGAAAATGAGGATATTGAGAATATGATATCTTGAATGACCCAGATGTTAAATAAATGATCCCATTTATGTACTCCATCTTTCTGAACCTTTGGAGCTTTTTTTATGAAAAAGATGAAGCCAACTGAGATTTTTTATCCTGAACCTTGCAGAGGTTGACTTACTGCTAAATCCAGAAGAGAAGGCAATTTTGGAGCAGAATAAATTCCCCGATCTCAGCATAATATCTTGCGTTGAGTTCTTAAAGCTCTGATCTTTGTTTTTCCCTGGGGGTCATTTCGTCAGTGATACTCAAGAACATGAAACAGACCTAATTTAGTAGATTCCATTAATAGGAATATGTGCTCAATATCGTTCTACTTTGATGCAGAATAAATGGAGACCATTCCATACTCGGGCACTGTCCGGGCAGATACCCTTCATGGGTGTCCTTCTCCAGAATGGCTTAGACATTGATGCCATTGATAAGGTATTATATTTTTCTTTAAGTTACCTCGAATCTACTTCTAATTTATCCAAAATGTGTAAGTCCTGAGTACCTTCAGTATTACAGGATGGTTTGACGACCCTCCACCGGGCAGTAATTGGTAAGAAAGAGGCGGTTATTAGTCATCTCCTGAGGAGAGGGGCCAACCCACATGTCAGAGATAGGGTGAGTTGATCATATCTGGCCTTGAATTATTAAAAATAATGAAATCATGTATTATTTAAGCTTTCAATTTATTTTTCAGGATGGGGCTACTCCACTGCATCATGCAGTTCAAGTTGGTGCCATGCAGACAGTCAAGCTACTGATAAAATATAAGGTCGATGTAAATGTTGCTGATAATGTGGGTGACATCGACTCTAGTGTATGGAAATATTTTTCATTTTGAAGAGTACGGTTTCATTTTTTATTTACCGTTTTTTTTTGTGTTGTTCATCCACAGGAGGGTTGGACCCCCCTGCATCTTGCAATTCAGGGTAGGTCTAGAGATATTGCTAAGGTATTATTGGTCAATGGGGCTGACAAGAACAGAAGAAATAAGGTAATTATTTATGGCATTAAGGAATTATTGGTAGCTGATTATACCTGTCTTTTATCTGTGAGTTGACTTTTTATGAGGATTCACACGTTGTGCACTTTAATGGGATTAATTTTAAATTCATGCCTAATTAATATGTATGAAGGACACCCGTGTAATATTTATTGACTATTGCATAATATGGAATGTATTAATTAGACAATTCGAAAGTTAATGAGCCGGCCAAGAACAGATCGAACAGGCTAACTCATGGATTATGGATGAATGAATAAAATTGCATAATTTTAATCTGTATTATTTTGCAAAAGATCTTGGGAAGTTAACTTTGTGGGTAGATTCCCCTTTTTTGTCCAATTCAAAGGTATTAATCAGAAATTTATGCCTAATTAGGTTTCATGAAGGAGCTTCAAATTCTCTCTAATTTCCTCTGTTGCTTCAGGATGGAAAGACCCCTCTGGACCTCAGCTTGTGCTATGGGAAGGACTTCAAGTCCTACGAGCTTGCCAAGCTCCTCAAGCTCGTTCCTGCAAACAGGGAGCTCTGAGCATCTCTTGATTCTCATCAGACGCCCCTAGTCTGCTCTGTGATCATCATTCCATCAACAGAAAACTACTCGAGCTTGTCGTCAGATAATTTATAAAATTTGATCGAAGAAATGGGTTAAAGTAATTAAATCAACCTTTTTTTGTACAAAGAAAATAACCTGCATCGCCAGATTTTTTTTTTATTTTTTTATTTGGCATCTTTTTAGTCATCAGTGGCATGGTAGAAAGTCTCTGCTGTCAGAACTGAAGCGTCATCTTCTGGAATTACGGTTTTCGAAGACCCAATTGGAAAAAGCATGAGGCTATGCCGTCTGGATCTTCCGTGGTTATTGATGTTTCTTCAGGGAAGGAACTAATCATAGAAACAGTCTTGTTTTGTTTCTCTTTTCTTCTTTTGTCTTTTTCTTTCTTGGGTTGACCGAATTCAAGTTCTCATCTTCCAGAACAGCTTGATTCTGACCATTTCAAAGAAATGTGGTTGACTTTCCAGGCTGGGATGCGGATCTGAGGTTTCGTTGCCTGTGTATTTTGATGGGTTCTTAATCTAGTATACCCATAAAGCCAAGGTGTTCACCGGATAAGCCTCCCAGAAAGTCAACCTCAGACATCTTTTAGAGCCCCCCTATAATTGGAAAAGAACCCTTACAAAATGGTTATTTAAGCTTAGCTCAGTCTGATACAAATGAACGACAGAGAGGGAGAAAGTTTGCTGACTTTGTTTCATAATATGCTCATAGCTACACGGAAAAACCTCCCAAAAGTCAACCAATCCTCAGAACTTTTTTTTCCCCAAAAAAAGGTCAACAGCATCAAGACGACATAAAATCATCATCTAAATAACATAATCCCACGAAAGGCAGCCTTCATTCGCTCTGCATCACACGTCTGTACACTGCCCGGTAGGTCTCACCGCCATTCCTGGCCACCTTCTGGCCCTCCTCGGTGGCGGAGCAGAGCAGTGCCGCCACCGGGTCTTCGTCCACCTCCTCCTCCGGCACGGCCTCGAACAGCGGGTGCTCCTCCATGCACGAGCGCATCCATTCTCCGAGCTCCTCCACGTCGGTGATGGTGTAGATGACCCCGCCAAGCTCCAGCGCATAGGCGTACTCGTCGAGGAGGTGGCGGCTGATCACCCGCCGCCGGTGGTTCTTCTCCTTAAAGTGGGGATCCGGGAAGAGGAAGAACATCTTCGAGAGCTGCCCCTTCTCGAAGTAATTCGGCAGATACTTCATCGAGTTGGTCCGAACTACGGAGATGTTCTCGTACTGCCCCGGGTTGGACGCCCTCAGCGCCAGGATCCTCTCCTTCACGTACTCCGTCACCTGCCCCCCCATTCAGCAAGAAAGAAGACCCCTTTTCAATACAAAGAAAAATTCCAATTATGCAGGAAACAGTTGCAGAAGAAGAAGAAGAAGAAGAAGAAGAAGAAGAAGAAGAAGAAGAGACGCTCACCTTGTCCCTGAGCTCCATGCCGATCATCAGGGTGGTGGGGAACATGGTGGAGAGCTTCACGAGGAGCCCGCCGAAGCCACAGCCGATGTCGGCGAAGCGGATCTTTGGGGCAGTGGCGGTGGCGGCGGCCGCAGTGGAGGGGAAGAAGGAGGGGAAGTGCTGGGCGTAATCCACGTCAGAGGGGCGGATGGGGATTGGGAAGTGGGAATCGCTGAGGGGGTTGCTGTGGGCCCGCGCTCTGTAGAAACGCTTCCTGGGCAGCCGCCCCGAGTGGCTGTTTGTCTCCAGCATTATCGTTGTCCTTCTTCTTCTTCTAATCGAGGCCGGAATCCCCGATGAAGCTCAGAACCTGCAACAGAAGCTCATCTCATGAATTCAGCCCTCTCTCTCTCTCTCTCTCTCTCTCTCTCGCTAACTCAGAAAACCCATCATCAGAACACAATGCGGAAACCACGATACATTACACCTGCTGCATCTTGAAGACGATGCTCATACGAAATGGATGAATTTTTATTTTTTTTTCCTAGATGGATGGTGAAGTAACATGGTAACATGGCGGGAGAGGAGGACAGCGCGGAAGGCAGGGTAAATGGAGGAAGAAGAAGAAATGAGACGGATCCGCTCCGTCATTGATCTCCTCATCATCATCATCATCATCATCACCATGGTCAGCAAGAGAGATCCCCCCTGAACTTCAGAAGAGAGGACAAACACCGTTGTGGAGGCTCGCTTGCTCGGAAATAAATAACAATTAGATGGTTTCTTCTCTTTATAATCCATCGAGCTCATCAATGAATAAAGCAAACACAGGCTGCTTGAGCAACTGCCAGGGAGCAAGCGGGTTGACTCTGATGTGAAAAGTAAGCGCCAGAGAGTGGGTTGACTCTGATGCAAAAAGGAAGTGCATTCGGGAAAATCATCATTCGGTTCAACAGAGCGGCATTTTTCAAAAAAAAAAATGAAAAATCACGTCTGTACTAGTTTAAATGCATGATATGCATTTGACCCAGATGCCAGCCGTAGTAGAAACTAGAACTTCTACATCCCCAGGAAAAAAAATAAAAATTAGAACTTAGTGAAGTCAACTACATTGGGGGAGACCAAGCATCGCCACGAAGTCGAGATACTTGAACTGAAGGAAAATCTCACGAGCCCATCAATGAATTTACCCGTTACGACTTTGGTTACGAAGTACATGTCACCCACAGCTTTTTTTCACAGGAAGACAGATTGGGGTCCCGTCACAGCTTGAAGAAACCTAGAATGCTTTCATCCGAGTCTCAAGGGGGCAAGAATACCTCGCAGGGATCCCATCGCGGAGGGAGGAAACACATAGCCTGATGGGCTTCAAAGAATAGGAGGAAGTGAAGAAGGAGAAGGAAGAACGGGACGAAGTCACAGCTACCTCCGCGCCGCTACCTTCCCATGTGCTTGCCGATGATTCTGGTGTGGTCACCCAATGCAGGAGAAGGGGAGGAAGACGCCTCCGCCCAAGCAACGTCCGCCCTCAGGTCAAGCTCACCGCCTCGTTAAGAAAATGAGACTGAAAATCCGTCGGGAAGAGGAGATCGCCGCAAAAAAGATGGAAGGGAACCCGGCGCCTTCAGCCTGACACCTCCACTCGTCGACCGAAGTTCCAGGAAAAAAAAGAGAAGGAACAACGCTGGAGCGGCGGAGCTCTAGCAGGCCCAAGCGTGGTCAACCGAGAACGGGCGGAAGAGGAATTGAACCAGTCGAGGGTTTCCTCTCGATAGGCGGCGAAAGACCGGAATGTCCCGAGTCGCAGAGGGACATTTATGTCCTTCACACCCGGTGAAGACGACCGAGGGAGGAAGAAGAGTGGAGGCTGCAACTTTGAGAAAGAGAGCGAGATCCGGCTCAACAACGGAGGAAAGAGCACCAACTCGACCTTCATCAGCCCACCTGAGTTCATTTCGAGAAGCCCATAAACAAATAAATAAATAATTGATAATCTATGGACATTGTGTCCATTGGTCAGACTTATGTTCCAAGAGATTTAATGTTGACATTGTGTCCATCGGTCAAACTTATGTGCAACTGGATCTCAAACTTATGTCAAATAATGCGCTTACTGGCTTAATAATAGCAGCAGCCTAGTTGACCTTAATTAAGCCTTGCACCTAGTTTTCAAACTCAGTTTTTTGATAAGCTCCTTGATTTATTGGATATCTTACTAATAAATCTGACTTAAGTAGAATGATAAGAAGCTCAATGATCTAATGTGGAACTTGTGACCATTGCTTGAATTGACTTAATGTGAGCCTCGGAAATTTTATTCAAACTCATTCATTAATGGGCTCGTCAATCTAATGGGTCTCATGCTTAGGCATCTCAATCAGTAACATTTGAACCCATTGTCTCAATGCAAATCTTGTGCTTAATGGCTCAATTGACCTTATGTGGGTTTTGTGTCTAATAGTTGAACACATTTGTTCAAGCATTCACTAATTCAAGATGGCCGTCATGTCTAATGATCCAACACAATAATCAGAGCATATAGAATCTTATGTGAATCCTCTACTACCTTATAACATCCTAATGAACAATAAGAATGGAATAAATCTTTTCAAATAGATTTCATCTGATAGGTAACCTAAAGGCTTTGGCCTAATGTCATGCCAAGTGGGCTTCATCTCATTGATAATTATTGGAGAGAAGCAATAAATAGTGGAAGATAGATGGAAAATTAGGAAAAAATGTTATCTAAGAGGAGGGCATCATTGGGCAGTAAGAGGCATCACAAGAAATCATCATAAAAGGAGGGTATTTTCTAGGAGGAAACATGAGGCCCGAAAGAGAAACTGTTGAGTGAGAAGAGAAGTATCATCAAATAATAGGAGAAAGCCAACATGAAGAGAGATTGCCCAAACCTGGTTCAAATGGTGGAGATAATTTGTTCTTGCTCATAATTGGAATTTGACTTAGACATTTAAATACACATATGGTGTATATGTGGATTCAATTGTATAGGTTTTTCAAAGCCAAAAAATAGATCTAAAACTGAATGGGTTAGTGGGCCTTGACACTAATGAGCTCATTTAACTCTAAAAGAAAAATGGTGTTCATTAGTTCAACACTCCCTCTCAAACATAGCATGTCTCATGTATGCACATCTTGTGTAAGATAGGTTTTATCTGGGCACATGTGAAGCCTTTGGAGAAAACATCAATACGTTGATTATCTAAATGAACATAAAGAATACGTAGAACTCATACAATTTTTCCTTGATAAAGTGTTGGTTAGCCTTAAAGTGCTTGATTATATTATGCTGGATAGGCTACTTGTGCTATTTGTAGTTGTTTTATCATCAGAGTAGAGCTTCAACGAAAAGTAAAGTGGGATCTTATGTCTTGAATGAGCAGTCAAACACAAATCAATTTAGTCACACACTACACAACTGTATTTTTTGCTTAAGTTCTTGATCATGTAATATTTTTTTCTATTTCACAAATTAACTTGTAATAGATATTAAATCATGATGAGAACTATCCTTGTCTACATCTGTACAACTCTTAATGCATACATGTTGAAACTTGGAGTATAATATGTTTTTCTATGAATTTGATTTAAGGTACAATAGAATATAACCTACAACCTTTATATGTCAAAAAATTTACCATCAAAACTAACAACATAAGTAGTGTAATGTGAAATCAAAGTGAAATATAAAATTTTACTAACTATATATTCCATTGATAATGTTAGAGGAGGTGTAGCTTCTTATCTACATTGATGAGCTTAGGACCTCTCCATAGTTTAATGATAATCATAACATAAGTAAGAAGTGTTTTATAAATTTTATGACATTAATGTTTGCTATTAATGATAGTCTTGAAGTAGATAATGTCAAGATTGAGCAAAGTAGTAATTTTCTATTACAAGCTAACTTGAATATTCTTGTAATTTTTGAAAATGTTAGAGGATTATATGTGCTCCAAAAATATTTGTGTCATTTATTGAATATTTTAGTAGAATACTATCTACACATGTATCTATAGGTGGCAACACACATGTATCTATTGAAGTCTCACATTAGTAATATTTTGATGATGACAAATATGTTTGAATTAGATATCGAATTATGCATATCTTATATGCTTATGAGGCATAAATCTTGAACACAATCAATAATATACATAATAATGAGTAAAAGAGAACTTTACAAGAATGATCATGCTTAAGGACTGACAAACGTATAAATTAAGTATACATATGTGCATGAAATGCTCATAATACATACTATTGGATTAGATGATCATGTTTGCAGAATATATTATGGTTCAGAAATGATGACAAAGATATCAGTATGAATGAAACAATGCAATGCAAAACATGGATATGAAAGTTTACTTAATTTATTACATCCTTGTAATAACAAATATTCATGTGTTTAGTATGGTAATAGTGTCTTGAGTAAATAAACATAGCTAGCTCTCCTTAATAGATATAATATCTTGAGTATTTGACAATGATAAATCATAATTCACAATTAAGCATTTGAATGATCAGATTTGTACTTATGAATGCTGAGAATGTTAATTGAGAATTTAACATGAGGATTTTATCTCCATTAAGGAGATTTGAATATGGTTGAATGTTGAATTACTGTCAAACTTAAATCATTATTTTCAAATTTGTTTTATCTATATCATAGCCTATCAAGAATGCTTCTTTATGTTATTGGATTTGAAACAAATTATCAAGAACCAATATGCTTCAAATACTAATGTTAAGTGATAAATGATATACATATTAATTTTTCCTTGAGAATATTCAATTCATGTCATGGATATGTCATTTTGGTCTCTCGCTAGAATTTGATTAGTTGTTAAAAACTCATGTAGATCTAAAAATAATATGACATATTATGTGATTAATAGATTACCTAATATTATTTATGATGGGAGAGATGTTGAGGAAGCATGAGTTAGTACATAAGTCAACTATTAAAATTTGTTGGATGTGTTGGGTATGCCCATATTTTCAATGATGAAAGCTCAAAACTTCATCAGTATATATTCTTTGGTTATGCAGATGGGAGTGAAAAATGTATAAGTTTTGGGATCCAAAAAATAAAAAAGATGTTAGTTGAAGTGCAATTTTGGATGAAATTATATGTTAATGTATTTTGATGAAGAATCATTACTATAGCTAGAGAATGATAATTCTAATAATAAAATTATTCAGTTGGAGATTAAAGAGAAGCTCAATTTTTCAATTAAAATTGAAGTGACTAGAAGGGTAAGACACACCATCAAAAAACAATAAAGTATTTTTAAGATTATTTTGTCTTGTCTTGATTGCATGTGAAGGAGAACCTACATCTTTTCATGAAGCAATTAATTACTATGCTAAAGATCAATGGATGAAGTCAATGATAAAAGAAACAAAATATTTATGTAAAAGGTAAAACCTATCATCTAGTTGAACATCCTAAGGAGAAGAAGATAAAAATCCAAATCAATATTGAAAAAGAAAGGAACTACAAATAAGGAAAAATAAAATTTAAAGGCTCAATCATAGAAAAAAGATACAAGAGACCTCAATTGATCAAAATAAAATATTATCTTTGATGGCGAAGCATATAACAACAAAAATAGTGTTATCCTTTGTAAAAGAAAACTTGAAGTTGAAAATTCATGTGAATATTGCATTTCTCCATGAAAATTTGAAGGAAAATATCTGTATAAAACACCATGAATGGTGATTTACAAAACTAGATTGAAAACATACATTTGAAGATTGAAGAAATTGCATAATGATTGTAAGGAATCTTCAAGCAATGGTATCAAAAGTTTGATTAATTTGTGAATGGGAATTTACTACACCTAAGTAAGTATCATTATTATAATTACATTAAATAACTTGAAGATGGATCTCAAATTTGTTTCATACTTGAAATGGATGATATGCTGATTATTACAAAACTTATGAAATATATTGTGAAATTGAAATATTTATTAAAGAATTGAGATGAAGGATATTGACTCAACTAAGAAGATAGTAAGCTGAAAATTCATAAAGATCTTTGAGATGAATAGAAAACTATAGATATCAGGAAAGATATCAAAAAGTTAGTTGGATTATTTGGTATTGATGATATTAACCATATAATTTTCTAATGATATTAACTCATGAAAAATAATGTTATATTTGTGTTTATTAAGAAAAATGGGTTTTTATGTGAACAATGTGAATTTTTAGTTAATCATATGATCTTATATGATGTTTAGATTCATGTCTATAAAAAGTATAAAAAAGGGGAGATTTTTTAACTGACCGGCATTCAATATTGACTCAGAGAGTGTTGCTCACAAGTGGGAAGCAAAATCGAGAGAGCCATGAGTTGCACTTGAGTGGCTAAGAAACTCATGCAGAAACATGTGTATGCCACTCCCCTTCCATGTCACTAGGGGTCAACCAAACATGGGGCAAGGAATGTTCATATATGTGTATGTGGAGGGGGACCACTTGATTTGTGGGGCCCACTCCCCAAAGGGTGGTCATGACCATTATGATTTTAGGAGAAGAAACTTGAAGAAGAAGGGGGTAGAGACTTATATTTGTCTCAAATCTAGATAAAACTAATATGGGACTTAAATAGGGTTAGAACACATCAACAAATAATACCAAAGAAACCCCATGTTATGAGAAGTAAATGTAGTCATGAGCTTACTATTTCAAGGGTATTGTAGTAATTAGTTAATTATCTCTCATGCACTTAGATGATTGATGAAACTTCAAATCTCACCAATACAAAAATTGACAACTTTTATTTATTTTAGCTTCACAATTTTCTTGCAAAACATTGGTCAATGATCAAGTTGTTGGAAGTGCTTGATCATCAACAACAATCATGAATCATCGTTAACAAGAAATGAAAGATTCTAGAATTTTTTTTTATGAATTCATTTAGTAAATCATCTTGGTTGATCAATGAATGCATTGTCATCGAAAACAAGGTGATCTACCAAGAGATTTTTTGTGATCTCTTCAAAATGTTTTGAATGTGATAAAGAGCATCTTTTTGTTACACAAACCTATGGATGAAGCTCCCTAATATATACTCCACCTATATCAAGCTCAACTCAAATGAGTGATAGTCATTGAAGACCTACCTTTGTCAAACATTAGCTCAATCAGGTGACAACTACAAGAGATGCATCACCATCACTTACCTTCACCCTTTGAACTTTGAATATGAATATGAAGAATGACTATGACTAAACTCATCTAAAGAGAGCCTTTGACGCCACAGTCACCCTCAAAATCTTTCAATCACTTAATATTCTAACAATTGCTACCATAATGCCGGAACTCTATTTTTTTATTTTAAAACTCACTGAATCTTTTGGTTAATTATAACTTATTTGAATTTAATTTTCAATAATCCTTTTTATTCTATTATGATTTATTTAAAATTTATAAACCTCAATTTTATCAATTCAATCATTAATAATTGTTACCCACCCATAATCACTCAGTATAATATTTTCATTTAAATCATCATTTTTTACGTGTTGACATCAACACATGAAATTTTTCTTTTTCTCTAATGATTAAATATTTTTTTTATAAACTTGATAATTATAAATTAGTAATTACATCTATATATTAATATCTAATATATATAGATGCTAATTAATAGGTAGATAATATAATTATATGTGTTACTGATTCATAATAACATTCATAATATTTTATCATTTAAGTCCTAATATATATTATTTTATTTATTATATTTATATTATGAGACTAACTCTACTTGACTTTTATAAAGTCAAGTGATAATTCTCTCATATTTCTTGATAATTATTTGATTGTAAGGACTTAGGTGAGCTCTTATTATAAGATGAAAGTAATGAAAGAAGCCCAAATCTTCAACCCAATGAAGAGCCCAAGTCTTATGAAAATGACTTGCTTAATATATTTATGAGCCTAAGAGAGAGCGTCACTTTGGCCTAGCCTATTTAGACCTAAAAGGGTTATCAAGAGATGAGATCTAGGTTGCTCATCTTAAAGTACATTAAGATGAGATTAAGAGAAAGATTAAGGCACTACCCTCATCAAAAAATCTAGGTCGTCTACTAAAAGAGTCAATTATTAGTCATAACTATCTACTAAAGGGGCCTAATTCTCAAGAAGATTAAAACATTTCGCCTTTCTCTTGGAGGGTGCTTTTTGGCTCCCTCTCTAGTAGTGGTTAGTCAAAGAAAAAAATAAAAAAATCAAAGCCCATTCAACGACATTTTTGTGCCCAAGATTGTGGTGGAGAAGAGACTACATGGAGCACATCAAGATTATTATGGATCAAGCACCACTAGGCCTAAGACTAGTATAAAATGAAGTCTATGCAAGATCTAAATTTGGGAAGTCTTTATTATCTTCTTCATAGATAAATTAACTTTTAGTTTGAACTAATTTTACTATTTATTCTATCATTTCATTATGTTAGATTCATTCTCTTCACTTTGTCAAACTTTTTATTTCTCTTATCTCCATATTTTTTAGATTTAATTCTATCTTTTATAATCTCAAGTATATCTATATATATAATAAATAAAATAAGTAAATTCTTACTCTTATTATCCTTGCTCCCTAAGAATCGACCCTTACTTATCCTAAATAGAAGAATGAGGTTTTACAAATATTATTTATATGAATTTAGTTGTATCACGAAGACATTTAATTTCTAAATCAAATTCATCATAACTTTTAGTCTAAAATTTATAAAAAAATCATATTCTTTGAGAAAATTTCTAAAATTTTACTTGATATTATCTTATATCCTTAGAAAATTATGATTATTTTAGAACTCTTTCTTAAATTATAATTGAAATATTTATTCTAAAATATTTTAAGTATCTAAAAATTAAGAAAAATAGTTTTATAAATTTTAAATGTGTGATTTAATAAATAATAATTAAGTCACGTCACTGACAAATAAGAGTGTAAACCTAAGATGGATGAAGAACATAAATCATGTAAATAATATAGGTACCTTGATTTATGTCATAATTTGGACTAGATATTGTTTATGTCACGAGTGCAATGAGTAAATTTTCTACTAATTTAGAAAGAGCCTATCAGAAAGTAGTAAAATGAATTTAAACATATCTCAAGGTTTCTACTAATATTAAATTAGATTTCAAAGGCAAAAATTAATATGAGTTGAAGACTTTGTAAATATAAATTTTGTTGTGATTTAGATAATCAAATATCTATTATTAGTTATCTGTTTACTTTTGTATGGGGTTAGATAATTAGAAATCAAGACTTCAAATATAGGACATCTTATTATAAAAAATTCAAACTATAGATAATGCTACAGATATTTCACCAACCTTAACACATTTGAAAAATTCAAACATTGCTTACAATTAACTTAGGTTTCAACTTGTTGAGAAGGTGGAGCATATTCTTAGAAGAAATTCTAGATGAAACATCTACAAAATTTTCAGAATATTTTTCAAGATATATATTGTTGAAGGATGACTTATATCTAACATGGGCTCAACGAACTAAAATATCTTAATAGAGGTATACATGCTACGTACATATTCCCAATATTAAAGGAATGTGAGGCTACAATTTACGTTGTCTTTTAGCGAATTTCAAAGGGTAGTATTCTATGTGTAGCCCAATTAAAGGGTTTGAATTCGTACCGAATTTTTCCATTCCAATGAATGGTGTATTTTTCTTAGTAGCTCTCTCCTATTTTCCTCTCTTAAAAATAAGAAACTTGTTCGTCTGTTCTTATAGGTATAAGAAATGAGACAAGCTATAAAAAGGCTATCCTTAGAAATATTTAGAATAAAAGATTAGATGTTATTAGACAAACAGAGAAGATGATTGAAGGTCAATTGTTATTTGAAGAATAGTAAAAGAGATTGATGATCGACTTGATCTATATTGCCTTAATATGAGAGAGAGAGATTGGATCTTAGAAGTTTGATTGACTAGATCTTGGAAGCCAAGTTATCATATTTTATTTTGTTTTTTGCTTATCATTGAAATTTATGACAAATGAAATCATAGCTCAAATGAGATAAATGAGAAATGACATACAAGGTTTCTTACTATGGTATGACAAAGAGCCGTAGTAAAAAGTGTAATACCAAAGTGTAGAGATGCAAGTATCATGCACTATTTTGGTTCTTAACAACTTTGGGCATAGGGAGCACCCATGTGTAACACAATTGTGTTTGTTCAGAAATTAATAATCCTAGACCTAAAGAGTCCCCTTGTAGAGTGCAGAGATTATGCATGTAAAATGTAGAGTAGCACCAATGTGAGAACGTTTGTCAAATGACTAAGATGAGAATGCTCATGGAAATGTTAAGTGAGGATGCTCATGAGATGGCCAGATGTGGATGCTCATATGATGGCTGGGTGAGGACACTCAAGGAATGGCTAGGTGAGGCTCACTGAATGATCACATAATGGCACAAGTAGAACTGTTAATTTGCTATTCCTAATGGTTATCTAGAGTCATAAATTTGGAAGATAAGAGAGGTATTATTATGTTTGACAATGTAGAATTGTGAATATAGAAGAGATCAGAGGTGATTTATTTGTCCTCTTAGAATCATGAATTTTGAAAAGATAAAATGTCATCATATTATTGACCTCCTAAATGTGTGAATTATAAAAAGAGGAGAGATGATCCTCTAGTTTTTTCCCCTAGATCTATTAATATAAAAGATAAGAATGGGTTTTCCTCTAGTTTAGCCCTTAGAGGATTGAATATAGAAGATGATTATTTGGTAATATCATAAATTAATTAGAACTATTGAATTCAGTGAAAGATATTAAATTTTTATTTTTGTATGTTTTACTAAAGATTGCATAATCCAAGGATGTACTTGAAGAGTAAAGTATGTTGCATCACCTTCTAGATCATGATTGTCAAAAAACAATTAGTGAAAAACTAATTTACCCCTTCCCCTCTAGATAATATGATGTGATATGGAATCAAACACATAACAACTCATCATTCAATTCAATAGGAATTACAACTTTTTTGCACTGAAGTTGTTTGATCTTAGAAAATTAAATCCACATGTCATCATCACCTATAATCATCATTTCATTACCGTAACCAATTAAAATAGAAAAAAGTATTTTTCATTTTTTAAATTAGGTGATCATTTGCACCACTTTTTTATATTCTAAGTAATGATGAATTTTTTTAAGTTATCAAATAATGTTGGTATAGATTGCTTTGCATCATATATGACTTTCATCAGCCTACATATTTTATCATAGATATTGTATGCATGGGGAAGGATTCTACACATGTACTTCTTGAAAGTTTCTCTTAATAAAGAAACTTTTTGCATCAAGGTGATAGAGATTCTATTGAAATTGAGTAGCTAATTATAACTTATGTCACACAAGAGTTTTTCCACAAGAGAAAAAGTTGTCATGTATTATTGTTTTACAAAAATCCCTTCGCCACTTATTTACATTAAATCTTTCCATATGTTTCTTTGCTTAATACTTAATAGCAAATAATCATTTATATCCAACAAGCTTCTCGATATGAATTTATTTATGGGGCCCCATTGTTTCAGACATTGCATGTTACCGCTTTGGATCCTTCACGACCTTTGCAAAAACATTAAGGAGAGAAAAACAATATATAGTAGACACAAAAGGTGATATAAGGGTGAAAATCCAGCACAACATAGATATTTAGTGGCTGCTTGATGTAAGTTCTCTTTCCCTTATTGGCTTTTGGAGTCTTGCTAGTTTTGATGTTGAAAAAATGTATATGAACATCAAATGATTATTTTATGTATGAAGCTTATGTTGAGTGCTTATAAAAAATATTGACAAAATAATTTTATAAAATCTTATGTCTATTTATAGCTTCAAGAAGAGAGTTGACTTACTTGGAAAGAAAAGCTTTTATACTCATAATGAGCAAGGAACCACATAAAAGTATAACATAATATAGTCTACTTGTCTTCAAGCATAAAAACAATATATTCATTTGTCCATAAAATTTTTGATTGACTAATTTTTCTAGTTCACTTGAGTCCACTTTGCATTTGAGAATAATAATTTGGTCTCTTTTATGTTTACCACCAGTCACATCATATCTATTGAATAGATCATTAATGTATTTTCACAAATAATTTTTCTATAATAGATTTATTTGGTCTAAAGTTCAAGTAAGAAACTAGTTCCCTCATAATGCTTACCTCAAATTCTTATTTCATGATTTTAGAAAATTGAATGCATAGATTTTTATTAATTCACCAAAATATCATGTCATCAACGTAAATTTAAATAAATATATCATATTTTTAATATTTTTAAAAAAGTGAAATCATTTTGAATAAATAATATGTTTAATTTATCATACCAAATTCTTAGGGATCATTTTATATTTGAAGAGTGATTTTTTTAGGTTAAACACATGATTTGTGAAGTTTGAATGTCAAAATTTTTGGTTGATAGACAAATTACCTTTGACAATTACTACATTCTGAGAAGACATTTTTTACATCTATTTGAAAGACACTTTTTACACTTTTTGGGACATGCGTAAGTTAGAAGTGATCAAATGATATATAATTTACCCATTGGCTCATGTGTTTCATCATAATCAATTTTTTAGTTCTAATGTATATCAAAGCAATTAATCAAATCTTATTCCTAATAGCTTTCCATTATTCATTTTACATATTTTGAAATTTCATTTAGTTTCAATTGCAAGCTGATGTTTTTCAAATAATACTAAAGTCCAAAGTTCACTTTTTTCAAATTGATTTAACTCATTATGCATGCATGACACCCAATTCTTAACTTTAATGCCTCTTCTTTGTATTTTTTTGAAATTAAATGATAATTTAGTTTGAATTCCTTCATAAACTTCTCCAATGAACTTTCTTATGACCTTTTATTCCTTTAGTAATGTTGATTTTTTGGTGACTTCATTGACTTCACTGTCATTCTTTAGAGAGATATTCTAAAAGTTTGATTCTAGTACGTCTACATCATTCAAAGCAACTTTTGTTTTGCCATTTTTTGTTGGACTTCACATGAATTGATTCTTCAACAACTATATTTATTTCATTATACACTTGATAAGCTTTTGAGTCATTTGAATAGCCCAAAGAAATATCTTCATCACTTTTTGAGTCAAAAATTTCAATTTCTTACTTTGTATTTACTTAATCACTTATTTTTAAAATTTTAAAATATTTCCTCATCACTTCTTTTACATCCATATATTCTGAAGTAGTTGATATTTTGTTTTCTTCCTTTAAGTAGCTCATATGATTTTTTTAGGAATGAATCTAATCAGATTTTATTGATTACTTCTACCAAAAAATATTTGGATTAGATTAAGATCAGCAAACATAGTTCAAGATATGTACATTAAGATTTCATTTTTCCTTTTAACAACATTTTGTTGAGGAATTTTTGGAGGAGAGAACTTGTGTAATTATACATTATCATCACACAATTTAGCATACTTAAGGTTCTCAGACTCCTCTCTATGATCAAATTTTATTCTCTTGACCTTAAAATCCCCTCCATTTTGAATCTTCTTCCAGAATTTCACAAACAATTTAAGATTTTTCATCTTTATGTGCTAGAAAGTAAACCTAAGTAGCTCTAGAGTAGTCTAATATTACAAAATCATGTCTTCCCTCCAAGACTTGACTTTGAAGGTCCAAATAAATCAACATGGATACTTGCTAAAGGCCTAGATGTTGGGATGAAATATTTAGGTTTGAATTATTAATTATTTCTTCTCAAATACATTGGTTAAAATCATGTTCTTCTTTAATGTCAATATTGGATAATCATCCATACTTAGTTTCCAAAGTTTATCTATCATGTCACATTCTACATGTCTATGCTAAAAATGCATACCATTTAGTTGATTCTTTGTCACTAACCAACCATTAGAATTTATCAAATTAAGAAGATGTATGATATAAATATTTTGTTACTTATAAGTAGTGAAACTATGATCATTAGAATGTAAACTTTGATATGACTCAAAATCACTTTTAAATTCAATGTTCATTATATTCTCACACTATCGACCAATGTTAATAAAATTCTAGGATAATCCATCCAGTCAAATGATACTTTCAATGGGTATGAGACTAAGATGATATTTCTACCTTTTTCTTTTCTTGTTGCCAATGTGACTTTTCTGCATCCATTTTGAAAGAATAGGTGAGCCATCACTTTTTGTGGTTGTGTCATAGACACCCACTATATAGGTACCATGACACTTTTGCATATTAGAGATCCACCTAATGTATTTAATTAAGATTTTGATAAGAGTAGTCAAGTGTCCTTGAGTCTAGTTTTTGTGAGAACCTCTTACTATTTTATCATTACTTGAGTATATGCTTTTGTGTTGCAAGAAAAATTGCTTATTGGGTTGACTTCTAAAATTGTTCTTTACAATTTTTATTCTTTTTAGTTCCATTTTTTGGATAATTTTATAAATTAAATTAACTTTCCACTATTTGCAAACTTTTCCAAACATATTTTTCTACCATTGAGCTTGTCAAATTTTGGTGTTAAGTTCAGCATTTGGTTTTTTAAAGTATATTCATAACTTTTAATTATGATTTCAATTCATACCCACTATTCTTATATGCAGCAAGCAGTTCATCCATGAAATCATGCATATCATTAATTGAAAATTCTGAATTTGCTTCAATGTTGTGTACCTTGTCTACATGAGTAATTAGATATAACTATTCCTTGCCTTGATTGTCCTAACCTGATGATGAGGTATCTTTATTAATTTGTGCAGTGACCAAAGCCCATTTTTTCTTCAACCTCTTGTCCCTCTTCATCATATGTACAATCTATCTTCAAATGTCCTTTTTCCTTGCATTTACTACATAACTTCATCTTCAGTTAGTTCAAGTTCTAGGAAAGAAGACTTCTATAATTTCTTGGAAGTCCATTGTGATTCATTTTTTATGAGATATCATGTAAAGTTTATAAATAAGAATGTGTTGGGTTTAAGGATTTTGATGCTGAAAATTAGTCATATAAAGATAAAAGGAAACTGTACTCATAAACATATTCTCACTATTCTAACTTGAGAATCAACATCTATCTTATTAGATCTATTCTTTTGGTGATGAAAATTAGTTTTTTAAGCATCATCGAAAAAAAATATAAACAAACCCAAATGCAAAAAAACGAAGTGAAAGGATGAGTTTTAGAAAGAAAATAGAGTAATAAATTTGTAAAATATCAATATAACTTAGTTCCAAAATTGAGATTTTCCAAGAGTCAAAATCAGCTCAGTGCGTTCAGCGTGAGCCTTGCCAAGATTAGCTTGAGGCTAACCATTTGTTACAATGCCAAGTTCAGAAAAAAGCCTACAAATTAATCCAAGGATCATCAAGCTGTGCCCAGATTTCGAGATGGCCTGACTTGGAAGCCCGATAGCTCTACCACATTGCCGTCCCTCTGCCTGTCTTAATTAGCCACTAGCAGGCACTCTCTGGCCATCTGGGCGGCCCCGAGGTTCAATAGGGTCCAACGAAGGGGCCATTTTCTCTAGACAAATTTAGATGTCCACGTGGATTGGTCCCGGCCCTCTAAATCTGCCATAGATATCTGGGATTTTACGTTTAAAAGTCATCTGGGCCTGGTCCAAAACCATTGAAAATATTCGATATGTATGGCCATCCCCCACTCCATAGCTGCCGGACATAACTGGCTCGGCGCTGGAGTTCCCCGCCACTGTCATTCGCTTCCAAATTACCGCCGGCCCGGAGATTGTGGGGCCACGGCAGGAGGGTTGTCCGACGAGACGGCGGCGAGAAGGTAAGGGAGATAGGCAGCCCTCTCCCTCCCCAGGAGACGTCGGAGCTTGTCTTCACGAGGATTTTATCCAGGCTTGTTGGCCGGTCTGCGGAGGTGACGGGAGGCACATGGCTGCCTGCCGATGAACAGCGGCAAGGGCTCATGCAACCGGTGGGGACGAAGCAGGTGCAGCCAACAGGCCAGCGGTCGATTTCAATGCTGCACCGGGGAAGTGGGGGGGGCCGGCTTTTCTGACCGCCGGAGAGGGAGCGGAGGATTGTCGCTGCTCTGATTGACAGACTTGACGCGTGAACAGCAGCCGCTCATAATTGGGCGTGCAACTCCCGGGAGATGAGAGGGGAGACGGGGGTAGCTGGGTTATGGAAGTTTTGTGGTTCCTTTTCTCTCTGTGACGGCGAGGAAAGCGGAGACATTATAGATAAATGGGATATGAATGAGGTGTGGGTTTAAGGGAACTAGCCCGATAAGCCATAGGCCTTCTTTATCTCTCGCAAACGGAGAAGATAAAAGATGAACAAGTCGAATGAGGGAGGGATGATAAAGAAAGAGAGGGGGAGAGAGTGAGACAGAGGAGTCGTTAGACTGAGTGGGACAATAAGCGAGTTAGAAAGATAGAGGGACACGACAGAGATGTTAGAGAGAGAGAGAAAGAGACTGTTGGGATGGCAGTCACTGTCCCCCACGATGGGTGGATGAGTCCCGAAGTCCCACGTGGCTACTCCCCACGGGTTGTCGAAGGGGCATTGCGTCCAGCAGGGAGCACGCATACTTAAAAAATACGTCTTTTACCGCTCTCCCGGAGTTGACTGTATAGCAGGAGTATCATGTGAGAAGTATACATGGCCATCCAATTAAAAATAGACGGCGAAGACTGGAGCCTCAACCTTCGGATGACGTAATCGGACTATTTCACTATTTCTCATGTGTTCTTGAAGCTGCGAAGCGCGCCAAGAAATTCTCTATGCACTCTCTCTCTCTCTCTCTTTCTCTCCCTGAGATGGATGCAGGAGAATGAACGGCGGGGTGCCGGCACCATGCCCCTCTCTTCTTTGTCCCCTTCGATCTCTTCCTCCTCCAGCCGCGGTTTCTTCTCCTCCCCCTCCGACGGCTCCAACGAGCTCCTCCTCTGCGAAGAGGACGCAGGCTCCTTCTCCGACGAAGACCACTGGTCGCCCCTGTGCTATCTACACAGTGAATATGCGGATGAAACTGGGAGCTTGGCCGGCGTGGAGACTGCGTTTCCTCTGGGGTTGGGGTACCGGAGGAGGTTCGACGCCATTGTCGACTCTCTCGACTCGGCGGCTCGCCGCGTCTCTGCCGCCTGGATCCTCAAGGTTGGCCTCCCGTACATCCAGGGCTATTCAGCTCTTTCCATCTGTGATCTCTCCCCCCTTGACCGGTGTCCGCTCTGGTCGACGTCGCAGGTGGCGGAGCTCCACCGGTTCCGGCCGCTGACGGCGTACCTCGCCGTCAACTACATGGACCGCTTCCTCTCCCGCCACGTTCTTCCCGTATGCAACCTCCGCTCTCTCTATCTTTAATATGCACTCTCCTGTCCTTAACGTGTAGTCTCTCTTTCTCTAGCTGACGGACTTCGTACGTACTTCTATCCGTACTGCATAGGGGGGTTATATTTCATGGGCGTTCTTAAGATCATACGAGAACTTCTTTGATTTCTGGAGTTCCATGCAAGTATGATAGTGCTACGCGTAACCCTTTCCTTGATCCGCACCTGAATTTGAAATCTTTGATAGGCCCATTAATATCAGAAAAAAAACACCCGTTATTTACCCTTAATTTCATTGTAGAAAGATACCCATTGACCGTGCCTCTCATCCTCTTCTACTTCCGTCCTCACCGGCGGCGGCGCAGAAAGTGGGCAGCGCCAGCGGAGGGTGGCAGCTGCAGCTGTTGGCGGCCGCGTGCCTCTCCCTCGCTGCCAAGATGGAGGAGAGACTCGTGCCGACCCTTCTCGATCTCCAGGTCTCACCACTCCTCTTGTTGGGCACCGTCCTTCTTCTATGAAACCTCTCTGATCAGGGATCGCGCGCAGGCGGCGGAGGCGAGCTTCGTGTTCGAGCCCCGGACAGTGCAGAGGATGGAGTTCCTGGTTCTCGACGTTCTCGATTGGCGGTTGCGCTCCGTCACCCCCTTCGCCTTCTTGGGCGCCTTCGCCGCCCTGGCCGACCCTGAACAGTCCTTCGGTTCCTTGATTCGTCGTGCTACCCAGATAATTCTCGCCACGCTCGAAGGTTTCATCAAGAATCTGCATACGATTCGATACTTCCTGACATAATGTCGGATTGGAGTTATACTGAATTTGGTTCATCTAAGCTTTGGCCTTATATTTCGGGAAATTAGTCTCCACATATGAAATGGGTTGCGATGTTAATCGATTTTGAGTTGGATAACCCGATTTATTTCTTCTATTTCTACACGAAATGAGGGAGTGCTTCGTGATCGAATCCCATTTTTTAAAGTCAGTAGGTCGCATTTAATAATAATATTATGAAGGTTTCTGGACAACACACTTATCTTTATCGGGGCGGCAAATTTGTTTTACCGTCGAAAACTTAAGCCTTGAGTCGCCTTCCACGTATTCACGAAGTTGCAACTTTTTACCCTTTCAGATATCGACTTCCTGGATTACACCCCGTCGACAATAGCCGCCGCCGCCGTTATCTGTGCGGCTGGGGCAGCGCCGGCGCCGCCGTCCGTCGATCCGGAGACAGCGGTGCGGTGGTGCGCCGGACTAACCAGAGTAGGCCACATTAAATCTCATTTTGACTTGTTGGGGTGCGTGTTCTTAACCTCCGATGGGCGACGGCGTCTGTTCCCGCAGGACGCTGTCGTGAGCTGTCACCTGCGTATGCGAGAGCTCCCTGCCTACGCTGGCCGGAAGAAGGTCTGTCTTCTCGACGCCGTCCCGCAAACCAGATCGGTGCCGCCAGCCGCCGCCGGCTCCGCAAAGAGGAAGCTGGACTGCGAAGAGGACGACCCATGAACGTGGAGGCTGAAGAAATGAAGGAATGCTTAGAGTGAGTGAGCGAGAGAGAGAGAGAGAGAGAGAGAGAGAGAGAGAGAGAGAGAGAGAGAAAGTATTAGAGGGAAGAATCTCCAGTGGTGATGATTCGGTTCGGCGGATACTCTCACTATTTCTGAGAGGAGCTTCTGTGGGTAATAAGCTTTCCTTCTTTGGTAAACTTTTTTTTTCTAGGAGCATGAAGTCTTTAGAGCGCGCTAAGCAGGAGAGTATCTATGTAATAGTTGTTTCATTTGCTTAATGTCCATGAAGTGAGTACCTGTGCGAAAAGGTCTCGTGAATGTATCAGAAACGGGTGTCACAAAGATTTAAAAATTATAAGTGGAAGCAGTATGGCGAACGCCTATTTTTGTCATATAAAATTTCCTTTTAATGCATGTGACTTAACCTATCCGGTTGGCCAAAGCAATTGCATAGAGTTTACACCTTGTAAAGATAGTTTCTTCTCATATTTGAAGCTATTCTGAGTTTCGTCCAATGGATGACTGAAATCGATAGATCAAATACCCCTCGGGTGATTCAACTCAAGAAACTTCCCCAACTGTTAAAAATAATGCATCTATACTCCTAGGGAAGCACAATTATTTTGAGTATGAATTTTCACGGGGTCCACCTGTTATGAAATGGGCAATTTTAGAGATTTGCGGCGTTAAAGGCAAAAATGTTGCAAATAAATTCCCAATTTTCAATTAACATTATTCTACTTGAAATAATATGTAAAACCATATAATATATAGTAAGACTCGTATCCAAGACGCATGAGACCATGGTTGTGATCTCATACACCATAATAAGATGCTACCATTAGAAGAGCTATTTCCTCTCCAGTTAACACTGCCTAATTTATTCATGAAATAATATGGAAAGTCAGCTAAAAACGCCACGAACGATAACAGTCCTAGACACCCCACATGAATGAGACTGTAGTTATGATGAGTAGATAATATCAGATTAACAGCCGTTAGAGTAATTGATGATATATAATACCCAAAAATACTAAATGAGGCCGCACCGCACTACATTCCACTCAGTATTTTATATTGTCTTAGTGGAGTTGTTGACTATCCATATAAAGAAAATTTGACGTTTTACTCAACCTAATGGATCGTGATGATAACCTGCACTGAGTTGATCAAGCCCGGAACGTACCCCAGCGCAGCTTTTTACGCGCATGAGTCTCACTCTCTCTCTCCGTCTCCTCTCTCATTAGAATATATGGAGGCCATCAAATGACTAAGATTGAAGTAAGTCGGCCACTGTAGAGGGATTTTATTTTTTTCTCATGTGTTGCCTTTACTTCATGTTGTATGCTCCGGAGGGTTGAAAAGGGGAGCAAACTCTTTCCCTATTTATGGCCGGCATCTACTGTCCTCTCTCACCCATGAAGTCTGGGAAACCTGAAAAAGATGAGTAGAAACTCAACAGCCCACTCCCCATCATCTCTACTAACGGCTACTAACATAGAGAGACTGATGGATAGAGACAGAAAGAGAGAGAGAGAGAGAGAGAGAATGATATACACATGAGACTAAGCAGACAATGAGGTAGAAATATAGACGATATAGACAGACAGACTGGTGATAAAAGGCGGTATGGTATGAACGGATGGCGAGAAAGAGAGGTATCGATATATTGATCTATGGATATCAATAATACAAGCATATAGATGCACTGACTCAATTGATCTGGAGAAATATGCTACAAAATCGAGATACGGAGAGAGAAATCGAAATATAAGTAAATACATAGATTGAACTACAAATAACAAATATATAACAATGTGGGAATATATATATTGCGAGAGAGAGAGAGGGAGAGTAAACTAGATTGGACAGATGATAGATTACGTGGCCGGAGAGATGATGGGAGAGTGAGAGAGAGAGAGAGGGGAGCAGCTTCATTCATTACTCTTTTCTCATATTATATGCAGGAAGCGGCGGTCTCTATATCATCGTGGGAACGCCCGCTATCGATGCCGTGGAAGGCGGAGTACGTCTTAGGGTCGCGAAGTAAATAATACGGTCAAAGCCGAGAATGACGACAAGCGCCTTCGACGACGGATGGTCTCTTCCCAGCTCACCACCCAACGAAGTGACGAGGAGGTGACAGGAGGACCTTCTTACAGCTGCCCATCGCTGTGGAACTTTCTCTGGAAAGAGAGAGAGAGAGAGCAAAAGAGAGAATCTTCTTCACCAACTGGTCATACATCTGTGAGTCAACTCTCTCTTCTTAACTTCTTGAGCTCTTGTTGGGTGGTCTCTCCTCCCACCACACCCATCCAACGAGGAGACAGGGAGGTGACAGGCGGAGTTTCTTCCAGCTGTCCCCACGAGATCCGTCATCACCGCTGTAAAGCTTTTTCCGTAGAACAGTGCAGACCCAGAGGGGGAGATAGAGGGAGAGTCTCCCTCATTATCAGGCCATCCCTCGGTGATTCCTCCCATTCTCTACTTTCCCTCCGGAGTTCCTGTCATCATCAATGGACAATTCAATGACTAGTCGTCGATCTGGTCTCATGTGTAATGGCTTCAGCGAGAAGCGCGGGCTTTGTCCGACCGGAATGTAGGGTGGGTGGAGGGAGAGGGGTGTGGGATGCCACATGAAGGATGTGTACCTAAATGCACTCTCTTGACTTGAAAGATTTTACTTCCATTCATGTATAAAGACATAATCTGCTAAAAAACAGCGATTATGAAAACGTAGAAAATGTGTAGATATTTGTCATTTGATTAACATTTTGAAAGAGAAATTCGATTTTGGAACCAAGACCTTCACTGTCTCTGCACTGTTTCAGAGAGAGAGAGAGAGAGGGAGAGAGAGAGAGAGAGAGAAAGAGAGGATCTGCCATATGGAGGGTCTAATGATAATCATGTGAAAAAAAATAATAATCTGGTATCCTATGTCGAATCTTAGCAAAGTTCAGACCCAGTCTAGATCTGGAACAAGACAGCCTATTATTAACTTTGTCCATGATTTTTGGACTTGATCATATGGAATTATAGACCATGATAGGAAAGTCCGACCCAAATAACCCTTGCTGTCATTGGTCAAGAGAAGAGAAAGTACTAAGGTGGTCAATCCTACTTTTCTTTTCAAAACTGACTTTATAGCCAGTTTATATAGAACCTGTGTTGAACAATGTAGGGCGTCCAATCATTATGAATTCCTATATGTTAAGATCACAGTTTATTAAAAACGACTTTATTACTATAAAATAAATTATATTTTATATAACTCAAAAGCAGTGAATTGTTAAATAACAATAATCGTGGTATTCATAATAACAAATATGTATAAGAAAAATTCTAAATTAAAAATATAACATAAACATATTGATGAGACAAACATATTATGTCGCATGGCCTGTCCTACGATATGTATAGTTTTGTTTATACATTTTTTATATTCATTACTAAAGAAGATTTCATGTTTTTTTTCTTAGTCAAAACATGTGTTTTTAAATAAATTAATCTGTAACTTCTACATAAAATGTCAATACACAAATGTAATAACAATATGGCATTGATAACTAATGGGTTTAACCATCACTATAAGGCATGACGGATCATAAAATTAACACTCATGACAAAATATGAGTTCCAATGAGCAATTTTTTTTAGATTTAGAGTTGGAAAAGGATTTTGAAAACTAGATTATGTTTTATGCATAAGGATGTATGTCTTTGCTTGGTATTGACTTAATGTGTTTGATGCAAAGTCTAAAGGCCATTTGCATGAATAGATTATCATCGCACACATTGGAGCCCTCTCTACCCAAATATAAGTCTCCCACATTAAGAAATCTTTGGGATCTTCACCAGTATAAATCTCAAGTGAAGTAGTTAATACAAAAGAGAACCTAAGTAAAGAAATGTGCAACCCTTCACCTACAATATCTTTGTTTATGATTATATGTATACCTTAATTAAATATAAAATATATCATATTTTTTCCTAGAGGGAATAATTATTGTGAACGGTATCTTATGTTGAGATACTTTTTGAGAGATCACCATGAAATGATTTAATAAAGACAATATTACTTTGAGAGAGTATTGTGATCCAAGAGAGCCATGTATACATTGTGTTATTCACCATTTACTTTATAAAATGTTGAACATAATAATTATGGAAGAATTATTGAAATACAAAGAAGGTATGTATGCATCAATATGGGTATCAAAACGATTGTAACTAAAAAGGGTATGAATGCATTTATTGTAATAAGACTACTTTCAATGAGTATATTAAGAAACATGTGACTTAAAAAGCATATACTAATGTGCTTAAAAAATTGGTTGTAGTAAAAATAAACAAAGCAACATCAAGGTTAAAGATAATTTTCATGCATTAAATATTATCAAAAAGTGAGAATAAAATTACGAATTTCGCAAAGATAAGTCCATTCCTCAGCTTCTCTAAACTCCTTTTAGAAATTTTACCAACTTGTGGAAGGACCTAAGGTTGTAATACAAACTTGAGCTGCAATTGAATATTTAAGACTTAAGAATATCTTCCATCTCTTGTTGCCTCTTACAAAGTTATTACTTGTTTTTCATCCCAAGCCAATATAAAAGTAGGCTAGATAGAGGAGAATGAGATTGGGGGTCTGCATGTTTCATTTAAAGCAATTTTTCTAAACTTCATTGTTCTTCTCTTCTAATCTTAGATTCCTTTTGATTGCCTAGATCTTGGTCACAGATACCTCAAAAATTTTATAGTGGTTTGGCCCCTACATACTCCACTTTACCAAAACAGTCAATTCTTTACTTCTAATAATTTAGTATTATACACAAATTATAAGGGCTCAACTTTCTTAAAATCTCAAATCACAATTCTCATTAGATTCAAGGCTCTAGATAATTCAAATATTGATTACATTAATTAAGCCCTTTGTGTGATAAGTAAAACTAAATATAGAGTTTTAATGCAAAAAATCATGAAAGAAATCACCAACAAGATTTTCTAGATGTTGATAAGAATTAAATCAAGATCAACAATTTATGAAAGATAAGATTAAATTGTGCTTTATATTTTGCTTACTCTTCATGTCTGAAAGTTCTATAAATGTTGAATATTTTTTCACAAGAATCCTGGTGAAGATAACTGATTTTGGCTTTAAAAATTGCTCCTCAAATTATTGACTTTTTGTTTTTGGAGCAAGAATTGAATTCTCTAAAAAAAATTAGAATAAGATTCAAGAGATACGGAAATCAAGGACAAATATTAAGAAAGTTACTAGTCATTAGAAAAGAGCTAAATTTATATAGAACTTCAAAGCATGCTTTCCCTTATATTCTGACATTCTTTAATTTAAAAATAGTTAGAAATTTTAATGGTTGAAAAAATATGACACATATTTTAATTTATATATCCAAAGGTATAACATACTTGCTAAGAATTCATTATCATAAAAAGTCAACCAAAAATCTATCTCAAAATAAAGAAATGATTTTGACATAAATTTAAAATCCAAATCCCCTCAAATAAAATGTACATACTCTCTTAATTCTCATATTATAATTCAGCATCAACAATTTCGTGATTTTAAATTATTCAAAATCATTATTCAATCAATATTTGAATTACTATCAATATAGTTCAAATCCAATTGAAAAATTCATGAGCAAAATAGATTTGAGTTATTTAAAATGGTGGGCATCTACTACAATGTTTTAAGTTTTATCTTAATAGTTTACTTCAAGCATTTGAGGATTATTCAATGATCAGATCTTTGGTTTTCAATTGTAGAATTTTCATAATTTTTAGCAAGTATATAGTTGTAAAGGAAAGTAAGAATTTTGAGTGAATTGTCAATCATTATTCTAGAATTCAAGTCATGAATGTTACGCACAATCATAAAATTACTATTTTAATAATTTAAGTTAATAAAATATACGACTAATACATTCTTAACTATATACTTTTATCAAAGCTTTAAATGTTTGCATATGGGTTTTAGCACTATAATAATAATTTGATCTATTTATCTTTCTTATCCATATTTTCATCATTAAGACTTTCAGAATAGCTTATTGTTAGAAAATATATGACATCAAACATGATTAGCATAGTCATTGATTGAGCCTCATCAATGTGTTTATAAAAAATAATGATATTGACCAAAACATGTGTTATTAATGTGAAGAAAATTGTAAAAAGAACAAGTCACTTAGTTCAACCAAAATAAATAGATATTTTCTATTAAGGTAAAATAGAGTATTTAAAATAATAAATTACGACATAAATGTCTTTGAATACATTTAGTCCAATTGAATACCAGTTATCAAAATATTTATTGACAATTTCTAAAGGATCATAGTTGAAAACAATAGATGAATGCCTAACAATCAAGTGCTACTCAATTTGTTGAAGTATAATTTTGTGGAAAGAGAAGAAAAATGATGACTTTGGGCACCAATTTTTCACACAAATAATAAAATATATAATCTCTCAACATGGTGATCCGTAAAATAGTATCATTGGGTTTGCATCACTTGTAGTAGGTGCATCAAGCTCTTCAACTTTTCTGAATCATTTCTCTAAAAAAAGATACAATTGCTTCAAGGGCATCAACCTTCTAGGGTAAGTTCTTGGGTCTATCTAAACACAATAGGGGTTATTAAAAAATTAACAACTGGATATTATTTACATTACCACTGGTTACTCAGGACACTAGTAATATAATATAGCTTAAAATATTATAAAACGAAAAAGTAAACACTAACATACCTAACTAAATAAAACTTTGCTTCAAACCTTGATAAAACCAACAAATGGTAAGAAAGAAAATTTTGTGAAGAGAAATATAGCCTTGAATGTTGATTTTGGTGGATATATCTACAAGGCAAACACGCTCTCCAAAAGTGATCCTTAGTGACTCCAATGGTCAACAAGAAACACAACTCTCATTTCAATGCTCTCTAAGGAAATTTCCTGAAAAACATTATGTTATGAATTTTAGACTTGTCCTCTCATTAATTGTATCCCAAAAGTTAGAAGCTTTCTTTTGAATACCAAATCTAGAGAGTTCAAAAAATTCATCAGAATAAAGGCATCTTTAACACTATTCAATATATAACTTTTTGAAGTTTTCCTTTATAAGGTTTTATAACTACTTCCTTAAAACTTTTAATCCCAAAAAAATATTTAAAATATTACAATGTACTTCTTAAAAATTGAAGTCATCTATGGTACTTATCCCTGATTAATATCATTTAGTGACCTTTAAATCATTTTTTTTTGTTAGCAGCAAAACTTCAATTAAGTGTATGCACCTTTAAACTTTTTTATTGTCTTTAGCATTCAAACTAATATTAGTTGTCATAGTCAACACCATATTTGTCCTCTGATGCTACATACTACCATCATTTATTTTTAATCCTAGAATGAATATTTAGTTGAGGCTAGATAAAATATTCTATTTATTTTAATATACTCATAAAACTCTTTGAATGTTTTTTCAAATTTTCAAAGCCTGTGACACCCCACTGGGAGAGGTCTATGAGGATCTCATTGTGCTCAACCAAATGTCTTATTGTATTGCCAATACTAACACTTGGTGTATCCTTGTCACTCAACATACACATTTGTGCTTCTTCTTTGTTGCCTAAAGTGTCAACAATTGGTTAGTATTTACAAAAATTGATCATAGTTATTCAAAATATGTCATATAACACATTTCAAATCTCTACATTTTGACAGTATATTAAACTCATAAAATCACATTTCTTAGCTTAAAGCTCGATCATAGATTTGAACATAACAATATAAAGTTTACACATATTGACCAATTTGTGTACATATAATCTATGACTTAAAGGGAAAATATTTAACATACTTTGTGGATTACAACACATTTTTGTCAGCTAAAACTTTTGTTTCTTGTGTTAAAACTTATCCATACAACCTACAGTAATTACTATAATTTCTTTGTACTATTGTGATCTAAATTTCATTTTTTAAAAAACTCAAACTAAAATAGAGTATATGATTAAATTTTACCCCTTCGAGGCATTATTAAGAAAGGTACAAATATGCGCTTGATTCATGTTGAAAAGTCATCATAATGAAGATTATCAAGATTTATAAATGTCCTACTTAATTTTCTGCCGTGTGTCAGCACAAGTTTTGAATGGTGAAAGTGACAATGTATGATCAATGATTGTCCCTCTTTTTGTTAACAAATAAAGGGGTGAAAATCATGAACACGATGGGTTCTCTATTTCTTCCGCCAACTATAAATTGAAATTTTGGCATTTGATGTTTTCCAAAGTTCAGCTTAAAGTCTAGACTCTCTCTCTCTCTATAATATATATATATATATAGAGAGAGAGAGAGAGAGAGAGAGAGATTTGTACACATTGATTACACCATGTTTTCAATTTCTTCAACAATCGTAATAACTATTCCCCATGGAAAGTTTGAAGAAAATAAGTTGACAATAAAGGCATTTTATTTTGATGGGTCGCCCAAGATGTTCTAAGATGCGGCCACATACGGTAGAAATGGAGGAATAATAAGAAGAATGTGGCATCCCAAGGGAGTGTGTTCAAGAAGGATGGTTCCAATTCCTCGAGCCATTTGAGGTGGAGACCGAAGAATTTATGCCTCCTTATCCTCTATATGGGGGGGAAGGAGAATAAGAGATATGAGTGAGTGAGAGAGAGAGAGAGAGAGAGAGAGAGAGAGAGGCCCCAGCGTCTGCTGGACATTTTATTTGCTCGTGCAGAAAAAGCGTAGTTCCACTGCAAAAAGGCCAAACAACTGAAAAGAAGCAATGCCAGTGAAGGCAGAGACAGCCTGCCAAGGACTTCGTCCAGCCCTACCAGCACAGTGGAACATCATCATGATCCCTGCCGGGTTGCCGCTGGCAAAACCCACTGCTAATGGATTCCCCCTCCGACAGAAGAATCCCTGGAACCCACACACCTAATCCTCTCTCTCTCTCTCTCTCTCTCCCTGTCTCTCTCAATATATATATATATATATATATCTTCGAAAAGTCGGTAATACGAATCAGAATCCGATTCAGAGCTGCCCGAAATCGTTCTAGAGAGATGAAAGTGGCGGAGGATCAGTCCACCCCCGACTGAGATTTTCTATCAGATAACGGCAGTAACACCAGAAGAGATGACGAAGGGCGATCGATGAACATAGAGGAGCAGCATCTCCCAATTCCAGCAAGCACATGTACAAAACCAAGCATTGACTGCCCAAGATTTCCCTTACATAATCGGCAAAAAGAGAGCTCCCCGTTCCCGAGAGAGTTCTAGCAAGAGCGAGAGAGAGAGAGAGGGCTTGCTCACACAGAAGGGAAGAACTTGTTAAGGTTGAAGGGCAAGGCGTAGAACTCCTCGCTGCGAGTGTCGGCCCTAAAAGACCGGAACTTGTCCCACCAGTGGTAGCCCCGGTCCTTCCTGGTGGCACTGTCGTGCCGGTGGAGGGTGTTGTCCAGGAAGAACGCCACAGCGCCGGCCACAAACGCCTCCGAGGAGAAGATCACGTTGAGGATATCGTTGAACTGAGAAAAAAAACCCCCTAAAGTAAATCCCTCTGGATCGTCCGGACTTCAGCCAAAAACGGCAAAAAAAACCAGTTGGGCATGGAGAATGATCTCCTGCTCTCCCCTTACCCATCTCGCCCGGGTGTGGACGGGGCCGTAGCCGGCGACGGAGGTGTACTCGTTGAAGTACTGCGGCACGGACAGGCCCAGGAAGACGGAGAACCCGAGGATGAACTTGGTCCGGAAGCTGTTGAGGTTGCAGAACTGCAGGAAGCTCAAGCCCGCCACCCCTGAAAATGTGAGAAGATCTTAAGCTGGTTAGGGTCGGCGCCGGGGACAAGAAGAGCTCAGACGGCGTTTAGGGTTCTTCCTTACCGACGTAGGCGAAGAGAAGGCAGTAGAGAGCCGCCACAATGGGAGCTGGAATAGAAGCGAAGATCGCGCCAAACTTCCCTGAGTAATCCAAACCCAAAAAAATCAAATAATTCCCAGGAAAAATTTTGGCGATCGCTGAAATCACAAACGCTCCAATGAAGAAGTTTCCTTCTTCAGTCAAGGAAATTAAATAAGATAAATGGGAATAATCTTCAGGATAAAATAAAATAAAAACTGGGCCTTTTATGGCGGCCAGTCTTCATAATTGGATTCGATCATCTCTTCTCAGGGGAGTTCTTTGATAGAGAAACTCAGACAGAACCAACCCCCATCCATCCATAACTATCCGAGAATCTTTGAGACCATGCCCACCAGACAAACTTACCCAGAATAGAAAAGAAGATCATGAATCCTGCAGAGATCTGCACGACCCTCCTGCTTCCGACACGCGTCACAGCCAACAGCCCGGCATTCTCCCTGCAAAACACGGCGATCCTGTGAGCTCATAAAGCAAAGCCAAAGGTAGAAACAGAGCAAAAGACTTCCTCCCTTTGCAGAGCCCTTACACAGACACAGAGGACCCGTTGACCGTCCCGAAGAGCCCATCAAGCAAGATCGCAATGCCCTGCAAAAACATAACCTTTCTTCTGAGTATTGATCACAGTAAGAACCGAACAGTGGAGAATCTCAGAAATCATCATCGTCGTCGTCACCTGCCATCCAATTCCCCGGCTAAGAACAGACGGCGGCAGCGGGGTGGCACTTGCATACCTCGAGACAGCAATGAAGGCGCCCGTTGACTGCATCACAAAAACCGGAAAATGTGAGGCAATTGTAGCCATCAAACTGTGAAGCTTTCTGAGTTAGGCCGCCAAGATCCATCCGTCACCTCCACAAGAGCCACAAATGAGGCAGCCATCATGGCGAATGCCTCGCCAGCATCAAAAGTCGGGGCCCCCCACTGAAATGGGTAAGGGATTCTGATCCTGGAAAATTGATTTTTTTTCCAAAATTAGGCAATCTAAATGAATTGATGACGAAGAACATGAACATGGTGAGGAAATTGACTCGTTGGCATGGATTCTGTGATGATGGGCAGGGACCAGGCTCACCATGGGGAGCCGCCAACTAGCCCTGAGCGGTCAGTGCGGCAGTGCAGCTGGGTCTTGGGGGCAGCCTCCTTGTAGGCTCCACCAATGGTGAGGAAGTAGGCATAGAGCCAGACAATGGCAACCGAGAACAGGACAGCAAATCGCTCAAAGACATTGGTGTGCAGCACATGCGGCAAGTACTGCGAAATCAGATCAGACCCTCGATTCATAAACTGATTTGGAAGAAACCCTTCGAACAGAAATGCATGAAATTCGTTCAAATCGTAAAAAGTTGAGGCCTTTTTTTAGAGAAAAAAACATGGAAGATGCAGAGTAATTACCTGGGAAAAAAAAATCAACAAGATCAGCTGTGGAAGCCCGATTTCAATGCATTTAGCGACCTGGGGGATTCAGGAGAGAGGGGTGACGTTGACATTTCTGCCAATATCATATAATATAAAAGTTCTTTCCATAGAAAGAGAGATGATGTAGAGATTGCTGCCATATCATGAGCAATGTTACTAAAATAGGAAATAAACACTTTCGCAGCCACTTACCCCTGGAAATCCCAGCTCATAGAGGCCCATACCGGCGAGGGTAATCAGAGGAACTGCTGCAAGAGGGCTCAGATACCTGAGTAGCCCCCCGGTTCCCGAAAAAAAAAAACATGTCAGGAGGTTTCTAGCTTAACAAAGTCCACGGCTTCCTTCATGGGGAGCAAGAGTTGACCTTGTGACATTCCGCCAGAGCCCACTGAACCCAATGATGATCTGGAGAGTCGACGCCACGATCAGCGCGCCTTGGGTGCCCCTCATGATCCTCTCAAACTTCTGAAGTCAAAGGAGTAAAGACGACCTGGTGAGTAAACCCACCTAGAAGAAAAGTCAACGGCGATGGTTACAAATTAAAAAAGGAAAATAAGAAGAGAGCGTTGACCTCGTGAGGATCCACGATGTCACTGTATCGACCAGCGAGGATGATTGAAATGGTGGGCACGACGAAGGTGTATGATCCTCCGATCACCGCCGGCAGCCGAGTCCCAAAGGAGGTCTGAAACAGGGTGTTCAGACCGGCGACGAAGAGGAGGGTCTGGATCACTCTGGCTTTCTCATCCTGAATTGAATCCAAAAATTAAAATAAATAATTCCATTGTGGGGATCAGAAAGACACAGATCAACGAAATCAGCGGCTAGAAAAGGAAATTCTTACAAATCCGCCGCCCATCTGGGGAACGAGAGCTGAGGGGATGATCACGGTGGTGCCCAGCATGACCAAGTAGTGCTGGAAGCCGAGGAGGATGGCCTCGGCTGCATGGAAGAAGAATCCAATCCGACGTGAGAACCGAAAACCCCATCCAAAACACCAACTTTATATCTAACAGAAGAAGAAATAGTAGAGAGAGAGAAAGAGAGAGAAGGAGAGCGTTTAAATGAGATTTGATCAACTGATTTCAGAGGAAGAGAAAACCCATTTGATCATCAGTCGTAGCCAGATAAAGATTCAAATGGGGTTTTTTTGTAGCAGAATTAGTATAGAAAATGGAACTGCTTGAAGTCAAAGAACGAAGGGTTGGAGAGACGTGAGGGTTTAAATGAGAGTTGATTCGCTGGGCTTTGATTAATTTCGAAGCCACAAGAACCCATCTAAACCCCGAAAGTATAGAGAGAAAAGGATCGAAGATTACAGAGTGCTATTTAAAAAAACCAAGAGAGGGTTTTTAGAAATAGAAAGCAGGGGTGGGAGGAGGTAGAGCAGGAGAGGGCTTGAATGCGAGCTTATTCACTGGGCTCTGATTGATTTCAGAGCCACAAAAACCCATTTAATGATCGATTGAAGATAGAAAAAAAAAGAAATTTAGCAAGTGTTCTTGAATCAGAATAATGCAGAAAATGGAAGGTGAAAAGTAAAGAAGAATCGAACTGGTACTAGTCAAGAGAATGGAAGGGGAAGCCTTTCATCGAGAAGTACTAGTCGCAGGGGGGGCTTAGAGAGGTATACTGGAAGTTAGCGAGAGAAAGAGAGAGGGGCAGGAGCAGAGGCCAAACTGACAGACAGGTATGAACTTGACGGAAATGAAGGTCTGTCTGCAGAAATAATGAGGGAGAAGAAGGGTTTAAGCATTGTGATTCACCCCGCCGAGCGAACCCATTCAGAGTAAGTTAGAGAGAGAGGGGAGGGGGATGAACCAGAGATTAAAGGAGCAGGGAAGAAGTGAATATCCTATGTCTGCCGGGAAGCCAACGAGAGGAACAAGGAAAGTAGTAGTAACTCACGCCATGGCGGGGGGCTCGTTATACAGTAGGAGACGTTGGGGAGCTGATCCTTCACCGGGTGCGGCACCAGCTCGTCCGCCTTGGGCGGCGGCGCCGCTCCTCCTCCGGCCATGCCTCAGATCTCTAGATCTCTCTCTCCCTCCCTCTCTCTCTTCAACACTCTCGCTGTCTCTAGAGCCTTAGTCACTCAACACTTTTTGTTCTCTTCCGCCCCAAACACCCCCTCCCCTTCCCCGCCCAACTTGAACAACCCTAAGCAGCACGCCAGATGACCAGAGAAGAGAGAGGGCCCACTCCGAGCTCGGAGAGCCTCGCCGTCCCAGAAAGAGAGGAGCTTGGAGCCCGGGATGGAGGAGAGAGAACACGAAGAAGCAGCAGATGGGCTGCACTGTGCCCCTCTCTCTCTCTCTCTCTCTCTCTCTCTCTCTCTCTACTGTACCACCACCCTCGCAGGAGCTAGGAAGAAGACGACGGCGCCCACTGTGGCCACCAAATCAGGAGGGAAGCTAGCTTCGTCCCGGTCAAAACTCCCCATCTGTCTTCTGTTGCCGGTTCATAGAGCTCTAAAGAACACCGGAAAATGCCGGCGCTGAACTTCTCAGCCGCCTGTCCATGGCGCATTATGGAGGGATTTTGTGCGGCTAACCACGCGATTAGTCGCGAAAAAGAAGCTTTATCAGTCACTCAGAGAAGACGACAGCGACAGAGAGCGACGCTTTTCGAAATGACGGAGCTTTTCATTGTTCATGGTTTCTTACGACGATCACAGAGCCGGAGATCTTCCTCTCTGGGTCGCGCTGGAAGAAGATCAAGTCTTGAGATTGCCCAAATCTTGGGCTGCCCCAGGTGCCCATCAACCCGTTCCAAATCGGGTTTTGCGTAGAGAGAGAGAGAGCGGTCCCTTTCGTAATCATAAACCCTACACCTGCCCTCGTCCTTTTGTCCTCTCCTCGCCCTTCGGTAACTAGCCCCCACCATTCACATGCACCGAGAATCTTTTCTTAGTTTTCTTGTCCATGATTTCCGTCTCTCTTCTCTCTCTTCTCTCTCTCTCTTTCTCTCTTCTCTGTCTAGCAAGAAAGAAAGTAGTTTTGAATTTGGAGCTCGTTGGAAATGGAGCAAAGGGGATCATAATAAACCCATTTTAATCTCAGTAGATTCCCATCTCCCACCCTTTCAGGAAGCTAGAGAGAGAGAGAGAGAGCAAGGGAGGATCTGTTAAGAGAGAGAAAGGGGAAAGCGGAAGAGAAAGTGTGAGAGAGAAATAAGAAGAAGAAGATGGAGAAGGAGAGAGAGAGAGAGTGAGAGAGTGAGAGAGTGAAGCACAGCGGGCCACCATGTGTGAAACTGTGTAACAAGGAAGGATAAGGAACGAACACTGTAGTACCAGGGGGGACAATAGGGGCATTTTGGGAACATTCGTTAACAATTATGAAGAATATTCCCTTATTAATTAAAAAAGGGAATTTTTATTCTGATAATAACGACCAAGTAATATACATGCATATATAAATTATCTAAAAAATACCAACTGCACGTACGGGTAGGGTGTCAACGGACCCCGCAAGCCCAAACTCCGGCCCAAACGCCTTCTGTTTGGGCCTCAAGATACTTATTTGGGCCTCGAGGGTCGAGCCACTTGATATGTTGATATCATGCCTAATCATAATTTTAACCCAAACTTTCGAGGCACCTAAATTACTTGATATGTTGATTTCATGCCTCTAAATTTTTTCAACGAGTAAATCATAATTTTCATCCATTAGATGATTTTTTTGGATGAGAACGAAATGTATTTTAACCCAAACCGTTAATTATTTTTCATTTTAAAAATTATTAATTTAGCATATTATTGTCAATTTTTATTATTATTTATCGAAAATATATTGATAATTTTTTATAACATATTATCTTGAATATTTAAAATTTTATTTTTATGTCTAATCGTTAAAAATATATCTAATATTTTTTACACTTCAGATTTTAATGAGGGTCATAATCTGGCTTAGTTAAGGGGACCCTTAAAGAATGAGGATATCGGAAGAGAGAAAAGGGGAGAGAGAGAGCGAGAGGGGCACGTGTGGAGAGATTCTCACGTGAGAAAGACAATGTGTCAGTTGACTCGTACCAAACTGGGACATTAATGAGCATTTACTATGGCCCAATACGCTTTTTGGGCCGTTATTGCACGCACTCTAACTAGGGTGGTCAATGAGTGGGATTTTATTACTGTTTTGGGCCTGAGAGATTACGCACGCGGTCAACGAGAGATGTTGGTAGGGCCGTGTTTTATCAGGCCTATTTATTTTTTTTACATAAATTATGCCGGATTTAATATGTGCTCAACTAGGGGTCTTAATGGGCCACATTTGATCAGGCCCAGTAACTAGCCGCATCTCTCTCTCACTCACTACCCCGCCCTGCGCCTCTCCCAGAATGCCCTCCCTGCCCATTTCTCTGTCTCCCTCTCTCCATCACGCCTTCGTGCCTCTCCTATAATACCCACTCTACCCTATCTGTATCTCCCCCTTTCTCTACCATTCTCCACGCCTCTCCTAGAATGTCCTCTCTACCCGATCTGTCTGTCTCCCTCTGTCTCAATCACGCTCTGTGCCCCTCTAAGAATACCCTTTCTTTACCCCTTCTCTCTCTCTCTCCCCCCCTCCCCCCCCCCTCTCCCCCTCTCTCTCTCTCCAACAATGGAAACTCCCTAGCTCTGTCTCCGTCTCTGTATCTCTTGCATCTCTTCTGTGCCCAGAGTCCAATTATTCACCGACTGTCTAAATAGAGGAGAACCTGGTTGGCGAGCAAGGTGGCCAACGATCCGGGCGGCGTTAATGCTCGTATACATATACTCATCCATTATCTCTCTCTCTCTCTCTCTCTCTCTCTCTCTCTCTCTCAAGACACGAAGTGGGTGACATACCGACTGTCGTAGCGAAGAACCCTATGGGGCAGGTGCCCACAAAAAGAGGGTGTGCCCATGCAGTCTCTCAACGACAACCCCCTTTATAAACCCATCCCTCTCCTTCACCAGGGGCATCCGATCTCTCTCTCTCGAGCTGGAGAGTGATGGGGAAGAAGGGGAAGATGGAGGTGGAGGTGGAGGTGAAGTCGTCGGCGGAGAGGTTCTGGTCGGCCATTGCAGAGTCGACGGAGCTGTTCCCGAAGGCCCTGCCGCAGCAGTTCAAGAGCATCCGCACCCTCGAAGGAGACGGCAAGAGCCCCGGATCCCTCAGGCTCATCCAATACGCCCCAGGTTTTGGAAAACTCCCGCCCACCAACCCACAACAAAACCCTGACCCCCCTCCTTCCTCCCGAGTTTCACATGTTTCTGTTTCACCAGGAAAACTTGCACCCTCCTCCCTCCCTTCTCTCTCTCTCTCTCTCTCGGCTATTGGGAAAAAATGCGAAGACATCTATTGCTGTTCCATGCAAAAGCCTGTTAAACCACTTCATCTCTCTCTCTCTCTCTCTGGCTAGTCTCATGGGAGTGAATATGAAGACGTCTCTGGTGCTGCATCCATGAACGCGTTAACCCACTTCATCTCTCCCTCTCTCTCTCTATTATTTCTCTCTCATATCTGGCAGGGACCCCAGTCGTCACCTTCACCAAGGAGAGGATCGAGACAATGGACGAGGCGGGGAAGACGGTGAGCTACAGCGTCGTCGGGGGAGAGATGGCGAGTTTCTACAGCACCTTCAAAGCGACCCTCCGAGTGGCAGCGGCCAAGAAAGATGATGAAGAAGAAGAAGGCGCCCTCGTCACATGGGCCGTCGAGTACGAGGAGAAGGCGCCCCACGAGGCCCTCGACCCCGCCCTCTTCACCCACGCTGCCGCCCAGACCTTCCGCGAGCTCGACGCCTACCTTCTCAAGAACTAGCATATAACGACGTCCCCTCTCACCGAGTATGTCATAAAAAACCCAAGAATATCTCTCTCTCGCTATATAATATATATCTTATTTGTATGGATCTATCTTTCAGCTCTATATCTTTCTACATATCTGTCCATCTTTTATCTCTATTTCTCTCTCTCCGTCTCTCTCTCTCTCTCTCCCACCTCTAGCTCTCTCTCTCTCTATATATATACATGTATGGATCTGTCTATCAAGCTCTCTATCTTTCTATATAACTGTGTCCATCTCATATCTTTATCTCTATAGATATTTTCTCTCTATCGCTACCCATCAATGTTGAAGACCATCTTATTATGGAGCAGGATAAAGAGAAGCTTAATCATACGTTTTATGCGTATCATACCACCCATTCCATCTCTCTCTCTCTCTCTCTCTCTCTCTCTGTCCACATATCACACCACCCATCTCCATATCTCTATATCTCTCTCTATCTCCAACCAGCAACGTCTATGAGCATTTTACTATGGAGCGGCGAAGAGAGAAGATATTTTAGCCGTATTATACCTCTCAATCCATCTTTCTCTCTCTATCTGTCATAAACCTATATCCACCTCATCTCTTTACCCCTCCCCCTAGATATATTCTCTCTCTCTCTCTCTCGACCTATCTATCTCTATCTACATATCGATGATAATCATCTTATTAAGGAGCTGGAAAGAGAAGAATAATCACACCACTCAACCCATCTTCCACCACTTTTGACTCGATACAAAAGCCCTTTCATACGCATGAGAGAGAAACTTCTGAGCAGGGGCCCAGGCAGCAGTGTAGAGAGAGGGAGAGATGGTTCTCACCACAATGGGTTTCTCTCTCTCTCAGAGACCTAGAGAGATAAAGCCACACAAAACGTGAACAATGAACTCATAGAGAAATTGATCTTGCTCGTAGAGAAACTGGTGCCAGAGTCATATCCTACGACTAACTTACATTCATGATTATAGATTCAGCCACTGACTTCCATCCATCCGCCCATCCCCATTACATCAGATAATAACAAGAGGGTCCTCTGATATGATCCGTCCCCCCTCGTAGACGCCAAAAGACTCCAAGTTGATTCATAAACCGAAATAAGAGACGAAATAAAAGGGCAGCAAGGATACTAAGTTCTAGGGTGATTGGTCATGAGCTCTTAGAAATCATAGCCTACAACACTGTCACCCGAACAGGACCCGGGTAGAGAGAGAGAGAGAGAGAGAGAGAGAGAGAGAGAGAGAGAGAGAGAGATTAACTTGTGTACATACATTCGTCAACCCTTGCAAGGGGAGAGAAGATTCACACACAGATTACAAGAATGATCATAGAAACATGTTTGAGCCTGTTAAGAGAGAGAGAGGGAGAGAGGGGGAGAGAGAGAGAGAGAGAGAGAGAGAGAGAGAGAGCTGAATGTTATCTATGGGTCCTCAAGTCAAATCCCCCTGTCAAGATGGACGCAATGGAAACACCATAGTCAATTTTTAGGCAGAAATAACGCTAAGATAGGACGTAAATCATCAGTAATAAAAATCTAACCAGAAAAAGGAAATGAAATCTCTTCGAATAATCCCAAACTATATAAACATTAATGCAACAGGTGAGGTTAGTTGACAGCCTCACAGATCATACGCGGCCACCTTCTGAAAACAATTGGGCATCCAGGATTTCCGCAGTAATCTCATCAAAATATTTGGGGTTTATGAGCAAACAGGAAAAAAAATCCAAGTTTTGATCCACCAAAATCGTTATTCTCGGTAGCCGTTCACTGATCATCTGTTTGAAACCCTTTCAATGATGTACTGTAATCATCAACCGAAGCCTCTCTCTCTCTCTCTCTCTCTCTCTCTCCTTCATCAGCCAAAATAAGGGTTTCACCAGGGATAACCAACACATCTGCAATCTCCAAAATATTTTCTAAAAGTAAAAATTAAATTTACTGAATATTATCGATGATGTTCTAAGAATGCTGAGCTTTTGAAAATATAACAAAGAATGTGGGCTCTAAACCAGCATACAGAGACCAGTAGGTGGCCGAAATCAAACGAACACGGTTCATAATCTTCATCCAGCAAAAGGAAGACCAAAGAATATGAAAAATATCAATTTTTTAACCACAAGAAAGACCAATTTTCACCCAACTACCTCTGATTATCTCCTTTTTTTTTATAAAAAGAAAAAACACTAAGAAAAAGCCCAGAAAAACCATAAGAGGGGGATCAAGAGGAGAAAGGATTGTACCTTCGGTGGACTTGGGGCGAAGATGGCTGCTCGGGTGAAGAGTGCGGGGAGGCCTGCTGATCATAAGCCCCTTGCCTCTGGTCAAAGACAGGCCTCATTGGCCCTCTGTCTGCAGGTCGTGGCACTTCACCAGTGGCAACGAGATGCACCGGCCTCTGTGAGCCAAATTCAAGTTGCTGTGAGGACTCGTAGTCAGAGTGGGAAGGCTCATAAGGATATAACATCACGACTGAGGGGACGCTGGCTCCTGCTGAGTTGATGCCATTTGAGTTCACCACACCCAATGGGTGCATGCCATGTGGCACGTTCGCCGACACCTGCTTACTCGATGCAGTGAATGAACTATTCTGGTTCTGGTAGGAGGGCGTGGGCTCGTTCCTGTGTGAATCCCAAGGCCTGTTGGATCGGTTATCCGGCACAGACGACCGGTCGGGCCTTGGATTTGACTTTTCGGCTTGGTTGCGGCCGTGGCTGCGATTGGCGGCTCGAGACTTTGAGCTGGTCCAGCTCCCTTCTCGGTCAGCATGGTCGCTCCGTTCGTAGTTGTAGTTCCCTTTGTGATTCCGTCCACGTGAAGATTGTCGGTCCCTGTACGACGATGCTTTCTGCGGTTTTATGGAAAGGAACCATTAAAAAAAAATTCCCACAAGCAAAAAACCCAAGAAGCTATAAAGAAAAATTAAAGATTTTTTTTTTATTCTGCCACTAACATGATGATAATGTGCTTTGCAGAATAGTCTGACTCTCAGTACGACCAATGTGCATAGAAAAAACCTCTTCTATATGAACTATTATAATATTTCAGGGTGGAATGAACATCAAATAAAAACCACATCAGTCATCTTAAAATTTTACAACTATCCGTTTCGATTGCTACTTGGTTTTCAAAGTGCCTCTGAATGAGGGTTGGCATATCTCACAAGTACTCCTGTTTCAACTAATTAAGGAACATGCAAACATACTAATCTTTTACCAATATTACCAAGCTTAAGGCTGGTAAAACAAAAAAAATTGACAGGACAACATAGAACACCGCAAATGGTCATGTTTCTACAATGCCCCAATTGTACAGGTCTACTCGAAACCATAATTTTTGAGAAACAGAGCCTGATCGGACAAGTAAGCATTGAATAAAAAAATTGGGTGATGGTATTTGATGCATCTATGAATAATACTCAGCTCCATCAGACGGATTAACTTACAGGAGTAGGCAGATATGTTCCAGTTCCACCGCGGTATCTTGGGACTTCGTCTCCGTAGCGTTGGAAAACGCCAGGCTGCCTATTTTGATTCAGCTGGGAGGAAGCTACGGGTACAAGCCGAGGGCCATAACCTGTGAATGGGAATAGATTCACATTGTTCGGTAGAGGTCTACCGGGGCTATCCCATGGGAAGTGACCTTGTAAGTACACTGTGGGGAAAACCATGGGTGAAGGATACATAAATTGTCCAGGGTAATGCGTGTCCTGGCAGAACCTTCCATACTGCAGATTTTGCAAATGACTGAGAAAGTCGCTGTTGAGAATGTCACGATTGTGCTCCTCCAGATGTTCAAAAGATGCACCCTTAGCAGAGCTAGGACTTAAACGAGCTTCTAAATGCTCAAGATTTCTCCCCATATCGAAGTTCTTGTCAGGTGGATTTAAATGCCCATTATCAAGCCCGTTGTCATCTAGACTCACTGATCCATCAAAGTTTCCCGATTCAGAAGGAAAATTCCAGATTGGGAACCTCGTTAAAAATGGAACCGGAGGCCCCATAGGGTAAAATATAACTCCAGCATTATCCCCTGTCCTTGGCTGTGAACCAGCGCTAACCAGCATGGGTGCCATAGGAACCATTGAATCTGAACCACCCAACTGCTTGGGTTCAAAACCTGACAACTGGTGGCTATGAGAAAGTCCTGGAGCCAAAGAAGAGGGTACCATGCTCCTCTCTGCTGCGAGTGGAATCCAGTCTTTGTGTTCATCCTCTCCAGGAACTGAAACATTAACAGAAGAGGATTCATCATACTGTAACCCTCTCTTGGATACCACATAAGATGCCGATGAGAGTACAGGAGCTGGTTTCCTTCCTCTCTTATCTCTTGCCAGCTTGGGTGCCTTCATGGACGATCCATCCCAGGAACTCTCAGAGAAAGAGCTGCTCCTCGAGGAGCTCGCCTGTGCGTTTGCCATAAATCTCGAATTCGTAGCGGTGTCAGTGGAGTAGGTCTCCTGACCTCTATCATTCTGATGCTGGAAACTGTCACTAGGCTCTACCCTGGCTAGCCTATTTTCTCTAACAAAGCTATGCTGACCCCTATTGAAAGAATCACTCGAATTGTCAGCTCCCAAGGAAGAGGAGTTGACTCCCATGGAAGACGAATGTCTGTCGTCAGAATGGAACCTCTGAAAGTTTCTCCTATCTGGAGTCGACCCTCTAGATACGCTTTCCTGTTCTGGCCAGAACCCATTATCATCTTCAACTGTCACCTCCCTCAGGCTTGAGCTCTCGTGACCAGAGTCAGTAATCTCTTCTGGATTTGACACCAACCCAGCATTATGAAAGTATCTAGGCAGCTGGGAAGAAGGAAGACCGTGAGGAAATTGCATGATAGATCCGCCATGGGGATTGATCAAAGGTATATTTCCAGGGAGAATTCCGGCTAGACTTTTTCGAGGATCTCCCATTGATGCAAGCACTGAAGGGGGTAATGGGAATGGCAGGGCAGAAGGCATACTCATTGGCAGCTGAACTTGCCCATTCAAATTACTAATTTTGGATGATGCCATCATATTAACCAGATCTTGCTCTTCTTGTTGCCTCATTAGAGCTTCAGTGATTGAACTAAACTCATCACTTGATGTAACAAAACCAGCATCACTGTGATAACTATTTGCACTGCGGTTGGAATCAGTGGCTACATCAAGACTTTGATTGGACGAACTGTGCCTCAAAGATGAAGAATCGTTGACCGAGAATCTGGAATAATGGCTAGTTGGTATTTCTGAACCCAGATTCTTCATTCTGCCGGCATGCTCTGGCCTTGACGAAGTAATATGACTTTTGACTGTTTCTGGTATTTTGGTTTGCCTTCGACTAGAACCAACAGACGATGTATCACTAAGCTCCGGACTGGATCTTGTCCGAGAAAATTGAAACCTACTCACTCCTTCAGATTCACTTGAAACGTAGTTGGGCCTGGGAGATTTTTGGACCTTGGCACCCTGAACAGGTTCATTGGAACGCACATTTCTTTCTATTTGATCTGAAGTTCTGGAGACTGTTTGACTGCCATAGGTTTTTCGATTTTGTAATCGAGATGCTGTAGAGAAACTGCCAGGCCTATATATGGCTTGAGTAGGTTGACTTACAGTAGAAGCAACCTGAGGGGAGGTTCCCTGAGAGGAAATACCTGCATCATTTTGATATTCATGTCCAACCATTGATCCAAGATTCTCACTCATCCTGAGCTCTGAATGGTTATGGGAGTTCTTAGACTCGTCCACAGGTCCTGGACTATCTGAAGGTTGCATATTCCATAAATAAGAGCCAGGAGCATCAGGACGATGACCACTTCCATGTCTTTTCCATGTATTCATGAAGAACATGTTAACTTCAGAAATTATATCATCTTTTGGACATTCGAGTAACCCAGCTAATCTCTTTGCCCCAAAAGCAAAAGCGCTGCGTATCCTAAAGAAATTGCCTGAAAAGCGTATTCAGAAAACGTTTTAAATGCAGTTTTCATCTAATATCAGCAAATAACTGGATATGATACCGTGCTAGCCAAACATGGGGAAAGTAGAAAGCAAACAGAGTATACTGCATATGAAATGACAAAAGAGAGCATGAAGAGCAGTGTTGCAATTTATATACAGGCAGAACATAGTGGTAATATATAGTTCAGGAGTATGGAGGGAAACCACTAATGAGTAACTTTGTTAACTGACAAATAATGGTTCAGCGCCTGCCAGGCCCGGAGACTAAAATATCCATCACCCAAAAAAAGCAACTCAATGTGTAAATGATATGCATGGAGATGAGAGGTTACATGATGGAATCACTCATACAATAAAATAATCAAGTGGCAAAGGTACCTTGACAAAGATTTACACAATCAGATGTGGACATCAACTAGATAATGAGACATATCTAGTCAAAATGTGATCAATTCAGCTCGACACATATAACTCATTCGACTCTTTGGAGAATTAACTGAGTTGGAACTCTCTTAGAAATTCTCAGGCATCTTAGGGCTTATGCCTAGGCATCTAACAATTCAAGTTGGACTGAACTGACTCAATCTTAAATCGGATCAAATTAAAAAAACAGTGCAAGTCGAAGTCAAAGTCAGATAACCCTCTAGATTGTGTCTTAACAGGATCAGGAATGATCATCTGAAAAGACCATCTTTGAACAACATAAGATTTTGTAAAGTACATACATAATTTTTTTTAATGAAATAGTGTTGAATACAGTATACTTTTAGATCAAAATGCCTTCAACAAACACACTCAGATCTGGATAATAGATTTTTCTTAAAAAAATGTGTGGATACAATGAAGCTTTACAATTAAATTTTTCAACAAAGCTACTAGTCTAAACACAGCGCATGCCCAATCCTCAATGCCACCCCTTTTTGGGCCCCCAGGCTGGCCAGGAAGAGAATAAGGTTTGGGTAGAGGGAACTAGTAGTTGTGAAGCTCAAGTCACTGGCATTGGTGCTATGCAGCACAGGTGAGTTTTTTCCCCTGTGATCCTCTGTTGTATTCCGGTTCCCCCTATTCAAAGGGCCCTGCATTCCCAATCAGAAAGTGCCGACAAAAATGGCGTCCTTTCAGATGTAAATAAAAAGATAACCAACACAAAATTAGAAGTTGTTTTACATGCTTCAGGTGAGCATTTGAATATTATTTTGCTTCACCAAGAAAAGCTACTCCAACAAGAAACAAAGCTCCCATTTCATTTATTAACTTGACAAAGTCTGGGTTCTACCTAATGACCTCCACCAAATACATAAACCAAGAAACAATAGAATAAACAGATAAGCATCCTCAAATAAACAAGGTGAAAATGAAGATATCAGGCAAAACAGACTGTTAAACAAAATACTTATTTCAAGGAAGAATCAAAATACCTTTACTGACGCTGCGCCCGAGGTTGTTATTCGTACGCAAAGGATCAATAACATTAAAGAACTTTGAAACGAAAGGCTGCCCCTGATTTTCCTGGCCGCCTGGAAAAACAGAATACCTTGAACTACAATTGTCAAGGAACTGTTCGTTGAGTAATAATTCACCAGTATCCTTCCGAGGAGGTTCCGCTGTATGACATCAAAAAGCAAAAACGAGAAAAAATTGAATTCAAACATCTGATGAGTCAGCAAACTGTTTTAACAAAAAAAGGCTAGGCAAGAATGTACAAAATTGATACCTGAGACATCCGGTAGTGAACTAACAGGGACTGGGCCCCAGAGGCTAACACAAAAGTTATCCCAGTCAAAATTACTGAAGAATTCCAAGAAACGATAAAGAACCTACAGAAGAATGATAAAGGATAGATATTCAGTTACAGTGGTAATAATACTAATTTTGACGAAAACATTGATCCTTGTTCAGACGTCACCTCAAGTGGTCCAGTAAAGGAATTGTTGAATACATGAAAGATATAAAGCACCAATATCTCCAGAGCATAGGTTGAAATAAGTCCATGATGTGCACCAAGAATACGGCTCTCATAATAGCACCACGCCTTTATTAGTATAATGCTCCGTTTGAATAGATGATCGTGGCTTATAAACTGGTCAATCTGTGCAACAAGATTCTTGGTAAGCGTAAAGAGCAGGGGCAAGTAATATTTTGACAAGTTGAAGGTTGATCTGCAAACAATTGTGGCACAACAAAAAAAAAATCACCTCTTCAAGGAAACAAAGGGTGCACAGTCCACCAAGTTGATTAAACGATATATCCACGACAATGTTTTCAACAAGACATTTTATAATCTTCACCTGCATTGGACCAAGGGTAAATTAGAAACGAGCCGATTTTCGTCTGTAATAGTAAGACAACCAAGATATTTTTAAGAAACGGGCTGCATAACTAAGTTCAGTATCATTCGAAACCATATCAAGAAACAATGATAAAACAAAAATTAGTCCAATCGGCTGTCAAGTCATCAAAACGAAAAGAAAGATCACATACAGAAGACATATTAGAAGAACATCTTGAAAGACTTTGTAATGTTAGTAGGAAGGCACGTCAATGCTAAGCAACTTCTTCATGAAAATAACGACAAAAACTCGGTCGAATACATTAAAACTTGGAACATTACTTTTCTCCATGACTGACATACTTGAAACCTGCATAAGCCCTCCACAGTAGATGTGACAAACGCATCATCTAAACTTCTAACAATAAACCGCTAGGCCCCAGTGGGCCTAACTACTATCAGCCAAGAAGAGCGGCCCGAAGGGCCTAGTACCACCTCTTGAAGGGACCAAACAATCCCTTCAAGTGAGGACTTAATGAGGGGCAGCTAGGTCTTTTCCCTGCACAAGGAAAAGAGGTATTAGGGCTCAGGTTGTAGAGGGGAAGGAGGCATCGAGGAATATTCTAGGGCAGCCGTGGCTGAAGGAGAGGAGGGGAACTCTCGAACGTCCTCAACACTCTATGGTTCTTCAGGGCCCAGCTATATTTCCTACAGTTAATCTTTATCCCTTTTCTATTTCCATATGTCTGTTGTCTGCTCTTGTCTAGAACCAGGGTCCTACCATAAACCTGAACAAGTAGGTCAGATACCCTAAATATCCCTCAAGGACAATCTTTAGGGTGCATCTTCAATGTTCAGTATCCTAAAATACCCTTGAGCTGCTCTTCTAAAGCTTCAAGCGTGCTTAGAGATACCCATTTTCATCACCGAATCATCTTCACTGAGGATACAAATGTTTCATAATTTTAAAATTTTAGCTTAGAGAACTCAGATCTTCCATACAAAACATGAAAATGACGTATGAATGTAATTTGTAAAATGGATAAATCTACAGCAAGCTCATGTGCTAACTTGAAAACGTCTGCATGAAAACAGAATGCATCATCCCTTGTTGTATGAGGGCCTGTTTATACAACATGGTCAACTCTTGCTGTGTGGAGGGATGTATACATGGATGTTTCCATATGCATCTCAATATGACCTGAAATGAAAGAGAGTAGATCGTACAAAAAATGCTGGGTGCTCCATTGTGAAACCAATAAATTCCATAACTATATGCACAAAACTCAAAGAAGACAAAGTGCTCAAAAGATATATAATCTTTAACCTTATTTTCGACAATTCAGCCAGCATATATTTATCAATATTATTTGTATTGACCTGTCACTTTTCACAACTATTGAGCATCTTCTAGACTTGGGTCATTAAGTGATCACCCCTAAATGCATACATACTATCAGAGAAGGTTTCAAGTGATGGACTCTAGGCAACAAACAAGGGCACCATTATCCCAAGGTGACCAACTGAAGCACCATTGTAGGCATGCTGCCCATGCGGCCAAATACCTTGTCTAGAATAATGCGTTGTCATCTGATAGAATCTAGAAAGCTATGCCACCACCCGTAAGAGAATATTTATATCCAAAGACGAGATATAACACTCAAAAACGTTACGAAGTATGTAACTAAGGGCACTACACTCTGCCATCGTGTAACAAAGGGCACTATGCTCTATTTTTGTTGATTCGAGTCATATTTAGTTTATGAGAAAGACTATAGGCATTCAACATATTGCCTGGGATCAAATAAATTTTACAAAAGGTAGATCCTTGGCTGATGGCACAAGTGTAGACAATGCAGGATAGATTTGAGTGAAAAAAGAATGAGTGAGATACATTTATGCAGGGTCCTTGTTTACGACAAAAGGGAGTAGTTTTCACTAAAGTGATTTAGATGCCTAAATAAGCGATCATGGGTCACAGCACATGTCCAGTATCAGCCTCAACAGACCAAGATATGAAGAAACCTACAAGAGGACAGAAATTACGCCTAAACTGTTAAAGAGTGCGTGATAAAAAAAACTCTGGTCTATTACGGAACAATTTAAGAACAGCAACCTGTTAGATACTGAATAAGAAAGAAATAAAATGGAAAAAAAAGTCCTAACTAACGTAGACATCAGAGAAGAATCATACAGAAAACATAACATAGAATTCTGGAAATTATAAAAATATTCTACGAAATTATCTGTTGCTTTCTCATGATATTACGTACTTCTGCCTGAATATACTGAACTTCTTTCACACGAAATTCGGCATTTTCACTTTTTTCTTCATTCTCCAACATATCTCGAACCTCACTAGCCCATGTGTCCTTCAAATTTAGATTATTGCTGAAAGCTGACATGTCAATATCCCCATCAGGTAAATAAGTCTTCAGAGGCACTGAACCAAATGTGAAGACCTGACAAGAACCATCACCATGAAAACAACCCATAAGACAAGGAAGAAATATCCATAATAGTGTTCAGTGACAAAGAAAAATTTATGCTTCGTAACATTGTCTTCAGGGGTCAAACTTACGTGACTTCACTATTTTCATCCTGCGTGTAAAACTAGGCAGTTCTATTACTGATAAGTAGGTATCTCAACCAAATAACTTGCCAGCTAAGATTTATGGCACGAACTTCCTTAGATATATGGCAGTTGTATTTCACTACTTTCAATGGAGAAAGGCAAAATACTCAATAAGCAGAAGTACAAATTCAGCCAAAAGAACAGGGACAGATACTAAGCTGGTATGATCCATCTCCCAATAAAAGATAAACAACCATTCAATGTGATGAGAAGATAAATGCCAAAATACAGCATAGAAATGAAGAAAAGTATCAGCATACCACTCCACCTTTGGGGATACCAACCCAAAATAGACCAAAAAAAATCATCATCAATGTCATCCTAAAGTAATGACATAACAGAATATCCAGGGACTTCACAAAGTTTACCGACCATTTGATTTGGCACCCCCCTACAACGTACTAGGTAATGAATCAAGGCAGCTCAGCAGTTGTATAAAAAAACCCCCCTACAGCAGTTGGATAATAGAAATTAACTCCATAACACATATGCATGCATAATGAGGTGATTGAATACTTTCACTAATGTACTCCATAACCACTGCAGACGTGGAAGAGAAGGACATCCAGAAATCATAGGAAGTAAGGAAAGAAATAAAATTATATGAAAGCTTGAAGTTTAGACGAAATTTCAAAGCACGAGGAAAGAAAGAAAATGCTTGAAAAATGTAGAACTGCAAGCTAACTCGTCATGCATCAATTCTACCACACAAAATTCCATTGAGCTAAGACAGAAGATGGTGAAAATTTTCCAAAAGATTAATAGTTCTATTTTACATTCTTGCAATTGACTTTGCCACCAAATTATTATACACCTAGTGAACTTAAAAGGTTGAACACCAGCAATTAGAAGGTTGGTTTTTAAAACAGGCTTTCAATTACAACCGTACATGGGAGCTCCATGGTGAGACTGGCTGTAATAGTAAAGCAACCACATGAGATAGTAAGTTAGCCCACCTGACAGGAGATACACTTTGCGATTAACCGTTGAACATAATTTACAACCGCGTTTCTACGATCCTCCGAGTGTGGATTTGGTTGGATGCACTTTATCAACTCACCAGTCCTTGCTTCAGCCAAAGACCATCTATCTGCGTCGAGGACCCTGGTCACACTGGCTACTTCATTGGACAAGAGACCATTCAGCAGTGAGTGATGCTGATCTTCCCATACATCCTGGTTGCCCATGCAGGGCTAACACTGTTACTGAAATGGGCCGTCCCAAATTTTCTGCTCTCACCTTTTTCTCAACCCTTTTCTGGCTCCTCTCCTCTTCTCAAGGAGAACAGATTACACCATATATGACCTCCCAGTGAAAATCTGGTCTTCCTCCCTTGAGCACAAAAGCGAAGCATTCACCTCATCATGGGGATGTCGCCAGATTTCTACTTTTCTGGAAAAGCATATCTCCTATATAGTCGGGGGAAAATATGGCGCCACCTAAAATGATCGAAAAGAAACTAGTACCTAGGTAACAAGAATGACCCAATCACTAACTTCTTACAGTCTTCTGTACAGAAACAACAAAAAATTGAAATAAAACCCAGCAGAATCGACCCCAGTTCTCCTCCGCCGAACTTGACAACCCACCGCTCCCCCCAAAGCCTCCGAGACACCCTAATTCCTCCGAGAACCAACCCACAGATCGACTGGACGCGATCCCAAAGAGAAATTTCACAGAAAGATCCGTATTCCCAATCAAAATAGGTCCAGGAATGCACCCGTCGCTCGGAAATTTGGGAGAGAGCAGGAGGGGACTGTGACGAGGTAAAGCCTGTGTTACCGCCGACAGATTCGTGGCACTGCCGTCAGGCAGTGACGGCGCATCCAAGAGCTCGCGCCTGCCGATTGTGGGGACGAGGGTTTTGCAGTCGCCGATGGCGCCCTTCCAGACGATCCGTGTCGACGAGGAAGAGGGGCGGATAGAGAACAAATATATGATGGGAGAGATGCCTGAAAGAGAGAGAGAGAGAGAGAGAGAGAGGGAGGGAGGGAGGGAGAGAGGGAGAGAGAGAGAGAGGCGAGAGAGACATTGTCGCAGTTAGGAGTGGCCATCCAGTACAAACAGACTCGCAGTTCATCTCGTGCAAGCCACTAGCCATTCGACACGTAATCTAATCTCAACAACTCCTCGAACCACCTTCAGTAACTTCAAAAACTCGACACGCACCCCCAACTCTATGCGTTTGAGAAACAATAAATATATGAACGAGATATTTCGAACTAATTTTTACACTAATTAAAAATTAGGGAAAAATAACAACTATAATTATTACATCTACCCAATATTAATATAATTATAATTTCAAGCCCATTAATTTTTTTCATTTATTAACATTGCTTCTTGAGGTATAACATGCCTAACATGGGCCTTGTCAAGATCTAACTTGATTGGCCCACATTCCTAAAACATGAATAAATTTCTAGCCTACAACATTGTGTATGAACCATGGGGAATGTGAAATCATATAATACATGCATAAGAAGACTTTGCATGATGTCAAGTATTTTAGAGGGCATGTGCCATTGACCATATAAAGTCAAATTGGGCAGTTGTCAAAACAACTTTTGACCACTAGCCATGAAAGGATTTAAGTACACTATTCCATATTGAGTCATACATTGACACAAGGAAAAGAGAGGATTTTAGAGAGACAGAAGTGGCCATACAAACAACCAAGTGGTAAGTGTTGTGGTCTTGACTTTAAGCTTTAAAAGGTTAAAATTTAATGAGTTATTTTTGTCATTTTTAGTTGAGTTTGAGGACCCAAAATTGGAAATATTTGGGCTTCTTGAGTAGAAGGATTTAATGGGGACTAAGATGTTACTTTTTAGTTCCATATTTACAAGGAAACAATATAATAACAAGCCAATGCCCTAATGGTATGCCAACAAGGGTCTGATGTGTTGATGGTTTTAGAGAGAGAGAGAGAGAGAGAGAGGGACATGAAACTCCATTTATTTGAAGACTATTATTTTTTTTAGGTGTTAATATGGAATGTAAATGTCATTATTTTCTTGAAAAAAAAATACAGCTATTTTGGAGAAAAAAAAGGTACTACATTTATTCGAAGCTCTTCTAGTGGCTTGGTATGCTAACAAGGGACTGATGTGTTGATGGGTTTAGAGAGAGAGAGAGAGAGAGAGAGAGAGAGAGAGAGGGGTAAATGTAATTATTTTCCTGTTTTTTTTTACAACTATTTTAGAGGAAATAAAGGTACTACATTTATTCGAAGCTCTTCCAGTGGCTTGGTATGCTAACAAAGGACTGATGTGTTGATGGGTTTAGAGAGAGAGAGAGAGAGAGAGAGAGAGAGAGAGATGGGTACATGAAACTCCTACATTTATTTCAAAACTGAATTTTTTTTGGTGTGCATATTGAATGTGAATATAATTATTTTCCCGATAAATTTATTTTTTGCTATTGTTTAGGAGAAAATAAAGGTAATGCCTTTACTTGAAGCTCTGCCGGTGGCGACTCTGCCGCTTCTCCTCCTTACCGGCTTGGCTTCCCTCTTGGGTGGTGGTGGTGGTGGCCGTCGCAGAAGTCGGAACCCTAGGTGGATCACCTCCGGGAAGGGTGGTGCAGAGGATGGAGCAGAAGAAAAAGAGGGGGCGGCCCAAGAAGGCCGACACCATGGACCTGCAAAATGCGGCTCCGTCTCCCTCCTCCGTCTCGCCCATGGACGAAGGTGAACCCGGGGAAGCAGGAGCTTCAATACAGGGTCGCCAGGGGCGCCCCCGGAAGTCGCCGGCGGTGGGGGAGGGATCGGCGGCGGCCGCCGGTGGCGGTCACAAGCAGGGCAGAGGAAGGGGGCGCCCTAAGAAGGCGCCACGCCGTGGAGGAGCCGTGTTGAAGAATCCCGGGGACACCGCCAAGGCCCCTTCATCTCCTCTGCGTGGCTCGCTAGTCGTCTCGAACAATGGCAGCGACTGCTCTGAGCCGCCGCCGAAGTGGGAACAGGTGGTGCGGGTGGTACCTTCGATGGACGCCGTGGTGAAGGTGTTCTGCGTGCACACGGAGCCCAATTTTTCCCTCCCATGGCAGCGCAAACGACAGTACAGCTCGAGCAGCAGCGGGTTCATCATCGGGGGCAGGAGGGTCCTGACTAATGCTCATTCGGTCGAGCACTACACGCAGGTTAAGCTGAAGAAGCGCGGTTCGGACACCAAATACCTCGCGACTGTTCTGGCCATTGGGACAGAATGCGATATTGGTAAGCAAGATCGTTCATTTTTATCGCCGATCAAGTTCCTCTTTCTTCTGCTGCAAGTTTGTCATGTTCTTCTCCTAATCTGCAATCAGGTTATTCCTCCCACATAATTTAATCTTACGAGGGTGTGGGCGTCTCTTCCTAATCCTCTTGGCGCCTTCTTGTGTAGAAAGAAATGAAAAATCTGGAGAAACGTTTTACCTGTTGGACATGAAAATTACGTCTACATTAAAAAAAGGCGCCAAAGAGGTGTCGGACCTCTGCTGCTTGTAGGAGATCACTGGCTGTCGTATTTTGCAGATTTGGAGTGACTGACGCTGACGTTGTATAGTTAGATCATTGTTTCCTATTTCCAATCTTTGATGCACGTTGTTAGGTCTTTTAAAGAAGAATCTCCTATCGAAGATAAATTTTTCAACATCCTGCTTGTAGGAGTCCGGGGTTTCCTTGTTGGAGCCACTTCCTGTCATATGTAATTCTGACTTGCTGTTCAGCTATTCATGTACCACTAGTATGCTGGTTTTCTGGCTAAATACTGAATGGGCTTTGAAATGAATAACTCCGAAGTCGGTGGATAGTTTTTGGGAATGTTTGTTGTCCTACATTATATAAAGGCTGTGAAAATGTCATTCTTTTGAGCTAAGTAACATTGAATGGCCCGGATAAAAACACACATGTTGGAGAATTCCTAACGTTTGTTTCTGTGTTGTTTCGTTGTTCCTAAAACTTGTAATGAGTCTGGTATTGAGTCTTTCATGTATGGGTGGATAAGATGACTGTTGGGTGCAAAATTGATTCCTGCAGGGATACTTCTCTCTTATAAATTCAGTCTGTCATCCGGTTCGTGTTATTCAAAATTTGGGCTTCTTATTTACTTGATTTTCTTATCTCGCCAATTTCTTGATCACGGCATCTTTTCTTCTCACATCAGTAAATTGTTTTCATGCTTAGCACTGCTAACCGTTAGCGATGATGAGTTCTGGGACGGAGTTTTACCTGTGGAATTCGGTCCTTTGCCCGCACTCCAAGATGCTGTAACTGTTGTTGGTTATCCAATTGGGGGCGACACAATCTCTGTGACAAGTGGTGTTGTTTCACGCATGGAGATCTTATCCTATGTTCATGGCTCCACTGAGCTACTTGGCTTGCAGGTCTGAAATTTATCATGTTGAAGTTCTATCAACAGTATCTCTTACATAAATTCTGGCGTTTGCATTGTGTCTGCTGATCAATGTTTCTGTTCTTTTATATCTTGGCTGAGCTATTTATCAAACTTGAACGTTTCAATGGACAGATCGATGCTGCAATAAACTCTGGAAACTCTGGTGGCCCTGCTTTCAATGATAAGGGAAAATGTGTTGGTATAGCGTTTCAATCCCTTAAACATGAAGATGCTGAAAATATAGGTTATGTTATACCCACACCTGTGATTTCACACTTCATTCATGACTTTGAAAAGTCAGGGGAGTATACAGGTACTTTGAAAGTTTTGTTGATTCGCATCTTATTTAGTTTTTTTTTCATTCTTTTTGATTTAAAAGGTATCAGTCTTTATACTTTTGTCTTTTATTACACTCCCAAATGATGTATTCGTCCCATCACAGGCTTTCCGATTCTTGGAATTGAATGGCAGAAGATGGAAAACCCGGACCTACGCAAAGCTATGGGAATGAGACCTGATCAGAAGGGTGTTCGTATTAGGAGAATAGAGCCTACTGCTCCAGAATCTCAGTTTTTAAAGCCATCTGATATTATTCTCAGTTTTGATGGAATTGACATTGCTAATGATGGAACAAGTAAGGTGCTCTATTAGCTTTTTCCATATTCCCTTGTGTTTGTTGTTTTGTCCCGAATTCCCTTATGGTAGATTTTCTTTCGAATGATTGAATTTCATGGTTATTTGATTTTTTTGATCTCTCACTTGTTAATTTTATACGAAGAAGGTTGCTTTACTAAGAAATATTTAATAATTCTTGCGAGTATTTACATACCTGCCATAATTTCACTTTCTATCTTGACTTTTGAGGTAAATAAATGTTGGTGGACTCATCCATTAGGTTATTATTTTCTGCTTTTCTTGTATTTTAAGAATTTCTAGCGTGATTTTTACTTACACTGCTTCAATGGTGGCATAATAGTTCCTTTCAGGCATGGGGAACGCATTGGTTTCAGCTATCTTGTTTCTCAGAAGTACACTGGAGAGAATGCTGTTGTGAAGGTTCTTCGCAAGTCAAAAGTCCATGAGTTTAGCATAAAACTTTCTACCAACAGGAAGCTCATTCCTGCACACATTAAGGGAAGACCTCCATCGTATTACATTATCGCTGGTTTTGTATTTTCAACGGTGTCGGTTCCTTATCTCCGTTCTGAGGTTAGTTCAAAATGTACCATATTTACTGAATTTTTTGTTGTATTTTCAGTACGCATGGTTATTTCTTTTTGTAGGTCACCCTCTGAACTACATCATTATGTTGGGAGAAAGTCTCTTTGTTGCTAATTTGATAGGATTACTATGCCATCTTTGTGTTTGTACAGCAATTTCATCTCAGTTCAATATGTTTATGCTATTTTGGTGCGTAAAATGCTCGAACTACAGTTTACTTTTCTTAGTTATTATGTTGCTTCGAACTCTCTAATTGTCTCCGACCTCTGTTCATGGCTTTCCAATCTGGTTCAGTTTCAAAACCTGAACTTGTTAGATTGTCAATAAGGCATTTTAATAGTGAGACATGTGAACAAATGGGATGAATATATTCCAAAGTTGCATCTTACTGATAAATGCCAGTCTGTCGCCGAGATTAGATAAAAGCCTTTCTAAGTATTTACAACTTTGCAATTCAGATAATTCTTCAGCGGTTAAAAAGTTTATGTTTCAAAAAGATGCTAATGAGGTACCAAAGGCTTTAGGAATAATCATTTTACAGGAATCATACACTGATCTAAGCACCTGGTCTTTTGCCATCTATGCATTTCTTTGTCTCCTCTTGCATGGTTTCTACAGCATAAAATATTTTAGTCATGGTTGATTGGTAACTCATCTAATCTCTTGTTCATAAGGTTTACCTTTTAAATATATGGTCAAAATATATGCTGCAGAACCAGTGGATTTGTCATGGATTGACAACCTGCTGCCAGACGGATGTCATTTTAGTTGATGTTTTATTTCCTGCCTATTGGCAGTTGGCAAGTGGAAGGAATGGTTGAAATGTGTTTGCAATTCCCAGGGGATTTATTTATAGATGAACTTGTTGGTGGATAGATTGGAAAAATTTCAGGGGATTTAGTTTCAAGTTTACATCGTGTACTTAGTCTGGAATTCAAGAAGAGAGACGGCTGAAATTCTTTATCATATGATGGCTATTGTTTTTCTAGTGAAGTCATTCCTTCCATTCTGTTTTAAAGCATCAGTGTTAGACTAATCCATTGATTTGTACTATTAACTTCTATTCATCTTCATTTCTTTCCTTTCACTACATTAGAAGATGAACGATTTCAATTCAGTTGTGAATCGTGTTGGTCTTTTTTAATTCTTTCAGTACGGAAAGGAATATGAATATGATGCACCTGTCAAACTGTTGGACAAGCTTCTGCATTCAATGGCACAATCAGAAGATGAACAGCTTGTGGTGGTCTCCCAGGTTTCTTATTCCCTTATATCTATTAATACATTATATCTATTTTCATAGTGCATAATCACTTCACCTTTGGGAATGTACTCGGACATGTTCGGCTTTGGCTGTTCTGACTTTTTATTGTTGTTGTAACTGTAGGTGCTTGTGGCTGATATCAATATTGGTTATGAAGACATTGTCAATACTCAGGTTAGGCTGCCTGAAATATTCTTTCTAAATTAACTTGGAAACTGCATCTGTTCTTGGGATTGATAAAAAATTACTAAAGCTACCAGGTTTCTCCCTGATAACATTTTCCATTTTAAATTATGCCTGCTTAGATAAAGCATTAGTACATCCAAATGCCTATTGTTATGGTCTGCATGAATCCACTTTGTCATGAGTGGTTCCAGGCATGGAAATGGGTATGCTTCCCTTGGATCCTACTCTTTGCCGTTTGTAGATAACTTTGTTTAGATGCTTATGCCATCCTGGTTGTAAAATTAGTGGGGCATGGAAATATGCGAGATTGTACGTTAATACAGCATGGGAATAACAGAAGCATAGATTAAATGGGAATCCCTGGTAGTTTTTCCGAACAATGTTGTGTAATGTTGGTTATGTTTTCCCTTTGATGCACATCTTGATGATAAGATCTTTCTCTTCCAGGTTCTTTCCTTCAATGGTAAGCCCGTGAAGAATCTGAAATGCTTGGCGGCGATGGTAGAAAGCTGCGACGACGAATTTTTGCAGTTTGATTTGGAGTACCAACAGGTCCTTCTTTCGTTCTTCAATTACAATTTAGTTTTAAAAATTCAACCTTTTTTTTTCCTGCTGAAGAAAATTCCAAACGAATCATTTCTGCCTCATGCGAAATCATTTCTGTTCAATTATTCAGCAGCAATTTATTCTTCCATACCCAAGAAAATCAATATTTCCTTATTAAATGTGAACCACCATCATTCCTTTTGTGGGTTTTAAACTATTTTACCTCATTGTTTCAACATATTGTTACTTTTCCTGGTGTTTCTCATCAGCTCCATGTTCCGAGTTGACCTATGTAAGTACGGATGGATTGTTTTGGCCGGACCGATTACCAGCTAGGGTGAATGGTACTACCCTTATCAGTTCCATACAGGAGAAAGTGAGCCAATTGAGGTGAAGGTTTGGGCATGGCTGTGTCAGTTCAATGCCGCTTATTTTCATCAGTTTAGATCAACTGATGATAAAATAAGAGAAATTTTCCATCGCATCATATATCCGGGTTTTTCATCCTAAATATGCGTCTTCTTCCATTCATGAATTGGCTTCTCACCAAACTACGTGCATACAAGGATGAGTTCATGTACTAAAATAATGATTGATTACTAATCTCATCTTATTTTTTTTTCTCGATTTCACAACTCTAGGATGTCTTCAGTTCATCACAAGGATGAGTTTTGTTGAGTGGTTAAATTAATATTTAATTACTAATCATTACCATATAGATGAGGAAGAGTTTCACAATAGGTTGTTTCTAGATGTTATAGTTGACTTGAGTGCTTTATAAATTCATGGCAAACTATATAATTGTAAAGATTGTAGCACCTCAATCGGGTGTTATGGTATCATTTCAAATGAAACGAAATGGTGAAAATAATTGAAAAAACATTGACCATTTTCCGAATGCTTCCCATTCTTGCCATTGAATTCCCCCCTCTCCCACCTCTCTCCTCCTCTCTCCTGCACCATCGTGTTATTGATGCTCTTGATGTCTACAGATAGTTGTCCTGCAGACGAAGACCGCCAAGGCTGCCACGCCGGATATTCTGACGATGCACTGCATACCTTCAGCAATGTCAGACGATCTAAAGACTTGATGGCTCAAGCAAGGGGTTTTCCAGAACCCAAGAGAGATCCATCATCAGGCCACCTGTTCTGCAGAATTGCTGCTGTCTGCGTTGTGGTGGTATGCACAAGCTGGAGGGAGGAGCATTTGTTGTCCGAGGCATTGCTCATCTGCCAGGAGCTCATGCACATTGGCTGCATTCAGTCCCTTCCCACCTTTGACAATGGCATGGGACGCTTTTCTTTTCCTCATTTGTACTCTGCTCTTGTTTTATTTTATTTTATTTTATTTTATCATGCAATTGAGTGCAAGCCATTGCTTTGGGAGTTTTTAGGAACTGTTCCCAGCTTCAAAGTGGATTGTTGATGCTCTCAGAGTTGACATCTTCTGTACTAGATGATCCTTGGACTCAAGATTTTTGTGAGATTTTTTTGGTGATATTAATGAGATGGATGCATGAACAGTCAGTCACTGGTCATTTTTTGGTGATTGAGCTGCTAGCAAGGGTTACATGCCTATCATATTCCTGTTCAAGGGCATGAAGGTACTGTTGGTTATGAAATAATTACTACATTTGGATCACAAAACTTGGAGCCTTGGGTCAAAATTGTCAAATTAGTTCCTCAAAAGCATAGAACAGCTCTAGAACTTTTATTATTTGACAATGATTTTTTGCACCAGTTCTAGATTGCCTTCACTTTGGCTATTGAATTGGATAATATGTCAAGAACCTCTATTAACTTAAATTGCACCTTCACAACTTTAATGAGAATTTTTATAATGAGAAATAGTGGCATGATTTGTAGATACTTAAGAAATTGAATATCATACTAACACTATTTATGATTTTTTTGGTACTTTTTTTTATCAACGAAATAAGTATGTGTTGATGAGAGAGGTTAAATCTTAACCTTAGATTAACTCTTAATGAAGAGATACATGTATTTATATTGGTGAGAGAAGAGATAGATAATGAGCTCAAGTGAGCCACGTAAAATAAGTATCTGAATATTCTTCCTTATCTTGAAATATATAATTTAAACATTGAGTAACATATAACATCATAGGACACTTAAAAGATTCTTAATGAAGATGTCTAGTAGTTAGTTGAATGAAGTGACATGTAGTGTAAAGATAACTTTTTGTCAGAATTTTGTCTCGAATATAGTAACAATCAATCTTGATGTGTTTAGTCTGCTGGTGGAATATGAGATTTCTAATGATAAAAGTTATTATTTGATTGACACAATGTATAAGTATAGGTGTCTAAGGAGTGACACAAACTTTTTTAAAAAGAGTGAAGTCATACCATTTTATGTGGTTTCAACAATCACACAATATTCAACTTTTATATTAAAATAAGATACCACTTTTTACTTTTGATAGCACTAAATGACTAAGTTATCATAACATATGTGTAGTAGTCAATCATTGATTTTTGATCTCTTTTGTCACTAGTATACTTAACATTTAAGTAGGCTTTAATACCTAGGTGACTATAATGTCTATAGATAAGCTCATTCTCTAGAGGCCATTTAATACAAATTAGGACACATAATGCTCCCTCTCAATGGACCTTACGAGGGTCTTGCATAAATTGTCTGAGAACATTGATTGTATGAATGATGTCAAGACAAGTAATAGTGAGATATATTAATTTTCTTGATAATTGTCGATAATGATTAATATCTTCTATCAAAGGTGAAGTAATATCCTAGAACTTCAAACATGTCTTTATAGGTGATATCTCTAGTTTGCAGTTAAGAAGTCCCGTTTCCTGAAAAAGGTCGATGACATATTTCTTCTGAAATAAAGTTAGTTTGCCCAACTGATAAGCAAACTCTATCCTAAGAAAATAGTCCTCAAGTTTCTTCTGACAAAATGTTGATGCAAGTAAACTTTAGTTGTAGAGATGTCTACTTCATTACTCCCTATCATAAGAATATATCAACATATATAACCAAGATGATCATACCTCTCTAGGTGTAGTCTTTGTTATGACAATAGGATCAACAATGTATGAAATGAAGCTAAAAGTCAAAGATTTCACAAATTAGCTTAAGAACTCTACTTGAGTTTGTAGATAACATGCTAAAGTAAGAAAACTCAAGAAGACTCTCTCTGAACAACATATCCTAAAAGTTGTTCCATAAAAACTTGCTCATCTAAGTCATCCTAGAGGAAAATATTAGACACGTCAAATTGGTGAAATGACTAATCACGATATACCACCAAGAAAAGAAGAACTTGAATAAAGTTCAACAAGACCACATGAGAGAAGGTCTTTGTGTAATCAATACCATAAGCTTGAGTAAAGTCACAAACAATCAAGTGAGCTTTGTGACGAATGATAGAATTATATGGGTGCTTCAAAGTATTAAACAATTTGTTATAGTAGAGCCCTTCGCTCATATCGAGTCCACTAGGTAACTTTGACTCATGGTCGAGACCATGTATGCCAACAAGACAGATATCAATTGTATCGTATAGTTTTTAAGTCTCTCTCACGTGTAATCAAAGTGATCTCTTAGCCTAAACTTTAGACGACTTAAGGAAATCATTAAAGAGTTGTCTCTTTATCAACCTCTGACCATCAACCTTTGAATTTTTGAGTAGTATCACTAACAATTCTATGTTGGTGCATATCTTAGTAATCTACACTTGAACATTGCCTCATGTATTCATGACTATATTATCTTGAATGATCATATGTGAGACCTTCAATCAATTTTTTTCGTAGCACTTCGTGTGAGCATATGCCTTACTACTCAATTGAGCACCACTCAACTAATTATTATGTCAACTTCATCAGCTCTAGCTGCATATACTCCTCATGGTGGGGATGGTGGTTGTAACTCAAAGTGTGATAATGACTGTCCTCTTAAAGGCAAAGGCCACAATGTCTTTTCATCGTGTCCTTACTATGATAAGTTGAGTCACCCATCAAACAAGTAATGAAAAGAGTTTGACAAACTTGAGTGGGTTTAAGTTGTTATATCTAACATTTATTTGGATTCTACTACATTGTCTCACTTTGCTTATAAGTATATGGAGTGAGAGATCACCTTAATTACAAGTGAGAATATATTTAAAATAACTACACAATACAACTAATATTTATCTTGTTGACATACATGGCCTCTACCATGAGCCAAAATTATATGACAAGTTTGATATGGGCAAAGGGTTCGACAATAGTCTACTTAATACTTTGAAGCATTTAGGTGACTATAATAGAATAAATTTGAGACAAAACATATGTTAGGTCAATGATGATTGATGGATCATCTATTAGATGTTGAAGTAGATTGTAGGATATAAGGAAGTGCTTGAAATGTGATGCCCATGACGTATAATTGAGATTGGTGAAGAAATATATTAGTTGAGTCAATTGTGCTATGATAGAGTATTGTGAGGGAAGGAGTGGTGATAGTATATGCACTTCAATTAGAAGTGGGATTGTGGACCAAGGCTTCTAAAATAGAAAAAATGTACTATTTTAGTCCATAATGACGATAGAAAATAACGTATCAATACAAGTACAAAAACATGTAGTAAAAAGATAGTGTAATGAGAGATGATATAGTAGGAGACAATAATGCGAGATATTGAGAGATACTACAAGATATCATGCCAAGAGATACTATGAGATACTACGAGATGTTGATAAATATTAAGAGATATCATGATATACTACAAGATATCATGGTGGTAGATACTGTGAGAGTAGGAGGGGCCACAATAGTAGAGGCCACGACAGTAGATGCCACAATGGCAAGAGATTGCGGCAGTAGGGGGCCGCAACAGCAAGGGGCTGTGACAACAAGTGGGCCACAGTGGCAGGGGCCACTACGGCAAGGGGGGCCACTATGACAGAGGGCCATGACAATAAGGGGGCCGCAATGAAAAGGGCAATGATGACAAGAGGCTGCAGCGATAGGGCAGGCACCAGCGCACTAGTTGCGTGTGGTGCAACAGTAGATTTCGGCGGCATAGTAGAGGATGACACTAGAGAGAGAGAGGAGAGCACTAGAAAGAATGCTAGGGCTATGATACCTTGACAAAAATGGTTAGACTCTAAGATTAAATTAATTCCAAATGAAGATATATATATATATATATATAAATATAGATGATAGAAAAGGGAGAGATAATGGGCCTAAATGGGTTATGAGATATATTGAATAACATTTTAATTATTGATGTCAAAAGTTTGAGATAATAATATAATGAGTATTGATGAAAAAGTGTGAAAGGTTAATATGGTCAATTGTTGTTGATGTCGATTAAGCTTGGTGGCATTGAAAGCCTTACTCTCTTAACGTATAACAATTAGTTTATTAGTAATCCTAATTGGCGATATTGATAGCCAATGTTTGTAGCAGATCATATCAGATATATATTATTCTACTAATTATTTGAAATCATATAATAACTCTATGAAAGGTAATAATAATAATAATAGTAGATGATGGTAGTAGGATTTTAGTTAGATTTTGGACATGGCATGTGTAGTGGTTGAATAAAACATTAATGCCATCAGCCATGATTTATAAAAACAGAAAAATAAAACTATATATATTGGCCATCAGCGATGTGAACCCAAATGACCAGGGAAGAAAACTTATGATATTGCAAGATAGTTGAGGCACAGTTTGTTTAAAAACGTTTTTGGGCTTTGATTTCAAAGAACATTGGTGATAGGTAATATTGATTAAATAAATACTAATTCTATTTAAGGCCTTCCTTGTCTCAAATAATTCTATTCAGGTTCTACTTCCCTCATTCAACAAGTAGTGGTAATGGTGGCCTCCATATTAATGGCACATCCAACAACATTAAATATCTTAGTTGGAGTCATATAATTTTTACTCATCTCTTTATTGCTAAAATTAGAGTATATATAACTTCATCAAACTAGTATAATACATGATATGCTCTACTAAGCTTAATGCCCAGCTCTACCAAGTCTTTCCATCTAGTAGTAACTTTATGTTTCTTCTAAATTTATGGCAAGTTTACTTTCTCAAAGTATCAATTAGAGAACCTCCACACAAAAAACATTCCTCAATCTCATCACGTCCAAACACAATACAAAGTGAAATTTATAAACTCAAAATCCCCAATACGGCTAAATTTCAAATCAAAGAATTGCCTTTCTAATCATTTGAGCAAGCAAAGGGTGATTAAAAGACTTGAAAACTTCAAGTTCTTGGACAGTTTCAAATCTCTTCTTTTCAATTTTTGAAAAATATGGAATACTAAACGATTCAGTTCCAATTCAAGGTAGGATTGCAGACCTAGAAGTCTTGCACTTCAATGTTGTTCTTATTATGTATCAACACTTATATTCATTTTTCAATAAAGGTTCAATGCTGATAATGTTTTTCCATTTTTATCAAACCTTAGAAAGCTCGTAGGCCACTGAAGTTGTATAACAATACCTTTTCAATACATTTTAGAATGGTATTTAATGATGCACATTTTCCAATCAAGTAAAGAAAATGTTTGTGCGACAAGAAATGTTAGGAACATATTCACCCACCTCTCTAATAGAGAGATTCCTGAGCAGAGTCACCCAGGGACCAACAAATATTTTAGAACCAGGCTATTTTCTTACATATTTTTATAAATAAAAATACACAAAACTTCTTGGATTCCATTTTTATCAAACCTTAGAAAGCTTGTAGGCCACAGAAGTTGTGCAACAGTACTTTTTCAAGCCATTTTAGAATGGGATTTAATGAAGCAAAATTTCGAATCAAGTAAAGAAAATATTTGTGCAACAAGAAAATTTCTGCCATTGTTAGCAGTGTCATCAAGCTCATTTCGTTCATAATAACTTTGCGTCAAGAGATATTCGATAATACCTTTACTTACCTGCTCCAATGACAGATGTGAAATACTTGAGCCAATCATTTCCCTGATTAATTTTATTTTTGAACCTATTTCATTGCTAGCCAAAAAATATTAAATCACTTCATATTAATTTTCTCATACATAAGTAGTGATAACAAGATGAAAAAAAGATGGGTGGGAAAGTACTTCACTAAATCACCAATGAGGGCAATCGTATGAAGATCTAGACGCTGCCGAGGTAAGCAGTACATTTTCCACTGGCCCTCAAGACATTTAATTAAAAATCAATAAGAAAGAAATCACCTACCATACAAAACTTCAATCTTTTTTCTTAAAAAAAATTATGTTCTTAATGGTACGCGGCTGTTTCATCCTTGAAGTGTTGAAGAAGAGCCTCCGTGCTCATTACTTTGTAGTCTGTTCCATCTCTGACACGCACACTTACCTGCAGCAATGTCATTTTACAGGAGGAAAAAACAATCAAACGGTAGACTAACAGCTTGCATTGAGATTATGCTTAAAATCGGGTAAATCTTCATATTGAGATTATTTCTGATATTAATCATCATTTCCAGAGAATCAAATCAGGGTCAGCACTAAAAATTTCTTTGAAAAGCTGGGATCAGTAGCCTAAATTTCTCGGATAACGAAAAATAAAAATGGACAGAATTACTTAGTTTTATTTGATTTGGTATGTAGTCATATTTATTATTAACAAGGATTCAAATGCATTTCATAGAAAAAACCAACCCATAAACTAACTCCTGATGCTTATATGATGTTTAACGAGGGTAAATCATTTTGATACTATTTATGACATCATCACTGCCATCATCATCGTCACCATTTTTGAAAGCTCATCAAATCAGAACCAGAATCAAAATTTGTTTCAAGTCTTGGCATCAGTAGCCTAAATTCTTGCCGAACACACAACTAGCAATGGCATCTTGCCAAAAAATATTTCTTTACTATCTTAAGTATCAAAATTGAGTACTACGATACCTCTCATTTTTTTGCATAATTAAAAATAAAATATCTGTAATCGTCAGAGCTTTGAAAAATCTGAAGTATTTGAGAAATAAATAAAGGCCCCTGTAGTTGCATGCTTCATTAACTAAATCAAGCCTACCTTGAAGCAATCATCTCAGCACGAATAGCAAATAGGGTGAGAGGCCAACTATCTTATGTAACCTAATCATGGAATAGTTTGGAGTTTATATGAAAAGAGCATACGAGAGTATTTAAAATATTTAACTAAAAAGATACCTGCCCACTGCTTGCTTCCTTCTCCCCAACAACAAGGATAAAGTTATATTGTGCCAGTTGGGCTTCCCGAACCTGCAGACACCCAGAATATTCTCAGTATATTTTCCCATTGTCCACAACAGATATGACAACAATGCGACTAAGCACAGAGATCATCAAGATCAACAAATCTCGTAAAGGTTAGTGTGGGGAAAGCATTATGAAAACAGAGTCACACTAATGTGTAGCGTCATTCCCAGATAGCCTCGGTAAGAAGTATGTTTTTAGCTGGATGAAAAAGAAACGTTATACTTTTCTTATTCTTCATCTCAGACTCTAGAAGTTACTCTACTGCTAAACAGAATAATCACCAACATAAATGAATTTCTCCATCATACACAGCAACATTGTTAAATTCGTGTGGGGAAATTAGTTATACAAGCATAGCCTTTCTTCTCCTATTACAAATAGGTAGAGAGATTTCAAAGATCAAAGAATTTTGAAGACAATGAGTGCATCCCTACTTCAAACAAACGTACAGATAGTGTAGTTCTAATCTTAATATGGAACTCATCGCACAACACTTTACCTTCTTTTCGAGCTTTCGATCTGTTATATCCGCGTCAGCGTAATATCCAGCTGCATGAAGCTGATCACGAACCTGTAACAACAGCGAGATAAAAAAAATAAAAATCAGACGCATTCATTGATTGATCATCTCGTGTAGTACTCATTATATTATTATACAAAGAAAATTTCGCAAATAAATGCTGTACGAAGCAGGATCATATGAATTTCTCAAAAGATGAAGTGAACCTACAATGAAGTAAACCTCTCAAACAATCAAGAGCAAGCAATGCACTTCCCCTGTAAATCCAAATGGGATCTTTGAATGCAGGTTCACAGGGAAAAATTTCATTGCCAATAAAGGCAGGGTAGACATCAACCACAAGGGCTATTACTGAGAAATGGAACTAAGAGAGAGGGCAGATGAATCGGAAAGGATATAACAAACCGCAGTGCCTAAAACAATGGCTCACAAAAGGTTTGCAACAAAATATTAACGAAACAGGGTTGTACAAGTGTCCATATTTGCACGCATCTTAAGCAATTCAGACAGTTACCTGTAAGGCATATGGTTGTAATTTCTCAGTAACAGGGCAAACTATGGCTTGACGAGGACTAATCCAAAAAGGCCACTTCCCTTTGTAGTGTTCCAAAAGTATAGCAAACATTCGCTCGACAGAACCTAAGATGGCTCTGTGTATCATCACAGGCCGATCTCTTTTAGCTTCATCTTCACCCGAGTAAGTCAGATCAAAACGAATAGGAAGTTGAAAGTCCAGCTGCAGCAATGAAAGTGTTAAGTAACGCATTCAAGAGCATATGATGATATGGCATTAGAGGATGGGATATTAGGAACAACCTGCAGAGTTGCACACTGAAATTTTCTCTTTAAAGCATCAAAAACGCTAATGTCGATCTTTGGGCCATAAAATGCGCCATCTCCTTCGTTAATCTTTGCACAGCAAGCCAAAAGGTGAGATGAGAAGACGCTTCAACACCATGGCACAATTATATTATTTAAAAGCACTTAAAGACGTTATGTTTGAAAATAACACGTAAAGAAAGGCTTTCATGTATATACTTTAATCTTTGGTCATTTTGGATTCTATTGTCGGTGGTCACTCATGCAAAAGATTTCAAAAATCATGCTTCTCCGGGGATATTGAATTTAAAAATCATGATTCATCATAATTCAGTAGAGAGAATATGAAAAGAAGGGTTTTTACCTGCCATGGCCTGCCAAATTCAGTCAGAGCTTCTGAAAGAGCAGATTCCGCCATGTCCCATGTTTCTATCTCTCCTAAGTGTTTCTCAGGCCGCTGAAATCCATGTCAATTCAAATTATACACTTCGAAGTCTCACATAATAATAGGCCATAACATGAAAAGGTTCGACAACCATCAACACCAGGACCACGTATGGTAGTTTAAAAAGCTGAGTAAAAGTGAACGAGAGTTAAATTCTGGATGCGATTAAAGTGGACTGAGTCTAATCCGTGAGACATCATTTTGCATATTGTGAACAGGTGTTTAGTTGCTCACGTTAGATAGACATGAAGTTCTGACAGCCAGCCATACACAACGTAAGCATTTGATGGTTAAAAAAAAGAGTAATAGTGAAACAAGAGTTCGAAGTTGCACGCTGTGTGAAACATTGAATTTTTTCGCCAGTCTATTCCATTTTAAAGACTCCAGCAATGATCCAGCCAGCACAACCAAGAACGTGATCATTGACTGAACGTCCAAATACCATCTCTCTCCATTCTCGCATTGTAATTTCCTGCCATCAAGAGCCCGTTTGCTTCTCGCTCATTCTGAAGAATTCTTTGTGTTCTCTGCTGCAGATTAATCCAATTTTGTATTTCTTCCCCCTATCTTTGCCTGTTGTGATTCTTCCTTATTATCTTCTCGATTCCAGTACACTTTCTTTCCATTTTTCGACACAAGTTGCCAGATGCATTTCAAGTTCAATAATTATTTTGAAAGACAAAGTCTCAATTTATTCTACCCAACTATGCCTAATAAGACAATTCTTTAGAAGAAGAAGACGACGATGATGATATAATATTGAAACATTTAAAGCATTGATTGGAAAGCAAAACTCTTGTGTCCTCGAACAAGAGAGTTTTCAGTTATTCAAACTGTCTGTCATCATCATCTTCATTATGTCTTATTTTACTAGAAGAGGTACGGCAGCACCAAAGGAAAATCAGAAATCAGTAATCAGCAAAATCTTCTCGAAGATCATTTGCCTAATATCAACACTCTACATTTAAGAACAACCTAAGCTTTTCAAAGATGTCTACGGCAACCATGGCAATGTACCAGTGCCTTACTGATTAACGAAGCCTAATCTCAAATGTACTAAACATCACTCATAAAAAGGGCACAGTGAATATGCAATATACTTACATGTGTGTTCATACATTATTAGAAACTAACATAAACCTTTTATGTTTTATCATTTAGACTAGTATTCAAGACATATACAACAAATTACTACTATTTGCACATTGAATCACCTAAACGGTTTGTTCGCACAACCACAACTTCGTGCTTGCAAACTCACCTAGGGAGTCCAGGCCCCATGGCTCTCTGGGCTGACTATGTCCCAAGACATTCCCGGGGCCCGGCAACCTAGGGCAGAATATTTTGTTGGGTTCACGAGACCAGTCACTGGCATCCCCCACCTTAGGCTAATGAAACTAGGGCACAGCCTGGATAGTGCTGTAGGCTTAGAAAGGAGCTATAAAAAGAGGAAAACAGGCCAATTGCTCCTCGATCTCATTCAAAATAATTCAGAGAGGAAAGACCAGAATTTAATGCGGGGATACTATCCTTTCCGGGGGGGAAGTGGTTTTGGGAGATGCACAACTTACTGGCTTGTGTTAGAAGACGAGATATGTAGTGAGGCAGATTGATACTGTCAGAGAGCCATTCCACAAATTGTTTTAAGTCTCCAGAGAAAGAGAACATATGAGAGGCTGCAATGCCCTACCATTGCATTCAAGCATATTTCCACCTCCTAAAAGTATCTAACAGAAGAGTATTCAATTCAAGTCTCCTGCACAGGGGTTGACAGATGAATCCCTAACTTCATAGAGGAACAAGAGTGATCATTAAAAAGACAGCATACAAGCAACAATATTAATCTGCTGGGATAATAAATGGGCTTCTCCAGTAAGGTGGTGCCACTGAGGGGAGTGACCGGTTATGGAGAGATACAGGAAATTGGGTTGGACTGCAGGATATGTAGCCGCTGGAGAATGGAGGCCAGCTAATGCTGGAAAGGCAGTTAGGGAAGGGAACAGCAAGGGAACCAGGAAGAAGTCGTCAGAGTGATAAAGCAAGGGAAGTGAGGAGAAGGGGCAAGAGTAGCCAAATGGAAAGGTATTCGGACTCCGAGATTCCAGGCTAAACACCACAGGATAAATGATGAATCGAAGTAAAATAATAAGTGAAAGGCATCAAGAAAAATAAAAGGCAAATGTATTTAGCCGTAGAAAAAACCTAATGCAAATCAGACATCTAATATCAGGAAATAACGTACCACATTCAGTATCATCAATCAATGAATAATGAAAATACAATTAATTGCAATTAAAATCAGATGACCTAGTTTTCCCAGTGCATGAAGAAACAATATGAATAAAAATAAATATAGAAAACAAAACTAAGGTCTAATAATTACCGTTGATAGTTCCAGCTCAAAAGTAAATCCAAATATACCATAGGCATGACTAATGAATTCCAAGACACCCCGAACTTCATCTTTTATCTGCAAATTTGTGACAAAGTAAGTCACTCAAACCGAGACAGGATTAGTCCAAATGGACTTCAGAAAATACGGTATATCAAAAATAAAAGACACTTTTAGATTAATTAGAAATGTCACCAATAAACCCAGAAAAAAAAGTCGAATGGAACATTGTTCCTCCCTCATCCCCTCCCCCCCCCCCAACTGTTTCATTCTCATTGAATGGAACAGTGAGAATAATATCACATTCAGTGTCCCATACAGTGGCATTAAAAATGGTAATATATTCTGTTTCTGTATAGATATCCTTCACATCACAATTTTCACATCATTCAGGAACACAGATGACATAATGATATAATTAGAAGTGTAAAACCAAAACTCAATCTGAGTTGAGCATGAAATGTGCACTTACTTGAGATTCCCTGCAAAAGATATGGGCATCATCCTGAAAAACAAAAAGAAAAAAAAGGAAAAATCAATGTTAGAAGCGCTTATTTTCTCAATATATGTTCAACAACTTGTTGCTAGACTCATTTTACACAATAAACTCACCATCAAATGCGGTTCAACTTACAATGGGTCCTTAATACACATTTCTAAGGTAATTACAATATATTTGATCATTTTAAGCTCCCTGAGAGATTAATCAAAATACTTCCGCCAGATGCAAGTTGCCTAATCTGACGATCTTTATATGCAACAAGAGAACTTAAGAGACACAAATATCAACAAGAGAGCCAGACCCATCGTCGTACTACAAGTAGTGAGAACTACCTGCTGAAATCGTCTCACACGAGTTAAACCTGTAAGGGCACCACTGAGTTCATTTCGATGCAGAACACCAAAGTCAGCAAGACGAAGAGGCAATTCTGCAAGTTCATTATGAAACAGCAAGTTAGGATTTCACAGAAATCTCAAAATACAGCAAATAAACAAAAGAACTTAACATTACATGAGAACTGTTCACCATTCTAAAGTATAAAAATCCAAAATACAGAATACCGTCAATCTGGAGTACCTTCATAATCAATGGTTACACTCCATTGGCACATGGGCTCTAATTTCCTGGCAAAGCTACAAGGACAAGAGGCCGATGGAATTGGTGATCCCTTAACCTTGGGCCACGAAGGAGGTAGTTGGTTTTGGAGATCAAGCAACTAATGCACCCCATAATCTAAGAAGTGTAGAATATATAGTTCCGTCTACTTATTATAAAGTATAGTGGATTTTACGGATCAATGAGTGCCCAGAAACAAGTCCTACTTTCATGTTGACCTCTTAAAATTGGTAGTAAGGATGACCAGGTATAGGTGGGACCAAAAACTCCAAGGTATTTTGCTATGTACAGCCACCAACACTTAAACAGTCAAAGCATGTCTTTCCTGTTATCTACGTACTGTGTTCAAGGTCATTGATCTATGCATTTCTATGGATACAGAAGCTTTATCGAGATTGTTTCTCACTAAGTAAGTAGTTAGTGTACAATTGCTTGCAATGCTTGAAAATGCCATCTTGACCCATGGTTATAAATTGCTTTCTATGAGATTTCTGCCAAATATTACCGTTCATATGCCTAAAAATTCTCAGCCAGGACCTTTCACCCAGGACAAAGTTGACTACACTGGCTGAGGCTCGTGACTAGGCCCTTCGTCTCACCTACATCAGACAAATTTGACCTCTCCATGTCTTGAAGATACTACCATGGACCAATCTGACAATGCATACAAAAATTGATAAAACATGGAGCAATCGAGGACTTACCGAAGCACAACAATGCAAATAATATCACATGGCGCACCGATATCAAATTGATATAGTACAACCCACATAAAAATATACCACCATATGGTTTACTCTACGCTGAAAAAAAAACGAGTGGCGCACAGAATGATGACATACCTCTGTATGATCGAACTCTATGCTGAAACATCAGACAGTGACCAGGGCAATTCATTGGCTTAAGACCAAATTCTTGTTTCTCAATCTGCATTTATGAAAATGTTCGCAACATAAATAACAGTATGTCAATACACAAAGGATCTGTGGTTAGAGACCCATTCATTACCAGCCACCTTTTCTAGCAGCCCTAATACGTTGAAACTAATACAGATTTTACACCATGTTAGAAACAATCAAGATTCCCAATAAAATTCTTGTCAGCCACTGACTGCTAGCAATAGATCCAATGAAAAATCCGTGATCTACAGATGAAACAGTTCCAATCTGATCCAAAATGCATTGCAGGAAACCAGTCTGATACAATCGACAACAGAAAACGTTGCCTGAAAACCAGTTTGAATCTGATCCAACATGCTTGAAAACCAGTCCAATACATTGCAGGCACATATTCATGTTTTAAATTTACACGTCATAATAGGTGTTCAAAATAACTAATCGAAAATTTTACCCAGCAAACAGACAATAAAAATCTCACCTCAAAGGTGAACATATTCTCCTTGTAGTTTGCAGCATGACCCGAAGTTTCCCAAAGTTGCATATTGTACATGTTTGGTGTCAGGACCTAAAATAGAGAGTCCGAGTGTTACCCGGTTTTCCAATTGAGAAGGGTATAATGATCATAAGCAAATTACAGCAAACAAATGCACCTCTTGGTAACCTCTCTCCCTGTACTGAGCCCGGATGAACTCCATTAACTTGTTATAAATTCGGGCCCCGTGAGGTAGGAAAAAACAACTTCCAGGGCTGAGGAAATTTTTGGAAAAGACAATGTTATAAATAGAATAGGACTTTTAGTTGCAATAAATGAACTCAAATATCCCATTACCTAAGGGGATGGAAAAAGAAGAGCTCTTGATTCAGACCCAATATCCTGTGGTCATATTTCTTTGCTTCCTCAATCTGATTGATATACTCCTGCAAGAAAAAATGAAGATATGAGCTTCAATAAATCGGCTAAATATAAAAGCAGATTATACGAATTTACTTCAGGGGAAATGAAACCTATTTTATTATAATGAATGGGAAAATCTTGACGGTAAGAAAATGCCTGGTTGACTGGAACTGCAAATGTATTGACAAAATTATAATAGAGGAACAGGAGAAGCAAAGAAATCTAGTTCTCAAATAGTAGCCAAAATGAGGAAAAAAATAACCCTCGAATTTGACAGGTCAAAGAGCACGTTTCCACCGAAAAAGTTGAACGTGAAGAGTTACACATCTAGTTCTAAGTTTAAGTAATGCCTACATCCAGCAGAACAACTCGTCCCCAGTGCATGTGCTTTCTTTAGCCAATTTACCAAGCAGAAAAAGAATAAAAGAAAAAGTTAATCGATCTTTTCTCTTTCTTACTTTTCATGACAGGAAGATTAGAATTTTGTGCAAAATATATTTGATTGCCTGGATACGCCGTTAAAACCCAATCAGATGGTTTAAGGCTCACTATGTTCTACACTTGATAAAACCTGTAATTTCATACTCAGATTTTTTATTGACAAATCATATCCTATGAGCAAAAAATTGAAAGAGATACAGCGAAAGAAAACATCATAAATTTAAAGATTTGGCCAAAGCCGATCATCTTTCATAACACCACGTGCTCAATTCTCCTTCAGTTAAGGATGAAACAAAAACTACAAAAACTTTCATTGTTCGTTGTCTAGTACTTATCCAAAAGAATATCACATATGCCCTCATAAAACTTGCTATTTATTCCTTATATAATAATATTTGTGGTTTGTTCTCTAGCTGAATAAGCTCAACAGAGTCATGCATGCATGAACGCTTTTGCAGATCTGTGACGATCATTAAAAAGCGTTAAACTTTTTGATGAAAATAGACAGATATGCGAAAATCGTTAAAAATCTATTAGGAATGTAAAGAAAAAGGAGATACCTTAAGACGTTTAGGATCAGGAAAAGAAATTCCATAAACTCTCTGAAGACTTTCACGCTCTGCTTTACCCCGCCAATAAGATGAAGAAGCCTGATTATAAAATGAAAACATTGATATGCACGTTTCCCAGAATAGCTGAATTCACAATCAGCTTCCAATGGCAGATTCGCACCTTCAAGCATCTAAATGCCTTCACGAAAGATGTATTCGGAATATGAGGTCCCCGACAAAGATCAACCAGAGGCCCACATCTATACACAGTGATAGTTTTATCATCTGGGAGTTCATTAATGAGCTCAACCTGCATGAAACAAGAACCAAAGGAACTAATAGAATGTATAGCCAAAACTTATGAGAAAATGCACTCAATTTACTGCGTGATGAGAAAAAGTTGAAGAGAATATTACATGCCAATGGACATCACATAGGCCACACTCAACTGTTATGGACAACGGAATGAAAAATCACAAGCATAACTTGCCTTGAATTTATTTTCAGCAAACATCTCAAGTGCCTGATCACGTGTAACTTCAATTCGCTCAAAAGGTTGTTTTTCCTACATAAAACAAATAATTTACTTCAGCTGAAATTGTAAACAACACAGTGAGCCGGAATTTTGCATCTAAATTTTGGGGGCTAAAATAAGAAACCAAGACTTTAGAAAGGCTTGGCATGGCATCAAATCAAGTTGCAAATTTCATAAGTATGAGGTGGAAAACATAGTACCGCCACAGCTTTCTGTGCTTGTGCTTGAATATGGTTAAAGTGCTCCTCATTCAGCGTAAGATCATCATAAAAGGCATCATAATAAAAACCCTACAGGGAGATGACGATCAAATAATAAGCACATCCACAATTAAGCAATAATTACTCAAAACAGCATTGTAAGGCAAATTAAGATTTTACTATGACTTTTGTTTAAACTGGCTCACAAAATGGTCATCCTTCACAGCATATTCCGTATGATTTAAGAATTAAATTACAGAACTATGATGAAAAAATTAAAAAGATTAACATTAGCGTCTCATTTACCTCCCCTCTAGTGGTGCAAGGCCCAATGCAAAGTCTACATCCATACTCCATCTCAAGGGACTGCCATAATGGAAAAAAGAAAACTTGTAGTTAAAAACGAAATTTCATTTGAAATAAGATCAAGACACTAAATAGCTCCTCTTTGATGAGATTGATCGCAAATAGACACACCTGTCCAAGGATATGAGCACTAGAATGCCAAAAGGTATCACGCCCTTCTTTGGAATCAAATTTGAATATCGTCAGTTCACAGTCATCCTCTAGGGGCCTTGACATGTCCCAAAGTGTTCCATTTACCTTCATGAAGGAAAGGTTGATGATTTGTAGAGTGAATTTACATAAACAAACAGAGGCAGCTGTTCTGCATTGAGCACGTCTGAAGACACAAAAATTGCTAATACGTTCGAAAAAGATAAGAACAAAGCCTCAAGGCAATTCAACAACAATCTAAACGAAACAATCCCAGTTCACAAAACATGGTAATTTTCCCCTTTCCACAAAATAATCAAATTAAATGGGATTGGAATAAGCAAAAAAGAACACTGTGAAACTATGAACAAGCAAAATCTTAAACAGAATGAGGTATTGACCTAAAAATATTATTGAGAGATGCTGATCGATCACCTGATTCTCCACAAAAGTGAGATGTTGATTCCTTTCAATCGGATATTGTTTTAGATGATTAGTGAGTTCCGAACTTATCAAGAAAATGATTATGTTTTTGTTTTGTGCGATCTGTACGGATTAGCGTGATATTGCCATGATGGTGAGATTTAGTTACAAACTCACTGTAGTGTCATGTTTGTGTAATCACAGATATTAAGATGACTAAGACAAGGAAGCCTCGATTTGTACCCTTGTTGCTGATATAACAAGTGACGTTTAGACGAAACCTGGTTTTACTGTGGACATTTACAGATCTATTGGTAGGTTATTCTCATATATTATGCTAGGTCTCAAAATAATATTATGCTATTCATGAAAAGTTCACAAATGTAGATAGAGTCTAAAAATTGTATTATTGAAAAGGATATCTAACACTTTGGTACAATAACTATCAGGGAAAAAATATCCCAAATTTTTAAATTAGACCTAACTATACAATCGTTTAAACGAAAGAAAGTATTCAATAGCTTCGTGAAATTTTCAGCATATCTTTACTTAAAGAGTTCTTGTCCTAGTTCATATTCTGGAAAAGACAACAATAGCAGGTTGTTAAGCTCAAAGAATTTTTAGACAAGGGCACATATTACGAATTGTAGAATCAGTTCAATAAATAGCTATCATAGGCCTAAAGAAAACGAGAAGGAAAAAATGTGAGCCTCCTGTCCAGGTCCCTGAGGTGAATGTGATTGTCAGCTGTTTAGTCACCATGACCAACGAGCTCTTTTGTGTGATGAATGCCACTTGCATCATCTTTCCTGGATCATTTGGATCATACCATTACCTCTAGCCATTCCCTCTTCATCAACATCATAAGAAACCATGACCCAACATATTGTCTATTTGAGATCAATGGCTACGTCGGATCTTCAGCTAACATAGTGATGGTGATATCAAAGACTGTCGTCATTGCAGAGTACCCAAAATGAAGGAAATAGGAGTTTAAGGTATCGAGAAAGCGTTCTAGTAAATAACCAGTACAGCCATGCAACATTAACTGAATGGTTTTTAGCTTTGGGGTGAAAACCATACAATCCACTTACGTCATAACATTTCAAAAAGATAGCTTTCATGTGCTACTGAGACATGTCTGATAAGTGGATAGGATTCCGCAGGGTTGCACAAGCCTCTGTGCGACTTGTTATGTTTTATGCGTCGTGCTTTTTGCTTACAGCTATACATACGCTAAATGGACTAAATTAAGTCAGGTCGTGCGGATATGTATGTGACTTGCCGCAACATATAAGTTAAATGGGTCAAGTGACTCTGAATTCGTTGAGCCATCCAACGCATTTAAATGAAGGTCAAGCTTTCACTTTCACATAATAGTATACTGGCCCACGCACAGTAAAAAACAATTTCTAAAAAATGGTTTTCTTTGTAAAAAAGCATAGCTAAACGTGTATGCTCAACGTATTAAGTCGGTTAGTTCAGACAAATACATTACGAATTAAAGTAATCCACCAAGGTCAACCAACTTGGATCGAAAATATACTGCATAGATTAGTTGAGTTGTGCAGGCTCTACAATATGAGTTAAAGGGGGTCAAGCAAGATCAAACTCTTTCTAGACAGTTTCACTGCTGGGAGAAGCACCCAAAAAAGATACTACATGACTCGGATTAGAATGAATTACAGTGACCCGCTTTGGATCAATCCAAGCACAACCCAAATTTAATATCTGACTCGGACATAGATTTTGTTTAAATAGTTACATCAAAATAGTTTAATCGATGGGCAGCCCAAAGATGGGAATAGCGAACCGCCTGACTGCGTTACTCAAAACTTATCCTTACAGTCAGCATCTAATGTGCCTGAGTATTTCATGCTTACCGTAATGCCACTTTGTCTAGGACAATAGAGGTGGTTCCAGACGAACTGCTATTAAATCTAGGATCTGTTGAATTTTATGATAGAGCATCAAGTGAACTAATTTTCAGACGGTAGAATGTAAAGGGGCTTCTTTTCCTTTAATAAGAAACAATTCACTGAAACGGAGCACATCCACCGAACCATCCAGATGCATTTAATCACAGACAAGCTGATGGCCGTAACCGAAGGTTGAACCATGATCCTTTTCAACTCTCGAGAAAAAACCAATTCAAAGAAGCCAACGGGAAGGCCAAAGACTCACTTGGGCAATCAGCGCACTGGCAGCTAATCCAGGGGAAATTTCCCTGGCAATGTCCATTGGCGAAGAAATAAATTTCTTTCCCTCCTTAACGGTGCCATCCGGCAAAGTAACCCTTTACAGGAGAAGACAAGAAAAGAATGCAATGAGCATCTGAACTGTCAAAGCAAGGAATCAACTTCAATTCGACATTCTCCAATTTCATATAAACTTTTTGCTTATAAACAACGCAATTATGCGTACTTGACGACTTCTCCACCAACTCTCTCCCGGGCAGCAGCCTGCTGGACCTGAATCTCCTCGAACATCCTTACGCGCTTCTGGATAATGGTCTCGAGGTATTCCTGGTCCTTCTTGACCACCAGCTCCGGCGATGCCTTCGGCTTGGATGAGCTCTTCTTGGAGCCCCCCGCGGCTTTGCCTTTGGAACCGTCCGCCACACCGACGGCGGCCATAACATGCTCACAACCCTCTCCCATGACGAATGCCCACAGACGGACGGAGCGGTGGCTGATGAGATCCCCCGGGCGGCCTTCCGGAGGCGAAGTCTGCAAATCGAGACCAGGGCTGAGGGAGACAGTGCAGAGCTAGGGTTTTGAAGGGAGTCTCACTCCATGAGCGTACAGGCCTTGGCGGACACGAAAAGATGACGCTGGCCCCGCGTAGAAATCAAAATGCATTGTCCCCGTACACTGGCCAATAAACTTAAAATTTCCTGATCTCATTAAAAAGGACGTATTCAATTGGTACCACGTTTTCTCCCTTTCTTGGTGCGTATCCCTACGTACGAGTCGATTTAAAATTCTGCTGGGGGAAGTCGTGTGCGGCCCATCGCTTGCGTCACTTCGCGGTCTCACACAACGGGCGCCGTTTATGAAAAAGTAGTTAAGATATAATATATATATATATTTGTGTCCCATATTTTTACATCATATTTTAAATCCTAATAGATTACTCAAAAATTAAAATTTACTCCCTCCACTAAAACCTGTTTGATTTTGACTTTACTGACCCCAAGATTTAAGTTTTTTTTCTACATGATTAATGATCTTTGATCAAATGACATTTTTAGAGTTTTAAGTCAACATATATATATATATATGTATATGTGCCACATTATAATTTATTAATCACCAATACTTAGAAAGACAACTTTCATTATACATATTTTTCAAATTTTTATTCTATTATCAAATTCAGAATATTTTACAATTATTGATTAGATGTATTCATCACAAGAGAAATTTACCAAAATTAATTAAAATAGTCAATTATAATGTTTAGTTAAGAAAAATTAGACTGTCTACTCACGCCACTGTAAAATAATATTGAAATTATTGAAAAATATAATTAATATTTTCTAATCATCATCATAATCATGATAAATCTATATTTTAAAATTTAATTTAGAAAGGTCTCATTTTTAAAAGGGCAAGTGCAAATCTAATGTCTAGTGGATCAAAAAAATGTAGATCCAACTTTTTTGTAACACCATGCATATACTAACATGATGTAACAAATGGCACAAGAATAATTTGAAGTTTCTGCTTCATTAATAAATTGAAGAAGATTTGTATATATTTCATATGAATATAAATTAATATGTTGATGACAAACAACTAATTTCTAGCCATTTTAAATGTTTTTGATGGCCCAAAACTACAACATATAAAAAATATATTATCTCTAATCGAAGAAAGATGAGAGTGAGAGCCACAAAATCCATATGACCCTTCAAGAAATTCATCTAAGATAACAAGTGAATTAAGTATCATAATGAAATAAAAACTAGTTGATGCTTAAACATTCAAAGTTTTCCCCAACACAAGTTGTTTTGCATCTTCAAGTGAAGAGATCATGCCAAGGAAGTTGTGCATTGACTATGTAAAAGATTCATTATTGATTTAATTGAATCCTAATACTTCTAGTTGGGTGCTAATTTTGTTAGCCCCTTGGATATTTGAATATAAAAAATAGTAGAAGGCTGTTCTTTTGATTGGCCACTTAGAGTCATGAATCCAACAGAGGGTTTTGGAGCAAAATGCTAGTCCACTAGAGCTATTAAATATAGTGAAAGCTAGTACAAGGATGCATGTTTACTAATAAATTATTGGAACTAAGGAGATAGTTACTAGAGAGTGGAGTAGGCTATAAAAACTAAACCACTATAAGACTTGTGTGAGTAAATATGAAAAAAGACCAGAAAATTATACATATTATAAAATTTTCAGTTCAACCCCTTCTCCTTGTTCTTCATGCTTTCTTAGCATAGTTAACATACCCTATCATGGTAAAAAAATTATAAACACCAAAACATCATTTGTTTTTGCCTTTTCAAGAGAACACTAACTCAACTTTTATAAAGAATTATTGATCCATGCCCACTCATTTTATTCCTCCATATATTGTATGCTCCATGTGCCTTTATTCCCTTTATCTATGCGAGTAAAATTAATTTTCCATTTCTTCCCATGTACTCATTTCCATTAACTAGCTACATGCCTTCTTGTCTCCACCCACAACTCTTTGTCCAACCTTCTCCTCCATCTTGAGAATTAGCAACTTTATACAAAAGGGGATAGTTTGAGCAAATATGCTCACTTTTCTACCTTGTGACACCCCTTCACTACAAAAGCTGATTTTTATCCATGACATAGTGAGACTCCATAGATTCTTAGAGTCCATCATCACTGACAGAGACAAAATCTTCATGACTATTTTTTGGCAAGAGATCTTCAAGAACCATGGAACCCCTTTCTGGAGGACAAGCACCTACCACCCACAAATAGATGAACAATCCAAGGTGGCGAATCACAGCCTCGAAACTTACCTCAGCTATTTTGTAGGAGATAAATCAAAATAGTAAACTAGTTGGCTGTCGTGGGTGAAGTATTGGTTCCATACCAATTACAATTCATCAATAGGCTTCACTTCCTTCCAAAATGTGTATGGTCGCAATCCTTCGGCACTTCTCCAGTATGTATCTCATTTTGCAAGAATGGACAAAGTTGATCACCATTTGCAAGAGCAGGACCAAATGCTCAATCAACTCAAGTTGCATTTGAGTTAGGCCCAAGCATGGATGAAGACCCAAGTAGACTAACAGCACATTTGCCCCAGGATCCACCAGTCCACTCTAGCTGGATGAGAACCTCACATGGGTAGTAGAGACATTGTAAGTGAGGAGTATTCAACACCTACCATTGGGCCCGAAAGTTCTGGTTGAGTAGAAGAACTTACCCCCCATCGAGGCCACATGGGAGTTTGCCCGTGCCATTTGCCAGCAATTCCCCTCTTTTTACCTTGAGTACAAGGTAGATTGCCTAGGGGGGAGTATTGTTGAGACTCTTGTCATGACTCCCCTCCCACATAGGCAAAGGAGACAAAGGGGCAGTGGTCAAGGACCAGATCTTAATAGCTTGTCCATTTGGATCCAAGCAGAAGATCAAAGTAGAACAACCAGTGTAGTGATTCCAAATCAAAATGGCAGGGTCATTTTGATTGGTCATGAGCAGTCAAAGGAGACCCCACGACTGTATTGACCAGTCAAATCAAGGGCACCACAATATTGCATAAGTAGCTCGGTGACAAAGAAGGAAGGGAAGGAATAACTATTTGGAGTCTCTACAGAGTCTTGGAGACCTGTTGTCTCGAACTAGCCACCCCAATCTTGTAACAGAAGAGTCCTTCTCGGCTCTCCGCTCTTGTTCTCTCTTTCTCTCTCTTGTCAACTATCTCTCCCACTCTTCTTTCTTGTTTGATTTCCACCTACTATTTTTTACTTCTGAACTTAAAGTGAATGTTAGTGGCTGTTTGCAGCCCAATCTTAGTGAACTTGTGAATTCCTTATTGTCATGAGGTATGTACCAGATACCCCCCTATTGGCTATTATTGATAAAAGATGTTATAGCCACAATGTTCTTGCATATGCTAGGAAACACTTGATTTTGAAGTAAAAAATTATAATGAATCCTCAATAAATGGTGTTAGTGTTTGATCTCATTTTCCATAAAAATTATATTTTTACATGATATCAATTCAATTTTTTGATCATTTCTACATGCAAACAAATATTTCATTGTCAAATATGTGGTTTCTTTTTTAAATTTTTTATGATGATTACAAACAAAATCGAGCCTCCTACAACCCGTATCCTCATTTGGTACAAATTTGCTTTTATTCTAGCTTTTATTTCATCAATCAAACTTTTTGAAATCACTTTTAATAATTTATGAGGAATTATGTGTCCCCCAAATCACTATTATAATAGGTGATGATATCTGCCTAATGTAAGTAGCGACTTTTTTCTTTAGTTGATTTTTTTTCTTTAATTTTAAAATATTTTCTTGTAATCTTTTATTCGAAAAATTGTATAAAATTGTATTCTTCAAGAAAATATTACTTTTACGTGATATTATCATACATCCTTGTGATTGACTTGAAAATTTCTCACTATTTTTAGAATTTTTTTATTTAAAATTATATATTTATGTAAATATAATTTTTGAAATCTAAAAATTATTTTTTTAAGCTTTTACAATTTTAAATTTACTTTATTTAAAATACAAATATTAAGTCATGTTAGTAAATTTTCAAGAAAGCTCTTTAGAGATTAGTGGGTTTAGTGCATAGAACCATTATTAACCTTCAATTTCTAATAGGAACATGCTCTAAAATATCAAGCAGTAATAGAAGAAATGATAGAAGCAATAAAGAAGAGGGACAAAGAGGACTTTGACACAAACCTTAGAAGAACACCTTGGGCTAAATTGTATTCTTTTGATATGAATGTCTCTCTCTTTTCCACCCAGAAATATCAAGATTTCTCTCCCCCATGGTTCCACTAGTCAATGGTCACACTCAAGTACTATCTATGGCTTGACAACCTGTTAAGATCTATGTCTAATGCTAGTAGAAGTGGTTGGCTACAATCACACAATTCAAGTGCTATTCTCAACTTGACATATGAAGATTGGGTAAATTGATATAGTTGTTAAAAGGTTTAGGTGATAAACAGCCTACCAAATTCTACTAAGGACCTAGAAAGGACTAAAGTAGTTAGGAGTGAGTTTCACATTCTCTCTTCTAGCTAGGGTGCGCATTTGATATGGTCATAATTTTAGATTAACTAATACTTCATATTGCACCTTGCATCTTTTGTGATCTGATGAGGTCTTCAATATGGACTAAGATAAGGTCAAGTGGTGTCGTAATGTATATAAAATCACATCTCATTCATGAAACTAGGTTCTATGGAAGCGACCTTTGTCTTTTACAATATGAAATGCAACAAAGTCAAATAGTCTCAACCATACACCACATTAAATGGCACAATGTTAGTAGAGATGTGAAAAGTAGTGTTGTACGAATATTTTACCTATCATAGGCACACTATTTTTTTGGTTGATCAAACAAAAAGCAATAGAGGTAAGTCTTCAAGTAATGGTTGACTACTTTGACTTGTCTATTAATTTGGGGG